TGTCCCAAATTATAGTTCACTTTGAAATTTCACTCTTAGTACAATTTGAATTAGAAATAAAAACTTAAACTGGACAATAATTATAGAACGGAGTGAATACTAAAAACCATGAATTTGTTAATAGGAATTTAATTGTAAGTACTATCTTGACCAAAAGATGGGGAAAAAAAAATTGAAATCGTAGTACACAGTACACATTATATTCCAGATTCCAGAAATCGAAACATAGATTAACCGAAGCCCCAGGACAACATATTAGCTTCTAGGATGATCGTTAATGATTTTTTTTTTCCCGGTCCGAATACGTTAAAAAATATCTTACCACTTTATTCTCGAACAAAATTCGGTGATGCGGTAGCATGTGAATCGTTAAATATTGTTTCAAATCACAATCATCATTATATTAGTTTGGTCATAGGCAGGTAAGTTTGTATCTTTGATTTGTTAAAATCTAACATTATGAAATGTTAAAATTGAAATTCGAGTAAAAAAGTAGAATCTATCGATCTGTTTGTCGGTAAAAAGAAGTCGACAAGAAAGTAAACGTCTTTGTTGCCAATTTTTTATAATTTCTATTTTTGATTAGATTTGTAGTTTTAAACGTTTCTAATAAGTATTTTATCGCCAACGCTGACATGGTGACTTGATTTTCTTACTTTGATCGTGAAAGATATAGAAGATCCCAAAACATCATAAACGACATCTTTGATCAAGTAAGGGTTTAATTAATTCGAGCGAAAGAAAGCATCAAAGAAGAATTTTGTGGCAACATTCCTTGCAAGAGTTCAAAACATTGTCAGAAATTAACCGCACATAAGTGAAGAATCAAAAGAAAAAATTGTGACCGAAGACATATATAGCCTACAATTAAGACGACTGGGAAAGTGGCTGGGAAGGTGCAAGTCGGGCAACATGTGGTCTTAGACTTGCAATTCTCGATTTTTCATCAAACCATGTGTCCTGATCTTTATTGCCTTATTAACCACTTGGAACCTATCGCATTTGGACATGATCATTCTAACACCTACAAAACACGTATATACATATGCGGATAAGTATTTTTACTCCAAAACATAAATTTAAACTCTTGTATCTAATCACGAAAGTTATATTGGAGTTTCTGGAGTTGCATGGGCAGTCCAACTAGGTCGTATTCACGGCTCGGTGGATTTTCTAGCGGAAACGAATTAACAAGAATCAAACGGACTAAAGTTATCATTGTTCCGCTCATTCTATTGGGATTGGTAATTTATGATGGTGTAAGTCCAAAACTAAACAACTTTAATAAGTGACATGAAATGAGTCATGGTACTTAAAGAACACGTATGTTACTCTTTGATCTTTATTATAAGGTATTTTGATTTCTCTTTAGATTTCATTTATCGTATTTTTCAAATTGAAAATGAAACTTAAACATGATTGATATATATATATATATATATATATATATATATATTAGATACTAAACCCGCGGAGTTTATTTGTATACATTATAAAAAATCAACAAAAAATATAAAAAGTATAAAATGTATTTGGAGTCCATATCAAGATACATTACACAACTAAAATTAAATAAAGGCGTAATTGTAAAGATAAAATCATGCATATCATTTGAAATGCAAGTGTTCACTTGATTTTTATTGAAGGAGAAGAACTGGACAATAACACTCATAAGCAGAGTAAAATAAATAAGATTGTATTAATGTTACATATTGAATGAAAAGATAGAATGATTGTACGTGTAAAATACATAATGAAATAATTATCAATAGTAGATGGTAGATTATGTACGACTGAAGTGTGAAGTTTAAATTTTTTATGGTTATTTTGTTGTAATTAAAGATTCTATTGTACTGTTTGGCCCAATAATATTTAGAGCAACAAACTAACTGTAGAGTTAAAATTTTTGTCCTTTAATCCCTTTTTGCTGTGACAATAGAAAATAATAATTAATGAAATAATGAAATTATAGGTAAACAAAAATATAAATTTAGTAACGTCTAAATAAGAACTCTAAAATATCATTTTGCAGAAGAATATATGGCAAAAAATCATATATAACCTTAATTAACCATTACCTCCCATGCCACACGATCGACCCACTATTAGTTCATCACTTTCAGAACAACAAACCAATTGTAGAGCTAAATTTTTTGCCCTTTTATCTTTGGATTTCGGATTGTTTTGGGGAGGGGGAAATTTTTGCAGCACTGGAACATACTCAAGGTTTGTGTGGCATTAAATAGAAATAAATTGGGATTGATGATAATTAATTATCCAAAATTTCAGTGATAAAGATAAAGTTTATAACAATTTTTGAGATATTATTAAGGAAAGATTATATTTATTTGGGTAGATATGATATTACACAAATTAATGCATTGGTTTGAAATTCAAAAGATAACATTTAATTATAGTTAAATCCCATCCTTTTAGTAATAATTGAAGGCAAATTTTGTACCTTTTTTTTTTATTGGCGAAAAATACAGGGTCATGTTTTTGGGAGAAGATTTTAAAGATAACATTAATGTTGAATGATTGGTATTTTTTATTTTTTTTGAATTGTAATCTATTGATTTACATGATTGGGAGGGAAATTTTTTTTTTAGAGAGATTAAGTAAATGAGTCCAGTAGTAACTTTGGGGATTCTTTTGGGGAGGGAATAATTCTGGTGCATTAATGTTCATTAATCTCGTCCATTAAATTTAATTAATTCTTATTTTCCTATTTTAAACTATAGTTTTAAATGACATTTGATAAAACTTTATTTACATAAAATTTGAAGGACTATTAGTATAATTGTTGTAAATATTTTTTGACTCAACCATTAGAAAAATGACACATAAGATTTTATCCTATGTGGCATTTTTAGAATTTTTTTTTTGTTTTCTCTCTCTGGATTCTCTCTTAGTATAATATACTATAGATATATATAATAATTGAGAGAATATAATAAAGGTAAAAATATATTTTTTAAATTTTATTTTCAATTGAAAGTACTCGATAAATGAAATTTGAGAAAATTCAAGATGTCTTTGTAGTGAAGACATGAGGGAAATATATGAAACAGTATATTTGAACATTTGAATTCAGGATTTGCCCAAAAAAGGCAGTCAAAGAATTAAGAAAGTACGAATAGGGCGCATAAGTAGAAAATCATGGATTCCAAAAGCAACAAAAAGAGGGAATCGCTGGGAGTTTGGTGGTCTTTGCGCCGACGTGTAGCCACGAACAGTGGAATGTTTCTAGCCTTTTAGGCCCATCCAAAAGGTACTAGTATATGCCGACTATAACTAGGCCCATCACTTTTCTTCATTTACTTTTCTTTTCAGATTTTTCCTTTCCAAAATATGAATTGGTTAAAACATCTTAATCATGAATGATATCATCTGGTTTGAGTGAATGAAACGATTCTTATTTGCTTTTCTTCTTTTAAATTTTAATTTATAGCCGAAATCGTACAAAAGAATCTGAGTTCACATCTGAGCGTGGTTATCTCTTTTGCTGATAACTCGTGTTTTGATTAGTTACGATATGTCTTAACTATCGATAAATGAAACTGTTGTTAACAAAAAAAAAAGTAAATAAACGAAACTAGTTAACGCTGTGTTGTAGTATGTCTTAACTTATTGATTAGACTTGTCTCTGGAATCAATATCGGGGCTGGTACAGATGGTCAGCGGAGTTTCTTGATCAACTTCACCAATTTGGTTTTCTTTTGGGTGCATCTAAAACTTCCTTCTTTTTTTTTTCCATCAAGTTTGGAAATTATTATTGCCTATATATACAACTCAGATTGTAAGGATTGAGGAATAAGACACCTCTATTATACTTATCATGTTGCGATTGTGATCCAGTTATTTGTCATTCCAAATATAAATTGATGCATTCGATAGTCAACAATCTTCAGAGTGGGGCTTATAATGACTAGAGGAACACGTGAATCCACAAGTACTAGGAAAAATCGTTCATGAGTGGGAAACTGAGAAGTGTTTACCCAAAACCCCCCAGGCGTTGAAAACTGTGAGCCCCAGACAAGAAACTTCTGACCAGAAGTTTATTAAATTATAAATCTCTACTAGTATCCATAATAATAATTTAATACAGTACATCTTACCCTCAGATAATTGTTTTTTTTTTCTTTTTCGGAATAAAAAAAAAATCCATTTGTTTTGTGAGTACGTGACAGTGACGACTTTCAAGTTGGGAGTGGTGAACCAATCCCAGGAAATTATGGCCGATCATAGGATTTTATCATTTTTTTGGGTATGATATAGTACATTAATGTTTGAATTCATCGCTTGGACTAATGTTAATTGTTTATTTTCGAAGACAATATATTTTTAACAACCTGTGTTGTTATTACATACTACAGTATGGCTCGATATTGGATGAGGTGCTAATTGGTTCGAGATGTGATGGTTAATCCTACCTAACGTGAGAGCCAGCTCCCAAGATTCTTTCTTATGAATCATGTCTCTCTCTCTCTCTCCTCTGTTTTTTGATTTACAATCAGGATCTCGCTCCCTGTACTGATGGCGGCATCTTTTTCTTTAAAAGTAAATCGAAAATAAAAAAAAAAAAAAACAAGTAGTCTTCGAAATTGAATTAAAAATGTCCCCCAAATAATTACCCAACGCAGCTAGAATCCAAAACTGCTTATGGGGTGTGGATATAATTACAAGTCAGCAGTAGATTTTTCCAGGTATTATTAGACGACTATGACTTTCGATCGGCTACCTTTCTCCATCTTCCAGTTCCATTCCACCATGTCCTTCTCCATCCACATCACCAACTTATTTTAAATCCACCGATTTGCCCTAGTTTTCCAGCTCCAAATTTAGCCCATTTCATCTCTTCCTAGCCACCCAAATTTTATGTTCGTTTCAAATATTAAATTATTAAGCGTAGTACTATAATTAATCATAATTAAGCTTAATTAAGAGATAACATACCACAAGAACTATGCAATTTTTATGTTTCCTTTATATATTTCTGGGACTATTCATGAATTAATTAATTACTGCTTGTGCTTGTAAAAATTCTGTTTCTTCGTCAAATGTTTAGCTGACTTTCTGAAACTGTCCGAAATTAATATCGATTCACCCAAATTACTCAAAACTTAGCCAGATGCCGTGATTTGGCTGAAGGCTAAAAAAACGCTTGTGATTTTGAAATTGGATGGTGATCATATTAACTAAAGAATTTCACACGTAAGTCAGATTTTCGAATTTACGGGAGCACGCAATTTTGATTTCTCCCAATTCTCAAAGAACTAATAACTACAAAGTCACACAAACTACAAGTGTATCAGATTCCTGGAGGCCGTAACACCGCCGTCCACCACCAGATTGTGACCACTGATATATCTGGACTCATCACTGGCCAAATAAAGTGCCGCCTCCGCGATATCCGAAGCCCGCAGCGTGGGCCCTTGCAAGTTCGCCATACCCCTCACCATCTCCTCCAATTTCTCCACGTCCTCAAGCCCAGGAAGCCCAATCCCTGAATCCGCGCCTTCGTCGTCGTGCGATTCCCCTCTCCAGGCGTTGACCAGCATCCGGGTGGCCACCCCAAACGGAGAGATGCAGTTGACCCGGATCCCGTGTCTGCCGAGCTCGCAGGCGGCGTTCCGGGTGAGCCCGACGATGGCGTGTTTGGAGGCCGTGTACGAGTGTGGGCCCATGCCACCCATCACGCCCGCCACGCTGGCGGTTGATATGATGCAGCCGGTTTGCCGGGGGATCATCACCCGCGCCGCGTGCTTCATCCCCAGCGCCACTCCCCGGACGTTGACCCGCATGATGCGGTCCAACTCGTCGGCGTCCAAGTCCACAATGCTCTTCGTTCGCTCCGTTTGGCTTCCCAGGACCCCCGCGTTGTTGAACATCACGTCCAGCCTTCCGTACAACGAAACGGTGGAGCTGATCAAGTTCTCGACGTCTCCTTCCGAGCTGACGTCGCAGTGGACGTAAGACACTGACGGAGACAATGACGCTGCCAGGGAGGCACCGAGGACGTCGTCGACGTCCCCGATGACCACCTTGGCGCCCTGTCTCGCAAACAGCCGCACGGTGGCTTCTCCGATGCCCCGGGCTCCGCCGGTCACGATCGCCACCTTGCCTTCCAGCCTGCAATTATTAATACATGGATTGGGTGCCCGATTAGTAGATATCGAAATGCGAGTGCAATTATTTTTATGTATATATTGAAACTGATCCACTATTCCCTTATAATTGTGATTTGATGTAAATGTAATCTTTTTGTGATATGGGGATGTGGGATTACAGTATTATTACTGCAAAGCCCCAAGGGGGGTGGGAGAATGATTAATGTTATCACCATAATAATAAAACAGTAATTGTACCGGGTAGGGGAAGAGAGGGATCAGATACGGAATCATTCGTGGAAATTACAATGAATGGAATATTAATGGGCTGTATAATTACATTACAATTGTAACAATTGAACTAAAAAAAAGGGGCATGTATTCATTCATTTACCTCTTGGTGGAGTTGGAGGAAGGTTGAAGATGAGCCGGGGGCTCTCTTGCTAGGGCTGATGGAATATTCAATCCCAGGTTTTGTTCAGCAACAAGTTGGGCAGTCATGATGATTGGCTTGTAAAAATCTTTAAAAATACGATCTAGGGTGAGGAGAGAAAGAGAGAAGCCAAAACTACTGAACACACAAAACAAAATCAATAGAGAACAACAGAGTCAAGAAATGAGTGAACATTTTGATTTATAGAGGCGAGATGTTTTGAGGGAAAGAAAGAATACACAACCAAAGAGTGGGTAGGTTGGGTTGCGTGTGGGGTTTTCTCTCTTTTTTTTTTTTTAATTTTATTTCTATAATACTACTGCACACTATCTGCATTCCGCAAGTTGTACTATATTTTAAATGTCCTTTGCATTTCCTTATTAGTTCTGTCTATATTCATTTATCTCTAACCATTTTTGGTTGCTCCCAGATTTTTTACGTTCAAAGCCGGTGATTTTTTGCCTTCTAATTTGCGATTTTCTTCCTTTTTAATCCCCATTTCGATATCCTAACCCCTTTTAACCAATCTCCCGCATTAAAAGTTAAGAATATTGTATTATTAATTAGGTAAAAGATAGTAATCCCTGATTTTTAATTCTAAATCTTGGTGCCCAATTCATGCATACAGCAAATTAATTACGCATCTTTTTATCACTCACTAACATTTTGACGTCTAAGAGGTTTATTTATATTTTAATGGTATGTTATGGACTTAGTTGAATCTTAAAAATTAGATAATGCAAATTTAAAACCACACGTATCAAATTATGATAAAGTGATTTATGAACGTGAAATACTTACACAATTATGGTCTAGATGTAAGGATAGTAGGAAATCCTTAGCCGTGTTGTCAATAATTAAGCATGAACCCAAAATTTCATTTATTTAATTAGTAGAAAACATTACATGGAAAAAGGCCAAAACATGCACGGTGAATCAGGGATTCTTTGGACTTTTCCTCTTCTCTCTTTTTATACTGCTTTCGAATTCATTAGTTTTGTTTCCCCTTTATTCTCTACTTTTCTTTCTCTCTCTGTTTTTTCTTTTTTTTTTAAAAAAAAAAAAAGTAAGTCGGTAGTCAATAATTAAACTCGATAACACCCGGCGTTCCTAAATGGGTAGTTGAAAGTCGCAACTGTTACAATGTTTCACTTGTTTTGACCTTCTGGGGGATTGCCATCCTATTCTTTGCAGGAATCCACATCCTCTTTTACAAATAATTCCAATTTGCTAGCTGTATCTGTTATGAGCTCGTCTTCTTTATCACAAATCATACTACTTAGCTAAATAGTACTCCCTCCGTCCAAGAATTATTGTTCAGTTTGAATTTTCATTTCTAGTTCAAATTGTACTAAAAATAAAATCTCAAACTGCAAAATAATTTTGAGACAGAAGGAATAATTTTCAATCTTAAAATGTATTTACACCGATAAGAGTCACGCTCTGGTTGTTAATGTCAAGACAAATTAATGGATCAACCGTACTATAAAGGTTGTTTTGACTTTTGAATCCCCATCCAGCAAATTTACCTCAGTTTTTGGAGAGATTAGACAAGCCTCTCTGCTCAGGTTAGGCTGGTCCATCCTAGTTCCCAGAATCATTAATGTTTGTTTGTTGACTCCTGAGGTTTTCAGGCACGAAAACCCTTTAACTCGGTCAAACAATCCATATTTTTTACGGCTGTCTTTTCACTATTCATAATCTTGTGCAAACTCGTCCCTATCAAAATAAAGTTGTTTTAGACTGCAGGAGTTTTTAATTAAATATAGTAGGTCATTTTAAGATTTCAAACCAAATTAATTGGTTATTTTCAAAATTTATTATCAATATATGATGCCTATTCCGTTTTTATTTAATTTTGTTTATTATTCCAATCTATTTATTGAGGAGTATAAAAGATATTTATATAAATTAATTGTTGAATGATCACTTTCTACGTATACGTGAAAATTTTAAAGTTATATTTTGAAGCGAATGTAACATCGTTTTTGTTGTTTAAAGTTAACTATGTCCAATTAGACAATGCATGCATGGTTTATGACGACCTAAAAAAGGTGAGGAATTTCGAAATGTTACGGCACAAGTCATCATACATTTTTATATTTTTATTTTCAAAGTAGACTCCTTATACATTTTATTTTTATTGTTTCACCTAAATTAATTTCAAAAGACACACATCTTTTTTTTCCCGAAGATATGCGGAAAAAATATGATCATCATCAGAAAAAGAAATAGATTGATACTCCCTCCATTTCAAAATGTAAGTCGTTTTAGACTTAGAGAAATTTTTCAAAATATAAGTCGTTTTAGTATTTTAAGACAAATTAATGACTATTTTTATAACTTCACCCTCAATAAATAATGTCAATCCACTTTTATTTAGTCTTGTACTAGATTTTACCCGCACGATGTACGGGATATAAGAATTTACGCTTTAGCATCGAGTGGTGCATTCATGTGGTGTAAATACATATGTGATTCATCATGAATAACCTCAACTACATTATATAATCATCGATTAAAGTATTCTCGAAGTGATTCATGTTTTGGTCTTCAAACAGTCCTTTCAGGATCTTTCAAGGCTTTGATGACCAACGTCACCGTAGATGGGTCGTGCAAGATAGGGTTCTTTATGTAGAATTATATTCATAAATTGAAAGACTCTGAAATAGATACTTATAAATTGAGAGATGCGATACTGCTTGCTAGGTTGAGAAGAAGAGAGATTCATGCTATGGATTAAGGTTAAGCATTGTACGTACTACCTCCAAAAGTCATTAATGTAAATGTTTTATAGAAAAAAAAAATAACCAAGAAGAAGAGATAGAAGCATACCTTAGCCATATTTTGAGATTTATAAAACTCAACATAAACTATTATTTTAGATTGAAAGAATAAAATACTATAAACCGGTGGCTCTTGTCTGCATTAAATCACCAGAAAATTTAATTTATCAACACGTTATAAAAAAAATAATCATTACAACATTTGTTATTGTATCATCACTTAAAAAAAATAGCATTTTAATTTCATGATGAACGTAAATTATACATACCCATCAAATCAAGATTTTAATCAACAAAATATTAAATAGTAATAAACTAATTATTTCAATTAGAAAGAAAATTGCATTCATCATAGAGAGAATTCATTAAAATAAACAAACAAACCTGTTTCATACCAATGCTAATAATTGGTGCTAGTTACTTGATTTGGCAATATAACCTGCAAAAGATGTACTCAGAACTTCACAAAAAAGCGAGGCTTCATAGAGATATGAAATTTTCTTGAAGGTGGTTGCCCCTCTCCCTGAAACCGATGACCTATTTAAATTGTCCTTTAGGAGAAACCAACCACCCTTCAAGGCATTTCATAATGTTAAGCTTTCTTTCTGAGGTTCTTCTTTTTGGTTCGTAATATGAATACATTTTCTTTTGACTCTCATTCACAATCACCAAAAAAACTGCAAAAGATTCAATCAAATATTTGTCAGACCTCAATATATGCAATGAAATCAGGCTTAGCGAATAAAAAATGAATACAGATTGGGGTTGTCTGAGAATTTTGGGATGAAGTAGAAAGACAAATATGTATATGTATATATATTTCAAGAAAGAAGATTGGTATGTATTTATTATATTTTTTTGAATGAAATCCAAAATTAACCATGGCTCCCTTTATCTTTTCCTAATTATGCGGCACATTTAATTATTTTAAAATTTAAAATAGCATTGTTAATAATTAGCATTTATAGTATGGTAATTATTTCGGCGAAATAAAAAACAGGTTTATTGATTTGATGAGGCTAAAGTAGGTAAAAATTAGCATGATCAAAATTAGTGTCTATCCTAAATTTTAACCTATCAAAATTAGGTCAAATCAGCATCAAATCAAAATAATCGGCCGAAAAGAAATTTGGGAAAGGAAATTCAGAGCCTTGTCGAAAGGAAACACAGAAAAAATAAATATGTTAAATATATATATATATATATATACAAATATATATAGTTTTAATTTGGCCGAAGGGAAAACAATCAGTATTAATTCAATGAGGTTTTCTTGCTATTTTTTTTCTTGCATATCGGCATTTTGCAGACCAAATTTTGATATGGCCGTAATCAAAGAGATTATGCATTTAATTTGTAAATTTTTTATTGAATAATTGAACTTTGGTTTTTTTTTTTTTTGTTTTGTCGCTCATTCACCTTAATGGTGTTAATAAAAAATGTTTGAATTTAAATATAAGCTTTAAATGAATTAAATCAATGTTTACATTTTTTAAATGGAAAGAAACCATTAATAATATTGATTTTTTTAAATGTTATGGTTTTTTTTGACCGAATACCAAAAAAAAAAAAGTTTACCACCAAATTAATTGATAGAATTTAGTTGCAGTTTGATAAAACTTTATTTACTGGAAATTTTAAGGACTATTATAGTAATTGGTTTAAATATTTTTTCTGTCAAGCTTTAGAAAAATGACACCTAGGATTTTATCCTATGTGACACCTTTAAAAATCTTTTTTGTTTTCTCTCTGTGGTTTCTCTCTTAGTATAATATATTATAGATATAGTTCTAATGTAATTAATTATGGTTAAAATATATATTTAATATACAAATTAATTATCTAATCATTGTCTCCTTAGTTTACGTGTAAAGTCTAAAGCGACCTACATTTCGAAATGGAGGAAGTAAATAATACTTACGGTACATGCGTACGTACATATTAATATTAAAACTAGGGTTGTCAACGAATCGAGCACTTCACGAGCAACTTGCGAGTGGTTTGGTCAAAACTTGGCTTAAATTCAGCTTTGACCGAACTCCAGCCGAATTCGAACAGCTCGATTAAATAAATGAGTCGAACACGAGTATCAAAATACTTGATTCGAGACCTCGTCGAGCCTATTCGAGCTTATTATAAAATGTTTTATTTTTATCATAAATAATATTTAATTCATAAAAGCTTTTCTTTTTATTCCTTAAAAATTATTGTCCTTTATAGTTTGAAGATGTAATCAAATATATTTTATAATTTCTCAAAGAAATTTGCTCATAGAACACATAAATTGAACGTGTTAAATTAAAAATAGTAAATATTAAAATTTATTCGAACTCAATATTATCGAGTATTCGAGCTCAATCTTTATCGAACACAAAAACTCGAGTCGTTCGAGCCGAATGCGAACTATTCGTTTTTATTTCGAGCCTAACTCAAACTTCAATTTCGATGTTCGACCAAGTTCGAACTCGAATATATGCTCTAAATTTTTTGTCGAACTTGACCTCGAGCACCTAATTGTTTAGGTTTGACTCGGCTCGTTGACAACCCTATTAAAAACTTCTCGTAGTCGTCATGAAAACGCCAAAAGTTAAACTACTTGATTTGCTAATATAGTTTTCAGGGGCAGATTAATTTTCTATCTTTCCCAACTTATCTATATTACAAATTGTGAATTGAGTCGTTTTTAATATAGTTTATATTATTACCATAGTTGTCGAATTGAGATACGTATCGCGTATCGAAATTATAAATTTTGTATCGTGTATCGTATCGCATATCATATCATAATATATATTTTTATTGATTTTATAGATATTAAAATTAACTATATTATGTAAATTTATACTAAATATCCGATTGACTTTTCATGAACCATTAATTTAAAATAGCATTCAACAAAATAAAATCTCAATTCCGAAAGCATATAATTGTTCCCAAAACATATAACTCTCTGAAGTTTGTTTGATGCTGGCTGCCGGGGGAAACCATTTTTTTCCTCCACTTATCTATGGTGATCAGTTTTTTTTGAAGGGGTATGGTGATCAGTTCGATTAGAGAGAACAGAGAGATGATTTCCTTTTCTTGTTTCTAATTGTAAATGGTTAAAAATTAAACTTAAGGAATTCTTTGATTTGGGAAATGAAAACTATTAGTAGATTAAGTTGGAGTTTGACGGTGGTAGACTTTTTAACTTCTAGGCATAGAATTAATAGCTAGTAAATTATTTTATTGAAAAAATTAGAAATCACTTGGACGCTGGAACTTGGAAACCAACTAATAAAATAGGAAAAATTGTCTAATTTGGTTCGATTATTGTATCGTACGTATCGCCCGTATTAGTCAATAGGTATCGACTCGTACGATACCAAAATAAAAATGTACGAGTTTTTATCGAATCCGATACGATCAACCGATTTGTATCGAAATTTAGTATTTTTGCGTATTGTACGATACTAACACTAATTATTACAATATGAATTATTTTTGTGGGATATATATAAAATAATACGCTATTGAAGAATTATAAATATGGATGAAATTCTCTAATTTCATTTTTTATGCAAAACCAAATTAGAGTCATGAAATTAATAGGAATATTAAAAGAATATTATCCTACATTACGTGTGAAATGAAATATAAAATTTTCTCGATTTTAACCCCCATAATTTTTGTTTACTAAAGTCAGATGATATATTGTTCTTTATTCAACATGATACACTCCAGTTATATTAAAAATAATTTGTTTTCTCTGTGAAATGTGATTGTGGGGCGGACAAAAATAGGTAAATAATTAAGGTTGTATTTGTTTACTCTCTAAGAAAATGGAAACTGATTTACGTCCTCTATCCAAAAATGATTGTTCATATTGAATTTTTTTTTTTTTATAAATTATACTAAAGTTAAGAAAATTAAGTGAATAATAATTTCATGACCTGAAATATATTTATACCGCTTTTAGGTTAAGTGATTCATGATTGATAGGTTATACTCTTGCTAATACGAAGTAAAATATTGCCTATAACTTTCCTAAGTATTTTTTGTGCATAATTGCACTTGTTTGGTTTATTGGTTCAAGCCATGAGTTGGGAATGACTAAAAACATAAAGCCAAAGGGATTAGATTCAAGTTAGGAGGTGATTTTACATTAGTTACAAAAATAGTTTTGCTTGGAGGATAAGTAGTTATTTTAGTAATTTGAAATTGTAACTAATTGACTCGTAATCTAATGGTCTAGATGATTGAGGTTGTCAATCATGTGATTATAAATACCAGTAGATTTGTATTTATAAGGAGGGAGAAAAAGAGAGAGAAAAAAAAGGCAAAATGTAAGAATACCTTGAGTTTTAAGAGTTTGGAGAGAAGTCTAACCAAACAGTAGACTTGTGTGGGGAAATAGCCAAGCCCGAAAAATTATTGGCTGGGGAATGAGAGCCTAGAGTTAGGTTTTAGTTTCATTTGAGACGTGACTCTCTTCTAAGTTTTGTGTTGAGTAATAAAATTACAAGTGATTGGGACTTCGGTCCAAGATATGAATGTTTGTGTGACTTGAAATGATTTCTTGGTATGTTGCTAAGCAAATTTCTTCCGCTGCGTAATTGCTTAGCGGGCTGGTGGGTTTTGGTTGGGTAAAATCCACGCCGGTAGATCGCCAAATTCATACAAAGAGATTTGGGGTATAACAAGTTGGTATCAGAGCCCCGATTGCGAGAGATGGGGTTGGTATCAAAGTGGTTTGGGCATCACTTGTTGTTGTTCTTATAGAGAAGGACATGCAGTTGGGATCAAGGACTTTGTTCGTTGCTGTTTGGTATGGGACAATCAGTAAGTTTTTATTGTTTTTGATTTGAGTCTGGGAAAAGAATTGTCGAAATTTCTTTTTCGTTGTTGGTTTCTTGATGAAACTTGAGGGATCTTGAGGGATCGTGGCTGTTTCTTGGTGGAAGTAGCAGCGAGTTGTAGGTTTCTTGGCGAAACATGCGAGAAGCTTTGATGATCGTGTGGCTGTTTATCTACAATGATACGTCGTGTGAAAAATTTTCAGGAAAGATTGGTGATCGAATTTGATCGGGTATTGCTTTTGCAAAAAGAAGGACAGTGAAGGGCTGGAGATTGAGAACCTTTGTTATTGCTAGCTGATTATGAGACTGTTGGTGATGGCTTTGATTCTTGATTTCGTAGGAAATGGAGTAGTGAAAGGTTTCATTTTCGAGTAAGGAACCTTAAAAGGTTGAGAGGCAGAAAATTATTTCATGCCTTGGAGTTGTGCAGAGTTTTGGGAACTTGGTACAATTGAGTTGTTTCTATAAATGAGATAGAGACGTTTAGAGATTGTTGGTGTTGTTCAAACAAAATCGGTGGCATTTGGAGGAAATATGCTGGTTTGTTTATGAGGGCATCAAACATTTCAAGTGGGGGAGGTTTGTTACGAGGTAAAATATTGCCTATGACTTTCCTAGTTGTGGTCATCGCTAACAATGATGGTTGTTGAAAACTTATTTTTTGTCTAAATGTATTTTTAAATTAATTTTAAAATTTATTTCAAAAAATATTTTAAACATATAAATTTACAAATCAAACCAATAATTCAAACTGAACCATCGTTAGGCGATAAAAGTTTTTTTTTTGTTTTTTTCAATACGAATGAAGCCAGGAGGCTTATAAATTTACAAAACATCCCTAAGGATTTGGGATGAAACCAAACTTTGACAAAATATCATTTGCAACCGGACATGAGAATCATGGTAAGTGATCAATTGTGAATTTGTGTTTCACACAGATGTTGGCCCGCTTGCCCCATGATTGAACAATGTGCTGGGCTATCCCGTAATTTATCAAAATGGTATTCAGGGCCAGTCGGCTATGAAATGATGGAGTAGTTCTTTGCATTCACAATGTCCTGTAGCCCGAAATTGGGAATCATTTAAACTCATTAGGATGGCCCAATTCCAATTAATAACTGCAAAATGCGGCTCCGATGAGATAAAGTGGGCACCGATCCAAGTGAAGGAATGAAGGATGAGGAAAATACGAAAATTTACGAAAATTGACGGTTGAAACAAACTAGTACCAGTACTGTATTATTCTTTTTGGTTTTGGGCCTAAAAATTACCATCAATTACTGGAAAAAAAAAACATTAATACTATACTACTACAATCAATGTTTGTCGCCTGACTGATTGTCTGACCCTAGAAATTAATGATTCTACGTTTTATCATTCTCACTTTATGGGTCCAAATTACTGTGAGATATCTCAAAGGTCCACCAAAAGCAAAAACCTGGCACTGGCATAGAACAGCCCACACTGAGAGTGTCATCCTCCCGCAAATGATTGGATTTCATGATCCCAGAGAAATAAAAACTGAAAAGTAAATAGGTGAAGTGAATTGATTTGGATGTGGATTTTGGGGGTATCCCAATCCCCAAGCAGACAATGTTATGTGTTATTAATGGACTCTAAATTGGAAAGCTTTGCTTCCAAATAAACCAACGCGTTGAAGCGAAGTTTAAATGATTAAACCCACATTACACTCCATAATCAACAAAATACTAAATTCATACTACCATCAATAATCTCCGAACACGCCAATCAAAAGTGTGAAATCTCGGCCTAAATGAATGCGTGGCGGTGAACCTAGTTTTAGGCACAAATCCTCCCAAGTCAGTCACAAGCGGAGAGATGCTGGAGCCCAACAATCAAAATGATATTCACCTTGGTTACTTTATTTAATTATTCAATTCATCTCGAAATCATTGTCCGTTTCAGTTTTAATATAAATTTTAATTAAAAATAAAAAACTCAAACTGTAAAATAATTTTGAGACAGATGGGGAGTTATTTATTGTTTGGTCAAGATTTTAGCTTTCTCGCGTCATACAACACAGGACAGGAGGCTAGTATGAATGCAGTGTGTGACTGTGTGTGTGTACATGTGGGTAGGGAGGTGGTGCGCATGATCCGATGAATCCCCCGGCGAGCCCAAAATACACGGCGCCATCATCCATCCCCCAACCAAATTTGCCATATCAATTCAATTGTCTATATCACTCCTCACCTCTGTGCTGTTGTGGCAGCTGGCAGCCTTCTTCTTCTATTATTATTATTATTATTATTATTATTATTATTACAAATTACAAATTACAACCCACGATCCAAACATTATTTTTAGAATTAAAGGTTTCCAATATGAAGTCATTGCAGTCGCAAATTGCAAATCCAAATGACTCTTCACGTAGTATTCATTTTGCCCCAAAATACCCATTACATCACAGGACCAGTTATATATCCACTATTCGTTGGAAAAGGGAAAATACGTTAATAAAGTCCAGTTTTTAGTTGCATAACTACCACACTAGTACCACCAAACGTACCACCCCAACCCAAAGTACCCAACCCGCACTGAAACCAAACTGCAAGAATTTTGAACCCAACTCAGAAATAAAAAATAAAAAATAAAAATAGAATTAAGAATATCCCTAGTCACAAATAAACAACTCCTCCTCAAATCTTCTCCTTCCAGAACAGAAACATGCTATAGAATCCTCAAGTGGAAAGGGGGAAAAAAAAAAAAAAAACTATTTAGGAAAATTCATTTCAATTCCCCTCTTCATCCTCTCTCTCTGCAACTCCTTTCGCCTGAACTCGCGCCTGCACTATATCTCCCCTCTCATAATTCCTCCCCCAACTTATTTCCACACGCGCAAACTTCAAATTAATGCGTCGTCTAGTTTGTTAGCCGCGTCGTCGATGTGAGATGAGAGAGAAATACCAAATGTGAAGTTCGTTCCGTTGTTAGGCGAGACTTATTTTTGGTTGAATTAGGGTTTCTGGAGTTGAGAGCCGGAACCAAAATGCCGCTGTGCAGGTACCAGATTAGGAACGAGTACAGCTTAGCTGATCCCGAGTTGTATAGAGCTGCCGATAAGGATGATCCCGAAGCTTTGCTCGAAGGCATCGCCATGGCCGGTCTCGTTGGCGTTCTCCGGCAACTTGGTGACCTTGCCGAGTTAGTGTTTACTCCTCCATTTTTCCTTAATCACCATTTCCTTTTTCAATGTTTATCCTGCTTCCTGATTTTTGTTCCGTTTCCCAGCTCAATGTCAGCCATTTTCTTTCATTTATTCTTTTGAATTCTCTTTTTGTTTTCCTTTGCTTGATCAGTGAGTTTAATTATGCTATCATATTCTGAATTTGTCGGGAATATTTGAATTTAAAAGAGAGATCTACCCTAGTAAAGTTAGTTCGCCTTCTGAATTATGCAATTATCATCGGTTCTGTTGACCAGAATTATCCGAAATTTGGGAGTAATCGTTCATACTGCTGCATCTTTAGTTTTGATTTGTCTTGTTAAGTGTCATTTGCTGAAGGTTCGCTGCCGCAATATTTTATTCTGGTGCATTTTGTTAGGTTATGAAATCCTAGCTTCGTAGGAGGTCTTTGATTTAAAAAGAGAGATGTAGGGTACCAAATTCGGATTTTCGATTGTGTGTGAGTTTTTGTTTGTGAATTATGCGGTCATACTTACCTTTGTTCTCTGGAACACGCATAGTTTCGCGTAATTTATGACGTTCCATTTTTTAGTTTCGGTTTGGGTTTATGAAGTGTCCGTTGTATTTTCTGCTGATATATTCCATGATTTTTTTATACCAAATGTTCACGTTTCCCTCTTTGTTTTTCGTGTGTTCTGGTGATGTTATGCTATGGAAATTCTAATGTTCATTACAAGCTGTTGAATTAAAGAGAGAGATCTATTGTAGTTGATAAGATTTTTTCTCGTTGTGAGAGAGTGTGCTTTGTGATAAGACTTGGCACTCATTGTCACTTCTGTTCAGTGTAATATGCATAAGTGAGATTAATTTTGTCACTGTTGCGTATTTGTTTTGTGAACTTTCATCCATTGAAGATTTTTAGCCAAGATATATGTGATCTTAAAATCAATTGTAGAAGTTTAATCAATTAATTGATTGTTCTGTATTCTGGTATGTTTGTCTATCATGCCAAAATAAGAGAGGACTATTGCTTTGAATTTGGATTCTCGGTTCGGGAGAGAGTTTTGTGACTTATGCAATTATTTGTGTCATGTGTTGACTAGAATATGGATTGTTCAAAGTAATTATTTACACTCTTCCAGTATTAACTTTTTCTGTGAAAATTTGCTGAAGGTTTGCAGCTGAAATATTCCACGATTTGCACGAGCAAGTGATGGCAACAGCTTCAAGGGGTCACAGCCTGATGGTTCGAGTTCAGCAACTTGAGGCGGAATTTCCCACAATTGAGAAAGCATTCCTTTCCCAGACTAATCACTCTTCGTTCTACTACAATTACGGTTAGAGCAATCTCTCATTGCATCTTGTTAGTTTAATTTTTTTATCGACCATTTTAGTTTCTTTATTCTGGCCTAAGAGACTTGAGATGCTTTATAATTGGAAAGAAAGATTCAGTTTGCTCAAACCTGTATTGGAATGTGTGTGTTAACAGGCAAAACTGCCACACATGATTTTTAGTCTTTGTATCAGAGTCTTAATGCTAACACCTGAAGAAACATCATTTGCACATCGCCTTAGTATATTGGAAAACCCTCCCTACATTGTTAATTGATTGATTACACTGTGTTAATTTTCTGTTTAACACTATACACGTCTTCAAAAGTATTCGGATACACAGCTTGATCAGGTCACTTGCATGTAATTCTTATGGAGGGTTTAGGTTAGGTCACTTAGATGCACCGCCTTAATATGTTGATTAATCCTCCCTATTCTGGTAATTGATTGATTATGTCATGTTAATTCACTGTTTAACACTATACACCTCTTGAAAAGTATTCAGATACACAGTTTGGTTATGTCATCGTGTAACTCTTATGGAGTTAACTGTACTTCTGTTACAGGAACTGATTGGCACCCTAACTTGCATATGGACCAGAATGTAATAACTCAGGGAGATTTACCAAGATTTGTAATGGACTCTTATGAGGAATGCAGGGGTCCTCCTCGTTTGTTCCTTCTGGACAAGTACATTCATCTAGTTCATTTCCACTATTTATTTTTCTTTAATAGTTAGATGAAAAAACACTGAAGTTTATTTCTTTTCTCGGATTATGGAAGTCTTCTAATTCAAAGCATTTCATCTCCTACAAGGTTTGATGTTGCGGGTGCTGGAGCATGTTTAAAACGTTACACTGATCCATCATTCTTTAAATTGGAGACCTCTTACCCTGATACTGTTAGGGACAAGAAAATCCGTAAAGCAAAGGTAGCTTGTATATGACAAATGTCGAAACCTCATCATCTCTGCTTGCTGGTTTGAATAAGGCTGTCATTATTTTCAATTTGTTATGTTAATATTGTTTCTTTTGTCAATTCATTATTGTGCCTTTTACTCTTGATAGTCTTTATTGTTGTTTCCTTGGCTGAAATTCCTGATGATACTAGCTATGTTGTGCAAGTACTAAATGGAGCTTGTTGTGTCGTTTATTTACTGATTTAGTTTGCATCCTTTATCTTGTGAGTCTATGAATAAAAAAATGTCTTTACAGTATGGAATTTATACCATATCTGCCTACAAAAGGAGAAATTTGGCTGCCATGGAGAGTTTTCTTACCAATTGTCCTTAATACATAAGAAATATGCTTCAGCTGCTCTTGCTATGCTTATTAAGTGAACACCGGACAGACTTTAAAGTCACAGAGCGATTAATTAATCCGTGTATCCCATCTTATGCTTCAATGCATCTTATTCTTTATGTAGATGATTTAGAAAAAACCTTCAGGGACTATATTTTGAGTATTTTTTCTAGAGCTCTTTTCCTAGACGGTAATATTTCTTATTCTGCCAGAGGAAAGGGCCTCGCTGGAAGAATGGAGAAACCCCAGAGCCATTATCCACATCACATGCAAAGTGAGACTCTATATCTGTTATTTTATATTTGTGCATGTTATTTTATATCTGTTATTTTATATTTGTGCATGTTATATTTCCCTTTCCATCCATGTGCCTTTGCTTACCATAGAAAGCCTGAGATATATATTATCGATTCTGTCAGACTTCATCAACTATTTCTGCAAGAGCGCATTGAAAATGGCACTCTTAATTCTGCTGGTCGTGTGAAATTGAAAAGAAGGCTAAATGGATTTCCGTTTGACACAAAATCTGGGAAAAGCTACATGGAGAAATTTCTTAAGCCGCCTTCTCCAGATCATAATGAGGTTCATGTAATTCCTGAAGATTTATCACCTCCAAGCTTGCCTCCGAACAGCAATTATGAGTCTGCATGTGAAGTAGTTGAAATTAGTGTAATTACTCCTCTGAAAGAGCCCAAGCAATTTACGAGAAGTCCAATTTTATCTCCAGCTAGAGAAGAAACTACTCTAGAATTGGCTGGAGACGAACTGAATGAGGTGTCGTCAAGTGGTGAGGGCAGCGTAGACATGTCAAAGCCGAAACTTGGATGTCAAGCATATGAAACATCCTCAACTTCTCATGTGGTGTCTAGAGAGAATGATATCCAAGTAGATGGAGGATCAAAAACCGAAGACAGCATAGATGAAAATCAATCAGATGATGTTGCTAGTGAGATAGACAATTTTGTGGATGCCCTTGCTACTATGGAGTCCGATATTGAGACAGACTCCGAGTTGAGATCCAAGACTGATTTGCGGTCCGTGAGCAGCAGAGGACAGGCATCAAATGTGGATGATGCAAATGATGTCCTGGATCAAGCTCATTCTGCAGAATCAGTGTCAACTGGAAATTCCACATCATCTGATGATGGAAGTAGCTCATCAAAGAAGGAGTTATGCAGCTTTTCTTATTCCGATGCTTACAGCACATCTGCTGAGAATATTCATTTTGATTGTGAAGTTTCTTCGAATGTTATGACATCTAAAATTCATGAAGGAGAGCCATCTCTGATACGGAAATCTGTTGATGCAGAAAGAGACGTAGCTGCACCTCTAAAAGATACTGCTTATGATGGTAGCTCAATTTTGCCGAAAGAAGTTCCCGAAATTGGTTTTGAGCTTGATGTTCCTGTTGAAAGTTCAACCCCTAACGGTTCTGTTCTTCATGAGAATGCTGAAGCAGTTATGAAAGATACTGCTTCAGTGAGTAGTGACATCGATGACATGGAAGTTCCCAGTGCTGCTGATGTTTGCAATCAGAAAGGAGATTCTTTGCCTGCAAAATCCGCTGAAATTTTGGATGACTATGAAAATGTAGATGCTACTAAGATTCATGACAAAGGCCTCAGATCTCCTCTCTCCACACCATCCGCCTCCAGATATGACTTGACATGGCAGGTTCAATCTGAAACCAATTTTTTGAATGAGTCAGATGACGAGGATGCATATCAGGACAAGAATGCAGTGGGTTCTGATGCCGATGAAAACTTCTCTTCATCAAATGCAGAAATTGAGCCTCTGGATCAGTTACTTGATGGGGAAAAACCATTTAGTGCTACAAACCGTTCTGATCCTCTTTTATATAATGGAGATCAGGTGTCACCTGAAAACCTGCCACTAAATGATTTTGGTGTTGAGGAACCAAATTATGATCCAAATATTTCAGTTGGTGTGTCTGATATAGTGGAAGCTTTCACTGAAAAGAATGTTACTGATAATTTGTTTCAAATTCCATCGGAAGATGAGCATCTGGAAAGTGTTGGTGGTTTGCAAAATTCAGATTTACAACTTTCTGAAGAGCACCTTAGCAGCCCAATTAATGAAGAACTTGAAATGGACAGCTCAGGAATAGAGGTGGATGAAAGAATTTCTGAAGTAGATAATTCTATTCCAGCTGCAGATGCTCCCGTATCTTCTGAGTTGGTTGGGTCCCGTAATCTTGTAATGGAGGCTTATGTTCAACCGATTGACCTGGTGGGAGGTCAAACTTTACAGCTTACGGATGTATGTTGTGATGATCCCTTAAGTGTGGGAGATGGGGAAACAGTAAATGAAGAAGCTGCATCCTGCTTGGGTGTGATTGAAAGTAATGGAACATCATCATTGGCTGAAGTTCATGATCACTTGAAGGACCACGATGAATCTGCTACTGCAACAGCTACAATTTCTGATCTTGATCATGAGAATGATGGTTTTCCATTTGACGCTCTCAAAAAGCTGGAAGTCGCATCCATCTCTAGCTTTAGAGAAGAGCATTCTGGCTTGGAAGTTGACACTTCCATTTCGAACAAGCCTGGAAATTCATCTGGTTTTAATGATGTGGATGATTTACGTACTGTAGTGACTGATAATATAGGGTTACAAATATGTGAAAAAGATGGGCCTCTTGTTTCAGAAAGTGAAAGTGGGCTGGACATTGATGAAATGCCTCCAACTCAAAAGTTCACTTTAGCTAGCAAGGACAACTTCCTGGATGCAGTGATTGATGATAATATAGGGTCGCAAATATCTGATGATGATGGTGGGCATCTTGTTATGGGAGCAGAAAATGGGCTGAATATTGGTGAAACTCCGACAACTCAAAAGCTTTCAGGTAACGTGAGCAATTTTCAAGATACAGTGGATGGTGATTGTTTAGGTTCACAAGTATGTGATGATGGCAGACATCTTGTTTCAGGTGGAGAAAATGAGCTGAATACAGTTGAAATGCCAACTTCTCCATCAGTCGAGCCATATGAAAATGACCCTGACAATGTAGAAGAAGATATTGACTTACAACTAAATTCAATGGACTCAAACTTACACTGTAAATCTGATGACGATTTAGCATTGTCAACTGGATTGCAGCAGGCAGTGTTTTCCGATCTTGATTATAATTTAAGAACATTTGATACTTCTGAGAATACCAGTTCCTGTCAATCTTCAGCCTCAGAGCAGTTGTCACTAGGAAACAAGAAGATTGATTCTACTGAACACTACTCAGGTCCACCGAATCCCGCATCTTTGCCCTTTCCTGTGCTTCCAGATCCTGGCCAGATATATTTGGAAGAAATGCCACCCCTGCCTCCTCTTCCTCCGGTTCAGTGGAGGATGGGAAAGTTTCAAAATTCTTCACAAGCCCGCGAGAGCATTATGGGACTGACGCATGCCAACATTGCATTTCCGCCACCCCCATTGTCATCAATTGTCAATGGCGAAACTTACAATTTGAATCCTTTCCTGCCACCAGTGACTTTGTCCAATGAGAAGTCAACTCCTCTTCCTGAACAATCAGTAGATTGTAGTAGTAGTTCATTTTGTCCATCGGAGGTTGAACCTGGAGAGCAGAAAAAAGATATTCTCCCCCAAGAAGGATACCAGGTTACAGAGACACTTTCACAGTCTCATAGATCTGAAAGTGAGAAGCGGGGAGCGGAACTGAACCCCAGTATGGATTCAATTGATCAAACATATGTAACAGATGGAGCTCATTTACCCAGTTCATCTCATGAAGAACTCATCAAACCTCCTAATCAAATGGTTCAAGAAGCAAGTCCAAGCAATGTGGAGCTTGCTGCCCATTCTGTTGAAAATATGGTTACTTGTGATACTTCAGAAATTTCTGTTAAGGTAACAAATGAGAATGTGATACCAACTTCAGAGGAGCATTTATCACCCCCCAGTGCTGAAGATGGTATAACAAATAGCAATCGAACGTTGAAGCTGCCTCGACCGCGCAACCCTCTTATAGATGCTGTTGTTGCTCTTGATAAAAGCAAAGTTAGTATCTATTTCTACCTTCTTTTTTTTTTTTTCCTGAAATTCTTATATGATGTTTGTTTTGTATATTAAGTTCTCTAACCCTTCGAATTCTTGCAGTTAAGGAAAGTACCAGAGCGGATAAAACCTCAAGTAGAGAAGGAAGATGAGAGAGATTCCTTGTTGCAGTTAAGGAAAGTGCCAGAGCGTATTAAACCACAGGTGCAGAAGGATGATGAGAGAGATTCATGGTTGGAACAGATAAGGACCAAGGTAACAATAACATCTATTTTTCCCTTTTCATTTTCTTCTATTTTTCCCTTTTCATTTTCTTTTCCTTCTTTCCCAATATTTTATTCTGATGATTTACATGACTTAATGCTGAGCATCTTAAATGTGGCAGTCTTTCAACTTAAAGCCGGCAGTTATTACTCGACCTAGTATTCATCAGGGTCCGAACACTAATTTGAGGGTTGCTGCAATTTTGGAGAAAGCAAAAACAATTCGTCAGGTCATGCCGCTAAGCGCCTCTCTCTCTCTCTCTCTATCTCTCTCTCTCTCTCTCTCTCTCATACGCAAATTAATGACATGAAATGTGATTTTATTTTACAGGCCTTTGCTGGAAGTGATGAGGACGATGATGATGATAGTTGGAGTGATTCATAAAATTGCTTGTCGAAACCCAAAAACCTAGCCACATATCTTCCATGCTACATTATAATTTAGCACCGGAAATTTCTGCATCTGATATTCTGAATCATGTGTGTCTTGCCTTTTCAAATTGGTATTGAGTGGTTAGCGAAGCGAGAAACTTTCCAGTCTATTGACGTGATATATGGTTACGTGCATCTTGAATATAGGAAGTAGCTAAATCTAGCCTATGGTCAAAATTTAGGTTTAGAATTGGAAATGACTTTGCCTGTCATTTCTAGTATAGATGATCAATAGTATATACCACGAATGTCACTGCAGATTTTGATGATGTTGTAACGAGGTGTTAAATTCAATTACCTCACATGGAGAGAAGAAAGTGCTGTAATTGTTCTGGTCAAGAATTTGTGCATATTTGTAAAAGTTCGCATTTTGCATATATATAGAGAATGAAACAATATTGCCTGAGAAAACCTGGGGAGAACTGTCTAATGTTATTGTGCAGTATTTTTCTTGTGGTCAGATGTTCTGAGGGCTCATGCACTGGATTGTTTGGAGGTCTGGACAGCGTGTGGTTTGAATTCAAGTCACAGTTATCACACTGAAGCTTATTATTCACAGGTTTATTTGGTTGGAATCTCGTTGGATATGTGAATCAAAGCTGACTGTTGTTGAATGCGGATGTCTTTTTCCTCTTATACTAAGTAACGGCAATATAAGTACCGGCATTAACGGCAGTCCAAATTATAGGGGAGACAGTTGCCCGAGTGTTTATATAATTAACGGTAGAGAATCCTTCCACTAGTGTTTGACAAACAACAATGTCATATTATGCATCAGCCCCATGATAATGTTGTTAATCCATTTCATGTGGACTGTGCATAGCATCAATCTTAAATGTCGGCCTCTCGTATTGGGCTTTATGCCGAAAATCATCGATTTAAATCTAAAATAAAAAAATAAAAAAAGAGAAGAAACAAGCAGGGAAATCAGAAAATGTAATTAAACAAATACTATCATATAGTCTGATTCACCCAATTAAAAACTTTGACGCACAAAATTAAAATCCGTTCAAGTTTGATAGCTACCGGATGCAAAGCAGAAGAATTCGGATGGATCGGGATCATAGACGTAAAATAGAGTGTTAATACTTTCCCGATAGAAAAGCATAAACCCTATATTAGTGTTGTCCATATAAAGAAAATTAACGCGAGAAGACAAAGTTTTGAGGCTACCATAGAAATGAAGAATTGTGTATTCATTTTATATGTACATTGTACGAGGCATATCTTTATATGGAGTTAACTATATGTTTTACATAGAGGAATATCAATTACGTAATTATAACCACATGCACATATGAAAGTGTATCATTCTAAAATATCACTAGAATATTGTCGAAGGCCAGATCCATTAGGACGAGAGTCAACGGTGTCTATTGACCTGAGACCTGCAAAACAAGGGTTAGCACTCCAACGAGCAAGTTAGTTCAAGGAGTGATAGAAATAAAGTGTGTGAGCTAGGAAGGGAGTGGAAGTGAACTTGCTCTCCACCACCAAAATTGGGGTATATATAGATGAGGTAAGGGAGAATATTCCTTGAAATACTCCTTTTCAATGATGGGCTTGGGCCATTGTTAGGGCTTTAGCCGGCCCAATTAGCCATAAAGTAATATTATCGGACCCATGAATGGTTGTTGGCCCAAGTGATGATGCACCCTCCAACAAGTGCCCCTGCCAAGTATTAGTAGAGAAATACATATATGCAATAGCAGGTTTCAAATACAATACTTGGTAAACAATAAAATGGAGTTGTAGTGCGGACTCATAGGGGGCTCGTCCATTCAAGAGTCTACCTGATCGGGTAAATCCATAACCCTTCGTGATGGCTGAAGAGTAATAACAGGTACATGTAAGCGGAGTGCAAAACACCGGCTCGCCAAACCCTTATCGAGGGGATCTTTGCCTTCGGTCATCGAACATGCCCCAAAGATAAGCCGACGGCGGATGCGACGTTTGGATAGACAATAGAGTGAAGAGGCACAGATCGTTTGAGAAGTTCGTTCCCGAGCCAGCAAAGAGATCAAGAGAGAGAGAAGGTGATGAAGAGTTCTTGTCGAAGAGGTGACGACAAGGCTTGTAACAACGCATGATAGGTCGGAGCAACAAAACCTCGTTGAGATATGGTAGACAAAAGTTCATGACCGCTGCACGATCGGTCAATAGCATGCATACAAGGAAAAGTTCAAGCCTGAGGTCAACCCGGGTTTTTGTCTGAACCCGAAGTAAAGAGTGTAGAAGGACTCGTGATAGCTCAAAGAACATTGTCTGAACATCATTGGACTAGGATGGACGTCCGAGGAGCCAACAGCTCGCTTGAGATAAGCCGAGGCTGATGAAGCAGCCAAGTAGCTAAAGCTAATAATGATGGCTTAAAGAAGGTCAAAAGATTTTTACGGATACAAAGTTAGTTACGACCCGTATCGGCACATGATAGGTTGAGGAAAATCATTATCGAATTATCAAGTGTCTGTTATCTCTCTGTTGGCGCCTGGTTAGCATCGGGCTTTAAATTTACGCTACTTAATAAGTAGGATAACACAGTAAGGGCGTCCAGGGTCGCCTGCGGACACAAGAGAGGCCCGAAGCTTCAGTTATCTAACTTGCCTCTGATAGAGACAAAGAAAAGTGGACCATGATGGACTATCAGACAAGGTTAGGTTATCAGCAGCCGAAGGCGACCAATGAGAAATCAAAAGTTTACTTTTGCATAAGCGATGCTGGTTAAGCAGTCAAGTGGCAAAGACCAACAATGATGGCTCAATGAAGACCGAAGGTGTCACAGATGTACCACGAGCAAGACGTGAACTACAACGGCTTGTGACAAACTGAAGGGTATTATCGAAACGCCAATAGTCAGTAGATAGATTAATCCATTAGAAGGGGTGAGCAAAGCTAAGAAGTTGCCCCTGTATGATGTTTTTAGAAAAAGACACCCGCAATGATCAACATGTAAGTGAAGAGGCGTAATCCTCACGCCCGTACTCTTAGATAAGTGTATAAGCGATCGCACGGACCGAGGGGTGTCATCAAGAGGCCAAAGGCATAAATCTCAACGGCCTGTAATAAGCCGAGGGGTGTTGTCAGGACGAATAATTAGTGTATATTCGTATGCAAAGAAGGTTGGGTAAACCAACAGGTTGCCCCGGTCGTGTGCAAAGATAGAAAAATATTCGCGAGCGCAGGTAAATGGGAGGACCCTTATCCTAGGCTTCGGACGAGTACATAAATGGACTCCCGCATTGAACCCGCGTCAGAATAGACTGAGCCAAGGGAATTAGCACGGCATTGGTTGTTGAAGCCGAGTAATATATATAAGAACTCCTGAGAAGAAGTCATGCTTTGATAAGAAGGATGGCGACGGGACACTGAAGCATAACGAAGCGTTGTCCGAATAACACCATCGAAGAGTATCATTGAACTCGTGTGAAGTCAGTGATGTACCATCAGGGAGAATATGATTCAATCCTAAGGGTACATTAATTAGAGCTGTCTTCACCCCCGAGAGTGAGGGATACAAGAATAGAAGATATAGCCACTCAAGCGAAAGGACGGTCGTTCTTTCCATGTAATCATTTATCTTGAACCCGAGAAATTACTGAACTATGATACTTTCTAACTCATAACGGTTTTATCTGGAAGACACATTTGATTAACGTCTATTGGTCGTGCTTGGCCCAGACGGGGTTCTTACGAACCCAAGGCTGATCAAGTACGCATTTACACTTTTCTCAAGAGAGAGCCGAGGCCAAGAGAGTATGAGATTAAGATGATGGTCGATGCCGTAAGGGTTTATAACTCGGTTTGGTCAGAACCGCATGAGTGTATAATTCGAAGGCGAGTTAGGGTCGTATAAGTATGGAACTCAAAGGTTGATCGATACCGTGTGAGTTTCTAACCCAAAGGCTAGTCGAGACAGTGAGAGTTTTCTGATGTTCGTCACGTTACCATTTGATTGAATGAACGTGAGCACATAAAACTTTATCATATTGAGGTGATAACATGAAAGGGTTGGAGAGGAGTTGAAGTAAAGGGTTATTTCGACTTCCTGGCCTCTCCCCTCCTCCCCCCCCCGAGCGTTGATGCTTATTGCTAACATAGGTTATAGCTCGAAGTAACATCGTCCATTCTAAGAGGCCCCCTCCTCCCCGATAAGAAAGAAAATGAAAGAATCTCCCGAATGAAGTTAGGTTGAGTCTAAGGCCGATCGAACCTACGGGTGTACGTAACTTACAAGCGAACTAAAGCTTAATGAGCATAAAACTCAAAGGATGGTCAATGGCTTAAGGGGTTATTGACTCAAAGGCGGATCAAAACTGTAGAAGTGTATAACTCCTAGCCTAATCGACACCTTGCGAGTGCTCAACTCGAAAGCGAGCTGAACCCATACGAGTGTGGAACTCGAAGGTTGGTCAATGCCACGTGAGTTTCTAACCCTAAGGAAAATTAAGATCATATAAGTTTCGAACCCAGAAGCTTATCGACGTTGTTTCAACGAGTAATTAGCACCCATTAGCCAAATTTGGGGCTAGATGGGTTAGGTCAATGTAGTGTTTAGGTTGGTACAATTCATATGTATGCCAGATTTTCAAGATAAAGAGAAAACAATGTACGTTCTCAAAAGGTCTTAGAAGATGTGACGTACCTGATTTATAGAGTGCAATGCAGGATCAGATTGCCGTCCCCGGAAGCTCCAATGGATTTGATAGACTTTCTGGTACCTTAAGGCTGCCAAGTTGCATCTGCCTTCGAACTTGTGCCTTATGGAAGGTAAGACAGGTTCAAATCTACCAAGGCCTATGGAGGCTGTAGGAGTGCCGTAGACCGCGGGGGTCTGACGGTGCCACCGGCTACGGAGGTCGAGACGGGCTTGTAAAAATCTCCAAGACCACGGGGGCCATAGGAGTACCGTAGATCGCGAGGGTCCGACGGTGCCGTCAGCCACGGAGGTAAAGACAGGCTTGTAAAAAGCTCCAAGACCGCGGGGGGCGTAGGAGTACCGTAGACCACAAGGGTCGGACGGTACCGTCGGTCATGGGGGTCGAGATGGACTTGTAAAACTTCAAGCTCGCGGGGGCCGTAGGAATACAGTAGAACACGGGGGTCCGACGGTGCCGTCGGCCACGGGGTTCGAGACGGGCTTGTAAAAACTCCAAGGCCGCAGGGGCCGTGGGAGTACTGTAGACCACGGGGTCCGACGGGTTTAGCTGACTTTTTGGCGCCTTTGTTCTCGAACTGATGAGCCCTCGTCCTTGGACTATTGAGCATCTTCGGACATGAATGGCACCCTCGAACTTGTGTCCGTCCTCGGACATGTGCACGTCCTCAGACTGAGATAGCGTCCTCGAACATATGGGGCGTCCTCGGACTCATGGGTGTTCGTCCTTGGACTGTGAAGGGTTTGCCCTCGTCCTCGAACTTGTGAAGCCCTGCATGGGATTATTCCTTTGTTTTTAGTACACACAAAGGCGATTAAGAGTATGTTATATACTAACCTTGTACACTTGTTAACAAAGTTTCATGAGAAGGATTACATCTTTGTTCACAACATGAATGCAAGTGTTCAACATAAAAGACGTGTCACCCATTCAATAACACAAAACTTTGCAAAGGGAATTACATCTATTTTCTAAATAGTTTTTCAAAGTAAAGGGTAGATCGTCCTATGACCAAATTTTCAAAAAACAACCCACCTTTTCAAACCACCAAGCACAGATATATTACCCAAGAACAAGCGTGCATTTTCTTAGATAGTTTTATATCTTTTTCCTCATATTTCCAAGGGTATGGGGGCGCATAGCATATAAACAAGTACGAACCACATTCGAAAGCACAAAGAGCACGTGAACCATGATAGCTCTACTCTCTATATGTCATGCCATTATGGTGTATTTGTATTGGTTATGCCGATTTAAGCATCGATGAATTTATAGTTAAGTAGCAAGGAGGAAATATGTATAACCACATACCCAACTCCTCTCTCAAATAAAATTATTTAAGAAAATTAATCATCAATTGGTGATAAAGTGGTTAAGAACACTTATCTTTGTGGTTGCATAGGTCTATAGCCTAGCAATAGCCTCGGAGAGCTCCAAATGCTGCACAAGATCCTTGTGATTTGTTTGTAAAGCTCCCAGATGGACTTAAGAATCTTCGTCAGGTGTCTTTGTCTTCTTTTCAAACATTCAGGCAAAATTTGAAGAAGACAGAATCACAAGGACCCATTTGACACAGACTCGAACTTCTGGGGCCAATGTGTATATTACTAGGAATTTAGGGACCTGAGTGCGAGTTTTTAAATTTTTAGCACCTTCTGGTCTTTTCCCGCCCGACATCCAGCCTTCTTCGTCTTCTTCGACCTGCAGCTTCGGGCACGGACGAAGGCTGGCACCGAGAGCATTGATTGTCGACGCCACGGCCTTTGGGGTCGGTCTTCGGGTATCGTTCCGGATGGAGGCGCCGAGAAAGAGGCGAGAGTAGGAGCTCTAAGTTCCCTCGCTCCTGGCTTCGAACGGGACATTTGACCAAGGCTGGAGTCGAAGCACTGATCGCAATCCATCGAGGATGACAGCTTCTGACGATGACTTCAGATTTTAGCTTCCGCCGATGGTGGCCTCGGTGCCGAACGCCGATGCCTGCTGCAACTTAGCCCGAAGGGGTTAGCTTTCCACGGTAGTTATGAAGCCGCGGCTGAAACCGACGACTAAGTTCTTTATCGATGAAAGCTCCAACCACCGATGACGGCTACGGCGGACGATCAGGCTGACGGTCGACGACGAAGGTGATGATAACTTCGAGATCGGACGCTGCCAATGAAATCACGTCCGACGGTTGGTGTCTCCTTAGCAAACAAGGGAGTTGACCATCATCCTTGACAACAAACACGACTGCCCCTTTCTAGGCTCAAAAACCGTGTGTTATCAACTAGGAAACTGAAAGCGGCAGCCGAAGGTGACCCCTTTAAGGACGCCGCTGATGGAGCTACCTGAAGGTGAAACCTGCCGCTGAAGGCGAAGCTCTACGAAGGTAAAACTGGCCGCTGAAGGCGGAACTCTGAACGCGAAACCGGCCACCGAAGGCAGAGCTGTACGAAGGTGAAACCGACCGTTTGGACCCGGTTTGATTTCTGCTTTTTCGGTGTTATACGAAGGAAGATGCACAGCGGGTGTGGGAGTCTTGAACCCAGATTTGAAAATCAAATAAAGAGGTCATGGCCTCACGAACAGAGCAAGAGCCGAGCTTTACAGCTGGAATTAGTCGTCAACAACTTGCTTGAAGACTCTTCTACCCGATTTGATTCATGTGACCAGATCTAAAGTTTTGGGCGTACAAAACCCAATTCAAACTTCCAAAATCAGAGAGACAACCTTAGCTTTACGAACTCACATTTGCAACTTTAAACCCTCTTTGATTCAGATCTAAAAACACCAAAACTCAAGATTCACTTTCAATCGGGGACATTGGCGTCACCACAGTTGGCGCCACTAATCGAAAGCCAAATCCGTTAGGACGAGAGTCAACGGTGTCTATGAACCTTAGACTTGCAAAACAAGGGTTAACACTCCAACGAACAATTCAGTCCAAAGAGTGATTGAAATAAAGTGTGTGAGCTAGAAAGGGAGTGGAAGTGAGCTTACTCTCCACCACAAAAAATATGATATATCTAAATGAAATAAGGGAGAATATTTTCTGAAATATTCCTTTTCAATGATAAGTTTGGGCCATTGTTAGGGCTTTAGCCAACCCAATTAGGTATAAAGAAATACTATCGGACCCATGAATGATTATTGGTCCAAGTGATGATGCACCCTCCGACAAATATTTACATGGCTAACAAAGAATTTGAAACAGTTGGAGAAACATATTTGCAAACTTCGACGATTTCTTGAACAAGTAATTTTTACTCCCTATCTGTTGGCAAACTCCGAGCTTGAAATTCCGCGTTATGATCGTCGGAGAAGATGAACTAAAGGCAGGAGGGGAAAAGCGGGAAATGCCGACATTGTATAATTGTAATTGCAATGGTGTGCGTTTTTATACTGTGAGATTATGGACTTCTTTTCAGGCCAAACTTTTTAGAGCCCACTTTGTTCTCTGTCCTTCGCAGAGAGTATGGACCTATTATGTCCAGTTTCGTTTATCTTTGTTTTCTTCCAAACCATTTTTCAAATTTAGACCATTTTATCTTTTTTTTTTTTGGTAAGTATTTTAACAATGCCAATACAATTAATTTACTTAAAATCTTTTTCAAATCGCACATCGATTATTTTCCTATCTTAAAAAAAGTGATGGGAAACACTATATAGTAGTATTGATGATTGATTGTTATTATTTTTTAAAAAGAAACCAAAGGCACTTATTGTTACTTTAATAAGGATTTTGTTATTTACATTTACTATGAAAAGGTGAAGTAGGACAGCAAATAATTCCAACATTTTATAGAAAATACATTAATAGACATTAATATTATTTTCTGGTTCGAATTATAGTACATCTCCCTTTTAACCTGTTTGTATTCATCACCTATTTAATTGCAAATCACTCACAATCATTATAGTAATATATAATTTTATTATCAATTTTGTGATTACAAATCATATTAGTATATAGCCAATTAATGTAAATTTTTATTAAATATTATTCTTTCTGTCTTAAAAAATACTTCATATTGTGGAAATTAAACAGTAAAAATATAAAAATTTAATATAGAATTTTATTTATTTTTTGAAGGAGGTAGTAATTTTTTACAATGCATGGAATCGCAGTAGGAGACCCTGCTGGTAGTAGTACATTGACAGTGCATTATTTCTACTTTTCAATGGGAAAAAAAAAGAGAAAAAAAAGAAAAGAAAAGTAAAATATAGGAAAACCAGAAATATAAAAGGTGTAATCTTTAAATAGTAGTAGTCCATAATAAACAAAGTCTTCTTACAGCGGCAGCGGCGCAGCCCCCCTCTAGAAAACCAAAATTGAGCTCTGCTTTCATCAACCGATTAATCAGCAGCCAGAGGGTGGGGAAGCTTTGAATAATGAATATGGGGAACATTAATATATTGAATATGAATCAAGGAGGAGAAGAAGAAGAGAGCAACAGCAACGGCGGCGGCGAGAAAGAAGAAGAAGTGACCACGGTGCCACTGTCGGAGGTGGTTTCCGATTGCGTGAAGCGATGGTTCAACGATACCCTCAAGGAGGCTAAAGCTGGGGACGTTAATATGCAGGTTCTTGTTGCTCAGATGTACTATACTGGCTATGGAGTTACCAAGAATGCCCACAAGGTTTCTTTCTTTCTTTCTTCATGTTCTACTGTTCGATTTTTTTTTTTTAATTTTTTTTTTTGTTTAAAACATAATTTTAATTCTCAATCTTTAATCTTGTTCATGTTTATCTCCCGAATCAATTCACTTGTTCTATGCTACAAAAAAGATAGATATCTCATCAGGGTTTTTCTTTTGGGTGCCCAATTGATATATAAATTAAGGAGGGTGTTTGGTTTTGTACCACGGTAACCCCCCGGGGAAAAAAGAAATCTTTTTGACCATTTGGCAATAGCAACTTCAAAAAGACCTAAAAGGAATTAGTTGATTTTGTGATGGACATGCTGTCACAATGGCAAGAATTAGGCTGTTAAATTTTGCAATGTTGGTAACGACCAGTCTGCCTATTTGTTTTCCACGATGATATGATTGGAGTCGAAGTTTGAGACTTTGTATTACTCTATTGTAACTTGGTTGAATAACTGAATCCATGATTAAGGAATGTGTTGTATTTTTGTGCTTGTTCTGTGATTATGTAATGTTGGATACATAAAAGGAAAAAGGGGCAGTGGGGCGCTTAGGTGCTCTTTCATTTCCCGAGTGTTAGATATGGGTCGAGACATTAATACTAGTTTGTCCAGTATTTACTTATCTTATTGTAAGTGGGCATTCATACTGCTAAAGTTTGTGACATCGAGGCTCAGGCCACGCTGATACTTTCCTTCTTTTTGGATGATTGAATGCCTTGAAGATTTTAGGTTGCTGTAGTTAGATTTCAATCTCACTAAGATTTATTGCGGAACACAACCATCCCTACATATAGTGATAAGACTTAGTTATTCTACTATATAACAAGTCCTTTTGTGCGACGAACTTAGTTTACTATCCGTGATCTTCTCAGGGAAGAATCTGGATGACAAGAGCTTCAAGGGTAAGATCTTCAGTGTGGAAAGTTAGTAACAAACGCCCAGGTGATCTTCTCTTCACTCTTGCAAGTTCCCCCCACCGTACATGCGCACAACCCAAAAAAAAAATGATTAATTTATTATATTTTCCCTTCAGGTTATAATGCAAGTGATTCAGATTCTGATGAGCTGATTGAGAAGTCCTAGTCAAGGTTGAACCTCGCTGTATCAAACAATTTTCTTCAAGTGAGTTTTTTTTTTTTTTTTTTTTGACATTTAAGCTTTCTTTTTCTTTGAAGTTCTGATGATATTTGGAGATTACAGTATATGCATAAAATGTGTACCATAGCTTTGAAAATTTACATACCATATCAGAACATGTTCTAAACACTCTTAGAGTTTCAAGTTTTATTGAACTTCCTGTTATGTTCGTTCGGTGACTGCTTAGGTACCATGATTATTGTCATTGAAAAGGCTGAGCACTTACATTTACTACTCAATCACATGGTATTCTTGTCGCAATATCTAATTACTTTGTCACGATCTACTCTTTCTGGATATATGTCATTATCTTTCTCTTTCTCGTTTCTGAATCCAGGCTGCAGGTGTACTAATAACTATGAACTGTGAACTTGTTATCTGCATGGTCGGTAGCTGCCACTTGCACAGTTTGGTTATGTTGTATTGCTTGCATGGTTATTTTAGGAAAGATGATTTGTTTATTGTGGCTCGTACTTGGTTTATTGTATCCCCGTCTTCCAATCTGAGTTTGGTAATATTTCTCCGTTGATTTCATGTGGATTTTCAGTATCTTGTTATAGAGGAAAATTCGCTTGCTTTTGCATCGGTTTGGTTTGTTCCTCAATATTGTCATTAGTTGTTTTTGATATGTTCATACTAACAATTTTATCCTAATGATGGATGCATTGTGCCAATGAATTTCAATTGTCTATAGTTAGGCTCAGTCTATAGAAAATATTTCTCTCAGTTTTGGTTTTATAATCTGCAAGTCTTCCTGTTAACTTGTTCTATCCTTTTGCATTGGTATTCCATCCTCATATTGGGCTACAATGCATGATTGTATTCTAAAATCTGTCTGTGTACATTGTCTGTGTGTTAATTTCTTATGGCGCCCCACGTGTTGTATATGTAGCAGTTGACATGTTCCCTTTTGTTTTTTTTTTTTTTTGTGATGGGCACTTCCATATTGTGATTCCAAATGGAAAATGTATGAATTCGCCAATTATCTCAATGCATTAAATCCCTTAAAAAAAAATGCGTCGGTTAGGGAGCAGAAACATAAACATCAACTTTTGTTGCATATTTGTTGGAGTATATAGAAGGTAAAAACACCGAAAAGGGAAACTGTTGATGACGAAACTGGATGGATAAAAGTTTAGTTCTTGTAATGGTAGTTACATACTATGTTTGCAAGCCTCGTTTGTTGGAACTCACATGTTGCATTTAATCTTTGAATCTGCAGGGGTACTTGAGCTCAGAACCAGTTCGAGTTGGGGGCGGCGATTTTTTGGTTGCCACCTTTATATCATGTCCCTTGAGATTGCGATGGGGATGACTAAAGTTGTTGTCAGTGTTAATTTAATTCTTTGTATTCAAACCCCAAACTGAAAAAATAGACATGTAGCATTAATTTTGTTTTCACCGTGGCTCGTTGGAAACCATAAACATGCCGAGGTGAACTTTAAATTTGATAATATGATGCCTATGGGAAAACCAGAATTCATTTTTGTCATTTTAAACTGTCGCATAGGCATAGCATCCCCAGTGTCTTAATAATCTATTTGAGTCTTTATTATGCTTAGTTGAAGGCAGTCTAAACACATTAGTCACATGCAGATTGCATCGGTGTTGGTCAAAGTAGGGATTGACCAGATGTTGTTGACCACAGTGAATGTGATTAGAGTTAACCCTAAGTCTGAATCTTAAAAAAGATAATTGGCATACATGAATATGGAAGTGAGCTGTGTTGGTCTTAGGTTCGGGGTCTGAAAATAGTAGGTATATATTAAGAAGTTGAGAGATTAGTATATGGAGACTGAAAAAGCAAACTACCGGTATACCTCGACGAGAAAGATTACAGATTGATCTGTCATCTGTCTAGGTTGGATGATTGATTCCCTTTTTTATATATATATACATTTTTTTATTGATTCTCACCAGAAATTTGCTTTGGTTTAAAACTGGGTGGTACAGATAGAAAATTGAGACAAGCAGACCAGCAAAAGAAAACAGCAGTCCACATGGATTTGCTTTTCTTAATAAAAATAGATATATTTTACAGGCCAACCGGTTTGAAGACGAAACTGTAATTCGAAAAATGGTTTATTCTGTTAAATTTCACTAAATAGAAAGAGGATGAAACACGACAAGTTAATAGAGAAGATATTGTGGTGGGGACAAAGTTTTTTGAGTTGGGGCGTGGATGGTTGTCACTGTCTTAAAAGGAGTTAAGGTCAATCTACTCTGGGCATGCAAAAATGTGCTTACTACTGCTGTTTGGGGGATTCTTTTTAAATTCAATCATTTCAACTTGAGAAACGCCAAAAAACCACCACAACACTCCAAACTGCGTAAATTTGCGGTTTCTTTGATGCCTCTCCTAAACAAGAAGATTAAAACAAACGATTGAGACAGTATACATTGCATAGTACTACCGTCACGTCCCTTGATTAAATTAAATTAAATGCACCCCTAAGTAAGTAACAATTCTACTAGTCCTCGCCTCCATACCCCATTTTCCTATTGGAAAGGAAAAACAAACAAACTCAGCTAGTACTAAGCCACTAAGATGTTGAATGAGCCACTGATTAATTCTGATGATGAACCACAGCAGCACCCACTTTCGTTTCCACCATATCTGCTTGCATATCTCTATGTTGGCCATTTTTTAGCCAGATGGGGTGCCAGGTACTATATATCTATATCTATATATATCCTCTGCCCTTCTTTCCTTTTTCATGAATCCCTTTAATTATCATACTATGTTGTGCCGTTTGCTTTTGAGGTTTGCTGCATATCAGCCACTCATTCAGATTTTCAAAGATGATTTTACTGCTGTATTATTATATGACCCAATCGAACACTGCGGAGTGTGTGTGCGTGTGTGTATGTGTGTGGGGCACACCAGATTGATGTTAATGAATGAATGAATGATGAATTGCAGAATGTGGGAGTTCTCAGTTGGGCTGTACATGATCAATGTGTGGCCAGATTCATTGCTCCTTGCCGCCGCTTATGGTGTGGTGGAATCCGGATCCACTGCTCTGTTCGGCCCTTTTGTTGGCCAATGGGTTGATAACTTCACCTACGTCAAGGTGGGTGGTGGGATATATATATATATACATATCTCCTCTTCTTTTTTCTCAATCACATCCATCTCTCATGTACTAGTACTCATTTTTTGTTTTTGGTCAACGGGCTGATTATTATTATTATTATTATAGGTTGTCAGGCTTTGGTTACTAAGCCAGAATCTGTCTTTCGTGATCGCCGGAGTCACTGTGATTGCACTTCTGGTGTTTGAGGACATGCTGTCCCTCAAATCCCCCGCTTTTATATCCTTGGTCCTTCTCATCAACCTTTCTGGAGCTGTTGCTGTGCTTTCCACGCTCGCTGGTACCATCCTGGTGGAAAGAGAATGGTGATTTTCATTCCTGATTCCCTGTCTTACTACCATTATGATTTGTTTTTCACTACTCAATACAGTTTGTTACTAGTATTAGTTTTTTCCCGTGAAATTAAGATTGTATATCGGGTTTAAGGACTAATCAATAATACTGAAGAACAACGTGATCCAGCAGTTTCACCATACACTCTGTACCTAAGACCCAGTAAATGGAATGATTGAGGGAAGTAATGTAATCAAGACACCAATAATTTGATTTGGTCGGGGGGGTCCAAATCAACCAATTAAATGCTGTGCTGACTTTAATCATGGCGGCATTAATGACAGGGTAGTTGTGATAGCAGAAGGGCAGCCGCCCGGAACCTTAACCAAGATGAACTCAATGATCCGGCGAATCGATCTGTCCTGCAAGTTATTCGGTCCCGTGCTTACCGGATTCGTCATCAGCTTCGTGTCTCTCACAGCATCAGCCTTGATTCTGGCCCTGTGGAATCTCATCTCTGTTTGCTTCCAATATTGGCTTCTCATGTCTGTGTACAATGGGATTCCAGCATTGAGTGAAAGCAGTCATAAGCGGCTTCAAAGACGACGTGACAATGAGGCACCAAATGACGTCCCTAATGATCACCAAAGAAGTGGTGGAAATCAAAACTCGTATTTCAGTGCATGGAGAGTTTACTTGGAGCAGGATGTGGTTTTGGCAGGGATGGCTCTTGCTTTGCTCTATTTTACAGTCCTAAGGTGAACCAACATCATCATCATTTTCCCGGTTGATACATATATAGCACTTCCTTGGTATTACTCTTAATTTTATCCATCAGTTTTGGAACCCTGATGACTGCTGCGTTGGAATGGGAAGGCGTACCAGCGTACATCATCGGAATTGCAAGGGGAATAAGCGCCACGATCGGGATCGGGGCCACATTTTTGTACCCACTTCTGGAGTCTCGCATCTCAACACTGCGCACGGGCCTTTGGTCCATTTGGTCTCAGGTTCTAGCTTTCGTTTTTTTTCTTCTGATACTTACTTTAAGTGTAATGTGTTTGGTTGAAGCTTTTTGAGAGGTACCAATACTACTACTTGTAGTTTATAGGCTCGGTGTTTGGCTTGAATTAGCGTCAGAAGTTATAGTCAGGTTAAATCTAAATCTGTGGAGATGGTCTCACAATAACTACTACTATGCAATAAAAAAAAGGTGTAACATATATTCCTTCGGTCCCAAAATTGACTGTCCTAATTTCACTTTTAGTACAACATATGCACTACTTAAAATGAATATACAAAATGGAAAATCATTTCGAAATAGATGGGTAATCAGAATGATAAGACAATATGTATTATATGTAACCTGAAGCGATGACATATTTTGCAGTGGAGTTGCCTATTGGTGTGCGTAGCTTCGATTTGGGTACAAAACAGAAGAGGAGCAGCATACATGCTGATGGGGGAGTGGCTCTGTCACGTCTCGGACTTTGGATGTTTGATTTATCCGTCATCCAGCAAATGCAAGTATGTACTCCCTCCGTCCCATAATTATTGTTCAATTTGACAATAATTTAAATTATACTAAAAATAAAATTTTAAATTGGACAATAATTTTAGGACAGAGGGAATATGTTTTTATACTACCTACATACATATACTTTCACGTTTTCAATCGAAATAAAAAACAAAAAAAAAAAAACTTTTATTTGTTAGGATCAAGTACCAGAATGTGATCGGTGCGTGGTTGGAGGGGTACAAAACTCCCTGCAATCTGCTCTGGATTTGACCACTTATCTCATGGGTTTAATCATATCTAATCCCCAGGTAATCTTTTTCTCTCTGACAGACTAATATTAGCAGTAATTACTCTTATTTCGTGGTTATTACTCTTGAAAATTTGTAGTAATTTTTTTTTTGTGTAATGATGGGATGGTAGGATTTCTGGAAGTTGATCATCATGTCATTGCTGGTGGTGACCCTGGCAGCAGTATTGTACAGTGTACATATATATCGGGTGCGGAAACACCTGTTTCATTTTGACAAACTGCAACGTCTGATCCGAAATGTAGTTCTTCCCCCTCCATCTTAATATTCTGCATACTGTACAACCATATTTTTTAATGAATTCATAAAATATGATGGATGGATGGATACGGTCCATATGTTTTGCATTGTGAACAAACTGAATTCTTGTTGTTGTTTTTTGTTTTTTTTTTTTTCCAACAGAGAGAATCTAATGTAGACCAATTTTAAGTAACTCGCTCTCAATTTAAATTGGAGATTTTATTTTGTTTCAACACGCAAGCAAATCAATTGGATATATGAATATAGATGTGCGGCGGGGGGGTGTGGTCTGGACTTTGGTAGGAGACGCCCAAGGGGCATCATTTTTTGTATCGCATGCCAAAAACCTCCATGTGACATTAATTACACGAATTCCTTTTTCTGTCTCTCCTGTTATTAATTACAAAGCACACATTAAACAAATTTATTCAAAATTTGTGCCTTACAATTAGGACCGAAGGAAGTATATTAAAATGTTTTACAAATATGTGGAGATCAAGTTTATACGCAAGGTACTATAATCATGTGCAGAAAGAAAATTTAAAAAGTTGCAAATATTGGGCATTCAACATAACATAAGAAGTATGAAAAAGATTATTATTCATTGTAGCTACCATTATATATATATATATAGAATGAGTGAAGAGAAAAAGGAAAAGGCAAAAAAAAAAAAACAGCGTGAGATAGGAAAATAATCAAATCAAATACAGTATGATGAGGGCACTTTTCTTTTTGTGTGGCGTGAAAATGAAATCTGTGAACACTTGTTTCATCATCAACAACCGGGGAAGTCGATATCTGATGGTAGAAAACTTTATACTAAAAACCTGTGCTGGTTAGTCACTCCAAACCATATAAGATTAGGCAATGTGTAATTCTGGGGCCGTCTGGTACTGGAAAGAGAGGGAGAGAGGTCAAGGTCAAGGTAGCAACTGGACCGGTCTACTCTACTCTCTCATCAGATTTCTCCCTATCTTTTTTTTTTTTTTTTTAATTTGGTTTACTTGTACGTACCAGATTGTACCTGTGTTAGTACTTCAAACTGTTCAACCCATTTTGCGTTAGTTGAAGTTTCCAATTCAAGTCTACTGTACATCAACATGTCACTTTATGTATGCCTATTCTTTTTCAATAAATTTTTGAGCCATTTGTTTGAAGAATGTCAACCTGCCTGGCCCCCTTTTTTTTTTTTAATGTTTTAATTTCAGTTGAAATGTGGTAAATCGTGCTTTATTTATTTATTTGCAATAATCTTTGTCAACATTTGGAACAAGAGCTAAGAAGTTTGAAGTCTCTCCATTGTGTGGAAGATTTTTACCCTTGACCGGATGAAGGGTTGATTCACTAGTACGGAAATGTTGTTCAAAGGTATGCGCGCTAAGATATATATGTATATAATATTACTTATTATTTGGTTAGTTGTACGGTCACTTTACCCAAATTAGATCAATAATTAACACACTTCCCGCAAGTTGTCATTTCCAGAAGATATGCCGATTTTGCCTCTAAAATTAACAAAAAAGGGAGCGGTGGATTCTATATATAGATATATATACACACACACACACACACATTAAGTACCAATGCCGAACGACGTAGGGCAGTAGCAGCAATTGGGGTTTGTATTAATGAATGAATATCCAAGAGTGAAGCTGGCTATAATACAAACAGAATACTGCAAACCAACAAAATTCTGTACGTAGATTTTGTTCCCATCAAATTGAAGTGCGTCATTAATCCCCAAAAATACATTTTTCCGGAGAGATTCAAGAATCTTTTCTGCTCGGTGGCCGCTGATGGAACTAAAAGGCCAACGTTTTTTTAAGTTAGAAAAAGTCAAGCCCGGAATACATAGTAGTATAAATAAAAACAACAAGGAATGAATTAGTAGTTTATATAATAGTAGTGTATTGTGTTTAATTTTCTAGGTCCAAGGTCAGAAATTCACAAACCTTAAATTAAAGTAAATACACGCACGATGATGCACTTGCATTATATGTACGTTGTACGGAAACGGAACCCAAAAACTGAAAAATGGATGATGTCCTTCCCCCCTTTAAAAAGCAAAGTCTTTATCAAAGTCTATAAACACGCTTAAATTACGCAATGCTTTGCTTCCTACAAACCAAAAAAAAAATATAATACCCGTATCAATTTTGATTTTTTAGTACATCTTTTGAGCCTTGAAAAACTTACCCATCTTGACCCACCAACTGCCCCATTTTGTCAAAAAACCTCTCCATTTCCACAAGTTTTTTTTTTTTTCTCGTATAGGGGATTATCACAAGCAAAGAACAAACCAACACTCCTTCACTACACGGTTTGTAGACCTTTTTGGTTATCGCCATAGATGGTACTTTGAAGAGAGTAATTAAGTGCCGGGATGAGGAAACAATTCATGTTTTATCCGCAATCTGTTAAAAATTGGTTGCGTTACAAGAAAACTAAAATTTGAAGAAAATAAATAGAGAGAGAAACTCAACCGGAATTATCTTTTAAGACTATATTATGATTCAATTACAAAAGTAAAATACAGATGCTATATTTATAGGCATGTACTTCACTATCGTATAAAAATTACTCTTGATAATTACTTAATCGAATCTATCAATCTTGATGATTATTCACTAAAAATTATCACTCAAATAGATCCTCAATTACTCCGGATAGTTATCTTTAACATCGATCATGTTCACTACATAACATCTGCAGTTCTAGAGCGAGCGCATATCAAATAAACTAGGTATAGAAGTGTTCATAAAATCGACACCGGTTAATCGAACCGAAAATCGACATAAATATCGAGTTAACAAGTATCGGTTGAATAATTTTTTATCGATTAATTGGTTCAGTTTTTAGTTTTGCTTACACCTTTCTCGGTTAAACCGAATAACCGATTACAGTAATTAAAATTTATAAACTTAGACAAACTTTCTATGTCTCATATTTCTATATCATTAGTTTTTTTCATTTTGTCAAATTATTTTACCAAAAATTTTGTTGTAATAATATGTTTTTTGGTTGGATAGACTCGTGTGTGTGTCTATATATATATATATATATATAAAGATTTGATTGTTTTTATTGTATATTGAAAGTTTTAAAAAGATTTTCATAATTTGATGGGCTAGATATGAACTAATAAATTATAAGAACAAAATTAAAAAATTTAGCTAAACATCAATTACATTTTGTCCAAAAAATATAACAAATAGTTTCAATTAAACCGATAATAAACCGAAAAATCAATAAACCAAAACTGTAAAACCGATTATTTAATTGGTTAATTAATCAATATTAAAATCAAAATTAACTAAAACTTATTAAACGATAACTTGGTTAACCGTTCAGTTGAACACCCCTCACATATAATTCACAACTATAAATATCTCAATTCTATATTGGATCACACAATGCCTTTTTCTTCTATTATCTATAAACAGCCTACATACAGTATCATACACTCACTTGATTCTCAAAATCCTATAAAGATTCCGATACCAACTTTGCTAATCCGCCAATGTAAGCTCAAATCTACCGACAAGAATTCGGACAATCAAAAGTTGCTAGTTACATTTTTCAGTTTATCATTATTAATCAATTATGGGGTATTTATTTAAAGAAAACGTTCCGAAAGGTAACATATGTATGATGAAATTTATTTTTTTTGCAAAAATTAGAAAAAAAATTAAAAAGGAAAGAAGAAGAAGAGGAAAAGGATAGCAAATTAAAAAAAGAAAAGAAAAGAAGGAGATGCGGTAGAAAGGGGAAATCAGAAGTGGTAATTAAGTGGTGGGGGGAGGAAGGTAAAGCCTGGATGAGTTAAGGCCTTCACCCTAACATTTTTAGGTTTGACTAATTCCGCCACCTTCTCCATCCTCATCAACACCACCCCACATCGAATCCAACATATCCTCCCTTCGTATCCTGGATTCCATTTTCGCTACGATTTGAATTCGATTAAAAAGCTCCTAGTAGCGATAAAACTTAGAGATACCCAGAAGAAAAAAAAAGAAGAAAAGTGAGGAAATATATATATATGTATAATATAATTTGGTGGCGTTCTTATCAGGGACAGGAAGCCCATCCCCCCATAAGTACGGACCCAAACAAAACCATTTCTGCGCCATTCTTTTTTTATTAAAATTATTGTTTTAATTTTTCTGGTTCTTTCTGTTACAGTTACAGCCAAGAAGAAAATCACATATCGGGGTTTTAATTAAAAATTGGATACTACAATTGAGTTTGAGTAGGATGTGGCCTCCTCCAGTCTGTACAAATTAAATTGATGAGCAGCATCTGGAATGTGACCTTTAAAAAATATTACTACTTTTTTTTCTAAAAGATCCACAATAAAATAAATACTGCTATATATATATATTATATTATTATTGTAATTAGGTTGTGAAAAGTAGATACTAGATAGAGAAAGAGAGAGAAGAAGAAGTAAAAGTTTGTTCGTACGTACCGTCCGGACTTGAATAAGTGCTTCCTCACATATTTCCTTCACCGAATAAATCCCTATTGGCTCCTTCCCTCTCTTCTTTTGCTCTCTCTCCCACTGGGTCCCCCACCTTCCTCCTTTCTGTCCTTTCCCCCCGTACGGCATTCCAACTCCTCTTCTGCAATTACCAAACAACCCCCCATTTTTCTTTTTCTTTCTAGTTTCATATTTTTGACAAAGAGAGAAACATTCAACATTATAAAAAAAAAAAAAAAAAATTCCTCGTGCAAATGATGTGTTTCCCTCCCTCTGAAATAAAACCCCCATTATACGATTTCAATCAGAGTATTTGAATAGTTGAACCGCACAGTACACGTTCATTTGAAATATTCATTATAATTTTAATAAATATTAAATATTTAGAAATCTGTTATCATACATATATTGCAACTTTATATTATTATATATTTTTCAAACAACATGTATTTCGTCATAATACATACTTAAAAATATGTCATCTTCATTTTTATGCATAGTACTACAAACCACCTTTTTCAGAGTCCATCCCTGAATTTTTTTTTTTTAATGCACAAAAATGTGTGACAAACCCAAGAAAAGGCTAACGGTAAAGGGCAAAAATGGTACTTGACGTCAAAGAAGGGACATCAAAGCAAGGACAATAAAGTAAATTGAAATTTGTCTTCCCCATTCATTATTCTTCTCCTTCTTCAATCTCCCAAAGACTGCTCATAACCAGCCCAGTGTTTTCTGTTGATCGTTACTTTCTCTCTCTCTCTCTCTCTCTCCGCCATTATCAAAGCTCCACAACAACCATTATATATACATCAAATCTGCCTCCATTAATTCCTTATTCAATTCCTCCTCCCATACTTTCTTACCTGCAATATTTTCACCCTCCAAGGCCTTTATTTATTTTTTTGGTTTTGGATAAAAGAAAAAAGTCTTGATACAGTAGAATCAATCAAGCCTCCAAACTTCAATCCCTTTTTTTTTTTTTTTCCTGATCGAATAAACCAATGAAGAAGCAAAAAATGTCAGTCCCTGTTGAAGAAGAACTCAACCATTTTGAGCTGCTTTCTGAAGAGATCATCTTCACAATTCTCGATTATCTCAGCGGCAACCCATTTGACAAAAAATCGTTTTCGCTTGTCTGCAAGTCATTCTACGCCGTAGAATCCAGACACAGGCGGACCCTGAAGCCCCTTCGGTCCGAACACTTAACCAAGATTCTCAATCGATACCCTTTTGTCACTAAGCTCGATCTTTCCCTCTGTCCACGAATCACAGACGCTTCCCTCTCCATGATTTCCAGTAACCCCTCTTCCAACAGAATGCTGAGGTCCATTGATCTTTCCAGGTCCAAGTTCTTCTCTCATCAGGGTTTGTCGGGTTTGGTGATGAACTGTGGAAATTTGGTAGAAATTAATTTGTCTAATTCGACTGAGCTGAGGGATTTGGGTGTCTCTGCTTTGGCTGAGGCTAAGAATTTGGAGAGACTTTGGTTGGTGAGGTGCAAATTGATTACGGATATTGGTATTGGGTGTATTGCGGTTGGGTGTAAGAAGCTGAGGTTGCTCAGCTTGAAATGGTGTTTGGGAGTTGGTGATTTAGGGGTTGGTTTGATTGCTGTTAAGTGTAAAGAGATTCGTTGTTTGGATCTCTCATACTTGCCGGTAAAAACTTCAGCTTAAGCTCTCTCTTTTTTCTGGTAATTTTTTTTAATTGAGTTGATTGATTATTGTAAATATTGCACAGAGTCTTGATTTTGTGAATCTTTGGGTGCTAAATCTACGGTTTTGATAGATTTGGTTAGATAATGCGACACAATACACGCTTTCCTCTCTTTTCTCTTTTTAGGTGGATTTTGGTTGTTATGTACGGTTTTCTTTTTTATGCATCTTTGGATGCTGGATATAGATGCTTTTAAAGTTCGGTTTTCCTATCCTATAATTTGAGACCTATTTGGTTTGGTTAATTAGATGCTAAGTTCTTTCATCGTTTTTCGTTATCTGTTATCTGTGGATGCTAAATGTATGTTTCATGTGTTCGGTTTTGAGTTTATTTAGTGATGTCTTTTGACGGTAAAATATACAAGGTTTACTCCTGTTTTACCCCCTTACTAGGCAGTTTGGTTATAATACAGGTTTCACTTGCATATTTACTGTACTTTGAAGCCTAATTCGGAGCTGCCTTATTTTGATTGTGATAGAGAGATACTCTTTATTGTGTAATTTGAAGTGAGTTACGTAATTTTCATTGATTTGACAAGATGAATGGGAACTACCTTCTTTGATATTGTCCTTCGATGTATGTTTGTGAGATGGATTTTCGATATGAGAATATTGTGCATTTTTCATATCTTAGGCAATACTTGGGAAAGTAGCAGTTCAAATATAATATCACAGCAAATGAGTATAATTTCTGTGCAGAAAATCATTTTCTGGTTTTCTTCAAGTCATTGGCTTTGTTTTGTAGACTTTGCACCATCTTTCCCTTTTAGGTATTTATATTTTCCTTTCGAACATCTTTTCTTACTCATACGGAAAGTATCCAGATTGCGGGCTTGACTTATTATTGTTTGAATGCGAAAGTAGAATTTTATAATTATGTGTAGGTATATACTTAAGTGTGGCCTTGTTTATTTACTGGGGATGTTGGTGTGGCTGACGTGGCATCTTATTTCGAAGTTGGAGCTTCTCTCTCTTTAACTTTTAGGAATTAAAAATAATAAACTTGATAGTTCTAAAAAAAGACTTATTTAATGCATCACTCCTATCTTTTCCTGAAACACGTTATGTCGGTACATTCTGTATGTTCTCCTAATGTGGCAGTTGCGGACATTTACTACTATTATTTACGTATTATCTGGTGCAAGGCTTTCAAGGCTGTGACGTCTTACTGCGACTGTGCCGTACAGCGTTAGAACAAATGCTGTCGGCTAATATATGTTTATCCTTGGGAAGTTGACTGGCTGACGTAGTATAAATGTACAAAAGTCGGGGCTGCTTTTTTTCTTTTTCTTTTTTTCTCTTGTTTTGCCGCATATTTCATTGTCGTTCTTGTGTAAACATAAATCATGCACCACCCCTGTATGGCGTAACTCTCTCTAATATAGCACGTACAAACACTGAATATGTTTTTCTATTCTTGTTCTAAGTTGATGGACCTTCAAATATCTCTCTATGTTGCTGTAAGAACATCTATTCCGGCTTCCCATATTTATATCCATGATACCATGGATTGCCTCTGCAGTATGTAAATTGGCAGTTTATCAGTTTTCCTTATATTTCTTGTGTGCCTTCTACCCATTATTTATATATAAAAATATGGATCTTGTTTGATTTTTGATGGATCTTGTTATCATGCAGATCACCAACAAGTGTTTGCCATCTATCTTGAAGCTGCAACATCTTGAAGAGTTGGCTCTAGAAGGGTGCTATGGCATTGACGACGACAGCCTTGCTGCCCTCAAACAAGGATGCAAGTCACTCGAGGTAGGTATCTTTATCCAGAAATGCATTGAATCTCAATTCCATATATGTATTTTGTTTTGTCTTGGGTCTTACTTAAACAGCCTCTCTGTATTGAAATACAGGGGTAAGGCTGTGTACATCTTGACCCTCCCAGATCCCAACGAAGTTGGGAATAATATATACTGGGTATGTTGTTGTTGCTGTATCAATCTTCTATTTTTCTTAACCATTATGTTTCTCGCTGCCTTGAACAGACACTAGACATGTCGAGCTGTCAGAACGTTAGTCATGTTGGCTTGTCTGGTTTAACCAGCAGCACTGGATGTCTTCGGCAACTTATATTAGCTTATGGATCCCCTGTAAGTCCTCGGTTCTATTTTGTTTCAAACATATGGGTTCATCTACTGAACCAAAACAAATTAATGTTTTGCTGGCTAATTATGAACATTCTTTGGTGCTCCAGGTTACTCTTGCTCTCGCTGACAGTTTGCAGAAACTCTCAATGCTGGAATCCATCAAACTAGATGGCTGTCAGGTTACATGCTCTGGACTGAAAGCAATTGGAAACTGGTGTGTCTCGTTGAGGGAGCTGAGCTTGAGTAAATGCCTTGGAGTGACAGATGAAGGCCTGTCATCCCTTGTTACGAAACACAGGGAACTAAGAAAGCTTGACATCACTTGTTGCCGGAAGATAACTCATGTTTCTATTGCCCACATTACGAATGTGTGCACTTCTCTTACTTCCCTTAAGATGGAATCCTGCACTATGGTTCCTGCAGAAGCATTTGTTTTGATTGGACAGCGATGCCACCTTATTGAGGAACTTGACCTTACAGATAATGAAATAGACAATGAAGGTAACTTTCATGAGTTGAACTTATATGAAGGTTATAAAATGTGCTTTATTGAACTGGTTATTCAGTTTATGTTGTACTATACTTTGAATGCAGGCCTAAAATCCATCTCAAGATGTTCCAAACTTTCTGTCTTGAAGTTGGGTATCTGTTTAAATTTGACGGATGAGGGACTGATCCATATTGGCATGTGCTGTTCAAAGCTTAAGGAGGTTGACTTGTATAGGTTGGTAGTTCATTTTATTTATTTTCCAAACTCCAGTCATTGTTCACAGGTTCTAAGATTCTCTTTCTGTATTAGAGGATGGATGTGTCAGAATAAATGCTTTATTTTGTCCGACAACATCTTTTACTTTTCTGAATGGAAAGCAAAATAGATTTGTGCATTGCAAATATAGACACTGATTTTCCATCTTGTGCAGGTCCGCTGGGATTACTGATTCCGCCATTTTAGCAATCGCCCGCGGCTGTCCTGGGCTTGAAATGATAAATGTAGCGTATTGCAAAGATATTACTGACCAATCCTTGACATCGTTGTCAAAATGTTCAAAGCTAAGCACGTTTGAAGCTCGAGGATGTCCTCTTATTACGTCATCTGGGTTAGCAGCCATTGCTGTGGGATGCAAGCAGCTCAGTAGGCTTGATATCAAGAAGTGCCACAACATTGATGATGCGGGAATGATTCCGCTTGCCCACTTCTCTCAAAATCTTAGACAGGTATTCCCATTTATTCCTATCATCACTTAGCTTATAAAAAGTGAGAGACGTCAATACCTGACATTGTTGTTTTGTCTTTTGCATGTGCAGATAAATCTGTCGTACACTTCGATCACGGATGTGGGACTGTTGTCTCTTGCCAGTCTCAGTTGTCTGCAGAGTATAACCATGCTACACCTGAAGGGTTTGACCCCCAGTGGACTTGCAGCTGCACTGTTGGCGTGTGGAGGATTAACCAAAGTGAAGCTACAGGTGTCCTTTAAATCTATGTTGCCACAACTGCTTTTCAAGCATTTAGAAGCCCGCGGATGTCACTTCCAGTGGAGGGACAAAGTGTTTCAGGTAAAATTTCCTGACACAATCTTCCCAGTTCAATATTCTCTGGGCTCCTGGAGAAGCATGCTCGTGTAGCTGTGCTGCTTGATTGTTATGCCTTCTTGTTTTTTTTTGCCCATCTTACATTTACCATCCCTAATAAGTAATAAACATAAAATCTGTGTTAATCTTGTGATGAAGGAGGTGTAGGGGTTAAAATTTACAATGATGGTTACGTGGTTTGTTTGCAGGCTGAGTTAGACCCGAAGTGTTGGAAGTTGCAGTTGACTGATGTGGAATGATATGAATAACCCGGGCTCTGCTTTGAGTGAACTATGACTGGAAAGACATGAATTGACCATTGATCGTTCTGTGTCTCGGATTCCAGTTATGAACAAGCAGCACCATAGGCTCAATACCTACTTTTTCTTTGACAGGAGTTGTCTTGGAAAAAAACAGAGAGAATGTTCATAAAGTGTAATAGTTAATCAAAGAAGCTTTGTAGATGAAGAGTATTCCCGTTCCCGAGTTTCCCTTATCAGTGTTGCCACCCACTAAACCTGTCGGATTCTGGCAACTTGACCTGAATCTTCTGGCTTCTGCTCGGCGCACAAAATCAGTAGCCTAAGAAATTAATTTCATCAGTTCTGCAAAGTTCAAACACATTCCACCTGGGCCTTTTTAGGACTAAGTGGGCTAATTCTTCAAACAAAATGTTCTAGTAGAATATGTCCTTTAAACCCAGCGAGTTGGACCTATATCCATAGTTTTCTTCTTCATTGAAAATGTCAATTATTATTGAGTATGAAAATCGATGAAATCGTGGAGCGTGTACTTTTTTATCATTGTGCGAGGGAAAAAATTGATAGTAAAAGAAAGTTAAACCTAACTTTGATTGAGGAAATATAGAAGAGGGGGAAAGATCACGCCACCTCCCTAACCTACATGGGAAGTTTCTCTTACGTCTAACATGGGAAACTGGTTGCATCATCATGTAATAGAAATTATAAAATTATAATCACAAATTGACCCCTAATTAAAGCAATAGCTACATCTATTTATATGTTTGAAATAAGTGTGACAGCTCAGTAGTTAGCAATTTTGTTAGTAGGAGTAACTAAATAATGTGCTCTTGTTTTTCTTTTTTTTTTACAAACAATTACAAGTACCTAGTCTATTACATGTGGGTGGGGTCTATGGAGAAGGGGATAGTACTACTAAGGGGGAGACTCCATGCGTGCAGGCCTCGATCTGGTACTCGGAAAATTTCCTGGCAGATACAAGCAAATCTGCACAAACTGAATACTGAAAGTGTTGTTAACGGGATTTGAACCTAGGTCTCCCAAGTTGGATGCCGAAGCCCAAACCACTGGACCACGCTTTGTTGCCATGTTGTCTTGGTTGTTTTCTATTGCCACCAACAACAACATGCATGCATGTCTCTCCATGTAACAAATTTGACCATTTGAAACTTAGATGAGTTTATCTCTTTAATTAACTAATTTCAATTACTACTACCCGCTAATAGCCACACTAAACTAGCATATAATATTCTGCCTTCACGTGTAAGAAACATAAAATAAGTTGCTTCCTTTTTGAGACCAAAAATCATGCCTTAACAGTTTCGGTTTATCTAAATACAGTTAAACATCTATCAATTAATACTTTTAGAACCCCAAAAAATTATAAATTTATCGATGTATTAATTTATCGATAAATTAATAATTATTAATTTATCTATTAATTAATAATTTTAATTTAAAAAAATTCCAAAGAATTCTACTAATCTTTTAAGGTTAGCTCTATAAAATTTATATTCCTTTATTCCCTTATATCCAATAGGCATTAGAGTTTAGACTCCACTATCATTTTAAATTTTATCAGCTATTTAATCTACGTAACATATCTCTTTTAAAAGAGATATTTTTCTGAGAAATCTTTAAACTCCCATCAATAGCCGGATACATTATGCAAAAAATTCATAACATCTACAATACTTTGATTCTCAAGCTCATATTGTTTTCCTTTTCTAAGTCATTATTAATTTATGATATTGACGGGACCTATATTTATATAGGAGTTTTTGAAAAAATTATTATCTTATTATTTTATCTATATTATTAATTTATCGATGTTCTACTGTACTAGTACTCTCTATCTCTGGCCCATAATATCACTTAAATTCCTAAAATTAAGATTTTTAAAATGTGTGTGTGTGTGTGTGTTTTTTTTGGGGGTAGTATGGAGAATTGAAGTACTCCATCTTGGAAAAAAAAAATCCACATTAAGTATTGAGATTTGCAGTAAAAATAGTATAATTCTGAAAAATTTAATGTAGATTATTTAGGGAGTATAAGAGAATAGGGAGAGAAAACTTAAGCTCTTTCATCCCTTGTCTCTTTGTTTTATTATTTTTACGCTTAAATTCCCACCAGGGTCAGACGGAAATCAACTATTGGACCTTAAATCCTTTTCCTCTCATTAATCCATCACCAATTTAATAATTTGGAGTGATCATATAGCATTTATTTCCACTTACTTAAAGATTTAAGGAAGAAAGAATAGAAATAAAAAAGTGTCAAGGCACCCCAGCCTCGTTGGTTTTGTAATGTGCATAATAAAAAAAAAGATTTTTAATTTATTTAAAAGATAAGAATGAAGTGTGTATCAAAAAAAAAAAAAGAGAGAGATAAAAATGAGGCGGAAATTAATAAGAGTGGTGGTGGTGTCAAAATGTAGAGAGAATAAGGTAACCACGCAAATGCAATTAGTCACGTCTTTTATGTTAAGTTTTAACTCCAAAGTTTTGATAATAATTTCAGCCGCCGAGACTGAGTCAAACACACAAGCTTTGACCGAAACCCCCAAAGCCAAAATTATTCCACGGTCAAACCTCTCTTAAACTTCCAGGAAAGGACAGAACAACTCTTTTTCCAGGACAAACCCTACGTTATTACAAAACCATGCATTCCCTCCCCTCCTTCTAATCTTTACCCTCTCAAACCCATTTCCTCTTCCTCCATTTTTCTCATCCCCATCTCTGAAGGACCCCCCAAGAGAAAAAAAAAAACCCCAACCATTTAAAAAAGAACATCAAAACAACTTCGATGATGGCTTCTTCAGGTGGTGGCAACTTAAATACTACTACTTCATATTCCAACTATTCTTTCCAAAACCAATTCAATATGGCTCCTCCTCCAAACAATAACAATCATCAAGAAAATAAGGGTTTTTCTTCTTCCTCTTCTCCTCCATCATTCAGTTGGGAGCTTCACCACCAAATTCTGAACAACAACAATAATAATAACAATAACATGGATAAGCCTAAATTCAAGTCATTCTCACCAGCGCCTATCTCTCCTTCTTCCTATCTCACCTTTCCTCCTAGTTTAAGCCCTTCTGTTCTATTGGACTCACCTGTGCTCTTCTCCAATTCTAATGTAAGTCTTTGTGTTTTTATTTTCATCTTCAAATTACCCTTGATCTTTGAGATGTTACACGTGAATACGATTACGAACCATATATGCACACCATATATATCAAGTTTTTTGCTTTAATTTTGTCATGCTTTGTTCTTCTGTAGGCTCTTTTATCTCCAACTACCGGGAATTTCTCTTCTAGTTTGGAGCAAAAGGATGATCAGAATCATCAGGGCAGAAAGTTTTCCGACTTCTCTTTTCAATCATCCATGTTCCATTCTTCTTCTGCTGGCAAAAACAATTTGGTAAGTTCAGCTAATCCTTCAGTTTTCTTTTAACATTTTTCGTTTAAAAACAAGCATGTCTTTCATATCTATATATGGCGGTCGGAGAAGTCATGGTTGCTCTTCCAAATGTTATTTGCCTTGCATGCTTTCTTATTTCTGCCTAATTAGTTAACTCCCAAAGCCAAAAAACTAACAAAATGGCTTGAAGTAGTCTTAATTTCATCATAGATGAACCAAAAATTAATTATATGACCAAAAGTGCGATATAGAATGAGTCAAATGTCCGCTGTATTAATTAATTTACGCTTTCTTTTTTTCTTTTTATTTTTTCTGTGTGCGTGTGTGTGTGAGAGAGAGAAAGAGAGAGCGCGCATGCGTGTATTGACATTTGCACAACCAAGAGAGAAAGATGAAAGAAAGGTCAAAGTCGCTTAGCTAAATTGATAGACATGTAGTATCCAATTTCATTAACATACAAAGGGGTGATGCTTTCTTTGATCAGCCGGCTTTCTTTCTCCCACTAAAAGACATTTCTATTTTTTTGCTTTTATAATTTGAACAGCCAGAAGAAATATCAACAAAGCAACAAGACGGGTGGAACTTGCCAAATAAGGCACTAAGTTCTGCAGCTGGCACAACAGCAACAGCAACAACAGCAGCGGATCAAATCCCCACTTCTCAAGGCAATAATATGCAGAGTGGTAATCATCAGAATCATGTTAATCCTACCCACCATTACAATCAGCCATATGTAAGGGAACATAACCGGAAATCAGATGACGGATACAACTGGAGAAAGTATGGACAGAAACAAGTTAAAGGGAGCGAAAATCCCCGGAGTTACTACAAGTGCACCTTTCCTAATTGTCCAACCAAGAAGAAAGTGGAGAGGAATTTGGAAGGCCATATTACTGAGATCGTGTACAAAGGAAACCACAGTCATCCCAAGCCACAGTCAACCAGGAGATCGTCTTCATCTCAGTTGTCACTTCAAGGAGTTGGGTATAACAACGGCACCTCGGATATTTCAAATCATTCCAACACTTTGGGAGAAGCTTCCCTCATGGATAATTCATTCCCAGCTGGTGAGAACTCCACAGCTTCTTTTGGCGACGACGATTTTGATCAGAATTCCGCATTGAGCAACTCCAGGGATGATGATGAGAATGAACCTGATTCCAAGCGTTGGTAAGCCCGAGTCCAACGAGTATTGTGTGTTGTATTTATTCTTCCCTTGATTTCATCAGGTGGCTTAATGTATCGCGGACTTGGTTTGTGTTTAACAGGAAAGGCGAAAATGATGAGGCGATATCAGTTTCTGGGAGCAAAACAGTAAGAGAACCAAGAATTGTAGTTCAAACTACAAGTGAGATTGATATTCTGGACGATGGATACAGATGGAGGAAATATGGTCAGAAAGTTGTGAAGGGGAACCCAAATCCAAGGTAATATTTCAGGATTTTCCGACCTTGAATTCGTAGTTCCATCACACTCAGTACCGACATACAGACAATCATTTATCCATAATGAAATATACTCATTGAGTCTTCAATTCTTATGTTTAACAGAAGCTACTACAAGTGCACATTTGCTGGTTGTCCGGTGAGGAAGCATGTTGAGCGAGCATCCCAGGATTTGAGAGCCGTAATCACAACCTACGAAGGTAAACACAACCACGATGTCCCAGCAGCTCGAGGCAGTGCCGGTTATGCAGTAAACCGGCCTTCATCTGTAAGCAACAACAACATGAGCAACGGCAGCAATGATCAGTTTTCAACAGCAACCATCCGGCCATTGGCTACAAGTAGTATGAACTCCAATGCTATTCAGAATCACAACAACATACCGAGGCCACCCCAAAGTCAAGCTCAAGCAGCGCCATTCACTCTGCAGATGTTGCCAAATCAGGGGAGTTTTGGCAACATCTCTGGCAACCCTTCTTCAAGATCATCTACTTACATGAATCAGATGCAGCAGCAAATAACAAACAATGGCTATCATATGACCAAGGAAGAACCTAAAGATCACTCGTTTTTTAACTCTTTTCTCAATTGAATCGGCAAGAGAGATCATAAATCATGTCTAGGTGTATTCAAATTAACTGTGTGCAAAGCACTCAGTGGTTCCACACAAAGGTGCATTTCAAATGCTTCTGTAGAGGTTAATTGTAGGACGTTGGGGGGTGTTATGATAGGATTTCATTTAATTTCTTTATTCTTTTATAGGTTCATTAGAGCTGAGCAGTTGTCCTTCAAGTGTAGTAGAAAAGATGTATCTTCAAACCAAATAATCTTTTAACAGAATTTCTTCTTAAAATGTTGTCCCTGAGAGAAAAGGTTTTCAATTCTGAACTCTTTTCTGGAGCTTCTAACGTAATAATATACCAGCGAAATCATATAGGTGAGCCTCAAGACAATCAGCAAATTAACTGTTTCATAGAACTTCAGCAGTACTCACAAAATCACGCTACATTCATAAGGAAACCTCAATGGTGGATTATCATTTCACAAAAGAATCAACTTTGCGGAGTTACTTACAATCAGATGTCCTTTGAGAAACAAGTATGTTTCTCACTCACCTCTATAAACATTTACAAGGAAATGATGAAGCAATGGAATGTACACGAATTTACTTGTGATGTGTATACAAGAGTAGCAAACGGCAAAGGAAAACAGATAATGGGAAAATTAAAGGGATCACAATGACAAGAAAAGAAAAATTGCCTTTCTTTCTTTCAGATATAGGTTTGATTAGCAAGTTTATATCCAGAAATGATGGCAGAAATGGCAAGAGCAAAGAATGCCAAAAATGCCATGCTAATCGCAGAAGCAGAGGAGTCAGTAAAAATGTTATCTGCGCCTTCTCTCAAACTGTTTGTCAATGGTACAGCGGATGATGCAGCAGATATAACCAAGTACGCAATCAGCTGCAATTCAAGTGAAATTGAGAAACAGAACTGAGATTAGAATCGAAACCAACATGGTAGGCCTTCCCCATACCTCTGTAACTTGAACTGCTAAATGCAAAACAAAGCCACTCTTTCTTCAACATAAATACTTAAATACTTTTTGAAATCCAAACATTAGATGCAAAATGCAGACGGAGATGCCTAAAGTCATTTTCTTCCCTTTAAACACGCTATGTGATGTCAGTCAAAAATTCAACAAATTCACACAGCAAGTTGAGGGCATTGACTATATTTTGGAACTGACACAGGAAAAAAAAATTATAATTAAAAATTTTTAATTTTTTTTTTTTAAAGAAAGACCACCAACCTGATCGCCAATAAAGTCTACCATGGCCAAATTCTGGCGTGAAAAGTATTGAGCTGCGGATGAAAGTTCATGAACCTGCCTGAATACCTGCAACCCTGTATACAGTGTTGATAGGATTGCTATTGCCAGTACATATCTGTAACAAAAAATTGCAACAATCTTTTTAAAAATTTAGATAACTAGCATCATCATCATCCATCCTTTTAGTTTAGCCTCTCAATTTCTTGTGATCTATTTTACTTTTATCCCCAGGGAAAAGGGATTTAAACCCTTAATTTCAATCCTTGAACTAAAAGTAGAGGAGATTTTGTCAATCATCCATGGACACGAAACAAAAGATCAAAATTCTTTGGTTTGTAATGTTCAGAAACTAAATTGAGTTCAGCAGTTGTAGCTGTTACTAAGATCACATCACTTTAATAGGATGATAGATACAAAACGTAATAAATGAGACAGATAATGTGACAATGATTATGTATACATAAATTGAACTATATAGGGTCGTGACATTGATGTAATCACGGGTCAACTATCAAAATTTGGTGTAAACTTTAACTAAATCACAAGAAAAACAAGAATTGAATCGTCAATTTAAGAGACGGATGATAATAATGTTATCTCCCAGAAATGGGAAAAAGGGTTACATTTCAGAAGACTAATTATTGTGTACCTGTAAGGTTCGTAATCATCAAAGTTTCTGCCATCGCCATGTTTGTTACTAGCCATGATGATGAAAGCAAGCAATGAACAAACCAACGCAATCCCACGCAGAGCCAGCGACCCTTTTTTCAACAAATCCTCCCTCTTCCACCGCCGTAATATATTCGATATTCCGGCACCGCCGCCGCCAGGCTGGCCTTGGTTCTCGACATCTCCACCACTTGCGGTGGTCGCCGGCGTTGGTTCTTTTTCCACGACGTGGCCATCGTGATCCGCCATATATAATTGTTTTAAAGCTAGCTTAGCTGGGAAACGGGGAAAACTGGAAAAGAGTGGATGGAATTTTTTTGTTGGGTGTCGATGAATCAGATGAAGCAGAATTAGGCCGCAAGAAATTGACGGCGACAAGAAATGCTCCCCGAATGAATCATTTGACAACTCAGCTTTGGTGGAATAATTGCTTATCTGGCTGTATTTGGCTTTTTTCTAAGAAAAAGGAAAACTATTATATATATATATATATATATATATATATTTGTATGGCCAATAACAGAAAAAAGAAACACTATTTCCTATTTTTGTTTTAGCATTTAGTTAAGTATTTAGGTACCATAAAAATAAAAGCTTTTCATCATATTTTTATTGTTTAGCTTTATTTATGATAGAAAAAGAAAAATTTTAAACTTTCCGGTAAATTATTAAAAAATTAAAGTATATTTGTTGAGTAAGAATGTTGTTCCCAAAATGCAAAAAATTGTGTTGAAAATGGGGGAAAAAAATCAATTTCAAGATAGTACAACATAAACCTTACGAGGTCTTATCAGGCAATAGGCCAGGAATGGTAAATCTAATGATCTTTCTGCAAAACGATATGTTTTATTTTTAATTAATATATATTTACATGTGTGTGTATTTATTTGTATATTTTTAAACAATATACCGCCTCTATTCTTAAAATTAATGTCCAATTTTAATTGTAATTTTTAGTTCAATTTAGACTAAAAATAGAAAAATCTAAATTGAACAATTATTTCATAACCGAAAATACTTGAATTGAGACAATTTTCATTATGTAACATTTTGCTTCCATTAGGTTTTGTTGTACATATTCCTGCACGCAGATTTTTCATTCTAGATATGCTATATGCAAAATAAAAAAGATTGCACCCATATACACTGTAAAACGTAAATTCTTTCTTACAAAAATAATCTACCTTGCAAATTGTCTTATTTTTAGTGTATTGTACAATGTAAATTATTTTTATGGGACAGAAAAAAGTATTTCTTATTACTTAGATATAATTTTTTAACAACGAACACAACGATATCGCTGTAAATAGAATACCAGAAAAATTACCTTTCCCCTTCGTTTTGGTACTGTACTAATAATTGAAATAGTCAGAACAATTAAAATGACGAATAGAGTAACATAATATAATGGACATGTACTACTACTAGTCCAACCATGAAGAGCATAAGATAACTTCAAGTTAATTATCACATCTGGTAAAAATCTTTTTTTTCTTTTGTGTTTTTCCCAGCTAGAAGGATTCTCGTACATTTGTTAATTACCTCTCCCACTTTTCTAGCTTGCACAACATATCTAAACATCCGCAACAGACAAATTCCCTGCTCTTTTTCCAAATGGAAGAACAAGCATAATTGGATTAATATACAAATCATTCTTCAATGGTTTCAACATTTCTTGTATTCTGTCTCCTACTTCTGATCCTGGCGCCACCACGGCGCGCTGAGTCCGGATCATCAATCAGCACCTCATCGTTGTTAGGAGCAGGCGGAATCTGATCATTTGCGGGCATATCTTTATCCTTATTAACTTCTAAGTTGAGTACAGTATCCAATCCATCATCACTCTTTGCACTTGGTGCAATGTTTTCGGGCCCTAACGCCGAGTAGTTGAGGCTTAGTTCAGTTACTTCGGAAAGGGATTTGGTGAGCAATGGCCGGGGGCGTTTCAAGAACAAGCAAACCACTGCGCAATCGTCCATCTTGGCTCGCGGATACTTATACCTCCATACTCGAGCCGCAATGTCTACTAATAGCCTTGCTGCCGTGGCTCGCTTCCTTGCCGATGCAACTATTCTTACCACATCATGGTTGGACAACACATCCCATACCTGCAAAATGCATCAGCATTGAAATCATCAGCTGAAATGTCTACATTGGCAAATTAATGATAAGAAAAAGGCACTCCTAAGTTGCTAATTTTAGGTTCAGCAAACGTTATTCACTGTCATTTCGCTCACGCGCTAACTCTTGAGAATAGCAGAAACCACAACCACAATTATAGGCTGAATTAACTACATCAATTCAGTTGAGAGGACATATATATATATATATATATATATATATATATATATATATGCTGCGCTTACCCCATCAGTTGCTAAGACCACAAATTCATCTTTGTCTGTAATTTTTCTGTAAGTGACTTCAGGAGTTGAGATGACCCCAAAATCTTTCAAGCAAAAATCTCCAAATGCCCTAGCCATGGCAAGCCCCGGGGTATCTTCGTCAGGCATCCAAACCCTGTACACATTTGATTCTCCTTCCATTGCCATCACTCTCCCTTGGCAACTCCTAATCCGCTCAGCTTCACCTGAAAACCACAATGTGAAAGTGGTCAGTAATTATAGTTTCCCTTTGATCAAGAGGTCAGGAATTCAAACGTCACCAAACAATATCACCATTAATTACACTGAATCTATTAGTCTAAATTCATTACTCCAGAAAGAGAAGAGAAATGGAGAAAAGTATGCACAAGTTACCGGGAAGGTTGGGTTTCAAGTCAACCGTAAGTTGTTCAGCAACAAGTTCATCTTGATCATCTCTAGTGCATAAAACAGCCCGAGAATCCCCCAAGTTTGCGACCATCAGGTGTTCTTTCTGGAAAAAGAATACAAAAGTGCGCCGCAAGATGAGATCCAATTTAGAGTCAAGCATTTTTAAGATCATTATCATGCAACATTTCTGAAGCAGTAGAGTCTATAACGTGCATTGAAAAGACCACATATGTAAACAAAATTTTGACAGGAAATGTGACATAAAAGTAACACAGAAGATGCAAAACATGTATGATTTGCACCTGTTTGAGTACTGTCACTGCAGTGGTACCACTGCAGTAGCTTTCCACCGTGGTTTCACCCTCAAGTTCCTCATCCATTTCAAGGAAGGACTTTAATATTCGAGGTTTCCAGGAAGACTCGAAGGGGTTCTGAGACAACTTGGCCTCGGTGCCATTGTCATGATTATCATCATTGTCATCACCGGCATCCACAACCCGGGTGGTTGAAGTGCTGTTTGGAACAACAACCTTGCCGGATGATGAAAGCTTAGATGGAAGGAGATCACGCACGTATCGCGCCACATTGTGCCCCGATGGACCGTGCCCGTCAAACACACCGCAGAAGAACGAATCTTTCTCCCCCAAAAAGTTCTGATAATAAGAAAAGAGAAAAACAAAACACCACAAGAATTTACCCATCACCAAGGTTAATCAATGTAGATATTTATGTGTGATAATAAGGCACGATGATAACATATTAACCATCTTGGAAAAGTTAACTTCAATACATACACAACATTCAGAAACGTACAAAATGATGCACATTGAAGAAAAATAAATCTCAGGGAAAGATGATCATCGTCTAAATTGAAGAAGAGAGACCAATGTTTACCTCCCAAACAGTCAAGGCATCCTGATTGGTACCCTTTTTCCCCTGTTGAATATAGGTGGACACGAACCTGGATGATCCCTGAAGCCTGACCCGAGCCCCATTTTCGCCCCGTCTAACCATAAGATCGTCATCGTCATTAGCCTGATGTTGTGCATAATTATCCTTGTGTGGGACCACCTGATGATCATTGTCAGCATAGAAACCATCAAACCTCTCTACTCTTTGGCACGAACAGCATGCACCCATGTTATATATTTCTTTGATCACAATTTTTGGCCTCCAGAATCAAAGATGTCTAATTACCACACTCATATTCAATCAAGAATTTAGAAATACAAAGGAAAGCCCTTTATGCTTCTTCTTTAGTTTTCCCAAAGGCCAAACTTGTTCTTATTATGTTATGTAAAAAATTTTGGGTGCATGCAATCAAAAAAATGGAGGAAGGTTTCCTGGTGGGGGGGAGGGGGGGGTCAAATCAATCAAAATCACAAACAATGATGAATGATCATGGTTTGTGATAGATAGAAAAGGTTTTGTTTTTCTTTTTGGTGGTTTCCCAGATGGATGGATGAATGAGATAGGAATTATTAACAAGGTTAATTAATTACAGAAGAAGAAAGAATTACAAAATATAGACGTGGGTTGATGAAGGACGTTTTTATGGAGATTTGGTTTTTAGTTTCAAATCAAATCATCAACGGGGGACGGGCTCCTCTGGAGACTATGGGTAAGAGAAGTCAGAAAGAGGAGCTCTTTTTTTCGTTGACGAAATGATGGCCATGTGACATTATTCATTCTTCCCACAATTTTGGCATATCAATCCCCTCCCCTTTTTCTTTAATTTTTTTTTTTTCCAACCTTTCTAGCAAATTGTTTGGATTAATGTTGGATTGGCTTCTCTCTCTTTTCTCCTCCCTTTGTTTTCTCCTATTTTTCTGAGCATTTCTCACTTATCTTATTCTGTTCTGTCATCTTTTATATTTACTCCCATTTAAGTTTTCTAACTAAGCCTAGAAATTTTTTACAAGGGGGGAAAAAAAACACACTATTAACCTTCATAGTATATAATTTCCATTTCGTCAAACGTGTGACAATGCAGATTTCTAACCAGGATTGCTATTTCAGCAAAGTCCTAGACATACCTTCAGAAGTTATCACAACATCTAGTTTCAAGTTTGTTGTCTCAGCTGATTTCTAGACATACTTAAGTAATCACAATATCTAATCAACTTTCAATCCTGTATTATCGATGACGTGGTCTTAGTTCAGTCCATTCCAACATTTTGTCCCTTGGTCGCAAACTTAGTCGTATTTAATTTCCACTTTTAATATGATTCCATTTTAACTAAAAGTAAAAATCCAAACTGAACGATTCTCTTTTCGGAACGCAAAAAGATACTCGGCCTTTTAGCTAAAACCTAAAATCAAGAGTAGTTACACTGTCTTTTGTTTCCTTTTACTTCAGGGTGGTTGTTTTAACGCGTCTATGCTCTATTTGATTGCAAAAGCAGCTGAAAAGAGGATGCGCGGCAGGATTACAGATTGGAGATATCAACCCACCAACATTTGAGGAGCCTCAGTATGAAGGAAAACCAGTAGGACTGCAGATGGATAAAAACGAGTAACAAAAGACAGTTGAACAAGATACAAGTTACTCATAAGCAACAAGCCAACAAAATCCTAAGGCTGTCAAGGCCAACAAAAACTATTTTGTCTAACTTTCAGAACAAAACCGCAACAAGCACAAACACATCCCGAGAGGCAACACAACCACCAATAGAGCAAAAAAACAAAATTCAAACTTAAAAGTTTTCTTAGGATGGAGACCAAGAACTAGGTATGCGAATCCTCTGTCAAATTCAAAACCGATTCCAAAGTGAATCTCGAGTTAAAAGGACTCCCAAAGTGGATCTCAAGTTACAAGTTACACACTTCAATAATTGTCATCCAAAGTTTCAAGGGGTTCACTCAACAGAGAACAAGTTCAAGAACACAAACAATTCCAGAAAGAAAAGAGACAGGCTTGTGCCTAAATGCCAGAAAGACAAACAAACCCTGATCATTCTCATGCAAATGTTGGTTAGGCTACAAGGGTGGAATCTGGAACTTCCTCAAACCACAAAACAGAGAAAATGAGAACTTGAGACCACAAGAAATTACTGACCACGTCATATCATCCCAACAAAAATGAAAGAAAACTACTGGAACAAATGAAGGCAGACCATCTTTGCTTAATTACTTTCTTTGTAGCACTTTAGGTACAATTGAAATTGGACTACATGAAAAGCAAATTAACCAACAATAACTATAGCAACTTCATTTGATGTAAAGAATGAAAATAAACTGACTAGGATTGGATAATTAACTACTACAGTTGTATAAGATAGTGAGATTACAACTATTAAAACTTATTTGGGAGGGGGGTGCCTTTACCGGTCACCACCACTGATGGACAAGAACTCCGCGTTGACGAAGTGAAGTAAACAATTCCAAACACTGGTCATATGTCTTCTCATACTTGGGACTCCTCTCACCAGGACAACATTTCTGCCATCTGTTGTAATGGCATTCAAGGAAGACTTCATCAACCAAACAAATAGCGCCTGTTTCAATCAGCCTTGGTATTAAATCGAATTCAGTCCCTTCGACATCCATCTTCATCACAACAAAATCTCTCTCTGTAACTGTACTCTTCAACCACTCTGCAAAGTCAAATCCCTGAATCTCATCCACATGATGATGACCATTACCATTGACATTCTGAACAGGTTTAATCCGACCCATCCCTCTACCCTTCACGACATTTTCTTCCTCAAGATGATCCTGATTGATCTCGAAAAATAAGCTCTCATTTTTTACCCAAGCAGCATAAGGAAGCAACTGAACCCCCTTCTTGTTCTTATAATCATCATGAAAATGCTTATCAGCCTCAATAGCATAAATGTCAAAGTTTTTATCTTGCTTTGGATACTGTTTCTTAAACCAGCTAACTATACTCGAACCGTAGCTCCTGGACCCGACATCCACATACACATATCTCCGCTTAAAATTGATATCCGCCATTGATGACAGGTACTTAACATTCTGTATATTCCTCTTCAATGTAATCCAAGGTTTCTTAGGTTCTTCAATGATCAAGGGCTCGGCTTTCCTGAGCAATTCTTGCTTGTATCCCGGAACAGAACACTTTTTATAGTCATTTCCTAAATTGTCCCCGATATCAGCTACTTTTTGCATAATAATTTCACGAATTAACGGAAGACTGGAATTGAACCCATCAATATCCCTAAACTGTACCAATTTACAGCAATTAAATAATTCAAGGAATGAATGGTGACTGTAAGGATCCTTCGAACCTGTGTGAGCTACAAAAAACCCTTGGGGCTTCAGTGTCCGGCAAACTTCCGCCGCAATATCCGCAGGCTTTGCGGACTTTTCGATCATCCCGTCGCCGGAAAAGATGAAATCAAATTTGGCGTCACCGAAAGGATGCTTAACGGCCTGACCCGAAATGACCAAGGGCTTCGAAGCCTTCTTGTGGATACCGATGGAATCCGAAACCCCAATCTCTTTCAGAGCGAAAACGTCGGCCCCGGTGGGGGTATCCAAGCAGAGAGCTTTCGAATTGGGAGCCAAGAACCCCTCGGATAAGAGATCGGTAAACACCGACGAGTAGAACCGGGCCGCCTTCTGAAAACCTTTAGTAGCCCAGAGATCCGGGAGTTTCTGCGGCTTGGCCGGAGCCGATTTGCCGCCTTCGCCGACGGCGATGACAGCAGACGCCGAAGCCCCGGCGCCACCGGTGAGGAATTGACCGGGTCTGGAAACGATTCCGTCGAGATTGTCCGGGAGAGAGAAGAAACAGAAATCACCAAGGTCACATGACTCTCCCCGGAGAGTAACCACGTAAGCAAACCGAACCCCAAGTATAAAGACGCAGAACAGGAACAGCCGCACCAGAATATTCCTCAAGAAGCTCGGCTTCCCTCCAGCACCGGCCAACGCCGATGTGGGCTCCATTTGAAGCCGGAATCAATGGGAGAAAAAAAATGGGGGAAAATGAATAAAGAATAATCTGTGTGTATGTATGTGCGTAATTCTAAATCCTAAAAATCTACAGATGCATCAAAGTGTGAAGAAAATCTACAAAGAGAAGGAGAGGAGGTGGGAAGAGGGTAAAGGGCAAAAAGGGAAAAAGGTTTATCGGGAGCAGAAGCGGGCGGAAGTGTGGTTGGCGCCGATGAGGGAGGAAGCAAAAGGGTGGGTGGTAGAGAGAAGGAAATTGAGGAACCGGGGAGGGGTAAAATCGTAAAAGATCATGACGGTGGTGGTGGAGCTTCTTTATTTTCCTCCTCCTAAATGACGATGATCTGTATAAAGCCGCCGAAATATAATCTCAAGGACAAAACAACAACATGGGTTGTTTCCTATACTACTCTAGTACTGAGTTGAATTCAATAATTGTTGGTTTCATAATAATTAGTGAGAACAGATTTGTGAAATTTGCTGAAAAAAATGAAGGGGGAGGGCCAAGAATAACAGAGGAAGAAGGAGAAAGAAGACAGAAGAAACAGAAAGTAAGGATGAGTGTAGTGAAGGAAGGGAAGAAAGAGATAATACAAAAAAGGGGAAAAAGAAATGGAGAGAGGATAAGGGGAGACCGGCTGAGACGGTTGCCATGATTGACTTTGTAGGACGCGGAGGGAGAAAGGGACCAGTGTTGATGATTGTCGATTTTCTTTTTTTGCCCTTCTTTTTTTATTTAACTTTTTTAATAATTATACATTAATTAATTTAATAAATACAACAACGGAAGAAAACTGGAAAGTTGAGGGGAATTCGGTTGAATTCATTTTCCCTTGCCACTTTGTTAGGTGGGCCACTTCCACTAGTTTCGTTGCCCTGCCCGAGTTTTGCATGTTCAGCTTCAATCTTAGCTGGCCAGTATTATTGCGGACTCTGCTCCCTTTTTTTTTATTTCTTTCTTTGTTTTCTCCGTTTTTTCTCTTAATTTCGTACCATTGCCCCCAATATTTTCACTCTTTTTGCGATGGTGATATGAACGAGATTTTTTTGGACGGTATGTACTATCTTCAATTGTTCATAGTAATTTACTTTGCTTTCTATCCAATTTTGTTTCTGTAGTTGCTTCTTTACTAGTACTAGTATAACGTAGTCCCCGTTAAGATTAATATTGCGTCTATTATATTAAAGTGTATTATCTGTACAGACGTAAATATAAGTAACTCAATATATAAATTTTAAATGCATCCCATTTATTACTAATTGGTTTTGAAATGAGAGGTTAAGGTAAGTAAATACTTTGACAGCTACAATAATGAAATAACAAATTATCAATTTACATAATACGTGAGTCATCATCCTAGGAACATTTGGAATCGGAGGGGCAAAATGTAACAATTCTTAACATGGGTTGGGTATTTTACGAATACAATGAGATTAGGAGAGTATGGCTTGTGAAAATAATCTCCTTAGTTTTAATATTTAAAATGGAGTTAAGATAACAGGTGGCGGATGGGAACGGTTTTGCAATAAACAGCTAGCAAAGGGAGTCAGCGTAGCCGTGTAGGTAACGCTTTGGCCACTGTTGGCGGTGATGGAGACTCTCTTTCCGGAGAGCTGTGGGCCTGGGCTGGCCCGTCCTTGCACTGGTAGTTTCTGGGCTCTCGCTTTTATTTTGCCTTTTCTGGTCTTTAGTGGGGACCTTAATGCTTTGTTCCCACACTAATTAATAACAACCCACTTTTAATATTCTTCTCTTTGGCAAATACTACATCATCAATCGCGATGCTTTAATTTTCATGACTACGATATTGTTTGCAACTAAGTATTCATCTTGTTTATCATTGCATTTTCTTGGTTGAGTTTGGGTAAACCACCACGTGACGTAGGATTCATCTTAACCTATCATCCATTATGGAGAGTCCATCACAGTTTCAACCATATTTTAATATAGTTGGAGAAATAAATACGTAACTCTTTTTTTTTTTTTCATCTCAAAAAAACATTATTGAAAGTCTTCTTTCTTTAGATAGACTACATAACTTGTTTGAATTTAAGAAAGTTTCTATGTCCAGGTTTAGGACGAGGTTGTAGATATCTTAGGGGTTGTTAATGTTGAAAGCTCCAATGGTTGAGTCCTGATATCATTATTTTTATAAGGTCGTGATGCATGCAGAGAAAATTAACATGAAATCTTAACAAAGAATAATCTAGTTGTAATTATCTCCCCAAGTCTTAAATGAATATATTCGTAAATATAAGGTTAAAATATATATGATTATGATTCATTTTTCTTGCAAATTTTTTCATGCAACAATTATTATTCATTTTATAAACATTGAAAATTAGTTAAACATTGGTGAAACTACGCAAGAAGATGAGATAATCTATAATTTATTATAAGAGAGGAACCATAGAAAAAATAATGTTCATTCATAAGATGCTATATAAGACAAAAATCATATGTGTAATTTTTTAACGCACTCTCAAAAAAAAATATATGGGTGAAATTATGGAAAATGTCCTCAAATTCTATTAAAAGTAGCCAAATAACTCCATTTACTTTTGTTGATGACTTTTATTTACTATCTATTTTGGTAAACGAAATACATTGGCATAAATTCAAAATTTGGTATACAAAATGGATTGGCCTAATTTTTTATTTTTTTATTTTTGATACAATTCTTACAAGCACCTAATCTATATATGATACTGTGTGTCTATGTATCGAATGCATTATTATCTTCATTTACTAGTAACAATGTTCAATTTATTTATTTACTCTTCATCAAAGTTTTATTTTGAGTTCTCAACAAATTGGTTTGTCTATCTTCATATTTGATTAAGCATGAATTTTCTATTCCGTGTATCGTACGGATTTAACATCTAGTTACGGTTAAATGACAAAACTACCTCTTATTAACCAACTTAAAAGCACATGAAACCTTGGGGGTAATTTATGCAAAATTAGGGAGTAGATATCCTTGGTCCTCACATAGTAACATTATTCGACTGAGATAAATAAAATATTGTCAATGATTTCATGAATTCATCAAGTTCTAAACTGATCAGCAATTAATGGTATGGTTATTATTCTATCACTAATTAAGCGGTGTGATCGAGTTTCTAGGTCAAATGGAGCAATTAATATTTATAAAAAAGAAAAGGAAAAATCGACATACTAATTGCTCAAATGTAGCAATTAATAAACACCAGATAATTTCATTATACTTTTAGGTTAGTTTTTGAATTTGAAAGTTGAAACACTATGACAAACGAAATTTGTGTTTCTTTAATCAATTTATTGAGTTTTTTTTTATCCCTCGGAAATTTCAAATTCACTAATAAAAAAACAAACAGTTACTAGGATAAATATGCGCTACTTGACATAGAACAAATCAATATCAGGATTACCTCCAATAAATTCTTCATATTCGCATAACTATCTTGTCTAAATATTATTATTGACGTTCACGGTACACAGTACTAAATTAGTTCAGTATTCAGCGTTCTACATATGCTGGCTGAATTTGTACTTGTTATGCTCATACCAAATTAATCATTTTAATTGAGTTTTTTCGCATTTATTTATCTCCTAACAACTAAGTAGTGAGACAACACGTACAGCAATGTGGTTTATTGATGTAGACTTTCATAAAGAATATATATGCTTAATCATTTGGTTATTAGGAGCATAAATAAATAGGATGACAAGGCTTATCGACGTTCTTACAATACATTATCTCTTGGGTCTTACTGCCTACGTAATTCACAAGTAATCATATCTTATAAAAATGCATTTACAGTCAAAATGAAAGGAGTACAACACATATTTAATCTGGGACGGAAAATATAATTTTTTAATTTAAGAAACGCAAGTATAAAAAATCCAATACATGACGTTGATGGTCGTGTGTTTAAGCAGCAATGGCGTAGGGCTCCGGTTGCTATGAACCAATCGCCTGGGTTTGTATGGGTGAGAAAGCAATCGGCGGGTCCCCGACTGGGATCCCGTGCCAACTTGGTAACGGCCATTTTCGGGCGTGAACCCGATATCACGCCTCTGAATATGGGAAACCGAATAAAGTCCCCATTACCGGGAAAGTCCACCATAATCATCATCCCTGATTCCTTTCATTTCTTTCTTTATCATCATTGTATTTGTAGCTAAACTGATGAAAGACAGTAAACTGATTGCAAACCTGCTGCTGAATCAAATTTATAATTCCATATACTCCCCCTGTCCTAAAATTATTGTTCAGTTTGAGATTTCAGTTTTAGTATATACTCCCTCTGTCCTATAATTATTGTCCAATTTGGATTTTTAGTGAGACGAAAGGAGTAGTACTTTCTTGCAAAATGCATCCCACAAGTTTTGGCCTTTAATATTCATTTGTATGTTTCTAAATTTTTGTTGAGTTAACGTAGATTTTTGTTGAGTTAATGTAGACAGACAGTCACTAGAGCGCATAAAATTGTCGAGTATGTGACGTTCATTGAGTGAAGTTATAGTTCTTACTTTTATATCACAAATTAGTTCTTGCGAAAGTAAAAACAAAATTATTTGTCATTAAAACGAAAAAAAAAAGTGTACAACGTCGTCAACTAATGCATTGTAAGTTTCTGTCCAACAACGCATAATGCATTATAAGTTCCGTAACTTTGAAGTACTATTGTTTAAAAGTTCTAAATAAACAAACTAGTTGCATAGACAACGAAATTCTGCATCACTTGATATCTTCGTCGATGTTTTGGGGCTTAGTAAAATTAGCAGACATAAGACGTAACCAATTATTTGGATACATGGGCTCTCTAGTCCTCGTGATCCCAAAGGTCTGCTTCGCTCTTGAAAGGCCCATCAGTCTTGTTGACGAACAACTCTTCCCCGTCCAATACCCGCTTCTGCGCCAATACACACATCAAGAAGATTAAGCCAAGGAAATTGTGTAACTATTTCATTTCAATTATAGTACTAGAATACAATGACAAATGTAATGAAATGCTGCTGCTGCGGCTTTTTTATTTATTCTTTTTTAGTTTTTGGGACCTGATCAGGAAGGCTGCAAAGAGCTTGGAAATCCTGGTGGGGAATATCCCAATCGAACACATGCAAGTTTTCATGAATCCGGTCGGGGTGGGTTGATTTGGGGATGGTACTGGTGCCTCTCTGGATAGCCCACCTCACCAGAACTTGACCAGGACTCTTGTTCAGTTTCATGGCTATCTTCTCCACTAGGGGGTCGTGTATCAGATCTCTCCCATGCCCTTGTGAGCCCAATGGTGAATACGCCTACAAAACAACACCAGGTTCATTACATCAGTACGTAACCAGCCAGAAATGTTGCGTATGTAGGTGTCACAGAAGCCCAATCTCACGGTGACATGGATGCGGTTGTTCTTGCAAGCCTCCAGCATTTTGTCATTCCTCCATCCAGGGTGCATCTCCATCTACACACAATCATCACACACACACACACAGTATGAATAACATTAAACCCAAAGGCTATACCATCATCAGAGACACAAGTTAAAAGGTTAAAACAGATTGGGAGGGTTGACCTGGCATACAGAGGGCATGATTCTAGCAAAGCCCAGTAAGTTGTTGAGCTTCTTGATGGTGAAATTACAAACCCCGATGTCTTTAACCAGCTTTTCCTTCACCAGCTCCTCCATTTCCCTCCACACCCCTTCCATATCGAATTCCATTACTTCCCCTGCTTTAGGCGGCCTGCTTGCTCCCTCTTTCAATCGGAACGGCCAATGTATCTGAAATCGGATTAATTTTAGACTTAAAAAAAAAAAAGCAAATTAACAAACCAATCAATACATGTATACTACTATACAGTATGGAGTATAATTAATTATACTTACCAGGAAAAGATCAAGGTAGTCGAGTTGTAACTCACGAAGGGTGTTTTCAAATGCGGGGCGAACTCTCTCTGGACTTAAGTCGGTGCACCTGTCAAAAAACAATGTTGTATGCCGGCAATTAAGTACTGGGAAGGATGATATGAAACCATCATCAGAGCACAGAGTATATAAGCGACATAATAATGCCAGTTTTAATTACCATAGCTTGGAGGTAACGAACAAGGAATCCCTCTCAACACCTTCATGTACAGCTCTTTTGATCGCACGTCCTACCTGGTTTAAAATCGTCAATACACTCATATGAGTAATAATAATGGATTTCAAAATTAAATGATGAAACAGAGTGAGTAATCGTCAAATCAAAGGAGGTAAATAGGTAAACTACTCTTTACCTCGGGTTGAACACCATACTGGGCAGCGGTGTCGATGTGACGGTAACCAGCCCCACAAGCAGAGTAAACGGCGTGTTCAGCTTCCGATCCGGTTTTCCAGGTGCCTATTCCCACCGCCGGGATCGCTCGCCCACTCAACAGCCTGAACGTCTTCATTTTCTCCCCGTGAGAAGTCACCGTCGCTTGTGCCATCTCTTTTTAATTAATTGATTAATTAACTAAACTCGTGAACTTTCTCTATTTGTTGCTTCTCCCGGCTAAAGTATGCTATGATAGTAGTAATTTGCAACAACTTAAGAGTGGCAATGGCTTACTTAAAGGAAAGCTAATGAAGTTTCCGGCGAATAACCCCCAAAAAATTTGAAAAAATCCCGAAAAAAAGCATCATCAGGTAGTGGTATCATCTGGAAGTTTGTAGGTAGTACACACGCGTAGGGCAGATAAAACTGCCACCCAAATTCTGCCATGTTCCTCTCATCCCACTCTTTGACACCTTCACCACTATTACTGTTATTACCAATTTACTCACTCAATTTAATAAGTAATTTGACCACCGAGACATAAGCTTATTAATTATAAATTGTTGAAGGGAACCGACTACCGAGAGCTAATGGATGAAAATTTCTTTCTGATATGAAATAAATTTGTACTAGTTGTAGTACAATTTAGGAGGAGTATAAGAATTACTACCAATTAATTAAGGTTTGAAAAGCCTGATAACTATTATTGCTTATCAATTAATACAAAACATGGGTGGTTCATGCGCATGTTAGCCTGAACATCGAAGTGGTCAAACAAAAATCTGCTGGACATTTCTCATTTTGCATTTTATACTTTTTTATTTTAAATAAAATTGAATGGCGCCAACAAAATCGAACCATCGACATCTTGATAATAATCAACCCCATCTTAATTAGTTAACCACTCTACCCAACCCTCCCACCCTTGCATTTTATACCTTGTTTAGGCACATTTTCCAAAATTTTATTATAAATTTTCTGCACTCTTCATTTACTAGAAATTTCTATTTTTTCTTCTTTTTTTTTTGTCTTGAATAAGATTTTTCCTTTATCCTTGCATATTTACAAGGTACTTTTTACAGTCGTTAGGATTGACTAATTTTACAAGATGCCCATCATTGAGATAATTGGTCAAGGAATTTAAGGCTTGTCAAATGTTTAGGACTTCTATCTTCTTCGAATATTTTTAGAGTATTTGTTCTATATAACTACAATTAATTGTAAGTACATTGGATTTTAATAGATAGAACAATTATAAAAAAAAAAAAAACTGGTCAAAAAAATTCATAGTCGGATTACGAACTCGATTTTATAGTTGAAAAAAGTACACTGAGTTCTTTCTATTTAGGGTTAATATCAAATACACCCTCGAGGTCTGGTCCAATATCTAAAACATCCTCACCTTTACAGAAAATATCAAATACATCGTTTGGCTAGCCAAACATAAAAGTCAACCGGTCAGAGCACTGAATTGACTAAATTACCCCTGGTACTTTTGTGAAGAAAATGAACATCTTCCTCTTTCTTTCCTTATCGGTTCCTTCATCCCATTTCCTCCTCCAAACCTCCCCCTCTCCCTCTTCTCCACTACCCGTCCTCCATATTTTACCACTTTAAAGAATGCTTTTTTTCTTAAATACTATTACTACTTTCCTACAACCATCGCCACTAGATGTCAACTCTGGTCGTGGAAAATTGAGAAATCCCCACCAGGAGTCTCTTTGAAATTGATGGTGGAGATGATGTTTCATTTGGGGTAACAAATTGCAGCGTGGTTGAATTTTTATTTTTATTGTTATTTTTTTTTTTGTTCCTTTGGGGATTACCCCTCATTAGATATATGAATCTTTTTTTAAATTCTTGTATTGCTCCATGTTTAGTTTCAGAATAAGTTGAATTATTAATTTGTCAAGTTAATTATTGACGAGAATTGTTAACATGGATAACACTTATGAAGAAGTTTGATTTGAGTTATAATTCATCGAGATTCTTCGTTTGGATTTATACAATAAATTAAATTCGGAACCGTGAAAACCTTGATTAAAGGGAATGCGTTGTTTCTATTTAGATTTGGCTATTATTGGGAACTTTATTTCTTTTGGATTATTTTGATGCGTTGAGCAGTAAAACTACATTACCTTGTGAAGAACTTGAATAGCATATTTTTGGGGCGTGGAAAAATAGGATAGTAGCGGTGGTGCCATTTGACCGAAGGGGGAGAAGTTTTTTTTAGGGTTTTAGGGTCTTGATGAAGGGTAAAATCGTCTTCACGTCCCTTTTTTAATGACATCGTAGTTAAATGTCATTTTCGCGGCACTGGAGGGTCAATTTGATAGTTGACCCAACGGTCAAAGGATGTTTCTGATATTTTATCAAACGTTAAGGATGTTTTAGATATTGGACCAAACCTTGAGGGTGTATTTGATATTAACCCTTCTATCAAAAATAAAAAAGAAAATGACAATCCATTACGGCAATGAAAACATATAAGTGTTTGGTCCATTTAATCAGACGAAACGTGAAGTTGCAAAAGTGAGTATGATAAAATGGACCATTTGGCCCAGTCGGCAAATGTGCAGAACCCCGCATTGAAGGTGGTTTGTTAGCCAGTTTTTTTTTTTTTTTTTAATTTCGCAATTTCTGCTTCCTTTTTTCTTTTTTTGTGAAAATATACTTTATTGGCTTACAGCATAATTTCCTAATGGATTTCATTTTTCCTGAAATTAACATGCAAAAATCAGAATGACCAGAGAAATTTACGTAAGAGATACATCAAAATTGATATCCACAGTTTCCATTAAAATGATGAGATTAATTTTCCAAATTGAAAAGATTTTTTAACATTTCATACAGCAAGAAGCTTTTTTCATACATTTCATGATTAACTTATTTTTAGGTAATAAAAAGAATGTATTTAGGCTCTCACGGGACTACATCATTAGTTTTTTCTATTAAAAAAAAAGAAACAATCGATTAAATTTACTTGAAATCAGATAGTTATGATTGCTACAAGAAACTTGGCGTTGTTGATCAAATTATAACATGGATCACATAAGAATTTGCATGAATATCAATTACATTAGCTATTCCATTACTCAAACGAGACATTATCAGAAAACACTAAATAATCAATCACAAACTTAATTTTTTTATAATTATGCCATAAATAAACGCCACAGACCATTCCTGAGTTGCCCGATAGCTTTAGCAAGGCCATCATGTTGTGTTGTTGATTGCACATTGTCCAAATCCATCCTCATGTTGATTATTCACCTCTTTTATTAACTTATTAAGGTCTTGTTTGGACAAGTCACTTTTTGCTTTTTTATCTCGTTTACCTCTTAAAACACCTCTCAAACACAAAATTCAATACTATCTAAACAATTTTTTAATTTATTTTTTAAATTTTATTTTAAACATTATTTTAACATAATTTTTATTCACAACCATCGGACCACCTCCACCACCGGTGCTGTCGCCGCATCGCCCACTGCTGGCGCCGGACCGCCGCCACTGGCGACCGATTGGCCGGATTCCGGCCTAATTCGCGGCGGTCCGGCAGCGGCTTCAATGATGGAAGTGATCTGGTATTGGTCTAAAAATATTATTATTTTATTTAAAATATCATCCAAATAACTTTTTGAATTTTATCTCAAATCACATTTCAAACCCACGTCATAAACTAAAATAAGATGTTGGTCACCAAGCCCTAATATATTTCGTGATTCTTTATGTTTACCAAATTGACGTCATGATTCTTCGGCCGTATCGAAATTGGGAGTCCATTATTGATCCCACGACCAAAAGTCATCCCTAGGAGGAGGAGGAGTAGGACTGCTTTTGTTTACACCTCCCGTGACCGGAACAAGTGAACCATAATTCCACATTTCCACCCCCATCCCATTACTCCATTAGAACAAACGGCTTTGCAGTTAGTAAAAAAAAATTACCATAAGCGATGTGACATCTATTACCCTTTAGCAACAGCAGTACAGTGCTGAATGAAATTAAAAAATTAAAAAAGTTCACAAAACCCAATAAATATTAAATAGTCTCTCATTAGAAAAAGAAAAGAAAACAAATACTCGAAAATAGAAGGAAAGGGCCAAAAAAAGTCAAAAAGATCTGATCAACACCTCGGACAAATGTCAAAAAGATTTGCTTCATGTCATTAGGTCTGCCAACAAGGTGATGTGGGCCTACTCTCTCTATCTTTTACTTTTTGAAACTTGAATCCAAATCCATTCCTAAACGCAAGCCCAGAAACAGAACACCCGCAGGGACGAGTCACTCTTGTCACAGTTGTTCCTACTATTATTATTACTTTCACTTTTTTCATTTTCTTCCTTATTTTTTACAGTTCCCCAGAAGAAAGGAGGAAATAAATAAATACAGAAAGTAAAAAAAAGCAAAGAAATCGAGTAGAAGTGTTTCAAGTTTCAACATACGTGGACCCCCCACTTTCACCAAAACAAAAAATTACCACCCGAATCACCCCCCACGTGCCTATGCACAGCATCTACCAACCCAGTTAAATTTTTTTATTCTGCTGCATCTTCCATTTTTCACTCTTTTTTTTTTTTTCTTCCATAAACCATTTTGGATCATCTGACTGTGACTCGTTCAGTAGCCTGCACTTCACGGTCAAATATTAAAATTACCCCAGAAAAGCGGCATAGGAAAAAGAATGAAATTTTAAACAGAAAAGTGAAATGTGATTTTTCTGCATAACATCTACAAAAGATGGACTCAACTTTTATTTTCACGGGCCAAAATTTTGTCTGCTCACGTTGCAGAAGATGTTGTAATAAATTAATAGCCATAACACTTATAAGAAAATCAACACTTTTGTTGTATCTGCAATGTTTGGATATGATATTGAAATGGATTCGTTCCACTTCCACACAAGGTACACAACACCATGCTTCGATGAAGAATAGAAATGTGTTATTGTTTTGGTTGAATACTTCCTAAAGTGAAATTAGATTGCTAAGAGGTTAAAGAATACTACTCTTTATCACCAAATTATCGTCAATTTTTATTTAACTAATTATAATAAAAATAATAAAAAAAACTTAAATTGAATAATTATTTCGAAACAGGCACATCCAAACATTAATATATCATGAAAATGATAATAAGCACTAATTTCCACTCCACCATACTCATTTTATACATTTATCAAGCAAATACCACTCCTTAATCCTTACGCCCGTCTTATATTTTAGATTTTCTACTCAACCGTCACTGCATATATATTATTACTACTGCTGCTGCTAAATTAATATTCCAGACATAAACTAAAAAATTACTATATATGTTAACGCTCAACACCCAAACCCCCACAAAAAGGATTCAAACAAAAGGAAAATCAACCCAAAAAGATATTGTTTATGACGATGATGATTGATAATATTGTGGTACTCGTGGCCTTCTAGCAATCAATTCATCAAATGTTGTTACATGGCCATTGACTTGCGAACTATATACCGATAAGCAGCCACCTTCCTCCGCCTAGACGCGGTGTTGTCCACCAGAAGCACCAACTTTCCGGCCACTCTTGGGGTGAAGGTGTTGCGAATTGGCTCCTCGTTCGCCGGAATCCTCCTTGTTTTCTCCACGGCAATGGTGTAGCTGCCTTCGCCGTTGGGTACGAACTCCGCACTGTATTCCACTTCCCACCCTCCCACCACCAAATCCCATGATATCGTTGCTCCGGCCTAATAATAATAATATAATTTAAATAAGAATTGCTCAGCAAACAAGTACCCTAACCTTAAATTAACCACGTCAAACGTTTTCAAACACGTTCACATCACATCAGCAAAACTAGAACCTTTAAATTCAAATCTTTATCCACAGCTCCACACAATTATGATCAATTATTTGAAGCAGTAAATATTACTACTACTAGATAAAAAAAAAGTAGTAGCATGAATTAATTTCCTCGTCAAAAATGCTTAAAAGCAAAACTGCGAAAGTGAATTTGAGAATGATATGTACTTTTAAGAACTCTACACTACTACTCTAGTCGACTGTGGTAGTAAAAGGCTAATAAGAGGACCCAATAATGAAATACACATAATTGGTTACCTCGATGCCGTCAATTTGAATATTGACTTTTTCTCCTCCTTTAACAGTGAACTCCGATGCCGGTTTTGGTGGTCCGCCTTGCAAGTCCTCCGCCCGACTGAGGCCACCATATTGAACTGGCAAGTCCTCGGGCCTAATGAACCTAATTTGTATTACCAAACATTACACAATAAATTATTTTCCACGCGACCTCAAATAATGGACTGCGTAAAATTTGAAATTGAAAGCTCCACAGATCACAAGAATCGACATTCCACCATCCACCCCATAAAAATCCCACATCTAAATACGAATATTACTATTATAAGGACAGCAAGTAAGGCGAATAATCAACCAAAATACAGAATTTTGAAAATGTCCAATTTATATATTACTTACTTGTAAAGTGTCTCGGCAACATTCCCCTCCTTGGAGATGACAAATTTGCTCTTTGTTCTTTGAGTGAGAAATGGACTGAACATGGAATACAACATACTGAAGTACCATGGAACATTGATAAAGATCTGCAACAGCATACAAAACTTAAAAAAATGATGCTCAGAAAAATTGCCTACACAAAAAAAAAAAAAAGAAAAGGAAAACCACAAAGATTCAATTTTTAGGACCTTTCGAGCCACCATTTCGGGGTAATTATCCTGGAAGAGTGACAAAATGTGATTGGAAGCCACCCTTAATTCCCTTTTAGGCATGTCCTTAAGATCAGTGACCTGAATGATGGAATTAACACCGCCAGGCTTAAATTCCAGAGACTGAATCCCTCTTTCCAGCACCTGAACTCTCCACCTCAGAAACTTCTTCAGCTTCTCTTTCTCGTGTTCATCAACGTTATTCTTACCGAAGATTCTCTCGTACATTCCCTTATCCTTAAAAACTCCATAAGCATTGTAACACACGGGATGCCCTTCTCGATCGTAGCCCTTCATGTAGGCCACAACACCTTCCAGTTCTTTAAAGCCCATATCTTCCTCCAGGATGTTGTCCGCCCCGAAATCTTTCCTCCAGGCCAAGCATTTCATCAGCATCTGGTGGGATTCGGGTACCCGGAAATCCCGGGCCCGGAGGAATTTCAACAGGATGACGTCCGCCTTCTCGTCCCCTCCCAGCAACGGAACACCCCACATGGAGAATTTGGAGGAGGATGAATCGGCACCGTCGGAGGAGGACTGGTGGAGCCGGTCTTTGAGGTCCTGAAGGGCCTTCTTTTCGGAGGGCTTAAGGTTGGAGGCAATGTAAGTGTCTTCTTTGAAAGAGAGGGTGCGGAAAGATGCAACTTCCATTAAAGAAGTGACCAAGTTTTTCTTCAATGGCGGTTGTGGTGGTGCTGTTTTTGTGGATGATTTAGGGGGTGGGGGAACAGGAGTTGATAATGGCGACGAAGCGTCCATCATTATTATTATTATTAATGTGCAGTTTGCAGACGGAATGTGATGTAATTGGGAAAATGGCACTCTAAAGTTGAGCTCTTGTGTGATAAAAAAGGAAGTATTTTAGGAGCAATTTAAAGAAGAAGAGATGGGAGGGATGATGGAGGAGGGTACTAGACTACTAGTAGTGTGTAGGGAGAGAGAGTGAAGAAAAATTGGGGACAGAGAAAGACAAAAAAAGGAATGTGAAAGAGAAGCGCTACAGTTGGTGTTGTACTTTGTAGTTTGTATGAGTAATGTTTTTATATCAAAATTTATCAGTTTGTCCCTGAAATTTTAAAGATTATTAATTCTACCTTGTTCGGTAAACGTAGACGCTGCTAAGTGCTAACAGATATAAACCGAAATAGAAAAAGAATTTAGGGTGAAAATGCTGCCATTGGTATTATATAGATAATAAGTTTGCATAGATTGATGATTTAAAAAATGTTTGTAAAACGCATAAAATTGAAATAAATAATGACATGAATTCTCAAAAAAATGTAGGTACACAAATAAGAGTTCAGTATATTTTTGATTAGTTTATTACTAACAACGAGAGATAAGTAATGGATTTAAGAAATACCACAATTAAGTAATGCAAGTACTAATTAAAATGGTTAAAAACATCAATGAGTGTAATAAGTAATATTTTTCTTGTCTCAAAATTAAAATTGAAACTTTAAATTTGATAATAATTATGAGACTGAGAAAATATATGTAAATTAAAGTGCATATTATGCAAATAGCTGAAGAAATTATGGAAGGGTAAGGACGTAAGGTGATGATGATGATGATTAGTGTGAGAGTGTGTGTGTCGAGGATCGAGAGGCCGCGGGGGGTGTTTGGAGTTTGAATGCGAGTTTTCAAAGTCACTTTAAACAGAGAAGGCCCAGCACTGATGCACACCAGAAGAAAAACCACAACAAGGGCCTGGCCCCTGACCAGAAGGGTGTTTTGAATGCAACTTCCCTCATCATCACTACTCTACACACATTCACACATCACCAGAAGCATGCACCCCAAAGGATCACTTTCTCTGACTTTTATTACTTTGTGTTTTAATCTTTTTTGGCCTTTTTTTATCGCTCCATTTATTCTTTTTGTAATCTTATTGCATTATTCTATTCCAATGTATCCACCCCCCAAGATTCCTTTCCTTCCTTCCCCATAAAGAATTTGAAAATTTTTGGCACCTTTTTCATTTACTACAATACTCCCAAATTTGGTTCATTTGCCACTTTTTGGTAGTTTTCTAATCTTTTTCTCTTTACTGGTATGTGATTTACGCATTTTTTAGAGAGTAGACAATTTGAAAGTTGAAACCAGAGAACAACAAAAACACAATAATGTCTAAAATTTTATTCAGTCATCAAAACATAAAAGCCATTGTAATTGGTAGTATTAATTTTGTATCATTACCGAAATACTCTGGTTTTGTTAATGAGTTTCTTACAGTAATGATGAAACATACACAGACTATATATTTGATGGAGATTTAACAGCAAAATCCAATGTTTCGGTGGTAAAATATATTTTCTCTTGTGATACAATGACGGATGCATAACCTAATTCATATCTTCTATCATTGCTCAGTTGAGAAAGGAGTTTGCTATGACAGATTTGGATGATTTACATTATTTTCTTAGTATATCTCATGTATCTCTGATGGTCTCTTTCTATCACAATCAAAGTACAATGACAGTCTTCTTGATCGTTGTAATTTACTTCTGCTAATCCTGCTACCACTCCTGTGGATACTAAAGCTAAATTATCTCAATTTGATAGAGAGTTGTTTGCTGATCCCTACGAGTATCGCAGTATTGTGGGAGACCTTCAGTGTGTTACCTTCACTCGTCCTGATATAGCCTATACAGTGCAGCATGTTTGTTTATTTATGCATCAGCCTCGGGAGTCTCACTATCAAGCAGTTAAGCGCATTCTGCGCTATCTGAAGGGTACTCTTTCTCGTGGTCTTCATCTTCACTCTGCACCTGTTGATAAGTTAGTGGCATATTCTGATGCTGACTGGGCTGGCTGCCCTGATACTCGTCGATCTATTTCCGGCTACTATGTCTTCTTTGGTCCCAATTTCATCTCTTGGTCCTCTAAACGGCAACCTATTGTTTCCCGTTCTAGTGCTGAGGCTGAATATCGAGCAGTTGCTAATACTGTTTCTGAAGTATGTTAGGTTCATTCCTTACTTTTGGAGCTGTATATTTGGTTGCCTACTGCCACCCTCGTATTTTGTGATAATGTCAGTGCTATATTCTTGTCTACTAATCCTGTTCAGAATCAGCGCACCAAGCATGTTGAGATTGATATCCATTTTGTTCGTGAGAAGGTTGCTCAAGGGTTTATTCATGTTCTTCACGTTCCTTCTTCTCACCAGTTTGCTGATATTATGACGAAGGGTTTGCCCAATGTCCTTTTTACTGATTTTCAAGACAATCTGAATGTTCGTGCACCTCCCGTACGAATTGTGGGGGATGTTAGTGTGTATTAATATAAGGCTATAGTTGTAATTATATCCATGTAATTGTACCATATATATCGTATGTATCAATACAACAACCCCTAAAGATTTTGACACTTTCAATTCATGAGTAAGAGTATGACTACATCGTTTCCAACTAAAAACATTTTGATGGTGGATCATTTAAGATATCTCATAGCGAGTACAATGCATTATCTTTTGAGCAATAATTTTCAAAACCCTTGTTGTTCAACCACTTATTTACTTTTTGTCTCATTTTACCGCTTAAACATAAAAATCAATGCTTTGTTCAAACAATTTTTTAATTTATATTTTAAAATGTTGCGTTTGGTCATAATACTATTATAAAGTCTTCATTTTTGTCACCGAATTATTGTAAAGTATTTATTGTGTTTGATCACTGAACTATTGTGAAATATTGCGTTTGGTCACTAAACTATTGTGAAGTCTTGTGTTTGGTCATTATATTATTGTAAAATCTTCATTTTGGTCACTGTGCTATTTTATTTTTATAAATGGTCACTATACTATAATACTTTCTAAATAAAAAATTAAACTACCTTTTAAATCTCTTCTCAAATCCAAATAAAAAACTAAAACAAAACGTTATCCAACCAAGTACATAATCTCTCTGATAGTCATTTTTTCGGTGATTCCACATGTAAATAACATTTTTTTGTTCGATATATTTCCATCTTATAGTTCCAAAGGTTTTTTTTTAGTTACAATATAAGAAATTCAAACCTTATACCAAGAATTCAAGATAGTTACATTTCGATGATAACCTACAACAAACAGATATTGATAGTGTAATGAATGTTACTCCCTCCATTTTTTTTTATATGTCTTTTTAAAGAAATCATCAAAACCAAGAAAGTATTTACTAATGTATTTAAAATACAAAAATACCATTATTCATGGTTTATAAAACTCATCACAAACCAATAAAAATTCATTATCAACACTATTTCATTTCCAATACAGAGGTACTGTTAGAAAAAAATGATCAAATATGCATCGATTTGTAAACACGACATATATTTAAAAAGATTCATTAAAACCTAAAACGATATATAATAAAAAATGGAGGAAGTATATATAATCCAACTAGGATATAGGTTAACTTCAGGGAGTTTTAAGAGTGAACATTGATTTTCATTGGTTCTTTTAAGTTGTTGGAAAAAACACCGAAATGAATGTATTACGATTGTACTCCCTCCGTTCCAAAATAAGTGTCGTTTTAGCAAAATTGAAAAATTTTAAAATAAGTGTCGTTCTCACATTTCAATGCACTTTTTGTCCAAAAATTCCAAAATTATCCCCAAAATAATTAATACAATTGGTGGACATTTTTTTAATGGGCTTAATTAAGGTTATTCAAGTAATTTTGTTATCCTATTAAAGAGTTTCTTAAACTATGTGTGAAGTATAGAACGATACTTATTTTGGAATGGAGGGAGTAATAGATATTTTGTGTGAACGACGCATTTGAAACAACAAACAAGTCCCCGAAAATCATTACTTCCCATCATATGAGTTATTGTCATTTTTTTTTGTTATCATCGGGTTTTGAGTATTTGGGTTCAAGGCTATGGTTGTCAAACAAGAACAACTCAAATGGCCAAATGGGCCTTCACTTTGTGACCAAAAGGTGAAAAGATAAAAGGACTCCATTGACTTGGTTGCATCAAATAATCATTCATTTCAAACCTCCAGCAGTCCAGATGGGAATTATACCTCCTCCACAATCAAAAAAGTTACCAAGCCAATCACAGCATTGTGTTGATTGAAACGAGGACAAACTATAGAAGATCGATAATGAACCATGATGAGTGCAGCTCCAAATAATCGCAGGATTCCAAATTCCAATGAAACACAAACTGACCCCAACCGAGAGAAATCATCTCATATTCACCAAAACGAGTAAGATGAATACTCCTCCTCATTTCGAAATATAAATCGTTTTAGATGTGAAAAAATATTTTAAAATATAGGTCGTTTCAGGTTTTCAAGGCAAATTATTGTTTAATTTCTCAACTTTACTCTCAATAATTGATATTTACGCTAGTATCTTCTAGTCTTGATTATAATTCCAAAACAATTAATGATGGGTAAATTAGATATTTGACACACAAATTAATTGCCAAATAATTGTCTTCTTAGTTTATGTGCTGAGTCTAAAATGACTTATATTTTGAAATGGAGGGAGTATACGATATTTTGTAAACTGGATGTTATGGATCACAAATTTTCAATTACACCTTTTGAATTCCTGAAAGTTTGAAAACAAAAAAATACACACGCATTCACACAATTCAAGGTGCCTGACGACAAAATTGCTACCCATATAATACATCCATTCATCCAGTAAGGAAGGAATATGAAAAGCAGACGATGCCTAATTTACTAGTACTACTGTAATTGTTGCACTTTTTATCTCCAAAAGCTTGCTAATTTCTTACTTACAAAAGTCGAACAACACGAAGGAAAAGAAAGAAAGAAAAAAGACGGAAAACTCGTAAGCTAAAAACCTTAGCGGGACTGATACAAATGTAGACTATTCTTGGCTTCCTCTACTAAATGCTTCACTGTAGGATCACTCATCAGGGGTTCCTGTTTTGTCGTCCACTCAAACACGATGATCACATCTTCCTGAGTGAAAATCTTGCTATCAGGCACATGCATCGCCACGTAACAAAGCAGTATCAGCGATGGAATTTGAACCATTTGTTCCCCGAAATATATCAGGGGAATCAAGTGCTTTGTTCCCCCAGCATCGATGATCGCCTTCGAGTGATTCACGTGCAGGAAATTATCAGTACAGGCAAATTTCGTCAGCGCAATGGCCGCCTCGCAAATGATTTCGGGCTCCCTGTCGTCCAGGAGTTTAACCAGCGGCCCGATGAACCGTGTTTCTGTCGCCCGGAAAGTCCTGGCCAGGCTTCCGATCGACCTGATGCTAGGGATCAGGAGGTCTGGATCTTCTTTCTCGATGATCCGTAAGAACTGGTCGATTACAGCTCGAGCTGCCGGAGAAGTTGGCTTGAAGGCAGATCGGCGGAGTTCCGAATGTTCTTCCGCAACCGCCGTGATTTCCATCAACGCCATTGCTGAATTGTACTGGATCTCGTCCTTGGATTTTTCTAACAGCACCGCAAAACATAAAAGCGCCCTGGATTCCGTAATGCTTCGACAGATTGTCACGTTCCCGGTGCAGAGATGCCAGAGTGCCCTTGCAGCCATTGCTTTCATCTGTGCTTTGGTTATCGGATCTTCAAATTCCCTACCTTTGATGCTTGACCCGGCTAACGCCACATGACGATGTTGATTTTGATGTTGATGATGATTCTGATTCTGATTGGGAGTGTGCTGCCTAGTTTGAACGGCCTGGCCGGTTTTCGGGTTTGATTTCAGGGCCATGGTATCGGCTACCACGTTGTGCATATTGTTCTGCATCTCTTTTCCTCCCGTGGGATGAGCCACTTGAGTCGATTTTGGATCATCATCCTGTGCATTGGCTTTGACGTTATTATTAGCTTCCTGAGCCATTTTAGCCGTCTTGTGGAATCCTCCTTGTTTGACGCTGTATTTGCTGTGTTCCTGAATGGTTTCAAAAGCTAAATGACTCACCAGCAAACGAATGATATTGTTCTGCGCGAAATGATCTTGACAATCAGGATGATTAGCAGCCAATTCTGAGATGGCCCACGCCACCATAACCTGAACCTTCATATGGCCTTCTTTCAGGATCTTCGCAAACACCGACGAAACCCCGGCGTTCACGATGTGTTCCACGCATTCAGGGTCCCTCCCTAACAGACCGATGGCCCTCGCGGCGTTCTCCTGACCTTCCATTCTTCCTTCTTTAGCCAACTTCAACAACGGCGGGATCCCGCCTTCCTCGATTATCAGTTTCCCGTACCGATCGTTGTCTCGGGCCAAGGAAACCAGCGAAGCAGCCGCGTCGGCCCGTTCTTCGATCGACCCAGAGCAGAGGATGGCAATCTGTTCCCAAATCAGGCACAGGATTGGCTCGTTTGCCGCGATCGGAGGAAGCCCCAGATATTCGTCGTCTCGGTCGTCCGCGGGGGCGGAAACACGAAGGAGCCAGGATACATCTCCGATGGAATTCTCGAGCTGTTGGGAGATCTTCTTGATGTGGCCGCTGTTAACAATGGTGAAAACGCGTTTGAGACCGTTGGCCTTGCATTTGAAGATCTGGGTTAAAGCTTTGTCCAAAGCTTGTTCCGTCTCGTAAATGATCCGCCGGGTGGGACGTTCATATAGCTCATTGCTGGCGCGGGCCGCCTGACGGAGCAAGCCCGCGAGTTTCTCGGTCTTGGCTTTGATTTCTAGGCATTCTTGACGGAAGGAGGCAGCCTCGTCGGCTAATTTGGTAACCTGGTCAGCCAATTGTATTGGTTTCGATAGGATTTGTTTGACGATGATATCCGCCATCGCCGCAGCTCAGTACCATTGTTCTCACAATACTCTATCTTCTATATATATATATATACACACACACACATAAACAAGAAGAAAAAATAATTCTTCTAATAATAAGTAATAACAATCAGTTTTTGAATGAGTTAGTAATGGTCGGAAATCCGAAAGGCTTTGATATTGAAACTTGCAGCTATTGGTTTGCCCCGATCACATTTAATGCCAAGGCTGACGTTTGGCATTCATGAGTCGGGACTTATTCTAATAATCCCTTTGTCTTTGTGGGGGTCGGGTCGGGGTAATTTTTTGCTGGGTTGACCGGCGTAACAATAATCTCCAGCTAGAGCTGCTGCAATGCTGGTTATGGTGAGAGAGCGCAATGGGGGAAAACGTGGTTTTTTCTGAGTTTTCTTTGTCCCCTTTTTTTTTTTTCCTTTTTTTCTGTTGTCAGATTCCTAGCATGAATGTAAGAAGATAGAAGATGGATGACTGATTTTGTTTTTCATGAAGAATGAAGAATGAAAGAATGGTTAAGGTTGGTTTGGAATAGCTAAAAATCAGGAATTGAATTTGGGAATTTGGTAGAACAGTTGGTAATTTAAAGAGTCAGAGTACGTTAGAAATATTTTTGTGGTCTTCCTTCCCATCATCCCCATCCCATGAGTGTCCATATTTTTAGCGGAATAACCAAAAACAATCCTAATTTGTTGTATGCTTGTAATACTTGTCCTCATTATTTATTTGTGATTTTACAGCATATACAAATTAATTTTGTATTCCCGCAGTTTGATGCTTTGAAGATCTTGATTTCTTTAACAGAGGCCGCCGATGAGATAACGAGCAGGGGCGGCTCTCCCGTTAGGCAAAATAGACCATCGACTAAGACCTCAAAATTGGGAGGACCCCGTGTGTGTATCTATCTATATATACATGTGTGTATATGTGTGTGTTTGTGTGTATCAATATATGTATGTATATATTGCATATGTATACGTATATATTGGAAAATTTTAGTATTAATAAACATTGATCAATTGTTAAAAAAAAAAAAATCGACTATTCGACATTCATATATGACTTTCTTTATTCTATAGAATAATTAAAAGGTCTCAATACTTTTTTTTTGAAAAGTACAGAAAATATGGGTTTAAAAATGCTATAACTTCAACTATGAAATTGGAGTTAAGGTGGACATAAAACCTAAATTTGAAGAAAAACGTTAAGTTTTTAGAAATACGCAGTTTGATGAAAATATGGAGAATGAAACTATTAGAACCTCTCAAAATTTTTTTAGAACTGATTATTTTCTTTACATAGTTATTAGAGGTATCTCATCACTACAAAGTTGATTTGTTATCTCATTATTACATAGTTAAAATGAACGATTTTTTTTGTTTTCTATTTAGTTTGAAAAAATTAAAATCACTTGATGACAAAAATTTAGAAAAGAGTTGTTTTAACCTTCAAAATACCTTAAAACACAATGATAGTTTAGATATTCGTGATTTAGATTTATTTTATGATCTAAAATTTTAAAGAAAAATTTAAATACTAAGAATTATAATCCAATTGACATATTTAATTATAGAGTGAACCTCAAAACAAGTCATCAATTTTTAATATATTTTCGCTCTAGGTCATCAATTAAATTTATTTGTAGCACAGGTTACCTTACAAAAGTTTTAATCCATTTCAGATTATTCTGTTAATTTTGGTCGTTAAATAGTGACGGAAATCCATTTTTCACATGCTTTTGGGTTTAGGGGTATTTTTGACATTTTATTATTATTTTTTTATTTTTTTATTTTTTAAATCTTTTTAATTTTTTTTTTTACAATTCTTCTTCTTATACTTCCTAACTTGTATACACTGGTAGTATAATTCTAAATTTTAAAAATTTATTTTTCTTTTGTATTTTAACTTCTAGATTATAATTTTTTTTTAAAAAAAATTAAGAAATGAAGAAGAAAAATTCGAGTTAAAGTAAATATGAAAATTAATAATTTACCATTTAAAAAAAAAGAAAAACTAAAAGAATTAGCTAAGATAAATTGTTTCTTCTAGGTTATTTAATTTTGTTCAACTTGATTGAATTATTTAATTATTAATTTTCACGTTTCTTATTCCTTTTTTTTTTCTATATAATCTAGAAGTTAAGATACAAATGACAAAAAAAAATCGTTTTTGAAAATTAATTTGTTATTTGTATATTAACTTGTAGATTATTAAAAAAAAAGAAATAAGAAACGTGAAAATTAATAATTAAATAATTCAATCAAGTTGAAAAAAATTAAATAATCTAGAAAAAACAACTTGTCTTAGCTAATTATTTTAATTTTTTTTTTTATTTTAAAAATGGTAAATTATTTATTTTCATGTTTACTTTAACTCAAATTTTTCTTCTTCATTTTTGAATTTTTTTTAAAAATTTTTATAATCTAAAAGTTAAAATATAAAAGAAAAATAAATTTTTAAAATTTAGAATTATACTACCAGTATATACAAGTTAGGAAGTATAAGAAGAAGAATTGTAAAATATATATATATATAATTAAAATATAAAAAAATAAAAAATAAAAATGACAAAAATACCCCTGAAGCCAAAAACATGTGAAAAATGGATCTCCGTCACTATTTAATGGCCAAAATTAACAGAATAATCTGATATGGATTAAAAATTTAGTAAGGTAACCTGTGTTACAAATAAATTTAATTGATGACCTAGAGTGGAAATATATTAAAGGTTGATGACTTGTTTTGAGGTTCACTCTTAATTATATTAAAAGAAATAAATCTTTTTTCAAATTCTTGTATTGCTTGTAGGATAATGTTAACTATTCACGCAATAGTTGCTTCACCAGAAAAGAATTTCTCAAAACAATTTAACAAAAAAATTATTTAAGATCAACAATGTTACAAGAAAAATTAAATAGATTGACTATTATATCAATATAAAAAAGAGTTAATCGAAGAGATAGATCATGAACATTTTATAAAAGAATTAGCGACCAAAATACTTAGAAAAATTAACTTAATAAAAAACAATATTTTAAAAAAAATGGTAGAAAGATAAACTTAATATGAATTATATTTAGAATAAAAATTTTTTTTACTCCGTCTGCTATAGGTTCATGAGTTGTAGTTACCGGTCTCAAACCTTAAAAAATGAAGCGGTTAATTTTTTTTTTTTTAAAAAAAATCTTTATTATCGAAAATCTTCGATTTGAAAATTTGCCATAAGCCCCCAATAACCTTGAGCCGCCCTTGATAATGAGATAAGAATAATACAATATAATGATCCCAACACCAAATGTGGTGTTGAAGCTTATATATGGCCTTGAACAAGGCATATGCGGATTATCATATAGAAGACTGCAGGGAAAAAGGCGGCAATGATGATATTGATGGCGTCGGAGAGAAAGGTGGTGCACGTTCAGCCCGGGAAAGACAATGCCTTGGCTATTCTCTTACGCATACCTGTTTCTTCAAGTGTAGTAGTACTTCAGTTATATTTTGGCGAGTTTGTTTTACTTCGATGAAGAGGAATTTGTGTACAATTTATAGGAGTTTGAAGTCTAAATTTTGTGTTATAGTAATTTTAAAGTTGATTCTTTTTCAACAAGAACTATTCTCTTCCATTTACATTTCATGGTTACTAATATGTACTACAATTTCTGTTCTAAACAATAGTACGCATGGAGTTTTTCCAAATCTTAGATGTGGATTGCGGAATATATTGAGCTTTAAGGTGTAAGATTATTGGAAAAAAAAAGAGGAAAAACATCAAATAGGGAGTCGCTCCTTCCATTTCAAAATAAGTGTCATCCTACACGTCCGACATAGTTTAAGAAACTCTTAAATAAGGTAATAAAATTACTTGATTATCCTCAACCAATTCTACTAAAAATATGTTTCTCAATAGTATTAATTCTTTTGAGGGTAATTTTAAAAAATTAAGACATAAGGTGTATTGAAATGTAAAAACCACATTTATTTTAAAATTTTTTTATTTTTCTAAAACGACGCTTATTTTAGAACGGAAGATTAGTAGATTTACAATACACCAAGCATGTGAGAGACGATCAATACCAAAAGAGGAAGTTTTGGAGAGGGCCCTACAACTGGCCCAAATTGACTCCGGTCTCACAAAAACAAGGAAAATGACAAAACACAATATCAACCTCAATTAGTTCCTAGTCCTCCTTTTAGGCTGCTACGTTGTTGTACCATTCGTTGCGCTGCAGTAAATTGCTATCAATTACCAAATCAGACGAGTGAGTACCGAAATCTGTGACCTGCTTCCCGGTTTCAATAAAAAATACTCCCTCCGTCCCATAATTATTGTCCACTTTGCCCAAAAAATTTTGTCCCAAAATTATTGTCCAATTTGATTTTTTATGGATCAAGTTACACATTTGTCCTTAGTAAAAAACATTATCCATAAAATCTTAGTGGTTAAACAATTACTTATGTAAGGGTATATTCGGTTGTTTAAGGTAAAATATAGTTAAGTTTGACCAAAAATAAAATCTTTCATTTTAGTAAAACTGGACAATAATTATGGGACGGAGGGAGTAGTACTCTTTCCTTCCGTCCCATATGTTTTAGTTTTCATTTCTAGTTTAATTTGTATTAAAAGTAAAATTTTAAATTGGAAAATAATTTTAAGACAAAGAGAGTAACAAACTGGTTACACCGATTAATATAGGCTTATTATAGCTTTTTTATTAGTAACTTTCCTTATACACAATGTAAATTGTCACAAGGGAAATTCGATTTTTCATAAACTTTTCTTACTTGTCTTAGTGCTTACTGCTTAGTAATACGGTTACATAAGGGAACTCAGTTGTTCTTTTGCACAAGCGCATTGTTCGTGGAACATGTGAGCAAAGCTTACTTCACAGCATTCTTTCTCTCAAGTGTTTTTTTTTTTCCTTTTTACAATGTGCTGATTTTTGTACTATTTTTGCTAGAATGTAATTGAATTGAAAATGTTTGAAGTTTTATATCAATTAAAATTTATAAATTTGTAGTTAGACTCATGACTCATAAGTCACTATCTTTATATTATTCATTTGGCGTGTATATATCATTTCCCAAAATATACCTTACATATTTGAAATATTTCTTATAAAGTAGTAATAAAATTAGTGAAAGGCAGATTATTAATTAAAAAAAATACACCAACTTTAATAAAAAAATCAGAAGAGCAGAGGAGTGTAGGACAGGTGATGTTGATGGTGTTACATTAACGCAACCTGTTTCCCGCGCCATCACCATAAACCTCACCGTCTTCCGCCTCTCACCATTTCCGGCAGCGTCTCCTTTCCATTATCATCCAACCGGATTCTTTCTATTTGCCTTTCCGCCGCCAGGTTGCATTCCTTTATTTTCATTGTTTTCTTTTAAAAGTTAAAACCCTGCTTCTGAGTTTCTTAGTTGGTTTTTGATATGGGTAATGCGGTTTTAATTTTTTTTTTTCTTTTCTCTATGTTCTCGATCACTGTTAAAGGTTGAATCTTCCCCTTGCTTCTTCTGGGTTTCTTTTCCTTCACCGTTGCATTTTTCTTTTTAGTTGAATTTTTTAGTAGGGTTTTCTATTTTCTGCCCCCTTTATCCTTTTTTTTTTTTGGGAGAAAGGGGGGGGGGGGGTATCAGGAATTGAATTCCTTGATATCGTATTGGAATTGGACACTGCTTACTTAGATGACCGAGTTGGTTGTTGATTGAACGTATTCTTGAGTTCGATGTTGATTTATTTTGTAGTGGAATTGAGTTTCACTTACTGGGTTCCATTTTAGAAATTTGGAGATGAATGGTTTATGTATGGAGTGTTGAATTCTTTAATGATCGTTTGCCGACTTTGACGCTTTTCTTTTTTCTTTTCTTTATTTTTTCCATTTCTGTTTTTTTTTTTTTGTTTTGGTTGGATTGCTGATCCCAAGAGCTGAAGGAAAAAGATGTTGTACTACTTGCTAAGTATGGTTTGGTTTGCTCCTGAAGGTGTTGGGTTTTTGCGAATTCTCATTTTGTAGTTTGGTTATAATTCGTGATGTCCTTTTACGAGTTAAGAATATGCTTGGGTTGAGGACCTGCTGTTTCTTTCACTTGGGAGCTATACATGAGTAAATTATTCGCTGCATAGTAATATTAAGTGATTGGGTTTGTTTAGTTTACTGATTGAGTTTCTTGTTTTCATGGATTTCAAAGGATGGTGGCTGGAAGAACACACCCATTTAATGCTCAATCTTCCAGGAATCTTGGGAAAACCCACCTTGGTGGTGTTGTATTTGGTTGCAAAACAAGCACCATGAAAGAATGTCTTGTCAATCAGTTATTTGGTATGGCATCTAGTCATGATATTTCAAGCTTTGTGCTGTTAAATGTAACTTTTCTACGCCAAAACCATTTTACTGTATGCCGTTCATGGCTTGTATTAAGTTATGCATGTAGTAATCCTGTTATTTCTTTTGTTCCACGTTTTGACAAAGTCATTTTGCTCTATGCCTTGGTGCATTTAGATTTTAGACTACTCGACTCAACAATGCCTTCTTCATTGGCAGGCCTGCCGGCTCAGCATTTCTCGTATGTGAAGAATATTATTCCCGGATTGCCCCTATTCCTATTCAATTATAGCGACCGTACACTTCATGGAATCTTTGAGGCAGCAAGTGCTGGTCAAATGAATATAAATCCTTATGGTTGGACATCAAATGGTTCTGACAGAACACTCTATCCTGCCCAGGTCTGGAGTAGTGATTTATTTTCGTGGTGTTACGTTTTCATGAATGTGTATGTCTGAACTCTTTAGAAATGCCTGCATACTAAAAGCTAGCATTTTTCCAAAGGTTCAAATACGCTTACGTCTACAATGCCAGCCCCTGAGAGAAGACCAGTTCAAGTCAATTATTCTGGACAACTACTATAGCCCAACCCACTTCTGGTTTGAGCTTGATCATGCTCAAACTTGTAGATTGATGTCCAAGTTATCTGCTGCAGTAGTTACTCCTCCCGTTTCCCTAGTACCACACAGCAATGCAAAGTCGATTCCTGTAGTTCCAGACAACAAGAAGGGGCAGGAAACGGGAGCTCCTAATGATTCATTAGTCTCAAGGAGCAATTTAACCAATTTCCAAGACTTGGATCATCATCAAGATGCTGTTAATAATGAGGAAGTGAAGGACACTATTTACATGAAACTAAAGGAGTTAGCTCAAAGGAACCTTGAATTCTCTGATGCACCCAAGAGGGATTGTGTAGGAGGAGAAATATCCACTGCCAGTGAAGAGAAATCGGAGGAAGAATCTTTGCCGACACAAATTTCTGGGGAGAGGAGCGACAGCTATTCTGGAAACTCTTTTGGCCTTTGTAATCCTGGTGCAATTATTGATCAGGTGCTTTGTTTGATAATGATATTTTTCGGTTTGCATTCTCTGTGAACGAGTTACCTGTACCTTGTAGTGCTTTTTTTTTTGTTCATATAAGGGTTCAGTTTTTCTATATAAATGTTGCAGTTGCTCACTGACATACGAGAGCTCAGGGCCTTCCAAGAAGAACAGATTCAAAAGTCAAAGCATGTGGAACATAAGCTGGTATATATTCTAAGCCTTTACATTTGCAGTAGTGTTTGACTCAATGGTTAAGGGTTCCCTCTATCAGCTGGCCAAGGAATTTTTACATGCACTTCCTGGTTTGATTACTTGGAAAGGATTCTTGACAAAACTTCATTCCAAATTCACCATGAAGATGTTTACATCTGTTAAATACGCATGACCCTGACTCTACGTTATATAAATGAAAAAGGCTGATTTGATTTTAAAAAATGCTGTGTCTTTTAAAGATGATTGCCATGACGAATCAGAGAAACACAAGTACCTGATATTCACTTAACCTCCATGAACTTTTGAAAGTTCGTTTGTTTTCATGAAATGTTGGCAAAGGAGTTGCATTTATTCAATATATCATGTTGTGTACTTTTCTTTTTCTTTATATATATATATATATATATATAACTTGGTCGTTAGGTATAAGTTGAGATTTTGGCATTAGGTTTTTTTTTGTCTGTTTTGTTTTTAAAATCAGCCTCCTCCTTTTTTTTTTTTTTTTTTTGTTTTTGTTTCTGGTTTGGGGTTAGTGAACACGTATTAAGTCAGATGTTCAGTTTTTTTGCATTGCTTTCATTTAACTTTCCCTCTCTAACGTCCCAGCTTGCGGCTGAAAGAGAAATCATCCAACTAAAGAGCAAAGTGATGATTTTGGAGTCAAAGTCAAATGCCGGTATTCAACTGGACTTGGGTGAATCAATATTTCTGGTGGGTGGATATGATGGTTCCTCATGGTTGTCAGCACTGAATTTGTACTGTCCTTCTCGGGATGTGTTAAAATATCTTAAACCAATGGATTGTGCTCGGTCATACTCATCAGTAGTGAAATTGAATGGAGAACTTTATGTGATTGGTGGTGGAAATGGTAGCGGCAAATGGTATGACACAGGTACAGATCAGTGTTCTCTCTCTTTCTTGTCTCTCTCACATCCTCTCTCTCATCGCCGATTTTTGTTCTATTTGTGAAGTTGAATCATATAACCCAGTTGATGATAAATGGTGTCCGCACCCCTCATTGAATGAGAAGAAAGGGAGTTTAGGTGGTGCTGCTTTGGACCACAAAATATATGCAATTGGTGGTGGTAATCGAACTGTAAGTTTGTCGAATGTTGAAATGTACGATATAAATGTTGGACGATGGATTCAAACCCGGTCGATGCAACAAAAGGTACATAAATATTTATCAAGTATGTGGTAGCAACTTTCTTATGTATTTGTTAAGTTCTTTCTCCCAGCATTTAGAACTATTTCAGTACATTATCTTCAAGGTCAGGCTTGCACTTATCTTCTTGTTTGGAGAACTCTCATGACCTGATAGCATTAAAAACAGCTAACAATCTCAGTGTGTAATTTAATATGTTCCATCATCACTGAGAATTGTGATTTGGTTGATGTTCAGCCGCGTGATACTAAATTTATGATAAATAAAATTGTCAAATGCTCTCAGGGATCTCTCTGAAGCTGGAGTTTTTTTTTTTTTTTAATGCTCATAAACTTATTAAGGGTTTTGTGCTGCAAACTGGTAGCTTTGTTTGACCGATTGATAATAGTAGCATATGCTGCCTGTCGGACCATGTAACTATCTTCTTCACCTTCAAGTTTGCAAATGTTAATAGTACATTCTAACCAAGTCCATATCTTCCAGCGATTCGCTCTTGCTGCCACGGAGCTCAATGGTGTGCTTTATGCTGTTGGTGGGTATGACGGGGATAGTTATTTGGAGTAAGCCACGGAATCTAATTTTCTCTCTTGTACTAATTTTTGGAATCAAAATATTAATTCATTTTTCTTAGGAGGACTCAGTAATGTGTTCTTGAGTTTCTCTCCCAGATCTGCAGAGCGGTTTGATCCAAGGGAACATTCTTGGAGCAGTATCGGCAGTATGAATGTGAAGAGGGGCTGCCACTCACTTCTTGTTTTGAATGAGAAGTTGTAAGTTTGGCGTTCTTTTAAATTTTGTTTGTGTATGATTGTATTAACCGTGTTAATGTTTGGAGTTGTCTTCCTTCTCATGTCTTCCTCTTCAACCAAAATAAGAAAAAAAAGGAACGGTTCCAGTTTTGCTGACATGTGATTATTTAATTGCTTAAAACAGATATGCACTGGGCGGATTTGATGGAAGTGCAATGACAGCAACTGTTGAAATTTACGAACCTCGAATGGAGAAATGGTATTATGGTTCGTCAATGAGCCAACCCCGTGGATATTTATCTGCTGCTGTTCTTAAGGACTCAATTTATGTGATTGGAGGTGTCAATACTGCCAACGGAGAAATAACAGAATCGGTAGCTACATATTTTTCATCACTTCCCTTTACTTTTTATCTTTTAAGGCATGGGTTTACATCCAGACATTATCTGCCCTATGCAATGCCACAGATTGAATGTTACAAGGAGGACAAAGGGTGGAAGACGGCCAACTTGATGGGGGCTGGAAAGAGATGCTTTTCCTCAGCTATTGTCTTTGGTGAAGACTGATATTTATGTAAAAAAGCTAATGAGTTTGGTTATCAGAAGAGTTTCAGGAAATGATTTAAGACTTGCGGAACTTGAAGATTGTAAAGCAGTAAAGCTCTCCTAATTGAGAATCTAACATAGGTTTTCAAATTTATCTAGAGAAGAAATAGCATGAGAGTTAAAAGGCCTCAAGTGTTTCCTCTTGATCTTTTCAGTGAGTAATGGAGGTGCAATTTCTTTTCTGTTCATTTTCTCAAACGTGAAACAACACTTCTGTTGACAAATTTGGACAGCTAGCATCGAATGAATCCTTAGTCCTTACAATTTCCCATAGTATTTTGAGTCATTACAATTTCGTACATCGATATTTACAAACTTGAGAACACGGGACCTTGAACCTCAGTTCAAAGTACATAAATAAGCCCTAACCTGCATAGACACAAATAACTTCATTCTAGACAAATGAACTACTCATTTAACTCTCCTTGAGAGATATACCACTTTTTCTTCAGATAGTTTAATCAGCTTGCCTGTGGGTCCCTTGAAGGTTTTAGACCTAGAAACACCCTTCGATGGCAATTCCAATGCGGCACAAACCTTCAAAGTGAAACAAGAGATTTTAGGAGTTCTATAAAATGGCGCAACAACAGTGGACTCCCTCCTTTCATCATCGCATCCACTACTTAGGCCATTCAGTTCTAGGTACTCGCTTAGCTTCTCATGGAGAGTCATCTTTAGCCATACCCGACTATTGCTTGAGATATTGCACAGAGTGATTTTGCACGGTATTCCAACCGGAAGCCCTGAGATGTAATGGAGAGGGTTCTCAAAGTCGTTGTGCAGATCGAGATCCACTTTCACATGGAAAAGGGTTCTGGTGAACATCATAAACTGCCTCAACGAGTAATGCTCAGTAGATTTTTGCAGCAAATATAGATTATCTAATGCCGAGTCCATTGAGTGGTCAAGATCATAGTGACGAGATATGATGCATGAAGCTGATCCATCATGCCCCGCTCGACCAATTTTACCTAGGGCCTTCTGAAGCTCAAGAACGTAACCCGAAACTTTAGCTGATCCGCTTCCTGCAACAAGATGTTCCATCTGAGCAACTATAGAACTTAACTCCTCCAGATAAGAACGCAAACAAGCTTTGAGACTGCATACTTGCAATGTATATGCCACAAGAAGTATCTCCAGAATGTGCACCTCTTGCTCATTGGTCAAACCTATGAACTTATACCTCATTTCATTGAGATTTGTTTCCAGCTGTGCCAACAGGACCTCCAATATTCCCAATCCCCTGGAACAGGACCTCAAGGGAAACATACGGTGCATCCATACCCTTCCAAGCAATTCTATGACGTCTAGGTATTGCAGAACAAAAACCGTCTCTGCTGTTGGTTCAGTTGAATCACGGGTCAATGCCTTTAACTCTTTCTTCCAACCCCTGCACAAACCAACAAGTGAAACATTTTATTAATCTCTGCAAGTTAAATTTGGAACCCAGGATGGAATTAGGCATGACGGAACATGTCAGACCTTATTTAAGGTCGGCTTTGAACTTGAAAAGGAAGATTAAGGCAATTTGCAACAAACTAAACAAGTATACACGTTCCAGCAACCAATTCATTACCTTAAGATTCTAGTAGCTTCGTCAATGAATCCAGAGTGTACTAATGGCCAAACATCATGAACTTTTTCGATGATGTTACTCAAACAGTTTGCCGTTTCATCATATATATGTTGTGGTTCAAAATACTTCGGGAAATAACTTCCTGAAACACCGTTAGTCTTTTCAGAAAAGAACACATCCCTTCTCAACAAAGGGAATATTGGCCCTCCTCTGGAGAAATCAAAATCTGATTGAAATGAAAATTGACTGCATTGAAAAAGACGTGACAAAAGGTCATTCTGGTTTAAATGACCAGCCAAACTATGACAGACTCTCCCCAGTAATGTTGATGCATAAGAGAATATTCTAGGTGGAACGCTGCAAATAGATTGTTCAACAGAAACTGGAGCAGAGATGGCCAAGACTAGCAAGGCAACTGTTCTTACACTCTCAAATCGCAATGTTCCTCCAAAGGAAGGTTCTATCTGATGCACATGTAGCAACATATTCAATTAAACTCCGTTGGAGAAAGATAAAAGTTCATTGGAGTCCCGAGAAATGGACCACAAACGAAATGAAAGCAACACATTAGATTAATTGCATATAAATAATGTTTACCTCTTCCACTGTTTTCTCAATAAGGAGGACAACAAACTTCCCATGGTTTTGACCAATACAAAGGAAAACAAACAGCAAATCAGCTTCGTCCTGAATATTAGCAAAGAAAAGGTTTGTTATTATAATGGAAACAAATGATGATGCATGATAAATGATTTCATTATGTAGATCATTTCATCGAAGGGAAAATAATTAGAAGTGGTAATCTAGTTGTATTTTATAATGAAAACACAGTTGTGTATGACAAGACAAATAAGTATTCTTGACCAACGGACTTTCCTGGTTAACAACAGTACCTGTGGATACTCTTCCATATTTCTCACAAGGCCTTCAAAACATGATTTAAACATTGAGAACCGGTGCAGTTTCACCAGTTCAAGAACCTTTCTCACTGCAGATCTTATCAAGGGACTACTATCAACTAGAGTCCCCAGCAACTGCAATAAAAAAATGCACAACATTCAGCCCTAAATCGGAAAACAAATTCATGAGAATGTACTTGCGCAGCATATACTAAGCTTGCAATAGAATTCGCGATATAATAACGGATCAAAGGTCCAATGAAGATCTTATATTTCAACCAGCACGGTGTTAAGGATAACTCTTAATCTATAATCACAACGTGAAAACGAACAGGTAGGAAACCTTTAACATTGAAGATCAATAAAAGGTACCTATGGATCAAATTAAATGTCACCTGGCATTAAGGTATAAAGAAAGATGAAGTTAGAGCAAATTTTATGACTTTCATTGAGAATTACCATGTGCAGGTGTCCTTCTTGCACTTTGAGAAGGTCAGACATAACCATTTGAAGCATTGTATCCAAAGCTTGTAAGCGTAAATCCACTGAATCATCATTAAGCATATCCATAAGTAGAGTTACAGCTTCATGAGCAAAATCAGCAGAAAGGGTGGCCAAATTACGCAAGGCAATGCAGGCAGATCTTCTTACCTTCAATTCAGTAAATATTGTTGTAAATAATCATCCTTTCCCAAAAATTCTTCTGTACAATAGTAAACAGGAAAAAATGAACCCACAAACAATGATCATAAAAAGTCCATGCAGGTGACAAATAATAAAGTGAAAATGATTCGACAGAAAATGAACAAACGACCCATACTTATGAGGACAGCAAAACATGTAATCCTCAAGCTGCAAACAAGAAAAGCTGAAGCAGATAATTCTTGCCTCGGGGAATTCATCCTCCAAGCCGTGAACAAAAGCAAAAGCAACGTTTGATGCTGGCAATCTGAACAGTTTGTCCGTATACCGGCCAGGATAACTCTTTTCCTTTGTGGCCGATGAGACTTTCTTAGACAGTGTCTGCAATAAAATTCCTTCTGAGACTATTTCGACCCTAGCTAGAGCAGTAAAAGCTTCAAGTCTGACTTTCATGCTCATGTCCCTCACCATTGAGCAAAGCTGTACAAAACATCAAAAGAATCAGCAAAGCAAGAAGATTCAGGTTTGTCCGGGTCAAAATATTCTGTCACAAAACACAGCTGCACTTCTATCATCAGCATATAAAATGAAAAAACTACCTGTACAAAGAGAGTGTCTGACCACTCCAATTTCCATTTGTCTTGGTTGGCCTTCACAAGTAAAGGACCCCACTCACTAACCTGGAGAAATAAAAAGAACAGATCATATTAGCACTTCCACCATAAGCCTAATGATAAGTCTGATCACATATATACTACAACATGCAGGAACATTAAGATCTAATCGCAGCTCTTATCCGATTATGTGGGTTAGATATATGGGAACCAATTTCCCGGTCTAGATCAGATATACCATGAGTCCTTCCATAATTTCTTTCGAAAATGTACCTTTTGCATCACAATGAAATTCAACAATTCAAAGTTCCAAAACCACAAAAAAGAGAGGAAAAGGACAAACAGATGTAATCCATTAACATTGAAGCACAGCTCCAGAAAACTGTCCGGAGAAAGCTCGAGCAGAATGGATTGATCAACTAATTTGCTTAATGTGCATATAAAATCTTGGGAATTACTGACCCAATTCCCAGAAGGAACTATGTGCAAGGCAGCAATGGAAACAAAACCTTGATGCTAGGTGCAAAAGACAAATAACATTGAAAAAATCACTCACAATGTAGATTCATTAAATTTAAATAGGTTTCACCATAAAACAGGGAAGTTACCACGCGAACGGCTGAGCACCTAACGAACTCGTCCGCATCAAAAAGAAGCTCCGTGGCGCGGAAATAGCAACCTTCAACCAGACTCTGATCTTCCGTCGCCTCCACGAATTTGGCCAAACAAACCAAAACATCCAAAGCTGCTTTCCGAGTTGAAGGATACGGATCCTTTGTAAACCCGAGCATTACCGTAATCAAAACCGACGGCCTCAAAGTAAACCTACTAGCATTCCGCAAAAGCCAATGCCGTTGGGAAGGCCTCAGCGGGCGGAAGCATAGCGAAAGGAACAACGACTCGTCTGCCACATCATTAGAAGGATCGTCGGTTGAAAAGAGTATGGAGAGGGAGTGAGTTATGGAGGAAACGGGAGTGGGAGGAAGAACAGCAAATCGGCGGAGTACGGGGAATATTTCGCGGCGGAGGTCGTTGCTATGGTGGCGGGAGAGGGCGTAGAGGAGGGAGATTATACGGCGGGGGTGATAAGTAGAGTTTTGGAGGTTGAGAATTAAGGAGTTCAGGAGAGAAGATAAGGTGGATATGGAGGTGGAAGGGTTGGTGATTAGAGAGAGGGCTATACCATGGGAATCTGCGAGTTCGGATTGGAGGTTCTGAGCGGCGGCGGACATGAGGCGGAGCTCCATTTGTTATCTCCTCGCCCGTCGCCGGCGGTGGCTGTGGCAGAATAGCGGGATGATTTGGGGACAATCACAGGGTTTAAGCAGCCAAACGAACTTTCTTTTCTTTTTTTTTTCTTTTTTTTTCCCTCTAAACAAAATATACTTGTAATTCCCTCCAAAAGAAAAACAAAACACACACACACACGCTATACCATCTTCAGTTTTTCCTTGCTAATTTTGCTCCTTTTCCAGGCTTCGAAAGTGTTTTTACATATTGTCCAAAAAGGCATTGTAAGTAATATTACTAGTAGTTTCATGAATACTATAGTTCAAAAATTTCAAATATTTTCAATTTTTGCAAAAAATAAAAGACATTTTCGTGGAAATGATATGTTCAGCTGTGGACATCCAGCAAAATTTAAATATTAGTATAGATGAAAATTTAAATAGATATTTGGATTTTCAAAGAAAAAAAAGGGAGGGGGAGGGGGGAAGGATGTTTATTAGGATTTTGAATTAAGGGGCCGATTGAAAATTAATGATAAGATCAATTTTAATTATAAAGATGTTTGATGCGTACTATCTCGCACTTACTGTTATTTTGCTCAAAATTAATAGTACGTAAAATTTATTTTAACAGTTCAATCATTTAATTTTTTTCATTTTAGTGAATGGCGAATAATAAATCAACACACAATTGAGTCAATTGATGGTCTAACTGTATCACGCTGTCATTCCATCAAATCTCGTTTAATATTTCTATGGGATGACAATTTTTGAACAATACTGTCATTTTTAATACAACTACTAATGTGGATTGACATAAAGATTACCACAAATCGTAGACAAAAACATATCGTGGATATATGATTTTATGTATATACATGTTGAATGTCAAATTGTCAATAATGTTGCGTGTGTAGCTAATTAATCCGAGTCATCATCCATGTGGTTTCAAATTAACAACATACAGTATCTAGCAACTGCCGTAATTAATTCATCGTGAAGTTGAGTAACTATTTACTGCCGCATTTACTTGAAATCAGCGTTTGATATAAGACATTTTGATTTGTCATACGTTTCACCTAATATACATTTTTAATTGATAAAAAAATATTTTTAAAAAAATACATAACGAACACAACAAATATAAAATAGTATATTTTTAAGATTTTTTTGTTAATTAAAAATGTGCAATAAGAAAAATTCAGGAGAGTATGGACTATGGACTAGACCCGTGATAATCCGTTGAAATTCAATTCAAAATTTGAAGTTGAATTTTATTTTATTTTAGATAGAGGAATACAATTACAAATGATGAATAATTGAATATAGATAGTTTACATTAGGCAGCGGAAAAATCACAAGTTAAAAAGTTAAAAGAAATGCAGCTATCACAATTTGGAGCGAGTGTGGTTGGGAGTGCTTGCGGATTTGTGAACCTTAAGCAAGAACCGAGTTCTTGGAACGCATAGTTTGTCCTGGAGAATGGAACCGATTTCGGCAATGAGCTTCCTCTTAACTTCCCGGTCAACGGCGTCAAGAGATATAATCTCCGCCAGCGCCGCCGGCTCTTTGTTTCCGCCAAAATGTATCGGCACTGAGCCTCTCAGCACCACCATCACAAACTGCAAATCACACATAAAAAACGATGATTACTAATAAACGCCTTTTTTTTTTTCCCTCTTTGTAACAATGAAGGATCAATGGAAGAGGCCATAGACTACTGATAAATCAAGGAGGTAACGTACGTTTTGGGGCTTTCCCATGATGGCGGCGACGGTGGAGGTGACGACGGAGAAGAAGGAGTCGATGTCGACTCCGTCGATGTTGACGTTGGTGGCTATGTCTAGGCAAGGCATTCTTTAGCCCTTTATCTTCTGGTTGTTGTTTCTTTTGTGTATTTTTGTAGTACCCCCTTTCTTCTTCTTTGCCTATGATGGCTCAACTTTGGACTTGATATATATATATATATATATATATATATATATAGATAAATCTCTTACAAGTGTACAACACAACTTGATATAGAGAATATGTTTATGAGCTTGATGGCAGTCTGACCACTCCTATTACAACTTGTGTGTATCATATTTCCAAATATACCACGTAAGTTGCCACTTCCGGAGGTTCATAATTATTCCATATATATGTACGTACTTCTTCTTTAAACTCTTTTACGCGGTCAATTGTGGTCCGTTTGACTACTGGTCGAATGCGTGGAATGTGTAAAAATATGCCAAAAAAGAAAAAAGCTCTTAATTATTATTATAATATTTACATCACAGGAAAATAATTAGGTTTTCTCTTTTATAAGTATCATAATCATATTATTCACTAAAGTATCTTACTTTATGAATGTGTTAGTTTTAAACAAAAACCATAAAGTGCGTAGCAAACCTTTGAAAAATGAATTGTATTTTTGATCTTACACGTTTTTTTTTTATTATTATTATTAATTTTTTTTTTGTAGAGTGCTGCAAATTTTATTAATGTAAGTTACTATGTTGTGCAAGAATTTTCATAATGGAAAACATACGTAGTGTACACGTGTACCACTCGTTGAATATATTACAAAATAGAAGTATTTCATCCATCATCCATTCCTGTATGAAAATCATAAATTTCAAAGTCTTCGCGGTATAACAATTATTTCATTATGTTCGTTCTTTTTCTTCTTTTTTTTTTCTCTTTTTTAATTACTCTCAAAAATTCAAATAGGTACGCTAAGGACTCACACGGGACGCTGGCATATGAATCCATTTGACTGAGTTGGAAACAGTAAGAAAATCAATCGCGTTGGAAACATTTTCTCATAGTCTATCTCTTTTTCCTTTTTTTCCTTTTTTTTTTTTTTTCCCTATTGGCCATGTAAAAGAAGTGTATAGATTATGTAAATATTAAAGAGGTAATAGTATTATTTTAAAACTGAATACAACACGTTCAAAAGTATAAATAGGGGATAACTAAATATTATAAATCTTGTTAATGATGCTTGAAGCAGGGAGTGTAACGCTCTATAAGAAAAAACAAAAATTCTCAAATTGACAACATACTGCAATGAGTAAAAGTTGCGAATTTCAAAAGAAGTTTTTCTTTTTTTTTTTCTTTTTCCTTTCCTATGAATAATTATATTGTTTTAGATAAAGATTAAATTTTTGTTAAATTATCTTTACATGCTACATATATAAGTAGCCATTTAAAAGAAAGGGCAAAAAAACACCCAGAGAAGTTGACTCCTGTCAGCAGCACATATTGGTAAACATTAAAATTTCAAACATAACCATAATATACATTCACTTCATTTTCTTTCTAACAATTATCTCATTTACCACTTGTTTGTTAGATTTTGTTTTGGTATTTTTAATCCATTCGTTAAAACGGTGTAACCCACATTATATGCTCTATATTTTTTAAGGAAAAAAATAGCATGTCTTATTGTAAAACATGAATTATTAAATTGAGAAGAAAAGTATGACTTGAATTAGGACAACAAACGGGCATTCATAACTCAGCACACTCGCTTTGGATACTTTTAACCTCCCTCTAACATAGTAATAACCTTACAGAAAATGACCTGTTAGAAACTAAAAATAACCCCAGTAAATATAAAAAGTAAAAGCGTAATGGGTGTTATAAAACAAAAATAATCCCAGTGGCTTTTTCGACAATTCAGGTGGAGTTTCTAGAATAGTAGAACGTGACCCGGGCATCAAGAAAATGTTATCTGGCCGGGTACCCGCACACTTAACACTCCCCAAGTCCCAAAAGGCCAAAAAGCCGCAGAAAATCAGAAGAAGAAAAGAAGGAAAAGAAGGAATGCCGTGCTTGAATTTGTCGACCAACGTTAACTTGGAAGGCGTTGATACTTCCGCTATTCTCTCCGAGGCCTCAAAATCTGTCGCCAAAATCATCGGCAAGCCCGAGGCCGTATGTAAACCTTTACTTGTCTCAATTCCACTCTCGTTTTTCTTTTTGTGAATTTTCTCGGTTGTTTTTTTGGGTTTTATTCTCTCTTTTTTTTTTTTTTTTTTTTTTGAATTTTTGAGCTATTTCGTATGTGGGTTTGTTTCCATATGGTTTTGGTAAGGTTGAGGGGAACTGAATTATTGGGAACTTGGTCGTGTACTGAAATGCTGGAAATTTCAAGGGTTTTGTCACGTATGCTAGTTTTAGTTACGATTCTATAGTTCTCCTGCAATTCGTGCTCACTTGTGATTGAAATTCTTCCGCCCTTAAAGTGTAAGACAAGGAATACTTCGCCCGAGTGGCTGAACAACTTAAATTATATACTACCATTACTAATTACTCATTTTTAAAGATCCCCTTGACATTCACTTTCACATTCTGAAGTCATTTTAGTTTTTTGCTGCGAAAGGGATTATGCAAAACTTATTCAATTTATGGGCTTATCGGATGTATTATTTTAAAACTTGTCCTATATTTCAATACGAACCTGTAGGCTGTTGAAGTTAATTTGATTTGCAATGTGACTGGCGATAATCCCTTGGTCAATCTGCCAAGTTTAGTTTGCGATGCCCGAATGAGGAGGATTTTCTGATTTGATTTTTGATTCAGTTACTCTACACGCCACACTCACAGGAAGTTTGTTCGCCGTATCCTTCTTATAAGTTCGTAAACTTCAATGCACTACTTGATGGATTGTTCCTCTAATGTTAAGGCTAGCATCCTGGAAACTAAATAGCACATTGCACTTGGTTAGGGTATTCCAGGGCAGGGTTGTATCTCACCTTTTGCATTGTGATTGTGCAGTATGTTATGGTTGTACTGAAGGGATCTGTACCGATGACCTTTGGTGGGTCTGAGCAGCCAAGTGCTTATGGAGAGTTGGTTTCAATCGGGGGACTCAATTCTGACGTGAACAAGAAACTGAGTGCTGCAATAGCCACCATTCTTGAAGGGAAGCTGAATGTGCCCAAGAATCGATTCTACTTGAAATTCTATGATACTAAGGCAAGTAAACAAATATCAGACTTCAATTATCTTGCTGAAATGTATGACTGCAACGCATGTATATGCTCATTGCATTGTTCCCCTATTTTTTTGCTTTTAGGCCCATCGAAGTCAAGATTATGCCCAGTGTCTGCATGCTTTACACCAGTACTAGCTCATGTAATTTGCTTTGCTATTTAGAGTCATTTGTAGAGCTTTCGCTTTCTTTGTTTTCTGATTGCGACGGACATAATATCACCATGACAAAACATTAGATGCCTAAAAAGAGCTTTTGGGTGTCTCTAATCTTGAGGATATTGTCATGTTTAGGCTCATTTTTTGGAGCTTTACAACTTGCTATTCTGTACCTTTGATGTCGCCAGTGAACCAGATTAAATGAAACTTAATATAGCTCAAATGGCATGGTTGACTAATGGCGCACTAGTTGAATTTGGCCATCTTCTTATATACAACTGGAAGATTTGTGTCTAAAGTATGACTGACGGAAAGTTACAGACTAAAAATGCCAAAAACGATATCCCTATGTTTCCCCACAGACGGAATTCTTATAAACTGATTGGTTGCCAAATTATTATGTTTGCAGGGTTCCTTCTTTGGATGGAATGGTGCCACTTTCTAGGTGTCTGGTACTCTGGTAGCCATGTTGATCATCTTGGGCAGAAAGAACTATGTAGTCATAAAATGCTACTTCATGGGCCATGACTGGTGTCCTCTCTTAAATACTGTCTAATTAGCTAATTATTGTCGATCATCCATTGTGGGTGTATGCACTTTAAAATTCTCAGTATGTATGATCATGGGAGTATCAAGTATGAAGCACGGACTTGTTATTTTTTAGGGGAAAAGAGTTTCAATGCTTTAGTTACTACTTCATCCTTCTCATTTCAATTCATCCGCATACATTTATTATAAAATGGACTGTTAAGATGGGGAAAACAGATTATAAGTAGAATGAGAATGGTGCTTAGGTTGCTTGCCTTTGAATGAAAAGTCTGTCTACCCTACACCCTGAACCCACGCACAAACACCTGAATATTGTGTGGCTGAGTGCTCTTTAATTATCTCTTGATAAAATGTAAATTTATTATGACTATCCCTATGTTAAACGCAATTGTAAATGGTAGAACTTGTTTCCGTAATAAATACTCCATCTGTCCTATAATTATTGTTCACTTTGCCCAAAAAATTTTGTCTCAAAATTATTGTCCAACTTAACTTTTTATGGATCAAGTTGCACATTTGTCCTTAGTAAAAAACATTATCCATAAAATCTTTGTGGTTAAACAATTACTTATGTATGAGTATATCCAGTTATTCAAGGTAAAATATAGTTAAGTTTGACTAAGAATAAAATCTTTCATTTTAGTAAAACTGGAGGACGGAGGGAGTAATAAATATCTGTGTTTTCAAATAGAAATGTTATTAATTTTGTTTAAATAGTAAGGGAAATTGAATTTCAAGTTCCCTAAGTGAAAGACGCGGTTTAGCTAACCTACCGTTCATCAATTTGAGACTTGAGAGAGAGGTCACATGGCTATTGCACCGTTGGATTTGATGATTTGGTACCACCGACGAAATTTCTTTATTCATCCTTATTCATTAAGTCTACATTAGAGGTATAATTGCAGTTGACCCCCTCAAGTTTCATCACGAGTGAAGTTCTCATCGATAGTTTATGCTGTCAAATTGGAGAAAATCTAACCATCATTTAATTTGCTATAACAAGACGGGTATGGGGTTTTAATATTGTATCTAAATTTGAAGTCCAAACTACGCCTCCAGGACCACTACATCACAATTTCGTAACATAACAAAGGAATATGCGGTTATAATTTCCAATATGGTCAATTTCCTCACAAATTATTATTACTACTTTTTTTAAATAAAATGCAGAGTAAGGAGTTAAAATCTTATTTTGATAGAAATTTTACCCAATAGATAGTGAACGTGGCAAACCTGAACTGTGAAAGATCCATGCCACGACGTTGAAAATGTTCAAATGTCTAGTTTATGATGACCAATAGAAATTTAATTAGTTCCTAAAAAAATAATCTAATTAAAAAATTACTTTTAAAATTGAACATTTTTACCAAACAAAAGAAATATTGGATTACTCGTTAAAAAATATCTCTTAGAGTGAGGTCCAAGTAGTAATGTGTTGTGTGATTTGTTTTATAACACCACTTATTGCTTAAAATTATTCCATTAAATATTTTTTGATTCAGTATGTTTGATAACAAAAATAACGTATTTTAATAAATTAAGTGGTGTTTGCAATACATAATATTGTATATGCAATAAAAGTTAGTATATTACTTATTTCATAACTGTCTAATATACAAGTTAGTATATTAGACGTTAATTTAATCAAACATGCCTTTAGTCTTTCAATGGGAAAAAAAAAGGGTACTAATGTGTTACACAATCAATCTTTGAGAGGATAGTTTACAATATAGTGAAACTTGGGAGGAGTATTTTACATAATTCTTCTCATCAGTGGGAGAAAAATGGAATTTCTCGAAAATGAAATATAAAAGAAACTTTCAACCCCCCCCACAAAAATCGTTCCCAGCAATTCCTGCACTCTCTCTCTCTCTCTCTCTCTCTCTAGGAAAAGAACAATGGCTTCCTCTTCGCCCGCAATTCTTCCTATTTCCAATCCCCAACCCGCCGCCGGTGCCACCGCCACGGCCGGATCCACAGATTCCACTCTGACTGCCCAAGGTCCCCCACCCGCCTTCCGCGCATTCATCAACCAGATCAGCGACACCGTCCGCAACGGCATCGCAGCCCGACGTCCCTGGTCGGAGCTCCTCGACCGATCCGCATTCAACAAGCCGGAATCTCTCTCCGAAGCTACACAACGCATCCGCAAGAACTACGCTTACTTCCGTGTCAACTACATCGCCATCATCACCGTCGTCCTCGCCATTTCCCTCCTCACCAACCCGCTCTCCCTCATCCTCCTCGCGGGACTCCTGGCCGCCTGGCTCTTCCTCTATTTCTTCCGTAACCCCTCCGACGGCCCGCTCACGATTTTTGGCCGACAGTTCTCCGATCTTGAGACCATCGCCCTTCTCGTGGTCTCCACCATCTTCGTCGTCTTCCTCACCAGCGTCGGATCGGTTCTCGTTTCGGCCCTCATGGTGGGCCTTGCTATCGTGGCTGTTCACGGTGCTTTCAGGGTTCCCGAGGATCTGTTTCTCGATGAGCAAGAATCGCCTGCAACCGGGTTCCTCTCTTTCTTGACCGGCCCTGCCCCCTCCGCCGCTGTTCCCGTCGCTAGGGTTTGAGATTGGGGTTCCATACTAAAAATTTACGGTAGCTATGTAGTTTTCTCTAATCGTAATATGCGATTTCAATGCGATTATAATAGCATACTCAAATATGTAGTTTAGGTGGCAGATACCTTTTCTTTATTTTGTTTTCTATAAACATCATTCTGTATGTGTAGATTTGGAGTTGGACATGTTGAATGCGGGATTTTCTTGGAGGATTTATTCTGGAGATGATTTGTTCATCTGATACATCTTTTATTGGAAAAGATTCTCCTGGGATAATGAAATTCATTAGTTAATTCCTTGTTTTTGTTTGTCTATTTCTTGATCACTCACATACCTGCATTTGTTCTTTTTAATTAGTCTTATGTGATGGCTATAATATTTGATTCATGTTCTTGGGTTATGTTGCTTCTTCATAATAGTTGACGAAGTATGGTCCTTAGAGTGAGATTTTATTCAGGACGTCTGTAATGAAACAATTCAAATAGGATGATCGCATTTTTAGTGCAGCAATTGACTGGGATGATGATATGATATCCCCTCATGTGTGTTATTCGGCCAGAACATTCCAAATCCATTTCTTGAATTGTTAGGTTGCACCATTCTAGAAATTTTCTTATAACGTCCTAGCTGAGTAGCCTATGCAGGGATTTTAGTTATGGAAATAATATGTACATGTTTATTTATTTTGGTCGAGTTTCGTTAGTGGATGGATAGACGAGTTGCATAATGTTGTCTCTTATGACCAGGGCAGATTAAAGTGAAACACCTGAAAGGAGCCCGATGGTTTGGTGAAGTTGTGGTGCCTCATTTCCATCAAATGATGTGGGTGAACAATTATTCTTATGTCTTTCATTCATGTATTTAAGTAATTTGTAAATTTGCAGTTAAGGTCCATTTTCAGCTATCCTTGTTTCTATGTTCTTGTGTTTTATTTATATGCTGGCTAGGAATTTCTAGTTTACTCTGTGAGTTGGGGCCGATAAAGTTTAAGAGCTCAAGAATTCATTTATGGCGTTACATTTTATATATATGTGATGTTCCTGCATTATCTTTTACATGACTTGTGATCTATGCAACTTAATTAGCAAGGACATTGTTATCAGTGACAGTTGAGCATGGATAGGAATTGGAAGTGTTGGGATTAATGGGTGCATATGAAAAGCGATCTAGTTACTACTAGGATATCGTTTGTTGTTTCGCCTCGGTTGATTGTGGGTACATGGTGGCGCTGTATGAACTGAACTCTTGTTTATACTGACTTCTTGCCTCGTGTTTCCATTTTGCAATAATGTGTAGATCTTTGTGTAACACCCCTAGGTTTCATTTGATTCTATATGCAGGACAAGCTGATTGTATGATTTTGAGTGTTCTCTAACATTGAGTGATGGAAAGGTCCGGTACAGTGTTGATGAGTCCATTTTTCAGGGGCTGGCTCATTTTGTGGTTAAGTGGTGGGAATGAATCACATAATTGACTGATAACCTTCCTAGATGTTAACCATTTTCCATTGGAAAATAAATTCCGATTTGTTGGTGGGGGATATAATTTTATTATTCATTAATTCCTGAATTTTGGCTAGTTTATTAGGATCCTTGAGAGTTGCTAATTTTCCACTTTGTTTGTAGATCCTTTCTGGGTTCTTTCTTTCGGGTTGTCGTCGACTTGTTTGTCAGCTTTTATAAGTAGACGCAAAAAGTAGATAGAAAAATTCAGCAAAAATAAAGCATTTTGTGACTTTTAAATAAATTCATAACCAAGCATAATCAATAAATTACCAAACAATAACTCTATTTAGAAATTGTGAAAAATTAACCAAGGGAGTTTCTCTCTTGCCAACTTTCCCGTTGGCTTTGTTAGGTAGAGAAAAGAAGTTGCCTTCAGCAATTTTAACAAACATAAAGTGTTTTTCTTACATTAACTACCAAAATAATGCCATCAAAACTTATAAAAAGGCTATAAGGCAGTTAATCTTCTCTTTCGCTGACTTTCTAGTTGATTTCTCTAAAGTAGACATAACGATTGAACCAAGTAATTTTAACAAATAATAAATGCTTAGCTGTCATTATATTGATAAAAACAGTATACTCCGTATAATAAACTGCTAAAACAATAAAGCCCTCAAAAAAATTGTCTCAATGCCAAAAGACAATGATATTTGTTCTTCACCTTTTTTTTGGTCGATTTTAATAGGAAGACAAAAAAAAGCCGACACACAATAATGAATTTTCCCGAGTTTTAGATTTATATAAGAATAAATAAATAAATACTTATTTAAAAATATACCAAAAGAATTGTGAAAATGATATAAAACAAACCAGCATGGTTGAGTAGTAGTAAAAGAGGATTGTCAAAACTGTGTTAAAAAAAAAGAAAAAAGGGGAGGGGTTGAAGAGAGGGTTTGACGGTGAGTCTGGAGTGTGCACAGAGTCTTAAGAAGTCAAGCAAAACCTTAACGTTCACATCTTCATTTTGGGCTGAATATTTTCCCAGGTCCAAATTAGCCGTTAAGTCCCTCCCGCGTCAAACACGGGCCTTCTCTTTCTCCCCTGCACCTGCCATATCCCATATGCCATTGTTGATTTGTTGGTCTATCTATTATTAGTAAGAAGAACCCCACAAGTTCCCAACCCAAAAAAAAAAAAAAGAAAAAAGAAAAAAGCAGTTATACATCTATCGCCCTCAACAATCTTTTTTATTCTCTTTTGTCTAATGTAGGACAAGAAAACTAGCCGTTGCTAATTTCACCTGGAAAATTGGACTCACTCTCTCCTATTTCTTCTTTTTTCTTACACTGATTAAAACTACTGACTTTTGTCCTAGATTCCCTCCATTGATTCTCCTCCCTTCTTCTCCTTCTCTTATTTATCTCAAATTTCTTCATTACACACTTTCAGATTTTTCTGTTAGAAACCAAACCCTCCAAGAAAAGAAAAAAAAGAAGAAAAAAAAAGAGAGGTTAGGATTTCTTACATTTCATCAGTCCTTTCTTACATTCATCCTGAACTTGCTAACAAACAGTTCATGGATATTGTAATTCGTCATAATGATGAGCAACTACATAGATCCCAGCTGCAAAAGTTAAAGAAAGGGTTGCCCTTTCTGATTCTGCTGCTTTTTCTGTTCTCAATCCCTCAAGTTTCCGGCAGAAGACACGGGGAATGGGATGGAGTTCTTTTGGTTGAGTCAGATTTACTAGCCCTCCAGGCTATAAAGAAAGAATTGGTTGATTTTAGAGGAGTCTTGAGGAGCTGGAACAATGGGAGCAGTTCTGGAGCTTGTTCAGGTGGCTGGTTTGGCATCAAATGTGTGAATGGACAGGTTATTGCTATTTCCCTTCCCTGGAGAGGCTTAGGAGGCCGGATCAGTCAACAAATTGGGCAGCTTAAAGGGCTTCGTCGCCTCAGTCTTCATGACAATGCTCTTGCTGGACCAATTCCTATTTCCCTCAGCTTTCTTCCAAATCTCAGAGGCGTTTATCTCTTCAATAACCGGCTTTCCGGTTCTATCCCTCCGTTTCTAGGTAACTGCCCTCTATTACAGACTCTTGATTTGAGTAACAATCAGCTAAATGGGACAATCCCACCCAGCCTGGCTAATTCTACCAAGATTCTAAGGCTCAATTTGAGCTACAATGCAATTTCAGGGCCAATTCCTGGTAGTTTTGCTCAGGCTCCTTCTCTTACTTTTCTTGCTCTACAGCACAATAATCTCACAGGCTCTATTCCTGATACTTGGGGTAGCTCTTATCAGCTTCAATCCCTGACTTTGAATCATAATTCACTGTCTGGAAATATTCCAGCTTCCCTTAGCAAATTAAGTATGCTTCAGGATATTGATTTGAGTCATAATGCCCTGAATGGAAGCTTACCTGACAGCTTTTTTTCCAACCTTTCATCTCTAGTTTCCCTCAACCTGGGAAGCAATTCCCTTGAAAGCAAAATCCCTGATAGCCTGGACAGTTTACGAAACCTATCCGTTTTGAACCTGGGAAGAAATCAATTCCAGGGTGAAATCCCACCCGGGATTGGTAACATCACCAGTCTAACCCTGCTTGATTTGTCTCAGAACAATCTCACTGGGGAAATCCCGGATTCCCTGGAAAATTTACCCAGTCTCTCTTCTTTGAATGTCTCTTATAATAACCTGTCAGGCCCTGTACCCTCCCTTCTCTCTAAGAAGTTCAATTCCACCTCTTTCATTGGAAATCTTGAGCTATGTGGATACAGTGACTCAACTCCGTGCCCTTCTCCTCCACCGGAGAACCAACCTTTTCCTCCACCAGGAAAGTCTTCAAAACGGCGCAAACTTAGTGCAAAAGATATAATCCTCATTGCAGCTGGAGCAATGCTAGTAGTATTACTACTACTTTGCTGTCTCCTCCTCTGCTGCTTGATCAGGAAAAGAGCGGCATCCGCATCCAAAGAGAAAAATGGTAACAAATCAGTCAGTGCCTTGGCCAGTGGTACAGGTGGAGGAGGAGCCAAGGCAGCTGGGGTGGAAGTAGAATCAGGTGGTGAAGCTGGTGGGAAACTGGTCCATTTTGATGGTCCTTTTGTGTTTACTGCAGATGATTTGTTGTGTGCGACTGCAGAAATCATGGGAAAATCTACTTATGGGACTGCTTATAAGGCCACATTGGAAGATGGGAATCAGGTGGCTGTGAAGAGGCTAAGGGAGAAGATCACAAAAGGGCAGAAGGAATTTGAAATTGAGGTTGCCGAAATTGGAAAGATCAGGCATCCAAATATCTTAGCTCTCAGAGCCTATTATTTGGGGCCTAAAGGTGAAAAGCTTCTGGTGTATGATTATATGCCTAATGGAAGTCTTGCCTCATTTCTCCATGGTAATTTTTCTTTTTCTCAACCTACAAAACCTTTTTTATCCTCTTTTCTAAACGTTTCATTTGTTTGCTTTATGAACTAATTGGAGTACTAAGATCAGTATCAATCAAGCCTTCGTGATTTATTGTTATTTGAAAATTATCTGCTGTGGTTGCATGTGGTGGAGCATAGTACATTGAAATTTCACAGGGAAACAATGAAATGGCAGCAGAAGTTATCTAGTTGTCTGATTTAGGCACACTGAACTTTCCATTTTTTCCCCCTTCAAAGTTCTTACTTTTCTAGTCACTAACAAAACACATTTGGGATATCTTGCAGCTAGAGGACCAGAAACACAAATCCCATGGCCAACAAGGATGACCATAATCGTTGGCATAACAAGAGGCCTTTCCTTCTTACACACCAAAGAGAGCATAGTGCACGGAAACTTGACATCAAGCAATGTACTACTTGATGACCAGAAGAATCCCAAGATTGCAGATGTTGGGCTATCCAGGTTAATGACGAATGCAGGGAACACAAATGTGATCGCCACGGCTGGGACCCTTGGATACCGAGCACCAGAGCTTTCAAAGGCGAAAAATGTCAACACAAAAACCGACGTCTTCAGCCTTGGTATCATAATGCTCGAGCTGTTAACTGGGAAATCTCCAAGTGAAGCAACAGATGGGCTGGACTTACCTCAATGGGTGGCATCCATAGTGAAAGAAGAGTGGACTAATGAAGTTTTCGACGTCGAGCTGATGAGGGATGCTTCCTCTTCCAACAACATGGGAGACGAACTGCTGAATACTTTGAAATTAGCCCTCCATTGTGTGGATCCAACACCAGGAGCCAGGCCTGAATGTGATCAAATTTTGCAAAAGTTGGAGGAGATTAATCCAGAATTAGCCTCAGTTTCTTCTTCTGCAACAACTGATGATGGCAATAACGATGCGGCAGCTCCAACCAAAAGTGAATGAACAACACATATACATTTCATTATACCCCAACACTTGCTAGTTCTTTGGTAGGCATTCAATTTATTCATTCATTCATTCATTTGTTAGTCATATTCTGTATTGGGGTAGATTTTCCAATAAGCTCTTTAATACTACTTATTATTTCTTCTTTTACCAATAAGCTAAATTTGTGTATATATACAGCAGTGATGTGTTCATAACAAGAATGCATTCTTTTGAGCAATAAAGTTTATAGTGTGTGTAATTATAAAATATATATTTTTTTAATTTCGATATTTATCATTTCTTTATAAAAAAAATTCTCTTTAATCATGTCCACGTGGCAGTAGATTTTGACTCATCTTATAGTGGTTATATACTTGTGCTATAAAAGCCCTGGCAAAATTTCGACACAACAGCCCAACCGTCATTCTCAGCCTCCGGCGACCACCAAACATGGACGAGCTTCCGATTCAGAAGATTCAGATCGCTGGGCCCACATTAGCCTCCTTACTCCACCGCTTCTCCTCTTCTCCGGGGTCCATTCACGGGTTTCTCTTTGGCCACGTCATCGTCTCCAAGTCATCTGCCCTCTCCGACGATCCTTCCTCATCCACCGGCGCCCCCTCATCCGGCTACCCTACCACTGCCATCGGCGACGATACGCCGCCGCTATTGCTTACCGCCACCATCACTTCCTTCATCTCCGTTCCCTCCCACCTTCGCTTCCCCGATCCACCACCTCCTGCCACGAACGCCTCCGTCATTGGTTGGTTCTCCGGCCGCCGGAGAACTCCACTCCGACCATCCCTAAACGATTCAACCACTACCCACAATCTCTCGTCCAATAGCACTCTCTTCTACACCCCACAAAATCAAGATAGTCACTTCTCAGGTCGGACCCTAACCCTTTCTCCTTCTCTTTTCCTCCTCCTAACGACGCCGTTGCAGGACCAACTTATCCACACTCACGAGTACAAAGCCTTCCAGTACCGGATTTCCACCGATTGCTTTGAACCCAAGAGTTTGAGCATCATCAATGTTGGCCCTTCTTTCAGATCCCATTATGACTCTTTTAGCCCCAATGCATCGTTTCCCTTCTTACCCTTCGAGTTGAGAACTAGCTGCTCCTCCTCCTCCTCCTCTAATGCTGACATGGCAGAGGATGAAAAGAGTGAAACCTTAGGGTTTTTGAAGAAGGAAAAGGAAGGACAGAAGCAGTTGGATTTGTTTGCTGAAGGTTTTGAAATTGGGAGGTTGAATCGATTAATGGGCACTCAGGCTGCTAATTACACCTCTGAATTGGATGATTTGTATCATAAAATGCTCGCCAAGCTCGATGGGTTGACCAATTTGGTGGAGTTGAGCTCAGCTAAGGTTGTTGAGCAGGTACATTAGCTGTATAGTTTGATGCTTTGTCGTGTACGGGATACTGTCTGAATTGTGGTTTGAATTCCGCTCATTTTGTTTGGATTCAAGCAGGAAAATCACAATATGAAGTTGAGGCTTAAGGTTGCCGGATTGGAATAATTTCCTCCATATGTGCCTGCTGCTTTATTGTGTATTTGAGGTGATAATTCTGTTCCACTCTTTCGGTTGCAGATTATAGATATTTTGGAAATGGTTGCTTTCTTGTTTTGCCAATTTGTTGATTGTAAAGTTCATGCTTGTTTGAAATTACGTGACCTTCAAGCCCGACACTCAGTGAATTTAGTTCTTGTGTAGTGTAACTGCTTGTTTGTTTAGGATGGATGATCAATTGGTCGGGGAAGGATTATTTTTATCATTTATTTATTTATTATTTTTTTTTGAACTGATATCCATGCAGTAGTAAGTCCTTGGTTATGATTGCCACTAGACTATGGAGGTGGAATGACCATTACTTAATTAATAATTGTCCCATCCCAACATACCTTTTTACATTTCCGATACACCTTTTTACATTTTCAATACAAAAAACACCTAAACACACACTGAAAAAACGAAACAAACATACCCTAGTGTTTGAGATTTTATGCAACTGAGGACGGGCCGATACGGAGGTAGGGATTATTGGCTTTTGGAAGACAGTGATGAGCAGATGCTTCAAAATGCAATGCAGGTCGTTGACATTTGTCATTGTAGTGATTATATTTTACCTCAAATATATGTCTGATTAATGTTGTTTTGTTCTTCTTTTTAACACCTCGATATGGTTTAAGTAAGGTTTGCAATTTGTGTTTCTGGGATGAACGTTGCTTGGAGATACTCATTTAGCCACTAATGGATATACCGTGTAATAACGTTGCCCTACTCCAGCTAAGGATATGGGTGTAATAGTTTGCATCATTTTCAGATATTATAGGATTTAGACCAGCAGTTTGTCTGCTTTTGTCTGCAGTATGTGATTTCTTTGGTATTGGTCTTCACTGCCTTATTTTTGCTTTCCTTTTTTCTAGTTTGTTGGGAGCTTCTGTCTTTCAATTCTGCAAGCACCTCATTTATGTTTTTTATCTTAGTCCAATGAAGGCCTGTCCACTTGGCTCCTTAATAGAACTTTGTCTTTCAATCGACTTTTTTGGAGGATCTTTATTTCTTAGATTATACTAGCCAAGTTCCGAGCTTTGTAGTTACTGGCTGTAATGTCGAATGCTTGTAGTTTTTGTTTCTTTAACCAAGGAATGTTACAGTGGTTATGAGAAAGGTTCCTGGAGATTGACAAAAGGTTCATCTAGCTAGATTCCCTTGGGGCTCTGTAAAACTTATCAGAGCTTTTTAGTTGTAAACAATCATGAAATGGAAAAGGGAGTTATTATTTTTATTTCAATGTGTTACTTTCAAGCTATTGCGAAATGGTGTTCATTTTCATTTTCTTGTTACAGATTCCCAGAGTCCTTCAAGTGTGCAACCCTAAGTTAACTGGACCTATCACATAGGCAGTAACCCTAACATGTGCAACCCTAGCTGTTTGTTTACAGATTCATTGAGACAAAGGTTGATGGCCATGGTTATGTAACTTTCTTTCGACATGAACATCACGGCAATGCAGTGCTGTTTATGACCATGCGCCGTCAGCAATGTACAGCCTTAAATCTCTGATTAGAAGCTTGCTATTTTGGGATGAATTTGTCAGGGCTCCGAAATAATTTGCAGCAGCGTATATTTATCGTATGTTATGCTCTGCACAGATAAGATAGCATTGTGATGAGAATGTTTTCTGTATGTATGTTTTCTAATGTAATTATTGTATTTTTCGAAGTTGTGTAACAGACGAAATTCCTCTGTCGGATGATGTATTAGCCTCTCGTCGTGATCTTTTCAGGTCTTTCTTTTTTTCTAACTTCTCTTGTATTGCTAAAACGTTGTATTATGAATAATAGAATTCTGTCAAAAGTCTGATTTTGAAGAAAGAAACATTCAAGATGGTTTTGACATGGTTAACAAACTAATCCCCGTTAATAAGTTTTGCTAATACTAATCATCAATTGAACAGTAACGGATAATTGATGATCGAGAAACAGACACGGAATCAATTCGCTTGGGGACCAAGAAACACAGCCGTAATCATCTTTTCTCATATAAAGTCAAGACTCTTAAGAAGGAAAGTTGAAAACGACAACACAATCCGTAGCAGTTTCTTTGTGCTTGGAACCTTTTTGGTTCCAGATCTCTATTTATTTACTACTTTTTACCCCTGTACCTAAGTACCCCAAACAGCAAAGCAATGCATATCACGCTTCAGCTCAGCAGCAGACGTGGCTCCACAGTAACCAAATTACTTGAAGTAAAAACGAATTCCTGAGTCCGGACTGTAGAAAAACAAAAACTATATCAAATAGTATTATCAATATAGAATTAGAAAGATTAAATGGTATGGGTTAAGTTACTTCGCCCTCAAGTTGTTTGGGTTTTTGCTCAAAATAAGAAACAAAAACCCCCACACCACCACGACATCCCTTTCAACTGCCTCTTCTAATTCTAATTCATGTCATCGTCACAAGTCACAACTCTCTCTTGTTACAAGGTGAGCTTTTCATTTCTTTTTCTTTGTTGTTGTAAATTCACTATTAGCTTGCAACTTGTTAGTCATTTCCCAATGTCCTTTTTTCCTCTCTTATCATTTTTTCTTTCCCCTGTTCAGGAAGTGATACTTGGGCCTTGTATACATAAACCCTAAAGCCCAATTCTCACAACTGTTTGTTTTTCCTGCTTACTCTTTTGCTTGGGAGAGTGGCAAAGTTTGTTTCTTCGGCTCCAAGAATAATCGCCTTATTTACACACACTAAAAATTGATTATTTTTCACTTTTGGGAATTTCAGTCTTGTTTCTCACCGTACACTTGTAAGTATGGAAACAAACAAATTGCCAAGGAGGAGGCGTCCTTCTGTCAATGCGACATCGCTAAAGCGTAAGAATTTGGACCAAACCCATCTCCCATCTGTTGAAAATGATGAGGAAAACCCGAAGAAAAAGGGAAGAAATCTGCCCTGTAAAGTAACAAGAAAGGGTTGCATGAAAGGGAAAGGTGGTCCGGAGAATTTGTTTTGTAAGTACAGAGGTGTTAGGCAGAGGACTTGGGGGAAATGGGTTGCGGAAATTCGTCAACCAGTTCATCATCATCATCCCTGTAATTACTATGAGTCCGAGAAGAAGAGCAGCCGTTTATGGTTGGGCACCTTCGACACAGCAGTTGAAGCTGCAGTTAAGTACGATGAGGCTGCTAAGGCAATTTATGGTCCTAATGCAATTCTAAATTTCCCTTCTGGAATTGTATCCTGTGAAGATTATCCTCCTGTTGGCTGTGATCAGAAGGAGAATATTTTGGAGAACTCCAATTCTGATGCTGCGTATGTAGTCAAGAATGATGAATTGCGGGTGAAGATTGAAGTGGAAACTCCTCCAGAAGAAGAAGCAGGCATGTTGATGAAGCAGGGGAAAGAGTCTTTCCATAATAATCATATTAAAGATGAGGAAGAATTGAATGTTGCTACTAAGCCAAATACTACTACTACAGAGGATATGGATCAAACAGGAGTCATTCTTGATAATGCAAAGGACATGGATCAAGCAGGAGTCCTTCTAGGTGGGGAAGATCAACTGAAATTGAGCCCAGGTTATGAGAAGGACAAGGCTTTCTGGCAGAGTATTTTGAGAGGAGAACTGTGGGATTTTGATAACAACAATGGGATGAAAATTGGGCAGGGCCAATGTGACCCCTCTTTGCAGCAATCAAACTACTATCGGCTCGATGATGTTGGCAGTAGTTTGAAGGAAGAAGACTCGAACTTGTGCTTGAAACCGCCAGCAGCAAGATTTGAGACAGGGTTCGTGATCAATACCAATTCCAGTATTGAGCTAGGAAACCAACAGTGGATATCCAAGATAGAAAATATTCAGGCCATGCTTTTGGACGACAGTATCAACAGTTCAGATCTTATTTTGAACAGTTAACTACAAAAGAATCCAGAGTTAGTCCGGGCTGATGAATTGTTTGATACCTTGACTGGGATAGATGGATGGATAGAGAGTTTTTTTGACGACACAGAATGGTGGATTTACAGGTTTTAGTACCAGAAACTAGCTTACCTATTCAGTAGATGATGAAGATGCTAATGCAAATGTTTTATGCTCAAAAAACCATGTAGTGATGCAACTTATGTACGTACGCTAGAAAGTCTTTTCATGCTTTTGATATAAGCTGATATAACCTTTTGGAATTGTGAAGTGGTTTCACCAAATTTCATGTATTCGCACTTTTGTTTTGGATCTTTGGTTTTTTTTTTTTTTTTTTTACATAATGTGGTTGGTTTTATGTCTTGCTTGAACTTGGTTTTTATGTCTTTAGTTCAAGCAAGAAGAGAAAACAATTAGAACCGATCAAATACAATTTCTGCATATACGATACTTTTTCATTTTGTCATCTAACATCTTCAAGTAGTTTGACAATGTATCATAATTTTAATTTCTCTGAACTACATTTGGGCTTAACTACTCTGGAGATTTACAACATAAAACAAATCTGTACGAGCTTTACTCTGCACTAGAGGGTTAAACTGCATAAAAGATCAAAAAATTACTGCCGGACTATCTAACTGTTACAGGTTAACATTGCGAAGAAGAAAAGAGTACCGGAAGCACAGACCACGATTCTAGGATGTCAGCAACTTTAGAACAAATGGTGCCAGGTCCAAGGTCAAGGTCAAGCAAGGTCGACATCCTTGCTGCCACTCCTCAAAATGATTGGAATGCAGTGTCCAAAATATTATGGATATTCAGCAAAAATTCTGGGCAAAGTACAGCGAGTTTCACCCAGGCATTTTTCTGCGATAGTAGCTGTATCTTGTGACTCGCAAAATACTTTGAAGCAAGCCATTTTTCTGATACACTAGTCCATCTCTCAAGGGTTGTGGCTGGGAATTCAGCCCTCTTAGAAGTAGATGGAGTAACTCACAGAGGAGTGCATATAAATGATATATAAGGTGGTTCAGGCATCTCCGTCCATATCGACACGAAGAAACTTCCAGGGACCACCTCCTGAACCCAACCTAAATTCAATTACATTATCAAAGGTTGAACACGATTAGAAGACCCCAAAATGGAACATGTCACCCAGTAGCAACTATTATTTGAGAAAAAAGAAAAAGAAACGCTTCACATTTTGCATAAAGTGCATCAACATAACTAGTGTGATACATCAGCTTTTATAAAAATGATGGTGAAAATTGGGATAGAAAGGGGAAGCATTACCTCAAGATTCCAGCAAAAACTCTCAAAGACATAAAGAAAAACAACCCTGCCCAGACTCCGGTAAGGCCCCAAAAATAAGTAGCTACGAGCATAAAGACTACTGACAAACCTCCAATTGCAACCTGCCCGTCACGAATGAAGAATGGAAATGAATAAGAGAGAAGTATCTGAAAATCGAAAAACAGAAGGCCAGAAAGGTGCTAACCGTAGAGTATGCCGCGTATTCAAAATCAGAAACCCCATAGTAGAGCCCGTCAAGGACAAATGCAACAGCATTTATTGGCTGGGACCCAGCGACGAACTACAGAAAAATTTCATTTCAAGTAGTACCACCAAGGTTAGTAAGAACCTTGCGCAAAAACCAATGAAGTCCTAGGCCTAAAATAACAGAAGTTGGAGCCAAAGGTATGCTTACCAAGGTACCAGATCTTGCAATTTCCAGTACATCCGAATCCACAGTAAATAAGCTGGACAATGCTTCAAAACCAAGAAACAAGATTGCACCAAAACCCACTCCAGTTACTGCACCAATCTAATAAAAATATACAAGTATTTGAATAAGTCAATTCATCTTTACTATGCCGAGGAGCACTTATCCAGATTTGTTAAAATCGAGTAACTGACCAAAGGTACTTTGACAAACCTGCAAGACCTTGTAAACAACTTTGCGCGCTTCATCATAACTCCCTTGGGAATAATCAGTGGCAAGTAGAGCCTGCATAAATAAATGGATAAATGGAGAAAATCTAGAAAACTCTGAGAAGTTCATTCCAATACGAGCTTCTAAATATAAAGAGCCGAAAAAAGAGAGTAAAAAGTGTAAGATATTTTGTCATCATGTGAGGCCCAGTGCTATTTCAAACCTTCAACCATACAAACTGACCAAGTTACCAAACAACAGAACTTCCCAAATTTGAGCATAGGGAAAAAGTCCAGACAAATAGCCACTAAGCATAGTTGTCAGCCATTCATGCATCACTGCTGCCCTAAAGTTACTTCAACTAGGAAGAGGTAGACTCCGAGCAATGGAAACTTAAGAAAATATTCCTTTCATTTTTTTGAAGTTCAAACTTAGACCCATGTCAAGCTAGTAATTTTTTGACCATGTTGAAATAAATGGAAGCCCAAAAGGGCCACATACCTGTCCTGCAAGTGCCAATGCATCAGTAAGCAAAGACACAGCCAACCAAACTTCAAAACAGATCTGGTACCCAGCCATGTTAACAGCCCCTTCTCTTGCTGCCATTGATGTGGCCAGAGTAGTAGTTACAAGCACTCCTATAGTCCTAGCAATCAACAGAGCACCTGCAAAATGAAAATGAAAAGACTATGGGTACATAAGATGATTTTGTAATGCAAGGGGTGCTAAGGGAAAAGACCTCGCGAGAAGGCCAGAATTTAATTAGGTTTTTCAATTTGAACTACTTCCATGTTAATAGATAATTTATCTAAGCTCTTATTCTTGTACCTGATTTCAAATATTGAGCAACCCTTCCCCAGTCAAATTTTGGAGTGATGAGTTCTACTTTGTCATTTAATTTCCATAGCAAGATCAAAGCAGTCAAACACCTGAAGCAGCAAATTGATGAAAATCAATCAACAATGTTGTAGAAAGAATGGAAGATGTGACCTAGTCTTTCCTGTTAGTGTGAGGATTTTCAGGACTTTAATAGAAGAACTTTGCAAACCGTGTGATCATTTGTTAGATAAAGCTTCTGTGATTCCATTGTCCTTGAAGTTATAACATAAGAATGTTTGCATCTTTCTAGGAAAAGAAACAAGAACCCAGAGAGGATACTTAAGTTCAGCAGCTACTTCTGTATGTTTTACCACATCATTGACGTACTCAGATGTCACAGTAGCAACAGCAGCGCCAGCAATGCCCAAATTAAAGAAAAATATCAAAATCAGATCCAATATCACATTAAGTATGTTTCCAGCTCCTGACAACAAGAAGCATAACTATATCAGCTAAAAGAATTGTAAACAAGAGAAAAACTGATACTGCTATTATGTCATAAGAACTAAATTAACATGCTTTTGATACTGCTTTCGCGCTCTAGTGATTTCAGATGCTTACCGACAGCATACAAAGGAGTTCTTGTGTCCTTGAAACCACGGAAAGTTCCTTGAGCAGCAAGTGCTATTACTATCGGAGGAGCCCCAAATGCCCTCAGGGTCAAAAATTGTTCTGCTGGCATGCGCATTGGTGAGTCCTATATTGCATGGAGTTCAATGAGTAACACAAGCAATGCCTGAAAAATTTTAGCAACAGAAAGAAGCACCACTATTTTGACAAAAACCATAAACAAAAGCTAAAACTCAAAATGCAGAAGAACTTGTGGAATACACTGATTTCTGGGATGCGGTTTTGTTACGTATCTTGTTTACTTATAGCTCCTTAACTAAAGAATCCAGAGGAGATGCATGGAAGAGCTATACAAAACTAAATGCCTCTCTCAACAGCACGCTCCAAGATGCTTCATGCAGTAGGAGCAAATGCATTCAGAAAAAAAGCAAATGCATTAGGAGCAAATGCATTCAGAAAAGTAAATGCCTCTCTCAACAGTACGCTCCAAGATGCTTCATGCAGTCGGAGCAAATGCATTCAGAAAAAAAGCATAACATGATTTAGTCTTTTTGTAGCCTAGACAATTTAAATGTATTTATTAAAATGACATCAACAGGCCAATAGCAAAGCAAGACATACAACAGCTATACCCATCGTATTCATTAAGAAGCCAGATCCAAGACAGAGAACAAAAGTTTCTGCGATGCCAAGTCCAGTTGCAAGAGCCAATGAAGTCGATATGGAAGGAAGGGTTATCTTGCCTTTGTGGTCAGAAACATCATCTGGTTCAAAGACCTCCAAAATGAGACATTTGTCACATGAAGACAAAATGCTAATTTTGTGAGAAAGTAAGAGATAAATAAGTAGCAGCATTTATCCACATCAAAGTACCAGGAACTGTTGATTCATCAGAATCCTTCCCAGTTGCAGCTTGCTCTTGGGCTACAAATGATGTTGTGATGTTGAGCAGAGGAACGTTGAACAACTTGGACACGAGGCTGAACACAGAAACAGATACACCTACAGCGGCTAATTCAACCGATCCTGCACAGCATACCATCAAATTAGAACAAAGGTAGACATTTTCGAGCAATGGGACCCTGAAATCTACTATATCACTTCCCTATGACACTCACATACATGTGCATTGCCATTAGAATTGAATTAATCCATTTTTTACAATGGTTTAAATTTTTAAAGAGTAGATAACCGCATAGTACAATAACACGTGTCAGCCATAAAATAACAAATCAACTGCTGTGCGGAAGTGGCACAATGTTTCAATCAGTCATACAAATTAGACGATCAAACAACAAAAGCAATGCTCAAATGAGATAAAAAACAACTGCATCATCGCAGTGGTATAGGAATTCCAACATGCAACTAGATGAATTGCACCAAACATTATTGAACATACCAATCATATGCTCAAAACTGTAGATAAACTGCAGCATCCAAGAGAGGCGAAAATTCAAAGAAGCAAATTACCTAAATGGCCAACAAATGCAGTGTCTACTAAGGAAGTAAGTGGATCAGCTAGAAGAGCAAGTGCGGCCGGCAATGCGATGGATAAAATCTCCAATCCTAGTGCATCCAATTTAATAACGTTTCTGCAAAATATCGGTCGGGTTAAACGGGTGTTTCTCGGAATCCGATTGACAAGACACGGATGGAACCAAATTTAGACTCATCAATCAGACGAAATTAAAAGTAACACAGTATCGTTTTTAATTTTTAACACATCCTTCAGTGGCTGTGGGATAAACAATTCACCGAAATGTTATATTCGGATGAAACATGATTGAACCAAAAAGCAAACAAGCAGAAAGTCAGTACAGGAATTAAAATAGGAAAAAAAAATGCTGAGTTACCGAAGCAGTTGTTCGCCTGAATTCCGTGACCGGGATGATTCTTCTTCTTCCTTGTCTTTTTCGCCTTGCTGCTGCGACAGCGTGGTGGTGGTGGTGGTTGAATTAGGAGAAGAACGGTGATGATTGCGGAACGATTTCGTCAGCAATGGCAGCTTGTGACGATTCTTGGTTGTGGGACTCCGACAACAAGAGGAGTAGAATAAACAGCAACCGCTGGGCTTTGGATGAGCTTGAATTGAGAAGAGACTATGGTAATAGTGGTGGTGGATTGAGAATGCCGCCATGGGAGATTCTTGAAGGAAATGAGGAAAACTTTCGATATTACTGTTTGATAATTGTGTTTTGATTGTTGATGAGAATTTTGGTCTTGGCCGGAATTCAGATGAACACAACTACATTTTTTGGTTCAGAGATATGAAGAAGAGAGATTGAACGGCTGCAATTGATTGAATCGAAAATATCTGAGACTTTTGCCCAATGGTTTTGATTTGAACCAGGGACTTTACCGCGGAATGATTACGATGCTTCGAACCATTCATCGTTCCGTACCAGGTTAACTTGGGGCATATATGGGCTCTTCTGATTCCCATTCTCATGGACTGTATTAGCTAGGTCCAATTCCCGTCGATTCTAGCCAGTTCGTCCCACGTTAGAAGCGTATGTATGGTTTGGGGCCATTTTTGGCCTTTTCCAAATCCAATCCACCTCTAGCAACCTAGAAGCATAATACTACTCTCTCTCTCCCAAAATTATTGTTCATTGTTAGTTCATTTTCGGACAAAGAATCTCACTTCAATGTCATGAAGGATCTGTCACTTATTTATAAGTGCCAAAGGTCAACCCACTCATAGCCAATTGATTTTGAGATGGGAGCCCGAAGTGACTTTGACATGGTATCAGAGCCCACGATCTGTGGACCTGTGATAACTATGGATCCGTGTGTACGGGCTTGTGTACTGACTCAGCAGTATATCCGGAGTATGTACCCGTGTGTATGGGCTTGTTGACTGACCCGGCAGTATATCCGGAGTTGTAGACTGATCCAGCTGTATATCTGGTAAATTATATTGTATTATGCAATCCCAATGGGCCAAATACCCCATTGAATTAGAGGGAGGGTGTTGGGACAAAGAATCCCAATCGGTGTCGTGAAAGATCCGTCATCTGTTTATAAGTGTCAAAGGTCAACCCACTCATAGCCAATTGGTTTTGAGATGGAAACTCAAGGTGACTTTGACAGTACTATAAATAAAAATACAAATTGGACAATGATTTTGAAACAGAGAGATTAATTTTCTAACGAAAAGACTTATTTTAAAGAACCACTTCACCGTTAACTATAACTTCGAGCTCGTCATTTCTGAAGTAATTTTAAATCATTATGTCCCATATGAAAGCATCAATTGTATTTTAGATAAATAAATGGATGTGATATTATTGGAGTTATTCGTCAAAGTTAATATACTTTTTCCGTCCTGAAATAATGATACTTCCTTGGTCCCAAAAGAAAATAATCTATGTTGAGTTTTGGAATTTGTACTAAAAATAGTACAAATCTGAAAACTCAATGTAAATTTTTTTTTGAGACAGATGTAGTACAATTTATATTTTCATTTTTAGTATAATTATCGAAAATGGAAAATACAAGTTGCACAATCATTTGGTATATGGAACTTGCATCTCGTCTCTTGATGCATCTCATCCACAGTTCTAAAAGCACAAGTATTTGATTACCTTAAACTTGTGGGAGTAAGAACAGAAAAAGATGCATATGCTGGCTGCAATATATATGCACCATTGAACGTTGTAATATGATGTAAGATGAAGCCGTGAAACTCAGGATGGATAGCGCCATAATAACAGTGTATACATTACATATACATAAAAAGATCAATCACTTTTGAGGTCAGCCAATCAAAATCATGGCGCTATCCCTCCTGAGCTTCACAGATTCTCCCTACATTTCTTTCCTATATGTGTATATTGGATGGAAAATAGTGTGGCGTTTGATCAAATGGGATATAAATGTGGTATATTTATAGTGTGTATTTACAAGCCCCGTTGACCAGAGCAAGAATTTATTTTGAGAACATTTATTTTTATGTTTATTTTCTTTGCCATTTTTCAAAAAAGTAGTACATATATATGTTGATGAGTGGGCGCTATTTTTTCTTGGTAATCCGGTATAATAATGTTTTTTCTGTCCCGAAAAGAAAATCATTTTTGTTTTATTGTTTTAATTCAAAAAATTTACTAATTTTTATAGAATGGATGGATAATATGTAACACTATGAATTAGAGTTTGGTGGAAATGTTATGGTTCAAAATTTCATCTAAAAATTCGACTTAGTCATAAGATAATGTCGTATAAACTCTCTTAATTTGCGCTGAAATTTTTCAATACTAAATTCGTTTCAATTCAATGACGTATCAGCACATACATATGTTGATAAGAAATTTTTAAATCTTTTATATACACTATAATACGATATTTCAGATGTTCCATACTTCAAAATAATGAAATTGTGGAAATTTACAGTTAGCTAACGAACAACCTAACTAGTTAGGCTTACATCTATATCTATCTATTGGTCCAATAGATTATTGACTAAAGACGTGTGGTGAATCTAGCAAAGATACTCGCATATGGTTGCAACACTACAATTTGTCATCAAGATGGCCAACTTATCCTCAAGCTGTTGCTATATAGATTGTCACTGGTGTTCCTTAGGTTTTTTACGGACTAATAAGAATTAGACTCAATTAGGCGATTAGGATGAGAATAGTTATTATCAGGAGGTCGATGATTCGATTTTTATTGGGATCAATATATTCTTTTAAAAAAAAGACACAATTAGTCTGATGCTCATGTTTTAGTGAGGTATCGTCATTATATCGTTTTCTCTTCTTCTTCTTTTTTTTTTCCGTTTAATAATCGAAAGGTTGTGAAAGCCTAGCTACTTGGCCGAATAATGTTGATTTGAAATTACTTTTCGTTTGGTATGTAGTATTGTTTTGTGTATAGTAGCATACGTTAGTGAGATTAGGCAAGGATTGACTGAAGCCAAAATTTTGGTTAGGCGTGACACTATGACGACGTAGACGACACACATAGAAAGGTCCATGAACTACTATTATCATCTACGTTCTAAAATAATGGGTTTAATCTTTTATGTTTAGAATAATTATATAAAATAAAAATTCAAAGTTAACAATTATTTTGGGATATAAAAAATTATTATGTATCAATTACTTTATAAATAAATTTAGGTTATGCATTCAAAGTGAAACTAAAACTTAGGAAAATAAGAAACAATTATGAACTCAAAGTGCAACCCCTCAGTTCACCCATATTTTTCTTTTTCTATCATTGATAATATTTTCATTAAGGGTGGAAAGCCTTTGTAAATACACATAATATATATATATATATATATATATATATATCTTACTATATTAGAAACAAAAACCTCACTTAAGAAAAAGCACCACCATTTGTCATGTGGCATTTCCACATCATATTTTTAAAATAAATTTTTATTTTCACATCTCCTATACTTAAAAGGCAAATGCAGTCCAAATTCACTTCCATTTCCTATTTTTGCCAAAAAAAAAAAACCAAGGGTTCATAAAAAATGCAAATCCTCATCCCCGTCTCCACGACAATCGACTCCCTAATCAATCCCTTCTCCACAATTAAAAATAAATAAATTCCTCATCAATCATCAATTGAGAGTATATGGTGAAATATACTCCTTTCCTATTAGCATGTTCAATATTTTCATTAGTAATGATCAACTACATCCTAATCGGATAAAATTTCAACTTCAAAAAATATTCTCTTTACCCTCTATATAAACACAAAGGAAAAAAAAAATTCTCATTGATCTTGCTTCGGCCGTTGTGATGGTGGCATTATAAGTAGTAAAATTTAAATGATTTTATTTCCACAGATCATTGGTTTGACTTTTATTATTTTTTATTTTTCCCGTTCAGGAATAGTGTTATTACTATTATTTTTATGCGTCCATCCGTTACAACTACCGTAGCTGTTGTCAGGTAATATAATGTGATTTCTTATTTGGTTAGTTAGTTTAGAATTTTTGTATGATTTTAGTTATGTTTGGATTGAACTGATTAATTGGGTTTTTATTACAAAGTGTGGTTTTTTAAATTTCTTTTTTATATTTCATTCAATTAGAGTGGTTTTCTTTTTTTAATTATGGAATCTCAGGGTTTTTTTTCGTATATGGCCAGTTATGAAGTGTGTTTTTTCTTTGTTTAATTGCTTTTGATTTTGTTTCATACTCTCAATTAACCAATTGTTATTATTATTATTATTATTATTATTATTATTATTATTATTATTATTATTATTATTATTATTTTATTTGCAAATGAAGCTCGTTTTTTTTTGTGTTCGGGGTTTCAAGAATATACTTTTTTGAATTTGGTTTTTGGACTTTTTTTTAATTTCTCATCATATAAATAGTTCAGGTCGCTTCTTCTAACTAATTTATGGGGAAGCCTTTTATGAATTTGAGGTGGAGAGGGAAGGAATGATGTTTCAACGTTTATTTGTGTTTTTATACATCATTTTTACCTACAAAAAAAAGTCAAATTTCAATGGGCTATCTTTTACTTTTTTTTTATTTGCCATGGTGAGGTGAATTCTTTTTTACTATATCTTGAAACCTATGCAAATTTACATTATTTTCATTCTCATATTTGTGGTCAACCAGTTTCAACAATTAACCAGTTTCAAAATCATATTTTTGATATTATATAACCTATAAACTTTTGGAAGAAATAGTTCCAACAATTAAGCGTATATCCGTTGGAGGAAGCTAACTACAAAGTTATTCTAAATTTCCAAAACTAAGTATAGATTTGGCACAACCAATGGAGAACATCAATAAAGTATCTTACTAATATTTAAACTTATTAGGATGTTTTTATATTTGTCTAGCATTTACTTCAAGACATATATTTGATCAAGTTTATTTATATTTAAGAAGTAACACTTATAAAATATTTCTAAAATCTTCAAACATTTCTAAAACGCACCGGGCCAAATACAATTTATTTTTATGCCAAATACAAACATCACACTTATAAAATATTTCTAAATTCTTCAAATATTTCTAAAATATATCGGGCCAAATAAAAAATATTTTTTTTCTAGATGCAAACATTTCTAAGATCTACAGATATAATGAGCCAGAGTCGCGCATTGCGCGACCAAACATCACTAGTATATATATATTAGTATATATATATATATATATAATATTAGGCGAGAATAGAGTTGGAAGAAGATAATTCTTTATATAATACTACAATCTCAAAATAATGTAACAAACAAAATAATACTCCATCCATCCAGAAATTATTGTCGATTTCTCAGTTTCAGTTCAAATTATATTAAAAATGAAAAATTTAAACGGGATAATAATTTTAGAACAAAGGGAGTATACAACTTAGAATCGTATGTATCTTGTCATTTAACATGTTATTCGTCTATGGTTGTTTATCATTTAATTAGTGCTGGAGGAAAATCATCAACTTTTCACAGAGTGAAGCTAACAGAACATGCATGTTTAAACTTGTCACCAAAAATTAGGGTGATTGTTTGGAAAAAGGTAATACTACCACATGATGTTTGATTGGTATTGCTATTAAGCCGTACGTTTTCAGCATCAATAAGGACTTTCTCCGCCAAGTTGCCGATTTAATTTTTCAAAACACTGTGAATCAAAGTTAACAAAAGGCCATGTATGCCCTAAAGGCAATCGTGTTGTTATTCAAGCCGAATAAGGCATATATTAAAATCCCATATGTCCAGTTTTTATCACTTGAGAATTTGGAGGGACGTCTTGGAAGCTGGAAAATTGAATGATTTGAGTACAAGACAAGCAATAACAATGTAGTAACATGATTTGTTTCATCATTTCAATTATTGAAAAGGCTGTAATTTGCTTCTTTTTTTTTTTTTGTATACCGAGGAAGCATAAAGTTTAGTATACAAAATACTCCTTGTTATTGCTTCCTCGTAATAACATATAGTACAAAAAGTCCTTGAAATTTCCCATAACTGAAATGCATTTCCCATAATGTGGAGGAAGCATTTCAGGTATTGGACTTTTTGAAGCTTAGTTTAAATACTCCTTGCGGTTGGACTTTTTTAAAGTCCAATGGCCAAGCTAATAATGTGGAGGAAGAAACCATGTGTAATTTGCTTTTAGGATTAGAGTTGGGGAAGAAAATCATTAATAATGTGGAGGAAGAGAGCAAAATTGACCAGGAAAAAGACTATTAAAGCTTTCCCACATCGGTCGGTGTAAGGTTCAATCCTGGTACCAAGCCCAATTTAAGACCCTCCAGTTCGGCACATTAAATCACGCAGCCTCGCAGTGAGCACAAAGCGAACTATTCTTTCGCCTTTTACTAAAGAATACCGTGTGCACGCTGCAATTAAGAGGCATACGCATATTTTTGGAAGGTTCTCCCATTTTGGGCTGGACCTCTACAATGCTAGTCATTTCAAAATGTTTAATCCCAAAATCATTTCCAAGTGTTGGGCCTTTCTACTGGGTTCTGGTAATTTGTACAAGGAACCAGGAAAAACGTATCACGGTAACGTAATAGTGATGATGGGGGTCTTCTTGACTAGTAGCATATCGTTTAATCAATTAAATGTAAATAGTACAATTATTCTTTAATAATTAGTAAGCATATTGTAAAACAAAAAATTGAACAAAAGACAGTAATAGTGATAGAGAATAATTATTAGCTAGACTCCGTTGCCTAAATAAAGTGACACACATTTATTTTTATTGTTGAAAGGCAGGAAGAAGGAAGAAGAAAGGAAAGAAGGCAGGTAGGTAGAAAGACAAATCGAGGAACACAAGAATGCTATTTACTTGACTTCGCTAAGCTATAATTACATCCGTTAAAATCAAAGACGACTAACTCAGATTAAGAGAAAACTAACTAGGTCTAAAATCTCTTTAAATCATTAGTTAAAAGACTTGTGAAAATATAAGCCGGCCTAGCCATGATGATCATGAATCAATCACATCATAATCTCAAGATATTTCAAGTGATGATTGGGAGGGGAGAGTGAGAGTTCAAGATCCGAATGAGGCCTTCCAGATGAATCAATTAATTGTGGACCATATCCCAACAAATTGATCCCATTTTGGACCAGCTGATGATCACAAGAACAAGTGCAGTACCCATCATCTTCAGATTCACCCTGCTGCTGCATGCCCAAGCACGCTGTTTCTGCAGATGATCCCAATTCAAATCCTCGTACCTAATTACATATATACACACACATTCCAAAATCATAACGTGAGGCTGGTTATTATAAGTGAATATTAATGACTAGCAGATTAATAAATATTGTATAATATAATACTAATAAAGTAGTAATTGATTTTATTTGCCTTGTTTGTGATACGGAACACAGTTCCATCCTCTTGAACATGCCATCCAGCTTCTTCACAAAGAGCTCTGAGCAAATCATTGGAGTCGGCGTTCTTCGGAAGCTTGTAGTTGCCGTGAGCACGGAGTCCGGCGAAGATGTTGTGTGCCACAGCTCGACGGTTCCGCTCCCTCTGCTTGTTATTCAGGCGCTCCCTTTCGGAAGGATACCGGAACTTGGTCACCGTACCACCGTCTCTGGTGGTCCTTCGGACAATCCATGGACCTTTGCTGCTCTTTATGCAACCCCTTCGGACAACATTATTCCCATTTCCCTCTTCTTCACCTCCACTCATCATCATCATCATCATCATCAAACAATTCTCCTCTGATCCCTTTGTGTAAAATTGACCTACACAACTTATTACTACTGTTCCAATATCCCCTCACTCTTATATATTATATATAATAAAAACGAAATTGTGTGTGTGTGTGTGTGTGTGTGTTGAAATGCAGTTTAGGAATGGGAAGACAGGAAGAATCCAAAAAGGACGGTCTTTTGTACCTTCATCTTGTACATTCCCAGGCTTTTATTTCCCGGGAGATAGAAAATTGTACTACTTTCTTTGGTTCTTTAAAGCAAAAAAAAAAAAAAGTTTGTATCAGTAAATGCTAGAAAATGAGTGTGTGTCATCCTTGTGATATTTTGTTTGTCCCATTCTCTAATTTTTCTGATGCCAAATCTGGGTAGAATACCAATACAAAATTGTAGTGGTTGTGTTATTACAAGATTGAACTGACCAAGCCAAAAGTTGATTAAAAGACGTTCAAACGTTAACAGCTAGCTGTGATTCCTCCAAAACTGGAAATGTTACTGCTGATGAGGATAAAGGAGCTAGTCTGTGCATCACAAATTAAACTATGTCCTCTTTAATTATAAACCAGCAAGACCGACAATATCTATATATTGCTCCTAATTTCGTTGGGTTGAAAGAAAAGATGGTAAATGGTATGACAGCAAAACATCAGAAAGGAAACACATACCGGACGTAAAAGATTCCACAACTTAGTTTGTCTTTTGTTGTCAGAACAGATTTTTCAACAGACCGTTATTTTATGCGCCAGATCAATCATAGAGTCTATGTATAAAGCTGAGATTCTCTACACAGGACTTGAGGCCCATGTCTTGATTTTTTTACTTTCCTTTTTGCCCTTTGTCCCCCTAAAGGAATACACAAAAAACCTGGGCTTCGTAATAAGTTATCCCACACCCAAAAATTTGATGAGGGGAAAAGAAGAGTCTAGGAAGAAGCTAAAGTGGCTTGATTACAGGACATCTTAAGTTGATAATAGAAAGATATAAACCCAGAAAGGAGAAGAAATTACACATGATGTTTATGCGTTTCAAATAATTAATACTACCTCTATTTTTTTTATGTCATTTTATAGTAAATCCATATCCATTTTTTTTCTGTTACATTTCATTTACAATACAATATTAAATACATTTTTTTTAATATAACCCATTATCTCTTGTTGGTTTATACCCTGAGCCCAAACAATTTTGTTAATGTCATATCATGAGAATCTATTTGGCTGCACTCAATAGGTCGTTGGTTTGGTTTTATGTTCCGGGCCTGATTTACTTATAATTAAGAGTTAATTCGTTAGTAATTACGGTCATTATGGTTCTCGATACTGTTGTATTATAAATAGATGGTATTAGAGAAACCCTAACTACTTCTTACTGTTTGATTCGTCTGGGAGCCAGAGCCGCATCTATTTCGCCGTTGCTAGCAAACCTTCTTTCAAAAACACCCCAACAATTGAGTGAATACTAGTCGCAGAGAACTATCATTGTTCTCTCGTGATTCAAGTTGTGTACAATAGCAATCTTTCCTTCAGAAACAACTCAACAATCGAGTGGATACTAGTCACGGAGAACTATCATTGGTCTCTCGTGATTCAAGTTGTGTACAGACAATCTTCGGTGAAAGGTATTCGATACTGTTACTCTGATATTAATAGTATGGATATATATGCTTAGGGTTCTTGAATTTGATATATATTTTATATGCATGGAACCCAATATTTCTCTATTTTTAATAATATATATTAACAATATCTTTTTTTTTTACTTAAATTTTAAATTTTTGTAGGATTCCAATACTTTTTAATTAGGAACAAAAATGTATTATACTTAAATATTAAATTATCAATTATTACTTTTTAATACTTGTGCAAACTCCTGAAGCGATAAATAAAAATATTCAGACGTAATCCCAAAAGGACTCCGCAACAAGCTCGAGATGCAAATCACGGTCCAAATTATAATTAACAAAGCAAAAATGCGATTCCAATAACTACTAACTGCAGCATAATAAGTAGTGTGATAGCGTAAAAACCTGCAATTAGTGGGGTAAAAAAATACACAGTTCCAATTTGTAAAAATGTGTATTGAGAAGAATAAAATATTGTATATTTGAAATGATTAATATGAGTTAATTTTAACCAAAAAAAAATACTAATAAAAATCATAATAATACTGTAATAATAATGTGAGTTCAAGGTGGATCGGGAAACAAAAGTTTGCCATACAACGGCCAGCAGTCCAAATTTCTGACTCGACTAATTTGAGTAAGCTTCAAATTCGGGGCCGGAGACAGCGGCTTCCCCTTTTTTTAGTATAAATATTAGGGATGTCGAAACCAAAATAATAATAATAATAATAATAATAATAATTGAAAACTGTTTCCGCATAAAGCAATTTTTTTTTAATTTTTTTTTTGGGGGTGACTTAACTGGCGACTTGTGCGAGGACTATTCCATTCGATCAAGTTAAGAAGGAGAGGCCAGTTTCTTGTTTCAATGGCTGCCCCGATTTTGGGTTTTCCCTGGTGACAAACATTCAATTCACTAAAATTATTGAGAACAATTTCGGCGTGTCAAACATCTTCTTCCCAAGGTTAGTCTTCGTAAACCCATTCAAATTCATGTTTAACAAACAAAAAAAGAAAAAAAATTAAATAAAATCGAAATTTCAACTACAACTAGTAACTGAGTTTTAGTGAATTTTAATCGAACTCAAAGCGCAATGAATGTAGATGGACATTGGGCTCTTTAAGGAAAACGAATTTGACACAAAGTCTTGAGTTAAATCTTGTGGACGTATAATTTGGTGTTTGATTTTGGAACAGGTTCGTTTCCATATTTGGGATGCAAACTACTGTATCTTTTTTAACTAGATGCTTCGGATTTCGTTGTTTTCTGTTTCTGGGTAGTTTGCGCGAATCCCTTCTTCGGCTCGTGTTTTTTTTTCTTTGAACTCTGGTGATTGAAGAACTTTTATTTATTATTAGTTAAAATTATTTTTCCTTGTTTGGGGTAATTTGGATATAATAAATAATCACGATCCAAATAGTAACAGAAGGATTGGGAAAGGCTAATTAAGACCGGGGTTGTGTGGATTGAAGAGAAAGATGACTTCATCCATGGGCAGGAACTCTCTTTCTCCCCAGTTGCCAGCAGGAAAGCGACTAAGGCTAAATGAGCGAATTTCAAGTTCCAAAATGAAGCACTCTCGTGTTGATTCAGTCCGACATTTCCCACAATTTTGTGGCCCCTTTGGTGCTGTGGTGGAGGGGAAGGAAGACGGAAAAATTATAAATGATGTTGTCTCCAAAACTCCCTCGGAAGCTGTACTACCAGATAACCAGGCAAATACTAGTAGTTTGGATTACTCGGAGAAATATTCATATGATGCAGCCATTGGAAGTGATAGTCGTCGAAAGGTGGAGGAGGTTCTAAAGAGTTACAAGGAGCTTTTATCACTTGATGAACAGGGGAATGGATCCCAAAGCCTTAAAGCAATAATGGCACTAAAGAAAGAGGGCAGATGGTTAAATAGTCAGCCCACTTTTGGTCATGTTCCTGGTGTACAAATTGGTGATCAATTCCAGTTCAGGGCTGAACTCGTAATGGTGGGTCTGCATCACGAATTTGTCCGTGGCATCAATTGCGTCGATGTGAAAGGGAAGCCCTATGCTGTTAGCGCCGTGGATTCAGGGCGCTACGAGAACAAGGCTACATCCCCTGGTGTGCTTGTTTACTCAGGTCAGGGTGGAAATTCGAAAGTCCAACATAACCCACATCAAAGTGATCAAACACTTGAAGGAGGTAACCTAGGTTTAAAGAATAGCATGGATGCTAAATTTCCCGTGCGTGTTATTCGTAAGATTCGGCGGGAATCTACAAAGCATGTCTTCATATATGATGGCCTTTATAGTGTAAGTAAATATTGGCTGAAAAAATCAAATGCTGGTGAGGTTTATATGTTTGAAATGATTCGAATGTCGCGCCAACCTGATTGTAATTACCTAACCATCGACGACAAGGCTTTAAAGTCGGTTGAAAGTTCGAGGTTAGTGATAGCAAAAGATTTGTCTCAAGGTAAGGAGGGAATTGAGATCGTGATTGTGAATGAAATAAACAGTGAAAAACCAGCACCTTTCACTTACATTACTGAGATGATGAAGACATTTTCGCACGAACACTCTGGTTTGAATGGTTGCGGTTGCATCGATGGATGCTCGGACTTAAATCCATGTCCTTGTGTGATAAAGAATGGAGGGGAGATTCCATTCAATGAAGATGGAGGTATACTTAAAGCAAAGAAAATGATTTACGAATGTGGTCCGAATTGCAAATGCCCTCCTTCTTGTCAAAATAGAGTCAGCCAACATGGACTTAAACTACCGTTGGAGGTATTTAAGACAGAATCAACCGGATGGAGTGTCAGATCAAGAGAAGAGATTAAAATTGGCAGTTTCATTTGCGAGTATCTAGGAGAGTTGGTTGAGGACAAGGAAGCCGATCATTGCACAAATGATGAATATCTTTTTGACCTCTGGGATGGTAAAGGGTTCACCATTGATGCAGCAAAATACGGGAATGTGAGTCGATTTATCAACCATAGTTGCTCACCTAATCTCTATGCACAAAATGTTATTTATGATCATGGGAACAAAAAATTGCCTCATGTTATGTTTTTTGCTACCGAGAACATACCTGCTCTGGTAGAATTAACGTATCACTACAACTACAAAATTGGTAGTGTTCGTGATGCCCATGAAAACATCAAGGATAAGAAGTGTTTTTGTGGTGCTCGCCGTTGCCGTGGGAGATTGTATTGAGGTGTAGTATTTGTCTTCGTTTGACGGTCGAAATCCCATATGCATTTCTTACTTCCAACTTATCTCTTCTACTTCACATGCCTCCCCATATACGCTCCCTTTTCTTTTTTATTCTTTTTTTTTTTCTTTTGCAAGAAATCATTCCTTTATTTATTGTCCAAGAAATTAAATAGACTCATTTTTTCTGTTGCATCATTACGTACTGTTTTGACTGGCTCTAATCTGGGTGGAAGGTAGAAAGTTTGTGTTAGTAGGTTTCTTCTAGATTGTGAAATTAATAGTTTGATACCAAATCAAATTTCTTAACCTATTCCTCGCTAGCGACAAATGCTGAAGCTTTAAATCAAATTCTCAGCTTGGTTCCTTTCTGGTGAAGTTTTGTATTCTATGAGGTGGACGTTTATTAAAATTGGTTATACACTTATACTGCAACTTCTACTCCTAAAACAGTACTTCACAAGTTTCTAGTTCTGAACCCTGATTTGGAGAGCGTTGATAATTGTCAAGTTTTAATATATTACAGGTTACAAACCACAAAAGGATGCAGTTTGGACATTATTAAACGTTGAAGGATCAACTACCGTTTGTAAGAATACATGTTGTAAGTGTATCGTTTTAGAGCAAAGGTGTTTGTTGTGGTTTGACATCTGTGGCATGTTAGACATCAATTTTCATTTTTGCTGTGCTTTGAGGTTGGCTCAACAAGGACCTGAGGCTCATATCTCATTTTCTGCCGTTTGTCCCCTCCCCCGGCGGAAAGGAAAACACAGAATCCTGACATACGTAATAATCTACACAGAAAGGAAGAGTTGTTTATTGCTTTTGATTTTCTGTAGAAACGAATTACAACGTGCTCTTCTGAATCTCATAAATTTTTTTTTTTTTTAAAAAAAGAGAGCCCAATTCGAAAATAATTTACAAACAAAAATGGGAACTGAATGGCTTGCTGCAGCCTACCCTGACCTGACAGGCCAACACAATGCTATGTACAAAGTACGAACTACTATTTCCATCCTAGGAAGCCTTGCCTGATTTGCAGTGAACTCTAAATAGCTACAAGGTATCCTTTATATTTACGAAGCTGGCAACAAGTTATCTGTATGTTAAGATAATCTATCCAAGAGTTTTGAATAAAATACAAACCTAAAATTTTGCAGATCATAACCGTTAGGGCAAAGATGATGGCCGACAACATATCTTAGCTGCTTCTGCAATATTTAGGCATTAGAGTTGCTAATGATGGATAGAACTCTCCTCTTAAGGCTTCCAATTTTCTGTTGCAAGCAAAACAATGGACAACCTTCATTCCCATAATCAGGAATTGTTATATTTGGATGGCACATTGATATAATGAAACGGCTCGTACCAAATTGGAGTTCGTTGCCCAATTCTGGGCTAAAGAGGCTGCATCTTTCAGATGTGAGAAGTAAGTTTGATCAAAATTCAACGTGTATGTTGAACTTTCTGTTGCTTCCGCCACCCAAACATTGTTTAAGTGGTCTTTTGCTCTCTTGATCAGATTACAGAAACCAACCTGCAAGAGGAAATGAATTAGGTTCCTCATTGTTACACACGGAAGATAGTATTAGCCTTTGTAGCACATGACACAAAATGAACCTAGCCCGAAAAATGACATTTTTCAGCTAATGGATACAAATACAATGCAAATAATTGACTTTAACATGTTAGGTCAGTCTCATGGAAACATTATATACACTCTGATGCAAAATATTCCGACCACTGAACCATCCCCAGGCATGAGGGTCTGTCCAGAGGACTAATTCTCCATTTCGTTTAACAAGGATATTGTTGGAAACCTACTGATAAAGCTGATCTAGATAAGCAAAGTTCAAACAAGGATAATGCATGGAGAATGGAACTGGCATGTTGCTAGCGCCTAGCATACTAAGTGAAAGGGAAAAAAGTGATCAAATTTGTTAGGGTGACTCACCACCTGAAAGATATTCATTACTCACCGTGGATCCTGCTAGATTAGAGTTAACTGGCGCGAAAAGATCACTTTCACTAGATGGTATGCAAAAACTTATTGCCAGTAGGGATTCCAAAGGTTCCATAGTATGTAACTCATGTGGCGAACCATCAGCCACAAAAACCCACTGCTTCTTTTGGCGGGATGAGGTATATACATCTCCCACATAAACAACATATGCAGCAATGTCAAATTCACTGAGGAAATCAATGCAACACAACAGAGAAGTTAAGTTTGAAAAGAGCACATTAGATTCCCGAGAATAAAGTTTCATGAGATTGTGTATTATAAAGTTCACCTAGATAGAGAAACTTCACCCAAATGAGACAGCATAATTGACCTGCGGGGATTGAAGAACGGCCTGCGAGATATTCTTCCAGTTATCTATATATTATACTGATAATAAAATGTAGATGTAAACACAAGAAAACTTACTGGAAGCATTCAGTTGCTGATGGAGACAAAGGTATCCATTTTGTACTTGATCCTTTAGTTTGCAAATGAAGAGTATTTGGATCAGAGGTTAAAGGTGTGAGCCACGAAGCAACATAAGCCCTGCCCTCAACTAACTCCAGTTGCTGAAATAACAGTTATCTACAGTTAGGTATAATATTGTCAAAAATACAGTATTAGATGAGAAATTTCTTGTTTCCGGATAACAATGTCTTATAAGATGTGCATCAGAAGTTTATGGGATTTTATTTTTACCTGTTTCTCAGTTGGATTCCAGATTGTGATCAGGCCTATCTGCCGTATGCACTTTTTAGGAAATGTTTTACTAGCCAAGCCAACAACTCTGACTCTCATGAATGGTGTAAATTCTCTGCCACTTAAGCCAGCAGCTTCCAAAGCCTTTTCAAGAGATTTCTGCATCTTGTTCTCTCTTTCTGCCTAAAATTATAAGTAACAAGAGGAAAAATGTGCAACAGCAAAATCTGTTAACTACGGACCAAAGATCTAATTTTTCTAGACAAAAAGAACTGAATCAGCAACAGTCTACCTCTAATTTTGCTTTATAAGTGGCAAATGAATTTAGTTGTTCTGGAGTCATCTCAGCCATTAACAGTTCTGGTTCGGCAGCTTTCTCAAGTATCTTCAAGAGTTTAGCCCCTTCTTCACAGCCATTCTCATCTTCAACATCCAGATTTTTGTTTTCCATCTGGAATTCAGACATTACGCCTTCAACCACAACAGAGCGCCTGAAACCATGCAATAATGATCAATATACCAACAATGGACTTGATGCTTTATTTGTTAATGAAACATAGATGAATTATACACTTGTTTCTTACCCACAGCAGTACATTTTAATCATAGTTCAAAAGAAACATCTATCTTAGCTTGTAATGCAGAATTCTGGCCTCTGGAAAGGTTCAAAGAGTAATTTATATGCAAACCTATAAAGAACTACAAAGAGCTATAAAACGGTCATCATTGCAACAGGAAGTCTGTTGAAAGAGTAATAATAAAACAGTTTCTTTTCCCAAAAAAAAAAAAAAATTACGGATGAAGTCAAACTGAAACTGCCTTGATGCCAGTATACATGTGCTTACCTCTGGTTGTATAACTGGGACAGATTTGCTTGCATCCTCTCAGATCTGACTATGACACTGCCATCCTGTAACCTGATCCACACATATCACTTTCATACTCAAGAAACTGGATGTGACAATAACCAGTATATTTGTAGAGTAGAAGTTACCTTTCTCGGTACAGAACAGGATATATTCTCAAAACTCCAAAGATTGTGCTCGGGATAACTCCGCCCTTACATTTGATGGACCTAAACGCTAATGGTATGCCATTAACCTTACCTGAGATTTGTATTTGAAGGTTAGCACTGTAAACTACAATGAAGCTGTAACCACATCAAAACTTCAACTGGATTACTAAAACACCAAATTGACTCCTTATCAATGTCCAAATCCTTACAGATTCCTAATCGATCAGCCCAATGAGCTCTGTATGTTCCGTTTATATGAAGTAGTAAACTGGTGGTCTGTGATACCTGAGGTCAAGAAATAGTAACTCTGAACACTTGCCTAAAAGAATGAAACCAAATTACCAGCATGGAACATTTTTTGATCAGGAAATACCTCAAGTGGTGAAACTGGTCCAGCTGACCCACATAATGCAGCTCCCCAAATCTTCAAATACAACATAAGCTGTAAGCAACAGAAACTTTTTGACTAAAAACCTTGAAAAGGAAAAACAAACTACTGAAGGAATTACAGTGAGTTTTTGCCCCACAAACAGTTTTCCCGCAACCAACTTCCTGGATAGAAGAACATCCAGAATAGCAGTGACAGAATACCTGCCAATCAAGTAAAGATATTTTATTGATATGCACTTTAGAAGCCTCGTAGTAGTACCAAAACAAATTTGAATTTGCCTAACCATCCATCAGTTAATTCTATTTTGGCCACTGCATCACTTTCAGCCCCTTTTGAAGCAATGGCTTGATGGCCAACCTTTTCTAAGGCGCTGCTCAAAAATACAGATGAAATGCATAACACCATCCTTGTAGAAGGTGGGGAATCTCCTTCTAGAATTCTCTTCACAATAGATCGATGACCATGATTCACTTCCTTCTCGTATCTGACCAGAAGAAACAGGTTTAGACTACCATAAAATGCAAAGGGAAGAATGACTTAATAGAGTATGATTTTTAACATAAAAAATACCTATATTTTAATTCTTCGAGCACATTAGATACTGACAGCAGCTTTCCACAGAATTTGGCAGGATAACACCTCTCATAAGAAGCCAGTTTCCAAACAATCCATTTGTAGTGATTTGCGACCCACCTGCAGAATTTGCTATAGTTACTAAAGAAACAAACTAAAAAACTTGAGCAAACCATGAGATAAACAACTACATGAATTTATAAGCTTTTCTAACATCAAGCCACATGGAAAGATAATCATCAATGACAAAGATCTGAAACAACTGAAGTCCAATGAATCACGTGGACATTATTCCACATTTTATGTTTACAATTGGATAAAATTTTACAAGCAATAGTGCAGCACCACCATCAAGTTGAACCAAAAAAATTACGCTTTTGAGATATATTGCTGAGAAGCTCCAGACTGAATCAGCATATGGTAAAAGCTTTCTGCTCCAGTGCAACATGAATGAAGGTCATCGCTGAACATGTATTTTTCGGCCACTTCTGGATTCATAGTCCTTATTTGATGTGACAATTTCTCTGTCTGCATGCATGTAGCACAGGTTGATGATCATTTGCCCAAGAAAATAAACTGGTAAATAGCGAAGTTCATAAAATTTTCTACCCTGTTACACCTTGCTTTTACAGGATGGAGGCTCCCCAAGATATTCCTTCATGTACAACCTAGAAATTTGAAAAGGGTATCGGGTTGAAACCCGTCCCTTGGAAGCAGTTTCTTTGGTTGATAAAGCTGAACTCCCTGTGTAAAACATAATCCTTAGATTTACTCAATAATTTAAACAAATGTCAAAAACATCTCCAGAAAATTTACTCTTACCCTTTAAAATGGATGAATTGCTTTTGCTAAGAGGGGTAACAAATGAACTCCGGGGTCTCTTGAAGGGAGATACAGTATTTCTTCCAATTCTTCGTTTCTCGCCAGAATTCCACTTCATATTTGTACGTTCAACTGAAGTTTTATTTGAGATATCCGAAAGTGGCACTCTAGGCGGCCTTTCACAAGCATTTCTTATAGAGGTAAACCCATTGTCTGGATGATCTTGAATTGTGGTGTGACTTCTCTTGTTACAAGCATTTTCCTCGTTAGAAAAACTTTTACACTTCCCATCCAAGCTGTCGTTTGCCTCTGCATCAAACTTCTTGATCAGATTATTCCCTTTACTAATATTACTGCGGCTAACTGGAAATTGTTGCTGGCAAGAGTATGATTTCAATGGAGAAGTGAAATTCTTTGACAAACTTTGGCCTTGCATTTTCTGCTGATATGAAAATGGAGTGTTTGGGTCAGTTTCTTTCTCTGAGGGTGTCTTCCCAGATTCTATATCCCTAAAAGCTGAAAACATCTGATCCGCTGCAGTTCCTTGACTTGAGAAAACTCCTGCATCTTGGTCTCCGAGTAGGCTCCTTGCACGTTGCAGGGCATCACTCGAAACGGATATTGATCTCCCACCAGCAGTTTGAAACTTTATTGTAGGTGGTTTTACAGGAGTTTGCACAAAATCTGTAACTACCCCTTCTGGATCATGTCTTAAAGAACTAAATTTGTTTTCTAAAGGACATATTTGAAAGATTGAATCATGGCCTTCTTCAAGTTGCAAAGGCAATGGACTTTTGGCAGCAATGGGTTCATATGAAGTCTGCTGAAGGTCTTCAAAGTTCCTTCGAAGGCCATATTCTTCTGAACCCAACAAACTCTTCGCTCTTAGAAGACCAGCAGATGATATGTTGACCATCTTACCTGAGGCAGTCTGGAACAAGGAATTTGGGGAACAATTTGCTTTCTCCTTTTCAGCCTGATATACAGATTTTGACCTCTTGAAGGCTTTTCCTGAATCAAACCACGACGTGGTGCTATCTGAAACTCCCATTCCATTCCCTTCTCCTTTCCCCTGGCCTGCTAAGTTGTTTTTCAAACAAAACTTTAGGTATCATGTAATCAGGCCAAACAAAACACACCAAGGCATTAAAGGTCCATGCAATTTAAATATAAGACAACAAGATATCAAAATTTACTGTGCTAGTCTCACAAAATTACAGGGGAAAGCCCTAGCTCTTAGCTTCATATTTTTATAAATGTAGCAAACAGCATACAGTATCTAATTTTAGTCGTTGAACCATATTTTTTCACTTCAATAGGAGTGAATTCTTACAAAACTCATCCTTTGAAAGTTAATATTTGTGCATGCCGAATTAGCCTACCACATTTAATACAAAATCCATCCCATATGAGTAGGGACACATTTTAGAGAATCTCTCCTGAGATAACCAACTTATGACTATAAAATTAATTACTAACATATGTTACAGCTTCAGACTAAATCAGCTCAGTCAATGGGGAATACATTTTGGGACATGTACGCACTCCGTCCTGAAATGATTGTCCAACTCCGATTTTCATGTTTAGTTCAAATGGTACTAAAAATGAAATACTAAACTGGACAATCATTTCGGGAAAAAGGGAGTACAAAATAAAGATTCCTCCTAATTTGGGAAGTAGGTAGCACATTCCCTTCCAAATAAATAAGAATCTGAAAAACAAAACCTGTTCGAGGAAGGACTTCATCTCCTTCATCATCGCCAAGAATTGCTAAAGCTCTTGCAATGGAAGACTGCTTCACCCCGACAGACGTCCCCATTCCCGTCCTAAACAATGGGACTTCATCAGAAATACTGCTGGAAGGTTGAACCTCATTTATGAATCTCGAAAACCCTGCAAATAAATCACTTCAATGAAAATTGAAACATTTAAATTTTAATAATGGCCTTACAAATGCAATACGGCGTTAGCAACATTATATTATGCGAGGATTTAATTATAATTGGCAAGCACCTTTATCCTTGACCACAACCTCCTCCTTCCCTTCCCTTTCAACGCCAAGAAGAGCTAACGCTTTTGACACCGAAGATTGCTTCACTGAAACCGGTTTGCCCAAACCGGTCCTAAATTTCGAGGAATGGTCCGAATTACCCTGTCGAGCTTCAATTAACTTCGAATAACCTAATCACGACAAATCGATTGGATGACGAGCGGAAATAGGGTAATTTACGGCAAGACAACTAATAGAAATGTACTGTGGCGGTACCTTGTAGCAATAGGTCGGCCATGGAAGGAAGGCATTCGGGAGCTGGTTGTTGAGCTCGGCCGGTACAGTTTCTTCCATTTGGTTCTGCTGCTTCTTCTTTGGAGATTTTTTCCCATCGGAAAGAGTTGCCGGCGTCGGAGAACATCCTCCACGTCGACATGATTGGAGATTTCCTCTGGGTCTGTCTAGGGCTTTGGAATGGGGAGGAATTTGATGAATGGATTAATGCTGAAAAATTAAATTGCGAAGAAAAGAAATAAAAGAGCGGGAAAAAATTCTGAAATAGTGGCGCCACGTGATTCCATTATTTCGAAATAGGATTGGTTTGAGAGATGGCCGCCCAAACATCTTTCTTTGTGGTGATGATTTTGGGCCTTCATTCTTTCTCACTCACATGGGCCTGATTTCAAAGTTAGGATCTAGAGCTATTAATGATAAACTGTTGTCAAGAGCGAACAAACTATTACGAACATGAAAAAAATATACTCCCTCCGTCTCATAATTATTGTCCACTTTGCCCAAAAAATTTTGTCCCAAAATTATTTTCCAATTTGACTTTTTATGGATCAAGTTACACATTTGTCCTTAGTAAAAAACATTATCCATAAAATCTTAGTGGTTAAACAATTACTTATGTAGGGGTATATCCGGTTGTTTAAGGTAAAATATAGTTAAGTTTGACCAAAAATAAAATCTTTCATTTCAGTAAAACTGGACAATAATTATGGGATGGATTTATGCAATAAAATTTTGAAATTTGTGGTTAAAGCAAAAACAAAAAAAAGGCAAAAGTCTGACTTAGTCGGGATGAGCAAATTGGAGGTACAAAGCTACAAAATGATACTTCCTCCAATTTTTATTACTCCTATACAACATTTTAATTTCTCTTATGTTTCATCTATCGTATTTTTTGTAATGCATGTTCTAGTATAATGTAATATATATGTACGCGTTTGTTTTGGTACTTAACACTAATTTTCATAAATATAATAATTATGCACATACAATCCCGCTAGAATAACAAATTTCATACGGAGCTATATCCCAAAAAAAAAAAAAATGTCTTTAATTACTCCTTCCGTCCTATAATTTTTGTCCAATTTGGTTAAGTTGGAAATTTTAATTTTTTGATCAAATTTAACTATATTATGACTTAAATTACAGGATATGTTAATTGTTTAACCGGCAAAAAATCATCTATCTATAATAACCTCCATTATAAGAAAAACTAAATTTTCTTAAAATTTCAAATGTCAAATTATCCTTAAGAGTCTCTCAACCCCTCCCCCCAAAAAAAACCCAAATAAACAAAGAAAAAAGAACGGGCACCATTTTAGTTCCCTAAAAGAAAATTCCGAAAAAGAAAAAAACTAAACTTAGAGAAAAAAAGGAAACAATCTTCACTATAGTAATGCGGATGATTTGATTAAAAAAAATAAAACAAAACTGAAAAATCACACGTTTATTATGGTTTTGATTATCTACCATAACCAACTCCGAATTTTTATCTAAATATTAACTTTCCATTCTTAAAAAATATCTTTAGCACTTTCCGGTTAATAAGGAAACTGCAAATAATGTCAATTTATCTCCCCTCCCCCACCAAGAATAATCTCAATCAATAATCCTTCTGCGCCTCCACTAAAATCTTCACTGATCCTTTTTTTTTTTTTTTCTGCGGTGAAATCAATTTTGGTAAAAATTAGTGGAAAAAGGAGCTGTAGTATCAACGAAAAGATTAGAGATGAGATTATTCACTAGCGCCAAGGAACTATACACAGTGTTAACGTACTATTGCCCCACAAATATTTCCAAGTGTTTATCATATTAAGAAGATGTTTTGTTAAAACTTTATTTTCCTGATATTATGTTTCAATAACAACTCTTAATTTTATATGTTGCAAGATTAATCAATAAAGGCGAAGGAAAAAATTTATAGGAAAGGTGAACTCTTCTGCTCAGTTTAAATCAAGATTATGGTATATTAGTGATTCATGTGTGTGATGCCAATGTCCCATTTGTTATGGCATGTGTTCTGCTATTAAAAATCTCACTTTTCAAAAGTATAAACAAGGGTGCATATTATGTGTTTGGTTTTAGGTAAGTGGTTGAACTACACTTCAAAAGTCTCTTTCTTGCTAATACTCATCGCAGATGCAATGTTCTTGAAGATTGAGAGTTTTAACGAATCATATTCTACCAAACCTCACGTGCTTTTCCCTAAGAAGAACTATATAGTATGACCCCAATCTATCTCTTTCATATTTTCGTGTTGCAAATTGAAATTCGGGAAGGGCTTATATGAAGCACAAAGGTAATTATAGAGACCCTGAAGCGTGAAAAAAAAAAAAAATCAACCCTTCCAAGTCAATTGAGAGGGGGGGAAAATGCAGGCCTTTTTTGGTGACTTTCATATGCAAAGCAAATTATAATTTTATTTTATTTACTTTTTTTCCTCTCAAATGATGAAAATATTTCTGATTAGTTAGAATTCCTGAATTAAGCAGAATTTTACTCTTGATGAAAAATACTCCTTCTACTACGAAATGATTATTTTTTTATCAGTAATCCTTCATTTTGCTATGGAGAGAGTTTAGAAGTTCTCCCTAAATTGCACATATATGTTATTTATCATTGATGTATATTGGAGGGAGACATCATGCAAGTTTTGATATGGAAAAATATGTGCCTTGCTAATGAGTTGCATATGAAGGCGATCGATAAATTATATTCTGCATTTTGTTGTCTTCATTAAGCCTTTACAATTATGGGCTCTGAAGTTGTCTTAAAATGTTAGACTTCCCTTACATTATTCTTTAAAGAGAAAACATAAAAGTGATTTTTTCTAAAATATATCATTCTTTGTCGAACAGAAGTAATAAGGTGGGGGTTCCCACGAGTACTAGGTAAAGTGATTGATTCTGAAAATAGGTAAATGCATTTCTGAATTGAACGAGTTTTGTTTTTCGCAACTTAAAAATGTTGATGCTAACAAGAGTGGTCATGTGATTATCTTATCATTAATCAGGACAAAGTTTAAGGCTTATATCTGATCCCTAATGTAAAAACTTTATATTAATGATCTCCACATGAATTAATGAAATCATTTTGCCTTATTTAGCATACAGGTACTCATGTTAACCATTTAGTCAACTTAAATGGCTGACTTTGAAGGAAGCTCAGATGAAGTGAATTTGGAGACGATAATTCTAAGTCTACTGTTGGGGTTGGGAATCCATTCTTCGTATAAAACGAAGAAAACAGTCACCGCTTCAATTGTACAAGAGGTGGTCGACTTTTTTCTTTTTGTTGGGCAGGGCTAAGTGGCCGATTTTGTTTTTTTTTGTTTTTTTTTTTCTGTTTTCTTAAATCACACCTATTATTTTTCAATTAAAATCATAGGCAATAGTAAGACAGTGGTGATTACAAATTTAGCCAAGTGGCCGATTCTTGCATATCTTTTAACTTCCTATTATTATCTTCAATTAATTTAAAGTTTTGATATAATCCCGCACAATAACATAACACATTTGATAAAATATTTTCCTTATATATTCAAACTTTGGTGTTGGTGGTAATGAATATATTTTTTAATACTAAAGCTTGCAAACAAACCCGTGCTTCTCCACGGGTCCAAAAACCTAGTACTTGAATTATGAACAAACAGAACTTCTTTTACCGAAATTCAAAATCAATCCCCATTCAAAAATTCAGCCTTCATATGTTCTTCATGATTGAACCAAATTTTTTAAATTTTCAGATTAATAATTTCAAATCTTCCAACTATAAAGTTCAGTTTGATGTTTATGAATGCAATTTTTCTCTACCGGAGAATTCGACCCGTCTAATTCTAGTCATTGAATAGATGAAACTTTGACAAATTTGACAAATAACTAATTGATTTCTTTTCTTTCAGTTAGTCTTTTACCCCTTCCTAATTTAGTAATAACAAAGTTGTTTCTCCGACGCCAGTATGGTTACTTTAACATTAAAGTTGAAAATTTGATACAAAATCGCTAAGAATCCAAAATCATTGAAGTGGAAAAAAGAAGAGAACTTGAAGGAGAAGGTGGGAGGACGAAAATGATGGATCTTAGAAAGAGGAGGATGGATGATTCTTCAGAAAATTGGCTTGCTGCAACTGGGACAAGTAGGAGTGAAGGTGGAGGTGACAGCCGGAAAAGCAGTGGGATTGAGGGCGGAGAATGATGGAAAAACACATGAAGAAAATGCCATTTTTTTTATTATTGTTGTCTAATGAAGACGGCAAAGTGAAGCCGCGGGGGGAAAGGGTGGTCAGAAAAAGGAGGAACTCAGTTGCAGAGAGAGAGAGAGTTTCACTATGTGAGTGTGTGTTGATGATGGCTGGAACAGTGTGGCGGCTGGAAAACGGACTTCTCTCTCAGCATAATTAAAACGGTTTCCAGTTAATGCTTATTTTGCGAATGGTAAATTTGTAACTTAATCCATAAAGGTCAGATTGGACAATAATTTTGGGACAAATTTTTTTTTAGTAAAATGAACAATAATTTTGAGATTGAGAAAGTACATAACGAATATAAAGAAAAATAGAGAATATTTTTAGACGTCATCAATAGTCAATTAGCTCTCATAATGTAAGTGTACAGAAGTTGGTTCCAAACATCTGGAACACCGGGAAGACACCAATGAACACAATCTGCATATGTCACAGGATCCAACAATTGAGTTCGGGTCAAATTTGACCATTGCCTTCTATGGATGGATGGGTGACCATCTTTTCTGTAATCAGACAATTGAGTTATGTTTATGTATTCCACTCGTAAGCCTCTTCCTTTGAGATCGTTAATGGCCGCTTCAGCTATTCTCATCATCCCAGCATCTGTTCCGCTACCTTTATAACCTTTCTCTAAAATCGGCTCTGTTTCATTGTAGCAATTCCCTCCTCCGGATTTCCCCCAGTCTTCACCTCTGCCAAACACACTCATTACTGTTTGAATTCACAATTCTCATTTTTCGAGTCATTCGATTCGCTTTGTTGAAAAATGCTCTAGTTTAGTACAAACGGACTAATAAAGAAGAGACGAAAAGCAAAACTATATACTCCATTTGTCTCGAAATTATTGTGTAATTTTAGATTTTTTTAATATAAATTGAACTAAAAGTGAAAATTTAAACTGAACATACTTTGGGACAGAAAGAGTATGCCAATCGGTAGTTTCAATTCAAAAGTCTGATGGAAACTCGGTGTGGTTTCAAAAAAATAAATAAATAAAGAAAAGAAAAAAGGAACGTAGATGTGGTACATTTTATGGTAAGGTGACAAACTCATGAAGAAGAGATTGGTCTTAGTACGATTAATTTGCAAGTCCAGCCAATCCGACCAAGTTCGTAATGCCATTTCATAGCGTCGAAGCCTCATGTTTACCGTCTTGTATACTCCGTTGGAACTTCCAAATGACCCCCACCTGCCATCAATTAGCATTACGATAAAACAAAATTAACCAGCAGTGGAATTAATTATTATTGTGGAGTATAAATAATAAAAGGATGCAGAGTACTTAAAGACTTACAGAAGGGTCATATTAGGTTCCAACCACCACATGAAAGAATTGAAGATGAGGACATCTGCATCAGTCCAGTGCTTAGCATGCTTCTCGATTGCACCAACTCGGATTACCCGATCCAACACGTGGTGGTTCACCGGATCGTCACAGTTTGATTCCACCAGCAATGGTTCCCAGTAAAAGTCCATCCTCACTTTATATTCCTTGACATCATTCATTTACACAGTTTCATGATTAATGATCCTTCACTCATAAATGGTACGCGCTACTTTTGCCCCATAAATATTGTCCAGTTTGGTTTTTCATTTTTAGTTCAAATTAAACTAAAAGTGAAATCTCAAACTGGACAATAATTTTGAGACAGAGAAAGTACATTCTAATAATTATTTTATCGATTAATATTGGAGCAGTTCAATTAAATTTTTATGGTAAGTAAGACCAGCCTAATCCATTATGGCACAGACAATAAAGAAAAACAAATTCTAGCTAATATTGGACATGCATAGATGGAGCTGTATTGCATTAATAACGATTATTCTTTTTCCCGTGGTGTAAAGTTGATTATATAAAATTGTCGTTATTATATTCGATCAATACACTTCATTTCTTTCATTGAAGAATGTGTGTTAATAAAAAACAAAACCACGCACACAGAGAGAGGAAAGGGAAGGAATTCTTACAAGTGCTTGAAAAGTGATCAAGGAGCCTTTCCAGGTGACCGATTTCAAAGATGTTGGAAGGGAAGAGTCGAGCAGGCAAACCATAGACATCCATTGATTCTTGTTCAGTGAATCCCCAACGAATACCACTCTCTTTCCCCTCAGCTTCTCCATCAATGCTGTCCCATTAAACCTTCAAAATAACATTATTTCGCCATTAAAGAGAACATATAGTTATTTTTTTTAAAAAAAAAAAAAAATATGTGTACCTGGGAAGGTCACAGTCATGAGGCTGCCACCTCCAATGTTGATACTTAAACTCATTTCTGCCAAATTTCCCACAAGCAAAATCACCCACCATGAAAGAACAATCTTGCTCTTTGTACAAAGGGGATGACTTGTCATCATAAACCCATCTTCCGGAAAACAAATTGCAGCCTCCTGCTGGAAGTTGTTCATGCTCGCGGCGCCCCTTCATGATCTGTTCATCTAGGACTCCTCCTCCTCCTCCTATGTTGCTGCTGCTTCTGTTATTATCCCCTGAGAGATAGTAAAACAGAGAAATGACGACTAAGGTTGTGACCAAGATTCCTAAAGTACTGGAATGCAGGTTTCGAGTTGTTTTCCAGGTCGCGGCCATACGTAACAACTAACAAGTGCTTCTTCTTTGTTTCCAAACCAGGACCAACAAATTAATAAAGAAGAAGAGAAATGTCTAAGGTGTTTGTGTTGGTTTTGGGCCCTTGAATTTTGAAAGTTATTTTTTCAAATCACGCAAAATCCAACAACTTGACCAACTGCTTCGTTGACCCATATAATCAAGAGGCAAGAATCATGACAAATATACATTTCAATCAAAACTAATGCTACCAAATCTGGCCTAGAGATAATTAACAACACAACTGCTCTTATCGATGATTAGTAGTAGCAGCTAATTAAGCAGTGCTGTCACTAAGAAGGTAAGCATAAAGAATTTCGTTCCAAACATCAGGAACACCAGGGAGGCACCAATGTGTACAATCAGCATATTTGACTGGGTTCGCAATCTGCTCTTTAGTCAATGGCCTCCAAAGCCTCCTGTAAACGGTGGGATGCCCATCCTTCCTGTATTCCGACAGTTGAGTTATGTTGAGAAGATCAATCTTCACCCCTTTGGATTTTAGGTCTGAAATTGCATCTCCCGTGATGTTCATCATCTTGGGCTCTGATTCGCTTCCCTTTAGCTCCTCTTTGGAGGTGGGTTGTGTTTCATTCATGCATCTCGGTCCTTTTGCAGGCTTGCCCCAGTTTTGTGGTCTGCACGATGTTTTAACAAATTAACATGATTAAGGTTATTATAACCTCATTTTGTGATTTCAATTCCAATCCCTTACCACAGTGCATCAAACCATGGTACATTATTCATAGTCTGTGGTACTCCATTTGTTTTAAAATTAGTGTCTAGTTTGGAATTTCACTATAATTAGTAGTACAATTTAGATTAAAAAATGAAAATCCAAATTAGACCATCATTTCGGGATGGAAAGACTACTAAACTAAAAGTAATTTCATGTACCTTGTATGAGTAGGAGACATGCTAACCCAGAATAATCGGGTCTTCTTATGGTCCAGATGACTAAGCACAAACTTAGACCACGTATCCAATGCCATCCCATAGCCCTTCACGCGTTCTACCTCTTTGTAAACTGGTTTCGGATCTCCGAAGTTTCCTCGTCTGGACATTGTTGTGGTTGTACAAATGGAGCATAAATTTACATAATCAGTTCGTCAATTCGTAACGGTAATAAGAGGAGTGAAATTTTGTCCATTAAATTAAAAACACAGTAAAATAACAAGTTATAACTTACCTTTCCATAATTACTTTTTTTAATTATTTTTTATATATAGTATCTATACATAAATATAACGAGGTTATACATTTGATAGGAAGTGAGTACAAAGTAGGAATGAATCGATAATGTATAAATAAAAGGAAGGTTACTTACAAGACCTTCAATTTGGGGACTGATCTATACCAAAGGTAGGAATTGAAAACGAGAATATCTGCATTTGACCAATTCATGGCGTGCTTTTGGATTGATTCACTTCTCACGATTCTTTCACTCAAGTGATGGTTGTATGGATCATCGGAGTTCGACTCCACAAGCAAAGGAGACCAGTAGAAGTCTATACTTGCATTGTATTCCTTTCGTTCATCCGAAAGGGGGGGAAAAAATATTAAAAGAGTCAGGAGTATAGAAATTGTAAAATGGTTTTGCAGGTACAAGCAATAGTAATTATGGTATATCAAATCTTTTTTTTTAAAAAAAGATAAAGCTAAGATTAATTGATTATTTTTCATTTTCTGGAACTTATTTATTTATATATGTGTGTGCATCTCTTTCAAAATGATTAAAATGAGTGCAAATAAATATTGACACCAATTGCCTACATTAATTCATACCAAAACTTTCTTTTATCAACGTAAACAGTTGCACATCCACCCGCACAAATGTCAATACCGCCAAGATTCTAATATAAGGCTTAAATAAATTAATGATATCCACTCTCCTTTTTTTTTTTTCCATCGAAAAAAATTAAATTCATTAGATATAATCATCAGAAATACTTTTTTTTCAAAGTGTGCAACATATATTTGTGATAACTCTGTGAGCATCACAATCTTACTAGTTAAACTTACCATCATCAAAAACTTTTAAAAAAAATGATATTAAAATAAATTAACAAGGTATGATGTTGTAAACTTGCTAGATACTACTAACACGGTCCATCATGCTAGCTAGTTAGGACTACGCTATCACAACCTGTATAGATACAGACTTGCATTTCTTTAAATAAGCAAACACTTATGAAACCGTCGTTCTATTCTTATATGCATTTATAGCATTGTTAGCGAGCTTTCTTATTCAATCACTGATCATACTCAAATTGTACTCCCTTTCGGTTTGAGTTTTTATTTTATTTTATACTACAAGACAATTTAATACTACCAGAACTGAAACATGATGATGGAGCATAAATGGTACTAGTGCCATATTCCAACAACAATTAGGATGGAGTATAAGCGACTGATATGCAATTAATCAAAAAGAACTATAATGTGTTTCAGTGTGTACCTTGGCACTGAAGGTGTACAAATTGCCGTCCAATTTTCTGGACTTGAATAGGGGAGGAATTGCGGATTCGACCATACATACGAAAGAAACCCATTGATTTCGATTCAACGAGTCCCCGACAAACACCAGCCGTTTATTCCTCAGCAACCCCAGTAACGCTTTCGCATCAAACCTTAACAATAAATTTATGTCAATAAGTGATGTTTCTCATCGAAACAAAATTCATAAACACAGTGCATATCGATCCATGCAAATTTACTCTATTCGTTTTTATCTCTAACAACGAGTATTTAATTATCAGGTCCCAAAAGTAATCTAGCTCCTTGATGAACAATTACAATGCATATTACGACTTTCAACGTATGTAACAAACATTCATTGATTACATTTATGTATGAACTTAATTATAAACTACTTTGTTCATACTATTTCCTTTCACATTCTCAATCTCCAATCTCGAATATTGCATTTTGAAAAATGGATCTCATATAGAAATCTCAAAAAAATTAAACTTGTATATTTTTCCACTTGTATGTGAACCACTCACAATCATAACACTTGAAGGGAAAAAAATGAATCACTCTTTACCCTTAAAAAAAGTCCATACTGAATTTTAAAATTTATATACAGTTTCGTATAAATTTCAAAATTAAATGTAGATAAATTTTTTGGGGATAGATGGAGGATATATCATACATTCATACTAAACTTCAAACTAAAACTAATGCCATTTTTCCAGTAATTTGTCATCTTCGTAATTGTAATTACCACTAGATAAGAATTAAAAGGAGGGGAGAAGGGTCAAGACTCAAGACTAAACTCTTCTCCCGGCAACAGGGAGTAATGAATATCCTTGAGTAGATATTAAAAAAGGTAAATGAAAGAACAAATTAAATTAAATGAATGAATTCACTGATGATGTTGAATGTAACAACATACCTGGGGAGATCACAATCGTTGGGTTGCCACCTCCAGTACTGGTAATTCAGATCCTCCCTATGGTACTTTTCACAAGCCAAATCATCAAACATGAAGGAACAATTCCAATCCCTGTATAATGGGCGGGACTTATTATCAAAAACCCAATTTCCAGTGAAATAGTCGCACTTGTTATTCTTGTGCAATAAAATGTCGTCGACGATCGAGTGGTGGTGGTTGCTAGCATTCTGATTCACGCCTTCAAGCAACACTGCTCGTTTCTCGACTTCAAGTACTATCCTGCTTTCTGTGTGCAAGTACATTACAGTGATCAAGAGCGCTAGAAACACAAGAATCACCACGTTAATACAAAAATTATAACCACTATTTCCTTCCACCAACTGCCACCACCAGTACTTAAACCCCTTTTGAAGATGAAGATTCTGATGATTTTGATCATCAACCACCTTTCTCTTTGCCATAATTAATCACAGAAGACTATATATGTAAGCCTTTTTTTTTATGGAAGAGAAGGATGGCTCTATATTTCGACTGAGATTGTGTCAATAAATTACTAAGTACTACTTGGTTTTGAGGATGATTCGTCGCATTGGTGTCGAGTTAATGTATTATTCTGGTCTTGGAAATGTGGAAAGAGGGGCGGAAGAGAATTAGAAGGGAGAAAACAAAAGAAGGTATATAGTAGTAGTACCATGAATTATGAAAGGATGACTTTTTATGGTAACGCTTCGTGACTTTCAATTCTTTTTGAACATTTATGATGAAGCGTAAAGGGGTTCTTGGGAAGAAGGAACATTTTCGTGTTAGTTTGTTATATTGTTGTTAGTTAAGGTTAAATTAAGGCGCAATCAATATGGAAATTTTGCAACTAAAAAAGGTTTATCAATATTTTTGTGCCCCGGATAACCTTAATTATCACTCACGCCCATCCAATCACGTGTGAATTTACTGTGATTATCTTTTTTATAAATTACCACTGTGGTTTTTTTTAAAAAAAAAAAAAATTTGGTGTACGGATATAGGAAAGATTGATGCAAGTTGCTAAAAAGATTTACATTCCTCTTAACAATTTGATCAATCACGCAAATCCAATTCTACGATGAAGATTTTTCAGTTTTGGTGTGAAAGGATTTATACAAGTTGAAATTAAAAAAGATTTACATTCCCAATTTAATTTATTCCCACTCTTTTGCAGTTATTATTAGATGAAGCTTCCTCCTCAAGTTCATCCTAATCTTGTTAGTTTAGCGGTAAAAAATTCTCGCAGTTTGTTATATATTTAAGACTCCTTCATTAAAATCTCATTAAAATTTTATGAAATTGTGTTTATTCTTGCTATATAAATAAACTTTTACTCTACGACGAATTTAAACAGGTACTCGCTTTGTACCGGAGTGGTCAATGGAACACCATTAAAGTTAAACAAAAACAGTAAATATGCGAGTTAATTACATGCATATGTAGGCCAAAAACTTTTGACTAATCAATTAAACTGGCAGTTGTAATACGTTAAAACAGTAATTGGTGGTTTGACTAATTTCATAACTGCACAGCGCCACCGTTAATTAAACTGTAAATATCTTGCGGACCTTCTTCATGGGTCTACGACATATGGGACATGTTCCGGCTGCCTCTGCTATCCTGAAAAATGTATGTTGCAAGAACTTAATCAGAAGAATTGAGAAATGAAGAAAGAGTATCCCTCTGTTCCAAAATTATTGTCTAGTTTGACATTTAACTTTTAGTATAATTTAAACTAAAAATTAAAACTCAAACTGGACAATAATTATGGGACGGATGTAATAGTATAAACAATAAACACAAACACACACACACAACCTGGTGCTACAGGCGAAGCAAGCCACACAATGGCCGCAAGGAAGGAAGAAACAATCCCTTGGAGCATCAAAGCAAATTACACAGAGTCTTCGGGTGTTGTTTTCGCCTACTATTTCTTTTGTTGATTTTCCTTCCTGCGGAACTTCATTAATTGGATATTCTACATCATCTTGGGACACTATAGAATCATATGAAGAACCCCAGCTGGAGAGATCATCGTCTTTTGTTGAGGGAGGAAGCAGTAGAGGTGTCCTATTCCTCTCGGTCGTTTCAGGTCTTACTACAACTATTTCTCCTCCAGATTGAAAAAGTCTACCAATTCGGTTCATGCATGCACTCAATAGGTGAATTGCCCCTAACACCGCAAGACTAATTCCACCTGCATTTATTCATGTACATACTAAGAGCGTTAGTATATATGATTCTAGCTACTTACAATAATATTCATCAATTGGCATAATTTCGGTGTACCGAATTTATTTAAAGAGCAAATTGATGAAATCAAAGGAGAGAGGATTATGCATGGAACCTATAACTGCCACATATGTGATCCATCGAGGTCCATAAGACAGCTTCACATACCACTCGTTCACCGCTCTACCCTATCGCCAATAAAAACAATTAATGTGTGTATTTGATCACTTTCATTTCGAAGCTCATATCAAAATTGGCTTTTTTTACGGCTCATCATTGCTGTTCGTGAGCGGCCAAACATGAGATTTGATTCCTTAAGATAGCGGAAAAATATATTTCCTCTGTTCTATTAATTGGGGTATTTTTTTTTGGAATGAAAGAAATATATAACAAAGTGTAATATTGTTGTGGTGAATAGTGTGATTTGACTTACATATATGGGACCAGGAGAGGTTAGAAGGGCAGCATTTCCACCACCCAACGTTATTTGGACACTGCATTCGCCCTCATCAGTTAGACTGCACTTGTCGTAAGCCTCGGTTGTTTTGTAGACCAAACTCCTGAAACTCATATTCAACTGCACCTGTTCCGTTCATACCAAGGCAGATGTAGATTGTTGCCAGATATCGAGAAAATTGATAGTATTCTGTTAACCTCTATATTCGGAATATTCAATAAATTAAGTTGCATCAAGTGAGGCAGAGGATGTCTAAATCTTGAAATCCTTGAGAATCAAATGGAGGATGTCAATTATGTGACCAAACCTCTAGCTACGCAGTTGATCGATATTCCATAAAGTATAATGCTTAATTACCCATGTTGCTTTCTCGTCGTCCAAGTTTCCCAATGCAATATAGTAAGTGGAAGATGTATAAATGTCCTGCTGAATGGTTCCATTTCCTGAACAAAGAAATTAAGTAGTAAATGACTGATCGCACAAGTTACTAATTCAGCTTTAGATAATTAGTTGTTATATATGTGTTGTACTTTTCCCTCACTTCCATTTTTTTTTTTTTTTGGGGGTCTCCTGGTGGTATTTACCTTGAAGAACTTCCCAATATAAGCTTGCATTCGGATACCATGGTTTCTCAATCCACTGGCTAAGACCTTCATAACCTGTTTAGTTGTCACAATTATACAATTACAAAGTGAGATTTTGCATTATTTCATTTATAATTGTGAAACAACATACATACACAGGTATTTGGTGAAATTTAATTGGATCAAACTGAAACAAGTGGTTTTTTCTAGATACAAAATCAAATCCCCGACTGAGTTTTCTTTAGTAGGAAAAACTTACCTCGGGTAATCACGAAAATCACAGCAGAAGAGTTGGTGGAGTTTATAACGTGGTAAGAAATGTTAATATGAGACCCTTGATTTAAGTGATATGTCCAGTCCTGTGAATTTTTAACAAAATCGTAATAATTTAACTGAACCAAAAACTAACAAAATAAAAAATATATATATACCACAAGAAAATCACCATTATAAGTAAAGCTTAAAAAAACAACAATTTGCCTGCCTTGTGAGTGAAAGATGGGATGGTGATATTGTGAGTCTCGGACCAGGTAAGGGCGACATCCAACGGCGGAGCTTTGTGGAATCCATACAGCAATATTGTTCCATCTTCGCTTCCCTCTTCGTAAGACTCCTCTATCTACATATTAATAACAAAATCCATGCATCCACAAGAAAATTATGTACCAGTATGTTCACTGTTTAAAAATTTCCGATTAGTTGTTTTGGTCACGTAAAATTAATAAGTTACTTTGAAGTGAAAGAAAAAAAGTAAAACACCTCGACATATTCCACAAAGAGTGGATTGGGCTTAATCAGAATCGAGGAATTTGGTCCAAGAATGATGGTCACTGATCCGTACACCCCCATTATCATTACCATACACACTGTTAAAAACAAAAATAAAATGTCCCAAAAACAACTTAGATGAAACAGTAAACTCGGCGCTCCAAAGAAAAATAAAAAGAGAGTAGAACAAGGAGTAAATTAAATTTGTACCGAAGAAGCCGAAGGTGAAAACAATAGCAACGCAAGACCAGATTTCGTCCCTATGAATCCAGTCAATGCCTCCTGCAGTTACGGCGCTCACGTCACCGTACGGCTCCACCCTCGTCCCCGGCCGCAAGATATCATCCTCACCGGTGTGGCTTTCCGGTGAATTTGTTGAGGAAACACCGGAATGTTCTCCGTTATTAGGACCGTTACCAGCATTATTAGACGTCGAAGAGCATGCATTATGGATAACAGACTGATTATTTCCTTCTTCCATGTATTTTATGGTCAAACAAAATAATTTTAACAGATTAAAAAAATGGGGGTGGGGAAATTGATGAGAACTTGAGATCTATAATTTGTTTTATCTCCTGATATTCTTTTCCGGAACCGATTACGATTCTGGGGTCTGTGTTGTTTGTTCCGTAATTAAGTTCATTGTTGATATTCACCCGTCAGTCAGCTTAATTTACTGTGTGTGTGTGAGAGAGTTTATATATACCCTTCGACTGGTAGCTTTTGGTAAGAAGGAAACGTGGTGACGGTTAGGTGATCCTGTGTACATCTCTAGATTGATGCATGGTTGATGATTCAAAGCTATTCCCACCATTGATTTCCTGGTATCTTTTGCTAGACAAGACTTCCTTGACCACCTGTAAAATTAGTGTTGTGTGTTAATGTAATGTCCAATATGTTACACCAAAATTAGCACTACACCTGTTTCATAGAACTAACACATTTTTATTATATTGGTTTAGTTAAATAAAATAAATTATTATTATGAAACATATAGAGTACATTTTTTTATACAATTAATAAGGCTAATGTTAGTACTAAATCATTAGATTATTACGGGAATAAGTTACTCTAATAATTACATGTTCTAATCACAGTTTAGTCCCTGACAGTAGAACCTTAAGCCAAAATAGACCTCTCGGCTCTTGAGCTGCCAAAGATATTAAATATCTGTCACAAAATTTATCCCCCAATACTCATGTTGGAGCTGAACTTTCCAATCCCGCGCATCAACTCACGAATTTCATAAGCAATACTATTGGTAATTCCAAAATAATCCTCTCCATAGCAATGACATTCTGATTATTAACCTCGTCGATAACTTTTTTGCCTCTTATCACCCACACCAAGATTAACACTTAAAACAAATCCCATAACTCTACTTTTGTGAAAGAACAAAATTTCCAAAAAAAAAAAAAAACTAAAACAATCATTTTTTTAAAAAAAAAAAATTAGTGCTAGTTATAATTGTAGGAAAGAAGTAAGAATAAATTTACCGATGCAAAGACGCAGATACTCAAAGATTGGTGTCCACTTCAACAATTAGAATGCTCAATCTAAAATCTAAGCTCTGTTTGTTTGATTTTTTTATGATTTTTTCAGTTTATTTTATTAATAATTATCTCATCTCAACATATATTTTTATATTTCTAACATACTTTTTTACATTCCTAATAAAAAAACACCTTTTTACTTTTTGATCGAGTTAAATTTGGACCATCCCATAATTGGAAGAGGAGGAAGTGGTAACGTTAATTTTTGGCCCCATTAGTTTCAACATCACTGGATTGGGCAAAATGTCGGCAGCATATGCCGGCCTCGTTTCATATGGTTCCATTTCCCAGCATTTATTAACTACTAAAATGCTCCTTTATGAGTTATGACCTCCGATTCCAAAACACAGAGACACAAAAGCTGCTCCTTTAGGAGTATCAACTTTCTAATTTGCTCCATTATTTTTGGGAGTAACTGGCAATAATCAGCAGGTGAGCTGATTCTTTTGGATACAGAAGATACGGGGAAAAGACACTTTAGTCTTCTTTTTTTATTTCAATATGGTTATCCATGTTGCTAATGGGTTTTATTTAATCCTTATTATTAATGATTATCTTTGTGAAACTTTTTCTAAACTTGTCAAAAGGATGAAAACAAAAACAACAAGATAACTTTAAGCATGCATCAAGCCAACATGAATATGAATATCACGGCAAGAAGGTTAAAACAGAATCCATTTCATTTCATAGAATCAACGACGAGAAGAATATGTGCTCCGATGAAAACATCCTACTGATAAGGAAAGACAGTGCCACATAGGTAACGATGAAATTTAATTGTAATAATATACTGTTCTTTACATCTTATGAATCTTTTAAAGCCATGTGAATTATGAAGCATCTTAAAAAGTTATTTTGGCCACTAAAAAATAAATACAGTACTGTGAAAACATGTACTAGTTTTTAATTGTGATTATCATCACAAAGGAAAAGTCATTTAAGCATCGAATAAATCCTTTATATTGGCCATAGGGCATTGTGGTTTTTCTCCAATCATATCATATACTGTATATAACTTTGTACCGTATATATATATATATATATATATATATATATATATTTTTAACCAGTTGTGATTCACGTTTGTGACTAAATTAGTTTACTATTACATGATTTTCTTTAGCATCTTTCTAGAGTGCTCGCTCACGAGTACTCGTGTCCTCATTCTCTTCTCATATGCTCACTCGGAAAAAAAGGTGGCATATTTGTTTCTAAACCTTACCCTTAATTTGAAAAATGTCCTATTGATATGATGCCTTTACTATTTCTCTAATGTGACATCAATACTACTATCATTTTTGCAGGAAAAGTTACATCAATTAATTAATTACGAGAGTTTTCAGAGATTTTCCCTTATCAGTTATCACAAATTGGCAATGCTCGGACTCAGGAGATAAGGTGTGAGAATAGGTGTGCTAAATACTTATGCGCGGTACTTATCCCTTTTATATTATTATTATTATTATTATTATTATTATTATTATTATTATTATTATATATTTATTTACCCTATTAAAGCAGAAGACATAAAGCTTATGTGGCAACTAAGTATGCATCTGTTTTGGCTCCAATGCACCATATTTCAGATTTCAGAAGTCTTTTTGCCACGTGTAAGTCTCTTTTAATTTACCCTATTAAAGCAGAAGACATAAAGCTTATGTGGCAACTAAGTATGCATCTGTTTAGGCTCCAATGCACCATATTTCAGATTTCAGGAGTCTTTTTGGCACGTGTAAGTCTCTTTTAATTAGAAGTTATATAATTTTTTTTATAAAAAAAAAAACATGTTTTACTACAAATAAGGATCAGTTACATTTCAAACGAATGGATATATTAATTCAAATTCAAATGTCCAATCGTATAGTTTTGCAGGCTTAATATAAACAAAAAATAAAAATACCTAAATCCAGCAATTAAGAATAATGCCTTATAAACTAATTATTTATTATTCCCTTATAACCTCATAGGTATATTTTTTTAATCCCCAAATCATAGCATAAATGATATATACGTCAAATTAATTCCTCAAAAAATAGTAATTCAATTAGATTTTAATAAAATAGTAATTTAGAAGGGGCGCCCGGGCATCTGCCTGGGCCAAACATCTAGTATACTGTATATTGTGAGAATTGGGACTCATAAAAAACATTCTCCGTTTGAAAAAAATGTAAATTCTTTACAAATTGAATAACTCAATCTTTCAAATTTTAAAAAATCATTAAAAAAAATTAAAGAAACATATTATCTATTTATTGATATCTTCATTTCTAAGATTACGTCAATCCCAGTTTATATTTAAATAAGTCTATCTCGATCTTTTAAATCAATCAAAATTTTAAATCTTTGGCTATTTTTTCTGGCAAAAAGGACTCATATGCCTTTATAGACGAAATTAGTACTATACTTTTTTGGAAATTGTACAGCTTTACTTATTTGGTTTTGATTAAAAAAAAAAGGAAGAAATTAATGAATTTCGAAATTTCATCTTTTAATTTAGTTATGAAACCATTATGAATAGTAACTACCTTGCTCGAAATTTATATGGTTTATAAAAAAAAGCATCGGCATTACGTCTGGTTTTGCAGTTCTGGAGTTATGAAGACCATAAGCTTATTAGTCGTAGATCTTTTGGAGGAGAGTATATTGAAGCACCCAAAAAAATCATTAAAGAATCATTATATAAGGGTTCCCATATGAAATAAGGGTCTTATTCTTTTTACCTCAGTATATCTATATACTCTCTCAATAGTAAAATAAAAAATAAAAAAATACAGTAAACTCCATATTTATGATACACCATTAATTGATGTTTGGAATTAATGAAAGGCCGTGACTGGTTAAGTCGGTATCCTAAGGTTGTTAATTGTTAAGTCCAGATCCTATCAGTGATGTGGCAGAATACAAAACTATGGAAAAAAAAAATCAAACAAAAGCTGAAATCTATTTTTCCTATTAAAAAATAAAATAAAATTGAGGTCACACAACCAATTTGAGACAAATGGTCACTTCATTTTACCGGCTAAGACTATCAGAATTTAGATCGAAGACAGAGTACCTATAAAAATAGGATGATTGTAAGTATTTGGAACATGTATCAATTTTATATTCTATGATTTGTGTATTGTTATGGCAAGAGGAATTCTGTGACCATATACTTGATTTAAAGCTTTTATTTTTCTCCCACTGTTTTTTAACTTAAAAATTACAAATACAAATTTTATCATAAGATTTATCTATTTTGTGCCATTGAAGCGAGCATTATTACTGACAAAACTGACGTAACAAATAAACCGTCCATGTCTCGTGAAATAGAGTGGAAAACACAACTAAAACCGATCGAATTCAAAGTTTAATGAGTATCAATGTTGGCCAATATACATCTGAAAAGAACAAACAAAAATTTTAAAAGACAACATATTATATTTTTATAAACTAAAAAATAGTAACAAAATAATTAAAATGAAAATCAATTAGAGAGGCAAAATCAAACTAATCAAGCGTCGTATACTTATCCCTTGGTCCATTTACATGGGTATATAGAAATTGGAAAGTGATCGAACATGATAGATTTCCGACACAATTTTTTTTTAATAATTGTACAGTAGGAGTATGGACGGGTGTCCAAGTCAACATACAATTCACATGCCAATATACATAAGATAATCTGAGGTTGGAATTATTTATTCCTTGGAGATGCGAAATCCCTGAGATTAGCATGTGGATGTGGCTAAGACCTAATTATTTTCTTAATAAATCTAGCATTCGATTCGTTAATAAGAATCGTGATTCACTATAACTATTACTAGGTGTTAGACCCGTCCGATGGACGGGGAAGGTATATACATTTAGACATTTTTACATAAATTTTGTATTTTTATAAAATATGTAATGACTTCAGTTTGAAACATAATTACCTCTGAGGAATTTATTTTTTAAAATGACATTTTAAATTCACCGGTGATAAGATTTATGCAGATCTCTCTAAAATTTGTTAGGATTTGGTACTCTCTCCAATCAATTTCTGTGTTAGGATTTGGTTCGTGAAAATAAGGGTTTGGTTTTTATTATTTTGCTTTTTTAAAAAAATTATTTTAGTTACTTTTTTTTTGGTTTTATTATTTTGTTTTGTGCATTTTTAAGTCTAAGAAATTAAGAAAATGCCACATAGGATTAAATCCTATGTGTCATGTGCTCCATACCTTTAGTTTCCTCTCGCTGGTTTTCGCCTTAGTATAGTATATATAGAAGATGATCATCAGTTTGACAAAATTATAAAAAGTCATCCACCCCCGTCGTCATCGCTTGCATCTGATTCTCCCTACTGGTCCATTTGTTCATTTCTGATGTGAGTTCAATTGATACCGTTGTTATTGTTTTCTTCCCCATTTCTCCAACTCGTCCAGATGTTGATTCTGATGTAATCTAGTTCCATTTGGTTAGTATGAACAACAAATTTTACTTATTTATTCCTGTCGTTGCTGGACGAATTTTAATAAAATTAATATAAAGTTTTATTTCAAAAAAAAAAGATATAATGTATAATTTTTTTTAGAGTAATAAGGATTTGATTGTTGCCTTTGTCCCTATTCCATTACCATCTTATACAATCGTTAACTGTAATGTTATGTGGTTCCAATCTCATTATTTTGTTTGGACTTTTGGAGTCGAGAAAAGGGGATTGAGTGAATCTGAATGAGATGGGCACGGCCGGTGCTTCAATGGGGTTGCCTTGCTGCATTTATTATGATCCATCAGTCTCAATAACTCGTAACCATAAGTCCGCAATTACAATTAAGCACACGAATCAAGATTTAGTTTTCTTTTTCTTTTTTTTTTTTTTAAAAAAACAACATATGTAATAACCATTAAGAAAAATATAAAATCAGGAAAAATGTAGTATATTGAAATAATGCTGATGATAATACTATGTTGCATGACAAAATGCATAATGGTGGTCCCTCATTAAGTAAAGTAAATTAATAAGAGTCAATTTCGTTGTTTCTTCCGTCATTTTATTATTATACTATTATCTCATTTCACAATGGCTTTGATCGGCAATAATTACCACTTTTAACTTGCTAGGATGAGGATTAGGAAGGAGGAGAGGGTCCAACGCTTCCATATTCCAATTAAAAGTAATGTAATAAACTAAACAGCTAAATAACTTTAATGCTCCACTAAAGTACTCACCTATAACAACAATCACTATATATAAACTTATAAAGTAGTATGTGACTTTAATGTTTCCGATAAAGCACGAGTATAAATTAAAGCAACCATTGCGTTTCTTCCTGGCAATTGGAGTCTAACAAAGAAGTAGTCTTTGCCGGGGGAGGAAAGATATGAAGGAAGATAAGATGTCCAAGTTAACATACAGTGTGTGTTGCTGTTTCAAGAGGAAATTCAAGTTCAGAGAATCCGAAGCTCCGGCGGAGATCAAATCTCTGTTCCAAGATTACTCCGAAAATGGGGTGATGACAGTTGAACACTTGCAAAGATTCTTGCAGGAAGTCCAAGGTGAAGAGAAGGTCAGTTTGGAGGAAGCAGAATCATTCATGGAAGCCATCATTAAAGACATCAAGCACCTTCATATGTTACACCGAAAAGTTCTACACTTGGAGGGATTTTTCCGTTACCTCTTCAGTGACGTAGTTAACTATCCTCTCATATCAATCAACAAGGTGAGATGGCCTCATTCCTCTTGGTTCTTTTTTCCCTGTTTCAATTTCAATGGGGTGTTTTTTTCATGGCATTTTTTCCAATTTTGAAGAACCTGATCAATTGGTATTGTTTCATTTATATTGAGGAAAAAGAAAGGGATGGATTCTGATGTGAAATTGTTCAAACTTGTGTGCAGGAGCATCAAGATATGACAGCTCCATTGTCGCATTATTTCATATATACAAGTCACAATTCGTACCTGACAGGGAACCAAATCAGCAGCGATAGCAGTGATGAGCCAATTATAAAAGCGTTAGAGAAAGGTGTCAGAGTTATTGAATTGGATATGTGGCCTAACTCCACCAAAGATAATGTGGACATCTATCATGGAAGGTAAACTTCTCCTTCACTCACTGATCATCCAATCCTTTTCTGCACTTGGGTGTACTTGAATATTCAATTTTTTAAAACGTGCACTGGTCAATATTATTATGCTCTAAGAAGATAAATCCCAGAAACAGCCAAATTAAGCTGATGTAGAACTGAGAAATTTTGATTGTATCCTGTTCAGGACATTAACAGCACCAGTGGATCTTATCAAGTGCTTAAGGTCAATTAGAAAGCACGCTTTTGTCGCTTCCGAGTATCCAGTAATTCTAACTCTTGAAGATCATCTCACTCCTGATCTTCAAGCTAAAGTAGCAGAAGTAAGTACACAAAATTCATATAGCTAAAGTCGTGGTTATTATTTCGCTTTAAGAGTTGACCTCTTCTTTTTGCGGGTTTATTTCCAGATGGTCACTAGTACATTTGGAGACGTACTCTTCTGCTCCGAGTCTGATGTACTATCAGAATTCCCTTCGCCAGAGTCTCTAAAAAGACGAATAATTATCTCAACAAAGCCACCCAAAGAATATCTTCAAACCAAGAGCAGTAAGGAGAAGCCGCAGGTCGAAGATGACACTGAAAAGGTCAAGAAGTCATCTGAAGAAGCAGTCTGGGGAAAAGAAGTTCCAAATATAGCGGATCAGTTGAAGAGCAACATTGAGGTTGGTTGACATTTCATAAAGAAATAAAGGGGTTATTAGACTATGTGATGAAGATGTTGTTCTAATACCATGAATTTATCAATTGACATTTCAGGTACAGAGTGATTCAGAGTACTACGAGGAGGAAGACGGTCATTCGCTACAAAATGCAGCTCCTCAGTATAAGAGTTTGATAGCGATTCAAGCTAGAAAGCGTAAAGGCTCAATGAAAGAATGTTTAAGGGTGGATCCTGATAGCGTTACCAGGATCAGCTTGGGAGAAGAGAAGTTTGAAAAAGCTGTCTTATCTCATGGACCAGACCTCATCAGGTGAGAACTGAAAACGGGCAGTTTCTAACTTTCTTAAGCAATTTCATATAAAAAGGCCTAATGAACTTTGTGGAGAATCATAGGCAGAGAAACAGTTTTCTGTCTTTTGTTCATACATGTTATACGGACGTCTGTCAACATGATACTAACACCATCCTCTTATCCCACGTGGTTTTAATATTTGATGAGAATTCCAGACCATATGACTAAGACAAACAATACAAGCCTAGAAGCTTGTAGCAGACAGAGTTAACTGTTCTTAATTACTGACAATAACAGTTAGTGATTGTTTGTTTGATTTACAGGTTTACGCAGAGAAATCTACTGCGAATATTTCCAAAAGCAATGCGGCTGGACTCATCAAATTACAATCCCTTGATCGGTTGGTTACATGGAGCACAAATGGTGGCACTTAATATGCAGGTTCATTACCCTTTTCGTTAGCTATTATATAATGAACATGAACCTTCTCCATGTCTTATAAATTCCTGTATTTTTATTTTTTTTTTGGTTTTTGGTACAAAAAAGAGGCATTAAACCTAAAGAAAAAAAAATTAAATTAACATAAGATGATGATCATCCATACTGCAAAGACTTTCCTCTGAAGTGCAATTGTCATTTTCCCCCCTCTTTTTTGTTGATGCAGAATCATTCATTGCGCCATTTTGGTTTGATTTTATGATTAGCCAAACTATCTGTGCGTAGTTAATAACAAAAAAATTATGCGTGTGGCAGGGACATGGCAGGTACTTATGGTTGATGCAAGGACTGTTTAGAGCAAATGGTGGTTGCGGTTATGTGAAAAAACCTGATATTTTGCAGCAGATTGGTCCCCATAAAGAGGTGTTCGATCCCAACAGGGTTCTTCCCGTGAGAAAAACTTTGAAGGTAAAAGGAACAGAGGCTGCCCTCCCTGATCCTTGGCTGTCATATTTGGCTAAGCTAAATATTGGTAATCTATTTCGGTTCCTTTTTAATCAGTAGAAGGCTGGCATTGAATCATCTTTGCAGGTTAAAGTGTACATGGGAGAAGGCTGGCATTTGGACTTCCATAGCACTCATTTCGACAAATATTCTCCTCCGGACTTCTATGTCAAGGTACATATACATATGACTAACTTTCAAGTTCATCAATTGTAGAAACTTTCAGCTACATATCCAATGTTTTTTTTTTTTTTTTTGTACAGGTAGGAATTGCTGGGGTCGCTGTTGATTCGAAGGTTAAAAAGACAAAAATTATAGAAGATAACTGGATTCCAAATTGGGATCAGGAATTCGAGTTCCCATTGACAATTCCACAGCTAGCATTGCTTCGAATCGAGGTTCACGAGTATGATATGTCAGAGAAGGATGATTTTGGAGGGCAAACATGTCTTCCAGTTTGGGAGCTCAGAAAGGGAATCCGAGCAATACCTCTCTATGATCAGAAAGGAGAAAAGTACAAATCTGTGAAGTTGCTCATGCGTTTTGATTTTGTTTGATCAATTGTTGTGATGCTTTTGTACAAAGTTTTGTTCTTTGAAGTCTGGTGATGAACTGAATAAGAGGACCTAAAGCTTGTTGGAGCAGGCTTTACCCCTCCAAGCACATATTGTATAATATATCTCTTTTGCTCTGTCATAAATGTAAGTTTGGATGTTTCAATGATAACTTATACTTAGCAGCCGTTTCATGTGTAATGTATACTGTGGCTCATTGAAGCTTTGAGATTGAATCATCAAATATGGAGCTGAAATGCACACGGTGTCTAAGGCTTTATTAATAAACTGGTAGATAATGATTAGCAATAGCAGCTCAAAAGTTATGGATCTAACTTTCTTTTCCTACAGCTTGCAACAGAATCAGCAATTTAAGGAAGTAGTAGGATGCACCTCCAATGGTTGCATATTGCAACTTCTCAGGTCCTTCAACGGCTGGGAAGTCATTATCTGAAGCCCGACTAAATCCACCAGCTAACCATCCCAAATTCTTGTATCCATGTTGATGTAATTTTGAAACGGCCATTGTTGACCTATATTCAATGTAAGAAAGGCGATGACGATTAAACCCTTAAGGAATCTCGAAATGGCATGATTAATAAAGAAATACCACTTACCTTAGACCTTCACCACAAGCCAAAATGACCTTGGTATCTTTATCAGGAACTAGTTTCTCAACTTGATCAACAAAATCCGGATTGATCATGGTGAAATTTTGGCCAGTCCAGAGGCCAATGTACCCAAAATGCACCCATTTCTTGAGCAGAGTTAAAGGGCTGTTATCCAAATCCTTAACGAACAAAGGCACGTGAATTGAACCCGAAACACTTGCCTTCTCTCTCTCCCACTCCGGCCTAACGTCCAGCAACACGTAGCCTTCCGACTCCATAACCGAGGCTGCATCTTTTGGTAAGATAGGGCGCACTGTACCAGATCGTATCAGCTGCGGGCCGCTGCCTGAAATTGAATTTGTTCTCCACAATGTTGTTGCTGTGGTCAAACGTTGTTGAAGTTGAACCGGAGGAGGGCTGGGCCATCTGGTCCATTTGGGCTGTTGTTGGTTATAGTGGAGGAAGCTGGGATGGGATCCCTGAAGCTGCTGCAACCTCATCGGTTGATTTGTCATCCCTTTTTCTCTTCAGCCACCTTATCTGCTCCTGCTGCTTCCCCCGGAGCGTTTTTCCTTTTAACAAATTTGAACCGGGTCCGGATCAATTAAAATACATTTTATTTCAATTTATTATTATTATTATTTTTTATTTTTTTTTTATTTTTATTTTTTTGCTGTTCTTGTAGGCAAATGGCAAATTGGCAATAAAGAGGGCGAAAGTACAAAATATTAATTTGAACCAGTGAATCAATGTATCCCGTACCATTTATTGATTATTAATATTTTTTATTTACTTATTACATTTTTTAAATAACATTTTTCTGTCCTAAAAATCACAATACAAAAAAATTGTTACATAGTTTATCGATAAATTGAATTCCTTTCGTCCCAAAATAATTGTATATTTTTTAATTTTATTTTTTGTATAATTTAAATTAAAAAACTAAAAATTAACTGAGTGATATTTTTGAGACCGAATGAATAGTGAACCCAAAATTATTAAGATTAAATGTTTAATTGAGGTTCTGAATTTGTAGCACCTTTCTTTTTTATACATAATTTACAAACACTAGTCTATTACTAAATCATTGGGTGGAGTCTAGCACTTAATTATACTGCATGTATACAGTAATTTTTTTTTTTTGAGGGTTTTATTATTTGATTACTACCACTATTCACTACTACTAGTACTAAGTTGCCTCTTCCTACTTTGGAGCCGCAGGAATTTTGAAACTCCACACTTAGTTCGGTGGTATATAAATACAGCTCCGCGCGACGAATTTTACCCTTTTTCGCCTCATTTAATTTCCGAACCACAGTTGGGAAAACCACACCTCATCACATCTTACGTCAACGTCGATATTCATGCGATTCCGGCAGGCCACAGCTATAATCTAGGGTTTCTTATCCATCACAAAAAACCGTTCTTACGAATGTTATGGCGGTAATTTCCCCGGAGAAGTTAGCCGGTCTCATCAACTCGGCGAAGTTCGACGGCGACATTACTTCGAAGCTCAATTATTTGCGCTCGCTTAGCCACCAACTATACGATGCCGATTCTGCTTTGCTCTCTGATTTTCTCCCACCTCTACTCGAACTCCTTTCCGACCGCTTCGGTCCCGTCCGCAAATTCACCGCCGAGTAAGCGTGATTCGTTCCACTTCTTATGTATTTCTGTTCGCCTGGCTTTTGATTTTCCATTGTATAAGTTTTGCATAGTTGGTCAGTTTAATTGTAGATTACTGGTTCTAAATTCCAGAATAAACATTGTTTACTCTTTTTTCATGTGCTTTTGATGCTGTGTTTTTCTTTTATTTTTAATTTTGGGTAGAGTTTGGGAGCTTAAATGTGACTTTTGTTCAAAGCATAAAACATGTGCGGTGCTTAACACTGTAATCCAATTGACTTGCAAAAGCATGTAATGCTCGTACGAAGTTTTGTTTAATGAGCAATTAATGTGTATTTATCCTAAAATCTAGGGCTTCTTTTTTACTCTCTTTCGCCATGACCAAATGTTATTCCTAATCGAGAAGGGGGGCGGGGGAGGTTATTAAGTTGCCTGATTTATGTTCTGCAATATGGGGGTTTTATACTGGTTGGTGGCTCACCCAGAAAATGGATGTTATGTGTCGATTGAGTATAATTGATGTTGCATTATGTTATTTCTGATGTAGGATGATTGGCGGTATTGGATTGAAGTACACAGAGTATGTACCTGAAATAGTACCTGTTTTAATACCTGCCTTGAAAGATGATACCCCAGCCGTTGCTCGCCAGGCTATTAGGTGCGGGACGGAGATCTTCCGTGCTACTTTAGTAAAAGTAGCACTCGAGGTAACTACAAGCTTTTATCATTATATTCGGGTGATGTCATTTTATTTCATTGAAATAATTAGCTTCCGTTGCTGTAGAAGCTGTCCATGCAATTTCTATCATATTTGATTGTCTTCTTTGTGCCTTCGCATTGGGTTTAGCTTCTGGTTTGTTTAACTACTTGTGTATGCCTTCTGAGTGGGGGGCAGTTTCTTTTTGTGCTGTAGTGAATGATATCTGATGATTTGAAATTTCAGTTAATAAAGAAATTGTCAGCCACTTGGCTCGGTAATTGGTTTTGTCCATTCGTTGAAGATATTTTTCAGTCCCTTGCAAAGTATGCACCTAGAATTTGGGTTCATGAAGGAATTTTGAATTTGTTCCTTCTGTTTAGTCTCATGCTTCGTAAATCTTGCTCTTTGTCTCACCTTGTCTTCAATAGCAATGCTCATAGATTTTCTAATATATTGATCAGGGCCTGTATTCTAACAATTTGGATGCCACTCTGGAGTCATCATGGGCATGGATGCTAAAGTTTAGAGATGAAATAAAATCACTGGCTTTTCAGGTGAGTGATTTTTTAATAGCCAGAAGTCTGTCTACATTGCCAATTGTGCAGAGGCTAATTTACTCAAATACCACTATTAGGCAGGAAGTGATGGGAGAAGGTTTCTGGCGATAAAGTTTATGGAAATTGTTGTTCTCCTATATACACCCAATCCTTATGGGTCTTCAGATCCATCCTCTGATCAAATCTCTGAAGGTACTGTGGGCAAATGTTTGACATGCATTGCTCATAAAAGAGGACTCCTGTTATTTTATCAATTTCACGTCTTCCTTACCAAATAGTGCTTTGAAACCGTGCGACCTGACCTGCAGGAAAGGTGGAAGATTTTAACATTTCCTGGCTTCGTGGTGGTCACCCTATCTTAAATGTTGGGGATCTGTCCATTGAAGCTACTCAGAGTTTGGGCCTGTTGCTTGATCAATTAAGATTCCCAACTGTAAAGTCGCACAGTAACTTGATGATCATTCTGCTTATCAATAGGTATTTTTTTGTTCCTTCTGTTGCTAATCTTATTGGCTGTACGCTATAAATTATATTTTCAAGACATATGTATATTATTTTAATTCACTCCGTTTTGCTCCTTTTATTCTTTTTCAATAGTCTTTCAGCAATTGCGAGTAAAAGGCCTGCATTCTATGGCCGTATTCTGCCAGTTTTACTTGGTTTGGAGCCTTCCAGCTCTAGAGGCAAAGGGGTTCATCATGCTTTGAAGACTGCCTTTCTTTCTTGCTTGAATTGTGCTCACCCTGGTGCTGCTCCGGTATTTAGAATATTTTTTTGTCACCTTGTTCAAAATTTTTGTCCCTGCTTCCTCGATTGTGATCTATCTGTTTTAATTTCAGATGCAAATTGTAATTATTCTTTGTTCCATCTTTATAGTTGCTTGGTTACATTGTCGGCATCTTGCTTTTAAATTTTTTCTTAACATTGATAAATGGATCATCATTTTCACTAGGATTATGTGAATCATATCATTTTTTAGCTCGTTTTGAGAATATTCACTTCTTTGGTTTGCACATCTATATGAATGTGTTAATGAGACATAGGCTTTGAATTAACCTCTCTCAGCTTTTTGTATTTCTCAGTGGCGTGATCGCTTAATTGGTGCACTAAAAGATTTGGAAGGAGGGGCTAAAAATGTGGTCTCTCCTGCAGCTTTTCAGAGTAATGGAAGTTTAGAGGAGGAAAATGATATTATGATATCTCAGGTATATGAAAGTCCACCTAAAAGGTTTTCCCATATGGGCCTAAATTTACGTATTCTTGAACATGTAATTTCTGATTCACATTCTTCAACACTCTTTTCGCCATCACTTATTTATGGGATCATTTTCTTCTAGGATGTAAAGCCTACAGCCATGGAACTTGATCTTGTCCGTAACAATACAAGCCGTAAAAGATTGGGAGTTCAAGATAATTCTGAAATTCTTGACGATGAGATGTCTGGAAAGCGTGCAAAATCTACACCCCCTGTCACTAAGGAAGTGAAAAAGGAGTTAGCTGGTAATGAAACCAGAGTTCCGCCCAGTGAACTGGGGGCTTCCAAAGTTAAAGTTGAAAAAGATAATGGCCCTGTTCAACAACTCGTGTCAATGTTCGGTGCATTGGTTGCTCAGGGAGAAAAAGCTGTTGCCTCTTTGGAGATTCTGATATCTAGTATATCAGCCGATCTTCTTGCTGAAGTTGTAATAGCCAATATGCAAAACCTCCCTTCAGTTTGCCCTCCAGCTGAAGCAGATGAAGCATCAAGTTCGGACAAAGAGTCTCATACTCGCCTGATAGGAAGCAATTCTGAGCTTGCTAATTTAGGATCATTGTTAGCAAGCATTCTTTCACAATCCAGTGCTTCTCCTGTGAAAGATACTCCCATGGATTCTCTGCCTTCTGCACAAAATGTTTCAGAGGTGCTTCCAAAACTTCTATTTATTTGCCTTTTCTTTTCTTTATGCACATATATTCTTTTGCATGCTTTAAAGGCGCGCGATTGGACTACTTCAGGCCCACTTTTTGGACTTATTTTTAGTTCCTTAATAATGTATTTATTTGTTATCATTACTTGACATCAATTTCATTGAAACTGTAGCCGTTGGAAAGCTTGAATGTGCATGGCTTTACTGATGCAAGTGAAGACGCTCCTTTAACCCCCACAGTTTCTTCCCATGAGCATGTGAAGATGGAGAATATTGTATCAGGAACTGCCTCGGATGTGATTGATGTTGGCAATTTAAAAAGTGGGATACCCGGTCTAGATGTACCTGTCCACCATGACACCATGATCATCACTTCAATGGGTTCAGCTGAACTGCAAGATGCTAGTCAAGATCAAGTTAGTAGTCTGGCTAGGTCATCCTTAGATGTATTTCCTTCAGCATCAACTGATAAATCTGAGGAACTTAGTCCTGGAGCAACAGTCGCAGATACGTGCGGCATTATCTCCTCAACAGCAACTTCTGCTGGATTTCCGAAGCAGCTGCCTTTGCCCAAGATTTCGGCCCCTGTTTTAACTCTTACCAATGAACAGAGTGACATCTTACAAAAGGCAGCTTTTGTACGTATAACTGATGCATACAGGCAGATTGCAATAGCTGGAGCTTCTCAAGCATGTCTTTCTGTTCTTGCATTTCTTGGGGTTAAGGTATGTCAGTAACTTACTGCTTTTGATACCTGAGATGGTGTTAAGATATTGTTTTTTAGTTTTTGTATTGTTATGCATGCTTTCTTGTGCAGTTTCCGTTGGATCTAGACTCATGGAAGATTCTGCAAACTCACATATTATCTGACTATGAAAATCATGAGGTAATGATGTCGTTTTCTTATTTAATCTGCCTTTTGTCTGGTGATGACTTGGTTCATAAATAACGTTGATTTCTTTCTGCCCACCTTTTTTCCTTCTTTGAACATCAGCCCTATCGTTGTGGTTTTCATGTCTACTACTTTGGCTGCATTTAAAGAGTAAATCTTGCTTGAAACTTATATAGTTTTCTTCAAATGACTTGCTCCCTTCCTCACGCTTTGAGTTTGCTACTGAGACCATACAATTTATATAGCCTTTCAGTTTACCCTTTCTTTCGAAACTTAATTTTACTTATCCAGTAACATGCAGTTGAACTTTGATTTTTATTGTTGTGAATTGTGTGTAAAGAATGATGGATTTATACATGATATTGTCCACATTTATCTCTCTCTCTAATATTTTTCATTATTATTGTTTGTCTGGTAGCTGCTCTACTTTAAAACCATTATGTCATGTATTGCGATTCGAAACTTACCTGTGCTTTTCCTAATTATTGGATCTTATCAGGGGCACGAGTTGACTTTACGCGTCCTCTACAGGTTGTATGGTGAAGCAGAACAAGATCATGACTTTGTTTCTTCAACAACTGCCACATCTGTATACGAGACATTTCTTCTAGCAGTGGTATTTAAGTATAATATGTTTTCAATTTACATTGTTTACTACAGTGAATGGCTTGATTTTATGTTATCATTTCCTTCTCAATCACTGCAGGCAGAAACACTAAGAAGTTCTTTTCCTGCTTCTGACAAATCCTTAAATAAATTGCTGTGCGAAGTTCCTTATCTGCCAAAGTCAATTTTCGTTTTGCTTGAGGAAATGTGTTGTACTGGTTCTGGCAATAAAGATGATAAACTCAATGCCGAGCGGGTCCGTCAAGGACTTGGTATCATTTGGAGTCTGATTTCTTCGAGACCACCTTTCCGAGATGCCTGCCTTGAGATTGCGTTGAAGGTTATTGCTCTCTCTCTCTCTCTCTCATATTGCTTTTCTGGTTTATTTGGTTCATACTTCATATTTTTTTTTTGGATTTGCATGATTTGTATGGTGTAGGCTCTTTCGCATGCATGGTCACGCTATGTGTGTCTCAGAAATTTTATTGGAAACTTTATCTGCATGTTTGAAGGTGTTTTTACAAAAACAGTGTGATAGGAGGCATGAAGCTACATGAAATCTTCTGTCTACTAATTCCTTAGTATTCTTTTGCATTGTTTGGTTCTTAAAATGACTTGTGGACCTGCTATTATTATCATTCTCAGATGGATTTTTCTTTGGAGGGGGTGGAATTTTACTGATGTTCATTTTCGTTTTATTAACTTGTTTCCGTATGCCAATTTATTGTACATGTTGCAATTTTTATTTTGTTGAAAGAAGTTTAACCATACATGTTAGTTTAGCTTTATATCTATCGCTTTCCTTTAGTTTGACTCTGGTTCCCCATCCTGATAGAGTGCAACCCATCTGTTCGAGGAAGTGCGTGATAAGGCCTTACGTCTGGTAAGCTATTACCTCATATGTAATGGATGCACTTTGTACCATATTCTTTTTGGTAATGTTTATCCTCCTATTGTTTCAGGTGGTAAACAGGCTTTATCCTCTACCATCAATTTCTCAGCAAATTGAAAATTTTGCAAGGGAAATGTTGGTATCAGCTGCAAAATCCATTCCCTTAGTAGAAAAAAATGAATTTTCTGATGGTGCTAGCGCTGTGCCACAGGAGGTATTTCTTGGTGCTTCAGCCCAGATGTTTTTTTAATTATTTATTTTCATGCAGCTATCTTAGCTATTATAGTTGGAACCTCCTCTTCAATACTATTTGCTGGAAATTTCTATGAAAGATTGATTGGTCTGGTTCTAGGTAGTTAAAATTTTCATTTGGAGAATCTGATTGTATATAGTCCTTTATCGTCAGGAACCTATTATGGAAAAATCCTCCAGCGAACTTCCCTCCATTAACGCCTCTTCAAAAGAACAATCAGCTGACAATTATCAGCTTTTGGTACCTCAAAGCACTCCAGCTTCCTTATTGGCTGAAGGTCAGCGTCGTATGGATTTGTATTTTGCACTTTGTACAAAGGTATGCTTTTGTTTTCCTTTAGATATTTTCCTGATATATGAAGTTTTAAGTACTGTACGTGATCACTAAACATAATATACTGTATTCTTGAATCTGTAGAATCACTCCCTCTTTCGCCAAGTGTTTGTTATATATGAAACAATACCAGAAGCATTGAAGCAGGTAAGCACAAATCTCTTATAAAGGGTTCTGCATTTTTGTTTATGTGATTTTTGAAATTGAAATGTAGTTTTGAACTCGACTGCGAACATACTGGCAGGCAGTTATTCACCGAATTCCAAAGCTTGTTCCTGCTATTGGTCAATCCTCCGAGCTTCTATCCATCATATCTGATCCACCAGCTGGAAGCGAAGAGCTTGTCGTTCAGGTTTGAGAGAATTAGTGTCCATTATGAAAAGCACTGGGTGGGTTTTAGTTTTTGAAAGATAATTCTCATTTTGTAAAGTGCAGGTTTTGCGTACGTTGATAGGCATAACAACACCTTCACCAGAATTGTTATCCATTGCTAGGAGGTTGTACGATACACAAGTGAAGGTTTGTAGTTGGACCCCCATTATATTTTGTCCAGTCTTAATATAGTTGATCATCTTTTTTCCTCGTTACTGTAGGTGGAGTCGGCTTTATCATCTTTTCTTTTCTTTTTCTCTATTTTTACATAATTCAAAATTATTTGGGCCTGAATTTGCAAGCTTTTATTCCGCCCTATTGTTAAAAGTTGCATGTTCAAACTCTAGGCAAGATTGCACTCCCACACGAATCTGTTGTGGTGAATAGTGTTGTGGATAGTTCTTTCATTCATTACCTCTCAGTCTAATAATTCTCAAGATGGAGAATTATTCCCGGTACGTTATTCAGCTATTCTAACAATGTTATTGTTTGCTGTAGGATGTCGAAATTCTGATTCTCATACTGCCATTTCTGCCAAAAGACCAGGTATTGCATGACTATCCATTAGTTTATTTATTCTTTCTGCCTTTTGGAGTTGTTCTTGTTTGTTTATTCAATGCTCGTGTGGTTTATGAATGGCGATTTTGGAGGGCTTATAACTAGATAATTGATGTATGCAAGTTCTCTCAAAGAGCAAGGACATCTTATGAAATGGTTTGCAATGTCTTAGCAGAATACTTATTGTTTGTGAGCATGCCATTTGATGAAAAATGATTTGATATTTTATAAAAGCTCGATATATGGATGTTAAGATGTGAACGTGTTTGCAGTTCGAATCTTTCATCTCTATTTCCAGTCACGGGACACCTCCCCCAACGCACACACACCCACGCTCACAAAAATCCCGGAATCAATTCATTAGTGAAGTTCTAGGTGCTTCTTACTGTATTAGCGTAGTTGGAAATCAACATGTAAAATGCAAATATGCATCTTGGGTCAGATCGGAAACAACCTCTTTGTATTTAAGATATACATATTTGTTGTAATAAAATTCATGGGGGCAATGGGCTCAGGGAAAATTTGAAATGAAAGATATACATTTTTGTTATTCATGTTTGTAAATCACGGAAACTTTTGTATGTTAATACCGCCCCGAAGGAATTTTTAACAACCTGCAAGTTCATTTCATTGTTTTTATGTACATGTTTGATGTCAAGTAAAACTAGAAATCAAGATAATAGTTGACAGAGGGGGTATTAATTTACGAGAACAAGTTTTTCATTCGATGTGTGGCACATCTACTTGAATATGGAAGTACATTAGTAAAGCTTTCCTATACATAGTCTCTCTCTCAGTAGCAGGTTGTTCAACTGTAGCTTGTTATTCTGAACTGTAATGATTATTTTGTTTAACAGGTGCTGGCGATATTTCCACATCTTGTGAGTGCACCATCAGAGAAGTTTCACGTTGCTCTTTCTCGAATCCTGCAGGTATCAGTGAATTAATTCCTTGCGATGCTATAATCCTTAGGTCCGTTGTTCCCATCTTACGGTTTTTTTCGATGTTCCTCTAACTAAGTGCACAGCATATCTCTTAATAGCTGGATTTGGATAAATGGAAACAAAAACAGTTTTTTGTGTTGAGAAGTGCGCTTGGAAAAACTTAGGATTCTTGCAAAAAAACTAGCAGTATATCATAAGATCTTACATCAAATGTCTTTCCTTATTTAGCAATCTCTGCGATACTTATCAGTTTTGTAGTAATTGGATTCCTTAAGTTATCTCTTAATTTTATTTTTCCACCATTGGGCGATGTATATAATCAGATGAATTTTCAACAGGGATCAATTGGTTCCAGTGAGTCTCTAACTCCAGCTGAAGTGTTGATTGCAATTCATGGGATTGATCCAGAAAGAGATGGAATACCTTTGAAGAAGGTTTGTCACTAGCAATCATTATGGATGTTCCTTAGGACAGTGCATTAATTTGCTCATCTATGCATATCATTACTATGCAATGGAAGAAGGCCTTAAGAGTGTCATTGGAGCATTTTTTTTCGATATTGTCCTAGACATGTAGATGGACCTCTTCAGATTGTTGGCTTATTCAAAAGGCATTCTTGCGGACACTAAAACCTCAAATATTCTGTCATTATATGCAAGTACTAATAGTGAGGGTTCTGGTATGTGGGAACAGGGGCAGAACCAAGCCCCCGAGATATGATGGGGCAAAAATTTCAACACTAGTAAATTAACATGCTTGTTCCTTAACATCTTAAATTTAGATGGGGCAAAAACTAACATTTTGAAAAAAAAAATTCTAAAATTTCAGGGATCAATTAGCCCAAAAAAATAAATAAATAAATAAAATCCGAGCTGGGGCAATTGCCCCAACTTAGGTGTATTTACATCCTCCCGTGTGGGAACATAGTAGTCTGTAGTTTTAGGCATCATATCAATTGGAGATGATGTTTTTCATATGTTGATCATCATCCCTCTAAGTTGCTTTTTTTTTTCCCTTTCTTTCTTTTTTAATACTTGTAACACATTGTTTGGCTGAGGTTAATTTTTTTTCATTTGCAACTTCTAATATGCATTACATGTTTTGTGCCCAAAGTGTCACATTTATGGTTTTCCTCTTGTTATTTACTCATCCGAGAAACACTTATTTCCATTGAGAAGGTCACGGATGCATGCAATGCTTGCTTTGAGCAGCAACAAATATTCACCCACCAAGTTCTTGCTAAGGTTTTGAACCAGTTGGTATGTGTTCATAATTTAACTTCGTTTATAGTTGCATGCATTTAGATTCTTTGATTATGTGGCTTTATTTACTTTTAACATATATACTTCACAGGTTGAGCAAATTCCTATTCCCCTACTATTTATGCGCACAGTGTTGCAGGCTATTGGTGCTTTTCCATCACTGGTAAGAATAAATACATGATTAAGTTTTTGTGAGTAAAGTCTCTGTTGAATGATTGAGCACGATGTATTCTCTTGGGTTGGATAGAAGTATGTTGCATGGACTCCATTTTTGGGTCTAACACCCGTGTCGCTACGACATAACATGGGTGTGGGGTGTGGCAGTTTTGTGGAAATACCATTCAACAAACCCACCCAACACCAGTACCCGAGTCCAGGTGATTCATACTTTCAAGTTTGTTGGAAAAAACTGATACTTTCAAGTTGTTCTAATTTTAAATGTAGTTTTAATGGGTACTGAATCTTAGAAAGCACAATGATGCTTCTATTGCTCGCGCGAGAAATGTGTATTTAAATAGTTTGTACTAATTCCATAGTTTGGAATGATGGTTTTTGTGACTAATCATGGATTTGTGTACCTGAATGTTCATCAAACCTGTTGAGATTCTTATTTACTCCAGGATACTTGAAGTATTGCTTATCCTGTTGACCACCATTTACTTATGTACATTTTGGCCTCTACTGTGATTTTTGCTTAGTGCTGATTTAAGTGGTTTCGTAAATTACAATTAATGCACTTCCAAACTCTTGGTCATTGCTGTAGTCTTTTGATTTTAGCATCTCCTGTAGCATCTGATGCAACATAATGACTCACTTATGCTTGACTGGTTTCTTTTGATTTGATATTTATTTAATACGACGTTGGTACTGATGGGTTCCTTTTCTTGACTTGATTTTACTGCAGGTGGATTTTGTTATGGAAATTCTCTCTCGCCTTGTAAACAAACAGGTAGAAGATAATCAAGCAACTCATTCCTTTCCTGCTGTATGGGGGTTAATTATCATTTCTTTTTGGTTTTTGGGAGTTGGATTTTTTCTTACAACTTATTGCCATTCTGCAGATATGGAGATATCCAAAGCAGTGGGTGGGATTTGTGCGATGTGCTCTTTTGACAAAGCCAAAGTCATTTGGTGTTTTGCTCCAGGTGCTGTTTTAGGGGGCATATTTGTTTGTGTATGTTTATCTTGCTTCTTGATGCCATATCAGAAGTAGGAATAGGATCTGTAATTAGTGTCAGTGACTAGAAAGATGTTCTCCCAGTAATGTTTGATTAACATTCGCTGCGAGGTCTAATTTAGTTGACATGTTGTTACTTGATTTATTTATGTTGGTCTAGTTCCTTTTTCAGCTACCTCCCGCACAACTGGAGAACGCGTTGAATAGAACGCCAGCTCTGAGGGAACCGTTGATCGCACATGCTTCTCAATCTCACATTAAATCATCACTTCCAAGGTTCGAGTAAAACCCTCATCAGGCACTGGTTAATAGATTCTGCTTTAGAGGTTTAATTGCTCTATTTCCATCAGGTCTGTGTTGGCGGTTCTAGGCCTAGCTTCAGATGCCCAAAGCTCAGCCCTGCCTAAACCAACCAATCCTCAGCCTGGAGAAAAGAGCGAGTTAGAACCTTCTCAATCTAGCCATGTTCAGAGTGGAGATACAAGTAAGTCTGATAAGGAGGTGGTAGATGAAAAGTCCAAGGAATCATCTGATGCCAGTTGATGTCAATGAGATCAGCAGTTCTCTGTTTGTGCAGTAAGTCTTGACTTTTTGAGATGTTATTTGCCTCCAGTTACCTTTGTTTTACATTGTGATATGGCCGTTTATTTGTGTGGCATTGTGAAAACATAATAGATTTATGCTTTGTTGCGGAGGATATTAAAAAAATCCTTTTCTTTGCATTTATTTTCAGTTGATATACACTTGCTTTTCACTTGTCTAACTTTGGTCATTTGACATACGAAGACAGAACATCACGCTTCAATTTAATGGTGCTTCTTACAGCATAATATTTTATATTTCCCCTTCCCTTTTCCTTTTTGACGGAGTAGACGGTAGTCTCATAGTTTTCTCATTCTTTTTTTTTTTTCCCATTAACAAATTGTTGTGCCTCTTTTCTCGTAGATAGATTGCTCTTGCTCTAAGATTTGAACTCCTTACCAAATACATGCAAAGTGCCTCGTAAAAAAGCACAGCATTTGTGGCGCACAAAAGGCATTCAAACGCAGGCCCAAGTAACTTGGAGGGGAACTTATGTTGACGGTTTTTCATAAAGGCTAAAAAGGCAGGAGAAAGATTCACCCAAACGCTTGCTCATGGAGCATCGCTTAACTGGAGTTGATCAAAATTAATCACAAAGCAGCGCCGGTTCCTTTATTGACCACATTTGTTCAAACACATTTTCTTCAGGCTCCAGTGGAGAATGAGCTTCCATTGATGTTTATCTTTGTCACTGATTCAGGCACTCTGGTATGTCCAATCAGAAACTTTTCGCAGTTGGAAATCGCCCTACCGAGGAAGTTTGTGTTTGTTTTACAGATTGTTTTTAGCTTTGCACTGTTGGATTAGACCATTGCACATACAAGTTTTTACTAGAGAGGCTCTGCTATATGTAAGAAAAGTAAAAAGAAAAAAAGAACTGACTGCTAATAAACATTAAACACTATAACCACAGGTAATTGCCATCTAATCTAATGTAATAGTACAACAAATATTGGCGAGCTCTCAAATTGCAGGTTAGTTTTCCGCATGAAGCAAGATTTTCTCTCGCATAAATTAGGATGCTTTCTGCTCATTTTAGTTTGGTTATCAAACTTTTAAATTTGCTGTACTTTCCAACTAAAAATGCACTTTTCGGTCAGTACTCCGAATTTGATCGAGCTGGCTTTCCTTGTATGCCTAGTAGTCCAGCTGTCCAGGAAAAGCACAAAAGTAATTGCTACGAAAAATGGGCCTCTAAACGATCCCATTGGACCAAATATTTAACTTCAATGGGTCCAAATAATTGTCAGATTCCGGTGGCGGAATCGACGGAAATGGGAGGATCCCGACGAATTGGAGGTGGAAGAGGCGACGGTTGGGATTCGTCAAACCAGATTTGGGAGAAACTCCACAAATATTCTGAAAATCAATTCCAGATACCAAATTTTCCATAATGTTTTTACAACCCGGATCGACTATTTATAGTCCCGGTATTTACAGAAACTCCCACCAGGTCCCTATACTAAAGAACTCGGACAATTCAGTCCAGTTCGTGACAATAAAGTGCAAGCCCCGTGTTGGTATTCAAATGGGCCTCAAAAGCGTAATGCAGACTAGAGTATTTTTTTCGGCCATCTGGAAAGGGGGCAGCTTCCACTGGAAAGGGGGAAAATCTGAACATCCGTCCTACAACGTGACTTTCCTTTTTCTATTTTATGTTGTTTTTTTGTTTTCCTGGTTGGGAAATGGTTTTTATGTTAGTGAAGTACACAACAGGGGTGTAATAGAAAACTCTTTTCTTCCTTTTTTTTTTTGTTTGGTGAGTGAAAAATTTGTATAGAGGGCAAAAAGCACTAATGTAAAAGTAACATGATTTCGTAGCCGTAGGTATTTTATACAGTAGTACACACATTTTGCTCGACGCCTGAAAAAACAAATGAAATGTTTAATAATGAATTTCGACTATATCATGTAATGAATGATGCCTAGAAATTAAACCGACTTGAATCTTATTATATACTGTATATGTCGTCGCATCATTCACAGGGTGATTTACTGAAAAGATTATTATTCGGCATTATAAGAATGTCCCTAATTCAGGGGATCGTAAAATGCCGGAAGCGCAGCATTAACACTAGTACTAGTAAGCCAAGGATATCCCATATTAATAATCTCATGATGATGAGCCCAAGATGGGCTGTTCAACCCTTTCAGCAGCAACATACTTTGATGATGGTGGTTGTTGATGATGTTGTATGATTGATCAGAGCTGTAATCCTGGTGTTGTATTAGAACAACGCCGTCATCGTTTATTCGTTCTTCTTCAATCCTGATCCTCTTTGGTGCTCGGAATCTTGCTGTTGTTGGTGCCGCCTCAGAGTCGGATTCCTCGCACAAGAGCGAAGGTAGCGATGTTGATGTGGTGGGAGAATAAGGAAGCTTGTTTTGCTTTGCAGTTGTTGAGTTGGTCCTGTTTCTGTATTCCTCTGCGATTTTGTCCAGAAATCTACCCTGAGCTTCAATTTTCATCTTCAAACTCCTTTGGACCTTCAAAGGGCAGGCATCCGGAAAATATATAAACTTTCCAGATCTTAAAAAGGCAATTTGGCAACTTTTTTGTTTCATTATTTCATCTCAAATAAAGTGCTCCGGCTTTTTCTTTTTTTTTGGGACGGAAGGAGTACATTTTCGTTTTACAATGAAACAATCCTTTTTCACTTTAATGAATACACATTACAAGTCATAAGCTAAACAAACAACTTAAAAGCGTAAGCAATATTTGGAAATGGAATGCGAACGCAGCATTCCTACCTCGTGTTGATCACTCAGACGTTTTTGCACTTCCTTTTGCATTTGAAGGGCTTCGTGAAGCTGAGCTCCTCTGTATGAGAAAATTTGCTATATATTATTGGTAATGGGAAATACTTCTGCAGCAATCATTATTAAAGAAAACAAAAAAAAAAAAAAACAAAACGAATTGAATTTCACTCACGATGTAGCACTGAAGTTGGGCAATATTTCGGATATGCTCCTCCGTTCAAACCTGCTCCCTCCTGATAAACCAATTCAATCATTTAACCAAATGACCCTTAGTTCTTTTGTTTTTCCAAAGCAAAGAAACGTGAACCTATTGCTTTTAGTAACTCACTGTTGGGTGATTCTGGGATGAACTTGGACATCCTGTACTTCTGCATAATTACAAAATCAGACACAATATTATAAAACCACTCCATGAACTTGGGAAGCTTAGGAATAATTAATTAATTGATGTTGCCCTTTGAAGCTTGGAAAAAGCCCTGTTTCTATTACTATAATCGCTACCTCTAAGATATGCTTATCCAACATTCTTATTTTTCTCCCCTAAAGAGACGCATGCAGTTTCAGCATTTCTTATCATTGAAATAATTTTTATTTTTTTATAAGAAAATTGCTGAGAGGAGCACTTTGAATGGAGATGCATAGAATAGCAAATTAGTTGCATTCACAGAAGAAGAAGTCGAAGTCTAATAAGATGGAAAAAAAATTTGACAATTTTCGGAGTGAAACCTGCAAATGGCTTTTGACATGGAAGATGGTAAGTCCAGGAATTCCCATAGCCCTGAGGATACCTTTTGGTGTTGCTCCTGTACTCAACAACATCACATCAACAATTATTCACTGTAAAAAAAAATCTTTGTATAGAGACTGGTGTGACAGTCACATGAGACCAGACATAACTTGCGGCTAAATGCTAGTACTAGATTAGTCACTGTGAAAAAATGACTTACTATCCGGCCCGCCAAGCTGAGTAACAGCCTTCTCGAATAGACTGTGAAGTTCTTGAGTCCATTTTAGCCTCTCTTTAGAGGGGTTATCACCACGGCCCTGTCCCATAACCAAACTTCCTTTGAGCAGTTATTTCAAAGATACACTATAAAGTAGTATAAACGATGTCCTATAATATTAATGCTCTGTGAGAAGTGATGGAAAGGGGCACAAAAAGGAAGTGTCTGGCTCTGGCAGAGTGGAATGTGTAATACGGTGATTTAATGTGGATGATGGGAACTAAGCAGGATTAGGTTAGGATGCTGTGGATTGTCTGCATTTTCCGGAACAAACCAAGTATTGAGAAGTGGGAAAAGAGTCGTATGTTAATCCAAAACTCAACCTCAAAGTCGTCGTTCTCTAGTTTACATCACTTTTTGGCGAAGAAATCTATGGTTGAAGAGTATAACAAGAACATGGATAATACTAGTTTGGGAGATCGACAAGGTGGAGGATTTGTGAGCATGATATCGCATCCCCTATCTAATCAAATCAAATCAAATCAAATCAACCTGAACTTCATAAAAAACATTTCTTATTGTCCTAATACATATGGCGTTTACTTGCTTTGAGCCTTGGGGTTTACTTGCATGTTTCGTATTGGAAACATCTTACAAAAACTGCCTTTCATAGTCACATCCAACTTGCTCATGGCCACTTTCCGAACTAGACTTTAAAAGGAAAACAACAAAAATCGTCACCCGCAGAACAACCTAGTTTGATTTTATTCGAGTTAAAGTGAGAACAAATGGGAACATGATTATAATTTTTGGTGACCAACAAAATCATGCCCCAATAAAATGAGAAGAAAATCTATTTATCAACAGAATTAAGAGATTTTCATATATAACAATAAAGCCTCAGAGAACAATTCAATAGGGGGAAGAACACAAAGTGACGCCTATTTGCTCCCCAAAATGTAAACAAACATCACAAGACAATCCAAAAGACGTTCCACGATTTGATTTACTTGCTTTTCTATACTACTTTGTCAGCCACTGAATCAACACCCTAATCCTCTCATTTTGGCCCCTTTTAGAAGATATAATGATGACAACTATATCCTGCCCCCTCGCTTCAAGCTGCAAGATGGACATTTGTATTGCTTTATGTTCTCAGCTTTAGCAGGCGTAATCTTCACGCACTTCCCATGGAACCACCTCTCGCAGATGTCACAACCAATCCAAAACTCGTCTGCATTATAGTTTCCGCCACAGCTTCCACAGAGTGTTTCACTATGCTCATCATCTTCTTCCTCATAGCTTTCCTCTGCCAACCTTGGGTTGCTTTTAACCTGGCCATCATTGGACCTCTGCTAACAAAGAACAAATGTCAAGAAATTAGATGCCTGAAAGAACTACAATGGATAACTTTGGTGTCCCAATATGAGCCCATTGTTATATATGATTCAGCATCATAAATATCTGAATTGTGTCCCAATTTCCTAATTGGGTTAACAGTATTTGAATTATCTAATAGGCCTTGGACAGGGGAACTATGGCACTTGCAGGCCACCAAATAATGATATTCGAAGCACAATCTCTTTATAAATATATTTCAATGATTTCATCAGCCATAATTCTCAAGGTTGAATTCACAGATTAAGGGAAACGAAAATTAAGACACACAAGCAACCATAGTCTACTTAAATTTTTGTCTATTCACACACCTTTGTGCTGCCACGGGATCTGCTTCCACTATCTGCACTGGGCTTTTCTTTGGCAGGTTTCCTATCCGTTACAACCTCAAACACAGTGGGTTGCTCATTGATTAAGCTGAATAAACGCTTCCTGAATAAAAGCAGGGTGAATATCCAATGATTAGTAACAATTATGTACACCCAAACAACATAAAAGTTGTTATTAATTTACCAATCAAGCTACAAGATGTGTCCAAAGACAAAGGTAAGAGAAAAGAAGATGCAAAGGAGACACGGGAAAGAACGCTTCTGTAGAAGCATCAAGCTTCTCTCAAAAGCATGTGAGAAGTGAAAAACCCAATCGCATAGCAGCAAAAACCCAATCGCATTACAAAATGTGTCCAAAGACAAAGGAAAGAGAAAAGAAGATGCAAATAAGTTTTTGAAATCCCAAACGCATTTCAAAAATTCACCGTCAGAGCATCAATACTTTGACGTTACTGAAATAATGATGCAAGCCTTATTGACAAACAATGATTTTTCACAAAGGGTATACCATGCCTGAAATGTTTATCTTAATCCCAGATATTAAAGAGGATTAGCATCCCTTCACGCCATCAATATTACTAATACACATAATAGTTGTTAGAAAACATTTTTGAAAGCAAACACAACTGAGTAAAGATAAAAGAGCAACTAAAAAGGCTCACACATACCACTAATTCAGCCAAAGTCAACTTGAAGATAGAGAAGTAAGAAAACAAAAAAACTGATAACCAAAGACCAAAGTACCAAACTCTAAGAAAGAATCAGATATCAAGCAGGGCAGCAGGTAAGTGGAACACTAACAGAGATGTATACGTGTGGCAAAGACAGAAATGCAGATATATACAAACCATCTTAGAACTCATCTCCAAGATAAAAAGAGCAAGAGATTTATCAGATACTCATCATTACTCCCCAGGAGAGAATGACATAAAACAACCAACCTTTCATTTCTGTTGAGCCGAGCACCAAGATAGAATGCGACAGAGAGCAACCAACAATCACTGTGCACAGCAACCAGCGAAAGCCAATCTCTACGGTTCATCCCATCCCTAGCAAAATTGATCCCTAGTGCAGGCTCTGGAAGCTCAGGAGGTACTTCTTCAGCTGGAAGAGCCACCTCCCATGACTCATTTGAATGACCATATAGACACAAATTTTCCTTGTCTATAAAACTCAAAAACAAAAAACCAAGACTAGTCAATATAATGCAGAAATATAATGCCCGAAAACAATAGGCTATATGTCAGCATCATACACAGTAAACTGGGATAAACCATGTGATCAGCTAGGTATTCCATCTAAAAGGAATCCAAACAACTGCATACTGATTTTGGTCCAATAAAAATGAATTTTGAGGTATATTGAAAATGGGATAATCAAATCATCAGCTATCACTTCCTTGCTATTTCAACAAGTAATCAAATTTCAGTCTAGAAATAAAAATTGCCTGTACAACTATGCTGATGGCTACCTACACAACCATGCTAGCCTCCTTACTAAATCCAATCTGCATTAAGTTTCAAAATTTGGATAATAAAGTACAAAACTTTTTAGTTTCTCAACAGAGGGCAGAAAAAAAAACATACACATTCCATTGACGGTAATAACAATAGCAAAATCCTTTTCGCCTTCTATCAATGTTAACAACCCTAGAGTTCATCGCGGTACATAACAGACTTGCGCGGTTCTACGACACCAAAACCAGAGCCCCGATCTACAGTAACAGACTGTAAATCTAGTAAAAAAAAAACGAACTGTACCTGGATCGCAGAGTCCATAAAATTCATCCACATCTGCAAATAGCAAAACAAGTCAAAATTGATTTCAAAAAAGAGAGAAATTACACGCATTGTACTCGGAATTGATTGGGAAAGTTATAAGAATCAACAAATAATGACAAAAGAGAAAAAAGGATACGAGAATTGATCGGTTTTACCTGCTGTTAGGGCACGAACTATGCCGGTTCGACGGGCGCTGTAATCTTTGAAGATCTCTTCCACAGTTCTGGGGTTTGAGGAAACTGAAGCCATGGGAAAAAAAAAAAAAGAGAGAGAGAGAAAATACAACCAAAAAAAGGGAAAAATAAATTTAAATAGAAAAATCTGGTTTTTTCAACTTTTTTTTAAAGAGAAGAGAAAAGCGTAGTTATTTAAAATACAGAAGAAACCATTAAATTGGGATTTATTTAAGGGAGGAATTTATATGGTAGTATAATAATTGGATCCATGCGAAGCAATAAGAAGAAAATAAAAGAGGGCAAGAAAACGAAAAGAAAGAGGAATTGGGGTAGTAGAGAGACTAAATCACTGTCGTTTTCGGGCTTTGCGAATTGCGAGATTGGAGCTCCATCTTATTATAATTTTTTGTCATGTAAACTATTAAAGTAGCATTTAGGGGATGGGTAATGTGCCACATGATATTGGCAAAAAGAAGGTGAAAAAAAAGAAAAGCTATAAATAAATAAATAAATACTTTGCGTGCGTTAAGGAAGGAAAAAGCGGGGAGAAAATAAAAAGATAAAATAAATAAATGAATAAAATTAAAAAAAGAAAGAGAGAAAAGAATAAAAATTAGGGCTGGTAATTTTGGTCGGTTCCGCCGAGTTCAATTCGGCCTAATCGGATTTTTTCTTTGCAATTAAATTGATCAAAACCGAACCGAAGATTCTGTGGGCCCAAACCGAGCCGAACCAAATAAGCAATTGGGTATTCGGTTCGGGGGCCACTTAAACTGAAATTCAAAATGACTGAAATAAATTTCTCCTGATTTCAAATTTTCAACAGTTCAAAGTTCAAACTTTTAAAAAAAAAAAAATCACCAGAAATAAATACCAGTAAAAATATAAAGTTTTGTTCAAAACTTCAAGTGTTCAACACTTCAACTAAAAATCTAAATCTGTGAATCAGATATCCAAATTTTGATCAACAATTCAACAATAATATTCAACATTTCAACTCACTGAACACAATCCAATAGCACAATCCACACACTAAATGACCACAAGTCCTGAAGTCTATAATCCATATCAAGTCTTAAAGACTTACACAAAATGTCCATGATAACGAATAACAATGTCAATAAATAATACAAATTTAGAATTTAGAAGTTTCAATAAATTAGAATGATAGAAAGTCAGAAACTGATAAAAGAAAAGTTTAGACTGAGAATAACAATGTTGAAAAAGCAAATTTTTACAGAACTCAGAAGTCAAAACTGCAACTTCAGTCTTCACTCCTCAACTTCAATTGGCAGCATACTTCACTACTTCAGCTTCATTTCAGCCTTCAACACTCAACAGTTCAGCTAGCAGCAGGCAAACAATACTGAACACTCAACAGTAGGCAGTTCAGCTACTGCAATCCAGTTTTTTTTTCCCTTTTCAACAGTTGAAAAAAAAAGAAAGAAACACTGAAACAGTCAATCAAGTTGAAACTGTAAATAAATAACTGAAAATAAATAGCTGAAATGAATTAAACTGAAAATAAACAACTAAAAAATAACACTTATGAAAACTGATCACGAACCGTATAAGTTAATCGATTAATCGGGTGGAACCGAAATTCTCCCAATTAAGCCAATTAGCCGACCCGATTTGTCCGAATTCAATTCGGGTGGGGCGGTTCATAGGGTACGGCGGATTAAGGAGCAGCCCTAATTAAAATGCCGGAATCCTAGAACTGTAGAGGTTTTCGACATTTTTTAGACAGCTTAGACTTGGAACAAGAGTTCGTCGGGTACGTCTAGCAAGAGTTGTTTTCGACAGCTTAGACTTGGAACATCAGCACAATGACAAGTCAATAAGTAATAATTTGTGATTTATTTTGCATTTTCTACCCCCAAAAAAAATATAAAAAAAAATACATAGTTTACACGAAAATGGGTTCATTTTTTAGAACAAAATTTTCCATCCTCGTTGTTTGCCCGAAACTAAGGACTACTTTTGTTCATCTTTAAACTAGTTGGAATTGAATTTCACACAAAATATTTAATTTGGGATGAAATTTTGATTATAGCATATCTTTTGGGATTAAAGTGTCAAATGTTCCGGAGTTAATATAGATAATTGTGCTTGTTTATGAAATTTGGGAACTTTTCTTGCACTAACAAAGAGCAAGCAATATTTACATTTCCTTGTAATTTAGCCACCTTTGCAATTAAATTTGCTTCGGTTGTGACTTGTGAATGGAGAAGATTTGGGAATTTCCGGCGGCCAAGTCAACTGAAGTTTTGCATCAGAGAGAGAGATTTGGGATTGGGGCAGCAAACTGGTATTTACTGAAGAAACGAGGTATAAACAGGTAATAGGTTCTGTGAGATATCACCCCAAAACATTCCAGATACTACAAACAAGAAACTAACCCTTCCCACCCCCAAAAAAAAATCCTGTCTCAGGGATACACTACTTGATACAGGGAAAAGATCACTGAGTGGATCTTGCTTGTACTATGTGTCAAGAAGCATGACTTGTTTAGGGAAGTATGCTTTTGCAACCGAACCTTTCCCATTTTCAACCAAACAAAGTAGTTTTTGAGTATTTGATAAAGCTCTGAAGCATACTTCACATTCCGATAGGTAGATGTCAAATGAGGGGAACAATTGAGTAATCATACTAGCTAGCTGTATTTGAAGAATTACATGTACTCTTGGCACCTAAAGGACCAACTGGACTCCCATCATCTTCCACCTCCTTGTAGGTACACTGAAGGCTGTATGTTCTTATAACGAAAGATGGAACCACCATAAATATTAATTACGAGTAGTAGTACCAATTTTTTTTGGTCCGGTGCCTGATAAAGTAAGCAGTGTGGTGCCATTTTTGTCTTCCACAGGTTCCAGAAAACTGTATCAATCCATCCTCTTTCCAAAGTGTATCGGTGTTGAGAAAAAGACTCTGATTTTCTGTCTAATCGACAACAAACCTGAGATTGAACGTGAATATGAATGTGCCAAATGTTAACGAATAATCTATCTTAGAGAAGTAAAGATAAAGAGAGGGCGCGTAGATTTTCAGAAGCTTACACCTTAAAATTTTCAATTACCTAAGAAATGAATTACAAGCAGAAATTTTTTTCCTGCTGATTTGGGTTCAGTCTCTTTTGTTTTGGGCGGTGGATCGCAGTTTAACTGAGACCCGACTTGCAATCTTCCTCAGTGTTCCTCTTCCGCAAATATTCACAACATCCGGTGCACTAATTTTCTACAATTTTCTTCATGTATGCCCTTACTTTTGGTCAAAAGTAAAGGATAAATTTTGAGGATCGAGTTTATCCCACTGTTCTATGAGAGTGATTTCAAAGTAAAACTTCCAGGACCAAAAATGAGGTTCGCTCCAAGAAAAGTTACAATTTGTTGCAGAAAAGAATCTCAACCGAAGTAACCCCTTTGGGGAAATCCAATGGAAAAAAGAGTAGCAACCGCAGTATACAGATCCTACGATCAAGTTAATTAGACATAAAAAGGCAGAGGCAACTCCCAAATACCTGTCATGATGAACACCCTAGTCTGCAACAACAAAGATTTCACTACCAAATCGAAAGCCCAATGGTTTTGACATTTGTCTTTTTGAAAGGAATTTGCCTTTACAAGATACTGATAGGGCCTCAATTCCCTTTGTTCATGGAGATGTTAATAACCGCTTAATCCCACTTTTCTGCTCGGAAGTAAGCCTTGTAGGAAACTTGATGTTGAACTTAATCCGTAAGTTTCCCTTTTTGCTTGGTTCTTTTGGGATAGGCATGCCTTCTCCTTTAACAACTTCTTCATAAGTGGGGCTAATGATGGAATTAACTGGTATATTCAGAGTTCGACCATCAAGAGTTGTTACTTCAGCAGTATATCCAGTCAAGGCTTCAACCAGTGAAATCTTTTGAGTCACGATAAGGTCATTGCCGTCCCTCTTAAACACACTATGAGGTTTTTCATCGATAATGAAAATGAGGTCAGAGGGTATATAACCCCGCTGTTCATTTCCTTTCTCCGGAAAAGTAATTTTTGTTCCCTTCTTCCAACCTGGCTTTATCTCAATTGTAAGAAACTCTTGTGTCGTGGATGGTCTCCTGCACAAGAAAAGCATAATCAACAGTCAGACTACAGATAAATATATCGAGAAGAACTCTCATCATTTATGATATCTTCTTCTAAAAATCAATACTTCGAGATCACAAATGGACACCACAGCGAAACAAGTCAAATAAAAGGACCCAACAAGAGAAGACTCAAGCAGCATAAGAAAAAGCGTTCTTTTGGCCTAACATACAGGTTCAATTAAAGGAATAGAGGGAATGATAGACTAGAAATGAACTATACTCAGTTGAACTAAAAGCTTCAACACGAAATGCGAAACAGGGAATCACTTATAAGTGGAATCATATGCATTCAAGAACAAGTATACCAGCCGTTAAAAAAAAAAATCTGAACGAAATCCAAATTTCTTATTGTAACCTAATTATGGATATCTGAACATAGTCCTACCCATCTTTCTGACCGATATTCTAACGCATACCCAATTTCAATCCTTAATAAGCTAAAGGAAGATAGTAAAGTGTACTATTTCTTATGATATTCCGGATGAGAGAATAAGAAATGCAGGTGAGACCAAATAATGCCACTGTCACCACACACGGAAACAGAGTGAGAAAATTTCCGTCTCTCTAATCCAGATCTAATCATGAGCCATCATCACGATGAAAATCACACCTCATCAAGTACAGACAAAACCAGAGAGGATTCAAAGATCTACATGAAGGAAAACAAGTCATCAAAACTCAAATACCCCAGACAATTGACTCAAAAGCCCACTGTTTCTGAGATAAGCCAAGTGAAATTTACCATGACAATCTCACAATAATAAATGAATGTCTTGAACGTTCCACAGGTCAATAAGGGACTGTAATTTACCAACTCGCTCAATACCTAACTTTTTTCTAAACAACTTCTCAGTGGTTTCTGAAATATCCAAACAACCAACACATAGAAAGGTTTAATCTATAAACACACAAACCCTAATTCCAAGAAGAGGCATGCACACCAAATAGCATAAAAGTTGTGAACACAAAGAACAGCAAAAGATCTCAATGCATTCACTCGGCTATAAAGAATACTTCAATAGTCTAAGCTTATATCTAGCTTTTTACTAAGACTAAAGACGTTGCAAGCCATACAACTTCACCACTGCAACATAGAATTCAAACACAATATCTCAACAGAATAAGTGTGCAGCAAAGCTCTATGGGCATAACTGACAACAATCCTTTCACTTTGTCAAGTGCCCCAAACAGTATCATATTTTAACAAAGCTTACACCAGCTAAATCCCAACTAAATGACTCATGAATATTAAACAAATGACATGAACAACCCTTCAGCTTCAAGAAGTTAAGAGATTTTTTGTTCACCATTCCTTAAGCCAGAAAAAATCAAAATGCAGTGTCATATGAACTAAAAACAAAACGACAACAGCAGCTGATGCCAAATTCAACCACAACTTATGTTAAGCAAAGAGAATGCTTACTGCCAGAGCAAAAATTCCGTTGCCGATATTAGCGCTAAAGTGTTAGTCAGTATTCACCACTTTATTGTCCTCATTTGATTGTTAAGTTGTATTTTATAAAATGAACAAAAGTTGCTAGTTTATTTGTTATCCTAAGATAAACCCTGCTTAAATCTGAAGGTTTCCATGGATTATATTAAGCATACAATAAACAAAGCATTCAATCCTAAAGCACAAAATGATTAATCCAATCTAAATCATAACTACAACGACTAGATCAATGGTTAGGCAACTCTAATCGACATAATGTATAACCATTTCTTAAAAAGGAAAAGAAGGTAAAAAGTTTTACCCAGTGGCATCACTAACATCTCTGGATATTTTCATCTTCTTTGAGGTGCCCTTATACAAATCCTCCAAACTACAAGGCAATGTCCGCTCAATGGCGGGTGCCTTACGGGGAACACTGCTGGAGGCGCCTTCCCCCGCGGCGGCGGCGGCGTGCCGGAAGGAAGCGAAGATATCATCCCCAAACAATCCACCCCTCGAAAAACTAGCTCCGCTTGAACGTGCCCCGCCTCCCATATCGCCATAGGGACTCGCGAACCCAAAGAACTCGGAGAAAATGTCGTCGGCGCTGCGCGGATTGAACCGGAAAGATGTGTGACCACCACCGTCTGACGTGGAAGTATAACCACCGGCACCCGACGGTGGGACCTGCCCCTTTAATCCTTCTTCCCCGTACTGATCATACACTTGCCTCTTCTGCGGATCGCTTAAAACCTAAAAACAAAAAAAAATCAATGCCTTAGGTTATTGATTTATAATTAAAGAAGGGAAAAAAGAAAGGGAAGGTTTTTCGGAGAATTACGTCGTAGGCTTCGGAGATTTGTTTGAATTTGGCTTCGGCTTCTTTCTTATTGGTAGGGTTTTTGTCGGGGTGCCATTTCATGGCGAGCTTGCGGTAGGCTTTCTTGAGGTCATCTTCTTTCGCATTTTTGTCCACCTGAAGGATTTTGTAATAGTCTGCCCCCATTTTCTTCTTCCCCTTCTTCCTTTTACTTCCCTTCTAACCCTATATTCCTCTCTCACACAGACACACACTGTAGTTTCCTTGTCTTCTTCAGGTGATCTTTCTCCCTAATTGTTTTATGTTTTCTGGGAGTTACCTCTCTGCACGAACAATCGGGGATGAATGGAATTCTGGATGACTGGTAAAGAGTTGTTTTTCCTTCTTCTTCTCTGGTCCTTTACTCCTTCGAGGCTTGAAGCTTGGAAGTTTTTGAAGTTTTCTGGGCCTACTAAAGGGCCAGAAGTCCGTATCGTGTCATGTGACAGAAATAGTCACTGACTGGCCCGAATCATGATAAGATGGGCTCAAGTGCCTATACATATAGGGTTCCAATGTTTAAAATCAAGGCCCAAGTCCTAAGATAAGAAAAACTATTGGGAAAATTTGGACGCAGACCGTGGAAATGGTTATAAATTAATAAAAGGGGCAGAGTTTAGAAATAATTTTTATTAAGGGCAGTAATTTTTTTAACAAAATTTATAAAATAAAAATAGTTATGTATTGACATCGTTACCCTTAATATTTATTTTACTAACAAAAAATTAAATCCAACACCTTCGGGATAAGATTGTTGGAGATTACTTATTTGCTTTTCAGTGGATGGATTTGAAAGGGATAAAGAAAAAGATGGCAAATATCAATAAGAAGGATGATTTCTATCAAAAGCTAATTGATGATAGTCCGATGTCGGAAAATGGCGAACCAGAGACTTGAGGAATTAGGTTCAGATTTTTCAAAGGAACGCAATAATAAGAAAGAAGCAACCACATTGATTGATGTTGTTCTATGATTACAGCAAGCAAAACCCGAAAATTACCCTGATTTAGTCATCAAAGTTAGCATTCAGTAATCTATTCAGTTAAGATTCTGTATCAATTAACTTGTGGCTCTATTTGGTTGCATTGAATTGGAACCAAGAAATGGAATTAGAGCTCTCTAATTCCAATTTTTTTGTAGAAGCAAATAATTAGAATTTAAATTCAAGGGACCTAAAAGAAAATCTGGGGGTCGAAACCGGGTAGTTTTCGGATCATAACATAAACAGGTGACTTTCTCATTTTTAACCTTTTGGCCTTGGTTTTTGTTTTTACACTTTTTTTAAAAAAAAATTTCAGCGTTTCAGCGCTGCTTTTTTCTTTTCTTTTTTTTTTATGTTGTTTTTTTTCTCTTTTATTTTTTTCTTGCCAGGCGTTTTTCTTTACTTTTTGTTTTTCTTTTTTTGGGCTTTTTGTCTTATTATTATTATTATTATTATTATGTATATATCAATCTGATAATCATCAACGAAATCAATCTAAAAATTAATATGTATCTTTTTGACAAAACTATCAAAAATATAATTGTATCCAAAAAAAATTAATAAATAAATATTCTAATTTTGGGTTAAACTTTTCATTATATTATGACATAGTAATTCCAGCAAGTTTAGTATAATCTATTTCTTCAAAAAAATAATATATATATATATAATTTTTTAAATTATACATTGCATCTTTTTACCAAAAATTATGTAAGTTGAGTTTTAAGTAGCTATTATTTCATATATAATTATATACTAAAAATAATTTTTTTAGCATATATTATATACTAATATAAATGAAAATTAATATTCATAAACTGAATTTACAATGTTATATACTAAATTTTTTAATTAAATTTTTGACATAAATAAAAAATTTTGAAAAATAATAAAAGAGAGAAAAACAAGGATATTTACATTACTGGTTTGTGTGTTAAGTGGAAATTCTATGTATCATATTAATAATTCTTACGTAATAACATTTCTTTTATGTTCAACTAAAATGTGTGTAATAATAGAATACAAATTGATATTAAAAATTAAATAATTTTTTTTAAAAAAAGGGAAAATTATATTATTTAAACAACAAGAAAGAAAAAAGTCTATACATGTACATAATGAATTTTTTTTTGTTACATATATCCATAATAAATTACTTTGACATAAGAAATTAAGTTATTTTTTTTTATTTTTTGACATGAAAAATAAATTGTATTAGTTATATAATAACAAACTAATTTCAATTCTGAAGAATCTAAATTTTTATGCATCCAAATGCAAGAATTGGTTTTAGAACCTTAATTCTAGTCAATTTTCAAGAATTCTCAAATAAAGGAATTAGGATTGAATTACAATCTCAATATTTTCTTTTCGATTCAATAGTATTGTAATTCCAATTCAATTACAATTCAATCTAACCAAACGAAGCCTAAACAAAGTTGTCTTCATCGATTCTGATTCAAGTTTTAGCCTTGCTGCTCATGACTTTGCTTCAATTCAAATTATTCAGCAAAGAACAAAACTTTCTTCTTTCCGATTAATCACCGAGGAAACATGAATGATGCCCTAAACTTGATCATATAAGGGAATACATAATAAAAACTTTCTATTTCATTTTGTATTTTTCCTTCCTTTTCTCAGGCGCAATATCGGAAGATATATATCTTACTATATTAGAAACAAAAACCACAATTAAGAGAAAGTAACACCATTTGGCATGTGGCATTTCCACATCATATTTTTAAAATAAATTTTTATTTACACATCTTATAGACTTAAAAGGCAATTGGAGTCCAAATCCACCTTCACCTTCTATTTTCGCCAAAAAAATAAATAAATAAAAAATCACGGTTCATAAAAAATCCAAATCCTCATCCCCATCTCCACGACAATCGATTCCCTAATCAATCCCTTCTCCAATATAAAAAAAAAAAATTCCTCATCAATCATCAATTGAGAATATGTGGTGAAATATACTCCTTTCCTATTAGCATGTTCAATTTTTTCATTATTGATGATCAACTGCATCCTAATCAGATAAAACTTCGAATTCAAAAAATATTATCTTTACCTCTCTATATAAACACAAAGGAAAAAAAAAATTCTCATTGATCTTGCTTCGGCTGTTGTGGTGGTGCAATTACAGGTATTAAAATTTGAATGATTTTATTTCCACAGATCATTTGTTTGGCATTTATTATTTTTTGTTTTTTTTCCATTCAAGAATAGTGTTATTACTATTATTTTTATGCTTCCATCCATTACAGCTACCGTAGCTGTTGTCAGGTAATATGATGTGATTTCTTATCTGGTTAGTTAGCCTAGAATTTTTGTATGATTTTAGTTATGTTTGGATTGAATTGATTGATTGGGTTTTTATTACAAAGTGTAGTTTTTTAAATTTCTTTTTTATGTTTCATTCAATTAGAGTGGTTTTCTTTTTTTAATTATGGAGTCTCAGTTTTTTTTCATATATGGTCAGTTATGAAGTGTATTTTTTCTTTGTTTAATTGTTTTTGATTTTGTTTCATACTCCCAGTTGTTCAATTATTATTATTATTATTATTATTATTATTATTATTATTATTTTATTTGCAAATGAAGCACGTTTTTTTTTTCTTTTTTTTTGTGTTGGGGCTTTTAAGAATATACTTTTTTAAATTTGGTTTTTGGATTTTTTTTAGTTCCTCATCATATAAATAGTTCAGGTCGCTTCTTCTAACTAATTTATGGGAAGCCTTTTATGAATTTGAGATGGGGAAGGAAGGAATGATGTTTCTACGTTTATTTGTGTTTTTATACATCATTTTTACCAACAGAAAAAAATAAATTCCTCAATTTTTAATGGGTTATCTTTTACTTTCTTTTTTTTTATTTGCCATGGTGAGGCGAGTTCTTTTTTGCTATAACTTGAAACCTATGCAAATTTACATTATTTTCATTCTCATATTTGTGATCAACCAGTTTCAACAATTAACCAGTTTCAAAATCATATTTTTGATATTTTACTACCTATAAACTTTTGGAAGAAATAGTTCCAACAATTAAGCGTATACCATTTGGAGAAGCTTACTACGAAGTTATTATATAAATCTCCAAAACCAAGTATTGATTTGGCACAACCACTGGAGAACATCAATAAATCATCTTACTAATATTTAAAATTTTTATGATGCTTTTATATTTTGTCTAGCATTTATTTCAAGACAAATATTTGATCAAGTTTATTTATATTTAAGAAGTAACACTTATAAAACATTTCTGAAATCTTCAAACATTTTTAAAACGTATCGGGCCAAATACAATTTCTTTTTATGTCAAATATAAACATTTCTATGATCACACTTATAAAACATTTCTAAATTCTTCAAACATTTCTAAAATATATCGGGCTAAATACAAAATTTTTTTTTCCAGGTACAAACATTTCTAAGATCTACAGATATATTGGGCCAGAGTCGCACATTGCGCGACCAAACATCACTAGTATATATATGTATATATATATATATATAATTTCCTGCCAAACTCCATTGAATGAGCAAAGTGTGTGTTATATAGAAAGTGGTAGGAGAAATCCTCTGGTTGCGGAGGATTAACTTTTGGAAGGATTTATTTTGTTTTGGGAAAGAAGAGGGCATTTATGTCAGCACATAATCAATTTTATTTTATTGATTTTGCCAAATAAATTATTACCCTCATTAAAAATTAATTTGAAGTCTTACCCCTTTCATTAATTTAACTCTCATTACTGCCCCTCATTCAAATTTTCCCAAAACTATTCAGTGCAGCAACATATTATTGGAGAAAAAATTTGATTATTTAGTTTGTATTTTATTTTTAGGATAAAAGTAATACTAAAAAAATAAAATATTCAACATAGACTATCATTTGAGATAGAAGAAATATTTTTTTCTCCACGTTCATCTTACATATACTTGTTCACTATCTTACGAAGCGAGAGCACGTTCGATTCCTGCATAATTGATACTCCTTTTATTTCAAATTAAAAGTCTTTCAAAATATGAATCCTTTTAAGATTTCAGTTCAGATTTGCACATCACTGCTTAAAAATATCACAATTGTTCATGGTTAAAATAAAAGTGATAAACTTTTTCTTTTTTTTAAAAAAAATAAAGATTGTGTAAATGTCGACTGAAATCTCAATGACATATGCGGCATGCATGAACAGGAAAAAAATTAAATTAATTATTTTTTAATGAGGAGAGCTGGTTGTTTTGTATTTTCATTTTTCAATGAATCAGGAATAAATCATTGTACTTCTTCTTTTTTTTTTTTTTTTCAATTTATCTATCCCAACGATTCAAATTTTGTTGGGCCGGATAATGAGTGCAATAATTTTAAATTAGGTTGGGCCAGTAATTAAACTCTCATTTACCCTAAAAAAGGTTGGGCACTGATTTTTCAAACTTAAGTTCACCTATATTCTGGGTAATGTACGCTTACCATCTGGACTCGAACTTAGCGATGGGCTTTTTATCACTTCATATGATACCATCCGACATACATATTTTTTCGTTCAGTGAAAAAATGATTTTTTTTTGAAATAAGTGAAAAAATAAATTTAATTTATCATAAAAAGAAAAATATTATAATCAAATAATTCTCTTGTTGAAATATTTAATAATCAAGTGGATTATTATGTACTCAGAAAGAAATTTATTAGCACGCTCTTCCGATGGCAATTTCACCTTTGACCAATTTGAAAGCAATTGAAACTAATTTATTATTTTCACAGTACAATCACTTTTGAGTAAGGAAACCAACCAAATGCAATTTTTTAAAAAAAAGAAAAAAGAAAAAAGGGAGATCTTGTTCAAAAGGGGGATTCTACAAATTGCTTTGAGGAAGGTTCTTCAATTAAATATATCGACAGTCAATATTAATGGGCGAAAGTTTAGGCTAATGAGCTGCTAAACTACCTAATTCAACTTACATTATAATTAAACACGTGACAAATTTAAGCTAGGACCATTATTATTGTGACACTTACTTTGTGGAGTTTAGTTTGCAGAGTTCATATATTTAATGACTATCAGTCTTCATCAAGCATTTGAAAAATTCTTCCGTGTACATTTACGGATTTGCTTTTTGAAATATTGAGAAAGTCGACCTGAAGAAAAGAAAGAACCACATGCAGCGAAAGAACAGTTTAAAAGTTCGAGTGAAGTTGTGAACGGAATGGATTAGTTAATGATTGATTCGGATAATTTAAGGTCAGACTCATGTCTTTTCTCAGACTACCTAATCTACCTGTAGTAATTACTCCTAACCACCCCCCAAAATTATTCCCCTTCCAAAATTGTTAAATTCAGATTTACGGACATATTCTAATCATACATCCTAATTTTTCCTCGTGGGAAAATCGTTCATTCTAACTCTTTTGATCGTTTCAACAGAATCAGAAACATATTTACCTTATTATTCATTGAATTTGTAAAATGTATATTGTTGCCTACTTTTATCTATACCTCACTATTGAAACATGCATTGATTTTTTCGCCATATTCATATAATGCAAAGGAGAATATTTCAATGAAATAAATTTTATGCGTAGAATGCGTAGCATTTCGAAACACAAAATCATTTACATTATTTTTGTACTACTTCCATTTCACAAAAATATTCCACATTAAGTTTTAAGTTTTGTACTGTTTTTATTACAAATTTGAAAACCCAATATGTACTTTTTTTTGGGACGGAGTTAGCAGTAAACTAGTAGTGCATTGCATCAACTCCTCGGTTATAGGCTTATCGCGTATACACGTGCATAATCTGCATCGTTTGTCTTGAATTTTGAAATTTGAAATGTCAAGATCATGTAAACTTTTTTTCTTTTCTTTTCTAAAGGTGATGTCTGTAAGCAAGAAGAGAAAGGAAAAGAAATTGTAGCAGTGAAGGTCGTTTTGGCCCCAAATACTAGTACGAAACAAAAGGGAACATCTATAAAGGACAATTGGACAACACGTGCATGTGTACAACATGTTAACTATGACTAAACGAATCCATCAATCTAAGAGAACAACAAATGAAGTTTTGCCACCTTTTTTTTGTGACCAAACCTTGTGTTCCCATTCTTTTTACACTAATACCTTGAATATATATATATATATATATATATATATATATATATATATATATATCTCGATCGAATTCAGATCTTCTGATTACAATTTTTTGATGGAGTAGATCGATATCTATCTCGGAGATTTCAGGGATTCGAGATGAGACTTGCCACTAGGGCCTTGAGTTCTGATGAAAACTCTATACTCATTGAAAGTCATGGGAGAATATATGGCAGGAGTATCCCGGGTCACAAGTTTTGGAACAGGCTTGATGGGTATATCACCCTTTGGATTATAGAAAAAAGCTAAAGACAATCGCTCTTTGTTGGAATTCACAATTACTCGGTGTTCCACGCTTTTGAAAATGGCATTGCTTAGCACCTGTGCACCCAAGAAAAGGAAGTAAAAAACTACCTTAGAAATCAAATTAAGTACTATGTAGTATTTTTTTTTTCATATTCTTCACGTGTTTAATTAGGTTAGTATCCTTTTCAAAAATAAAAAATAAAATAAAATTAGGTTAGTATCTTTTGAATTTTCTGCCCTAAGAGCACAACGAAAAGGAAACTTGCCATCAATGTGTGAAAAGCACAAATTTTCTTTTTAAGACTATTTTCGGTATATTATTTCCAAGTTAGATCCCCTACCTAGCAAGTGTACGGATTGTGTTTGGTGTGCGGTTACATCATTTTTTTATTATTTTAATTTACTATATGCCATTTATAATTTATAAAAATAGAACGTCATTACTAACAATTATATTTTATCCATTTAATCATGATATGTTATTATATTATATATATATATATATAATTGACATTAGTGACATACAATTCACATGCAAATCACGTGCAAAACATGTACAAATCACGTGTATACGCATACTTATAAAGTTAATGAAAAATTGATGAATGATATATATTATTCTTGTGTCCCACTAAAAAATATTTTTGGCTCCGCCACTACTTTCACCCTCTGTGTTTTTATTAAAACTTTAATATTCTGACGTTTACAACAAATACACCCAACATTTTTCATTTGTCATCCTCCAAAAGATATATTCAATGCATAAAATAATTGCTCAAAGAAGTATATTAAAACTATTTTATAATAAAATAATAATAACAATAATTCACTTTCTGTTAAACTAAAACTATACCACATGTAACAACGCTATTGCATATTTTTTGAAATAAAAAGTGGATTTATGATTTCTCCTTGGAAAATTTTTTTCCAATGAATATTATATACTGAATGTACTTAATAATCCACCAGAATAGATATTGTATATCAAAATAAAAAGTAAAACTGCAGTTGAACGTAGGAGAAAATGTATCACACAAATTGAATTGACAATTCCACTTAAATGATGAAAAAAGGCACAAGGAATGAAACAAAGATCGATGATCACCTGAACTTGATCTCCAATGTTGACAATGAAAGCATTAGGAACAGGTTTAACTGTGATCCAGTTATGGCCACGACGGACTTGGAGGCCAGAAACATCTTCATCAGGTAAGAGAAGGGTCAAACCACCAGGATCCGAATGTGAAGAAAGGCCCAGTGTAAGATCCGGTTGCGGGCATTTTGGGTAAAAATTTACCCTCATACATGCTCCGATTTGCTCTCTACCTCCAAATGCTTCTTGAAGCGACTCCTCTTTCAATCCAAGACTTATTGATAATATCTTCATCAATTTTTCACTCAGTTTCACTAATTCCTCGTTGTATTTGCCAACCAGTTCTCTATACACGCATTTATTTAGAGGTTTAGATAGATGTCATGTTCAACCATGCATAAGTATGATATATAACTACAATAAACATGTCATATGTTCAGCCCAATAATCAATCAAATTGAGTTGGCTACGAGTTTTCTTTTAACTAATTATTATTATTATTATTATTATTATTATTATTATTATTATATAAAGCACTATGGTCGATATGAACATTACATGTGTTCAGTCTGGCCCAAATAAAATTGTTCATTTTCTTTTTCCTTTTAAATGGCCTCAGAATATAGTCTAATTTCATATAATGAAATAAATTTTGTTTTGGAGTATGATAAAATATTTTTCAATATAGCTATACTTAAACTAAATTATTGAATCTCCCTTTAATCAGCGTGATAATTTACTTTGGAGGATTGCTATATTTCCTTTGGAAGGCATCATTCATTAAAATCAAGGAGTTTTGATTAAGGTTTTACTACAATTTAACTGAGCTTAACTATGTACTAGTTTCTTGGAGTGAAAAATCCATGAATTATAGGCATGCATTCTCATCAAGCACACACAAATCGTTCATCTCAGTCCTCGATATTGCATGAACTCAAAAGAGGTGGTGAATCCTCCAATGGTTTAGATTATTTTTTCTATCTGTGTTTTCGGTATTAAAAAGGTTTAAAAAAATAATTTAGATATGTAAAAAATTGTGAAAAAAGCAAATAAAAAATGAACAAAACAGAGCCTTAAGTACACAAACGACTATGCTCAATTGTTACTACATTTTTTAATCACGGTTGTTAATAAAAAAAAAATATTAAGGCAAACCAAACAAAAAAAAAGAAAAAAGAAAGAAAATGGAGTACGGGGAACATTCTTTTGGTCTGGTGATACTTTCTAAAACAAAAAAAAAAGGAATCTCTATTAAGGTGGGGATAGATGAATGCCGACTTAATTAAACAATTATATGGCCGAATCAACTTTGGATAGAATATTCATTCAACATGTCCTCGAATTAACCTTTGCTATAATACTTCAATAAAAAAACACAAATCCTATTTAAAAAACACGTGCTCGGTAGGTGGAAAAAAATTGATTCTTATTAAATAAAATGATACAATTAATAACAGAGTTGTGAGATCAAAAAGGGTGTGCGTGGTATTCGGTACACATGTAAAGAAAAAGAAAATGTAGAAACGAGGTAAAATAAAATAAACAAAGCCCTAGCAATAATACAAATCTACAATGTTTCACCAAAATATATCAAAATAATTTGTTAATGTAGTTTTCCCTGACTACCAAATCATGCAAAAAGGTATTACTTAATTTGTAGAGGGCGAAAAAGAAACATGTTTAAAAAGTAGTGAAAAGAGTAGACAGCTTTGCTGATGTATTATCTCAATATAATTTGTTAACTGAAATTTGCAAATTTCAATCAATGAAAAAATAGCGTTTAAAGATTGTTCCTTGTTTATAAACCAATCATCATTAACTAAAAAAATAACAAATTATTAAGGAAAAGAGAGAGCCAAAAAAAACCTGCATGAAGATGGCAGATGAGGCCACTTGTTGTGATCTCTAAGCGTAGTAGGAAGATAGTGGAGGAAAAAATAATCACTCCAATCCAACTTTGCACCTTTTTCCACTCCCAGCCGACTACCGTATCCTTCATAAGTCGTCGGGGAATTCGCATACCGCTGTTTCTCCTCCGCCGGAAGGTGGAAAAACTCCCGCCACGCCTCTCGGGTCCGCTTCATCAGCTCCGGTTCGATCCCGTGGTTCACCACCTGGAAAAATCCCCATTCCCTGCAAGCCATCGATATTTTACCCATCGCCGTTTCCTGGACCGACCCATCTCCAGCGTACATCTCACGTAAGTTGATCACCGGAATTTGTTCCACTCCCCTAGCAGCCGCGGCGGGGTAGAGTAACGGCCGATCAGAAGGGCCCTTTACATAACGCTCAGGGATAACCCGGATTCCGCTCTCCGACAAAGATTGGACCCTCACAATGGGTTCCGGCCAGCCTTGTAAGCAGTTCATCATCATCGGCGGCGTAAAAAAAAAAGTATCGCCCGCGATGGTACGGTCTAATATATAAGGTAGTACTGGAAAGATGAAACTTGTTAAGCGGAAAAAGCAAGTAGTGGAATATTGGAGTTGAAGATGTGGCAATAACACACGTGTAGAAATCGAAACGCTTAACAGGTTGCCCGAAGCGGTAGAACGTGATTATCGTGCAGTTTTGCTTAATTGGCTCGCAACGGGCAGAGAAGTAAGAGCTCTATAATTTATGTACGCATGACCACCGAGATAATCAAAACTTGTTCTTCCGATGCCCAGTAATGTATGCATCTATTTATACTGCAAGGGAAGATGATGGCTGTGTGTATTTGTGTGTACTGTGTGTTACATGTATAAGTATAGCATTTGACCGAAGGTTGGAAGTATGAGCTGGAGATTTATATATTATGCCAAAACGAGATTTTATAAGTCAATAAGAAGAGAACATAAAAGGAATGAGAATCCCAAAATGAATTAGCCCTTAATGTGTGGATTGACTAGTGTGTACACGAATTGAATATTGCCACAACGGAACTATGTAACCCCCTTGAAACCAAAAAAAAAAAAAGATTGAGAGAGAGAGAGAGACGCAAATTAAGGAACTAACCCCCGAAAGAATATATGTAAAACTCGGGAAGGAAAGAAGGAAAAAAAAAGGGGGGGGAGGGGGATGGTTTAGCTATTTGGAGAAATGGAGTTAGTCAGATAGGTAGATGGGACATCAGAGAATATGTGTGCGGCTATTTTGCTAACTTAGGTGTTATCTTCTCAATTTGGGGATGATCATGTGGTGTGTGACTATGTGCATTTATAGATACATTCATTAAAGGAGAGATGCATTATTCTGATTGATGGTGGTGGTGGAGGAGGAGCTGATTAAATTCCGACGCCGTGATAAATTTGGCTTCCTTCCACTCTAGCTTTCTCGCAAGCTAGATCTCTATCTCGGTGACAGATCACTCACATGCAGAAAAATGGTTTTAAAATATTGGTTGATTGCCCACCTACATACATTATGCAATAATTCTTGCATGTAGTGACAAATAATCATTTCATTCGTGGACGTGTATATTTGTTGATTTATATTGTCATACTAATACTAACTAACTGATTTTTGGTTGGCATTCTCCTATTTTTCATCAATAATCGATAAGAAATTATAGAGATTGTTCCTAATTAATATCCACCCATCTTTTAAATTTTAAGACGCTGTTCGGTAAAGAAATACGCAACTATGTGCGTAAAGATAAAAGTGTTATGATTATCAACTATGCCTCCATTTTTAAGTATAAGAACTTTGAGGTATTCTAAGTAAGAACATAATACGACCAGATTAATCTGATATGGGAATCCTTTTTCAATTGTAATTAAATATCTCCTATTAATTACTACTCACTCTCTCCCAAAATTATTGTTAAGTTTGAGTTTCACTTTTAGTATAATTTAAATTAAAAATAAAAATCCAAACTGTACAACAATTATTAGACAGAGGGAGTATTTGTTAACATGATTTGATGAACTGATTGTGATTTCAATATCTTTATAAATGTAGTAATTTTGTTGATCACTCATAAGTTTTGTATTTATTATGTAGATAAGCTTAAATATAATTGTGATTCTAACATTGATTAGTACTTCTGAATTATACGAGTCATATGTTAGAGTCAACTACAATTAATTAAGCTAATCTATATAAGTACTAGGATCTCGATTGGTTCATCAAACCTCCATCATTTCCTAAGAGATACTCCTATAAATTACAATCGGATTGGTATTTCCTAAAACATACTACAAATCACGTTAACATTATGCACACGTTAATAAAATTGCGGGGGAGTTTATTTATTGCCAATTTTCCAACTTCTTTTTTTCGGCTAGAACGGATAAATTTGAATTTTTCCCGTCCATTGCAAATAGTAAAGTAATAAAAATTGTACTTTTAATTATGTGTGTCTCTTTAACAAATGTGATGCCATTTATATAAAACAGAAAAAATGAGATGAAATGGAAATGGTACTTTTAAGTTATAATGAAGGATGAAGACTCGATAGTAAGTAACAAAGTGATTAAAAATGAGAAACCAATGTGTACATGAGTGTGGAATGTGGATGGGTCAAGGCATGGTTCTCCACCAGCTCTTTACCTTCAAAATTAAGATCATTGACAAGATTGGCGACAGAGCAGTGGTTATACATCGCCACTCTTTTGCCAAAGATAATTTAAAATTTTGTATTAAAAAAAAAAAAAACACAATTGTGGGAATCACGATATGTATGCATCTGCAGTCATATTTGGTTGGTAACAATTGTGACAAACATAATACTATTACAGAAGCGGATCTTAAGTGAAACTAGTGTTTATTTATGGAAAATAAGAAATTAATGCTTATCTAATGCAAAAGAGTGTAACTAAGTGAGACAGTTAGGGTATATACCATGTATTTACCAAGAAAGGAGAAGACTAGAAGAGGAGAAAAAGAATCGAGATTTTAGAAGAGGATATATACAGTGATACGACTGGCGAGAGTAGATAAAAATGAGTAGAAATGCGACAAAACAAGACGTGCTTGGCCACAAACAAACCGACAATTCTGCATACACTGAGTTTTCAGGGTTTAGTGGCGCCGAAATCAGTTAGGACGATTTGGGTCCTTAATAATTTTATTATTCCATTCGACTCGTTGTTATTTATTTATAATATGATCAGACAGCATCAATAAACAAACTGGATTCTGCTTTTTGTACTATTTCATTCCATCTATCTAAAATACTACGAAAAAAAAATTGATTTAGTCAGATGGACTACTCCGCTGGCTAAACTAATTCCCTTTTTTTAAAACTGTATGCCTTCTAAGTAACGTACGGCCAGTGAATTGACAAGTTTAATTTCCGCCGATCATCTAGTAATTAATTAATTAATTAAGCCGACGACATGGTTATAAAATTTTAATCCCCGGAAGTAGACTAAAAAGAGCATAAGAATGGACAGCTGGGGAAGTTTGCATCATCAAACAATAACAAAACAAATCGTTTCCTTTTTCCCGCCGGTCCAAACGAAAGATAATGTTTGGCCGACATCTTCCCACGCACAAATCGTTTGTCTGAAAGTGTTATCTGTCTCCATTACTACTTATTTTTACCACGTGTTTAATTTGTTGCACTCATCTTTACTTACTCTTCCTCCTTTGTAGTAATAATATACTTTACTTCTTACATCCCACCCTCTCATTAGTCATTTTCAATACTGCTATCAGGCTCGAATATATCCATTCATAAATTTATAGGCCACATTATAATTAGGGGGGCCAATGAACTGATTATGTCCTGCTCTCACAGCCCATAAACATAGTCCGATTTTATAAAAGAAAATAAAAATTCGTTCAATTTCATAAAAGTCAAAATTAATCTACTTCAAATAATCGAAATATTTTCTTAACCAAAATAGAGACGAGGTGACTTTTGAGTTGGAAATAAACTAAATAAGGACACAATTACAAAGTTACTAATTATACATTCAATTGAGTTGTAAACAATTTTTTTCATGACAAACGTATTGTAACTCAACAATTTATTTAACCGTTATCATAAAAATAACGAATACACGTTCAATTTCTTTATAACCCCTAGCGCGTTTCAATTCATAAAACATGCAACAAATTAAATGTAGCTACCGATTCGACACACTGTGATAATTGCAAATGAAAAAGGGATTGTCAAAGCTCATATTGTATCGAAACTGATCCATCTTGAGTCATAAAGATCCCCCTTGTTATTATTGGTTTGCTCGTTTGTACTAATTGTAGACTAGCACCGATCAAAATTTGAATCTTATGTCGACGTGTTATTAAATTTGTGATGACTAATCTGCTGTAATAAACTAGTTATATATATGATGAAGACAAATACAAATTGGCAGCATCATCAAAGATTGAAAGGTTACCGATTATATTTATTGCCACTTCATGAACCAAAGCCCATCAATCGAACTTAATTTATTCATACAGATATATAAGATCACATTTCCTGAAAAGAATAATAATAAGGTGAATCAGAATAAAATCGAATCCAGCCGGGCATATCAGTATATTTAAGTCGTACGTAGGCAGGATATGATATAGGCGTGGAGTAGAATTTTTGGGCATTAAAGATAAACAGAGATTAAAGAAATTAAGAAAGGACAAATTTTAGTAGTTCCAATTTCAACTCTGCAGCCAACACAACCACGCAACTTCACGCCTATTTTAGTAGTGTAGTAAATTCAATTAATATTATTAAAAACAATATGGTTATCTTTGTTTTCAATTAATACTCCTCTCATGCAAAAAAAAAAAAAAAAAACTTGTCTCATTGCAACAAAGAAAGTATTCGCGAAAAAGAAAATATTAACTGATTTATTTATATCTTTTTTTGGTTATTTTTTCAAAGTAAAAAAAAAAATCAAAGAAGAAGAAGATGATCAAAAGTAAGAAAGTCTACAAGAATAATACTGGTCATACGGAATCTGGAGACAAGATGGACAAGTTGGGGGATAAGGCTTGGCGCAATACAAATAATAATGTAGAAACAACCTCGTGGTGTCTTCTCCATCACAGACAAAGCTCTTTGGCAATTTGGCCAATTCAATTTGGATTTGGACAACTTGTACTTCTCTTTTTAACTTCAATGAATCAAAGTTGAATTTAATCTAATCCACTCCACTCCTCCCCCAGTGCTAGCTACTGACTACTAGGTGTTCCCATATAAAAAAAATTATTGTATACAACATCTATATCCATGTTTTTAGTACAACAAGTACTACTACCTTTGTACTTTGTTGATAAACTCTAAGAGAAGTTATTATTTTCTCCTAAAAATTACTATTTTACCTTATTTATTGTGTCTACCTGTACAATCCTACGTGATGCAGCAGTTACAGTGGATATTTTCTCGTTCCTATACACATTAATTTGCTATCTACGTAAAGCTACCTGTCTCTCCTTTACATAAATGGATACTTTTTTCGGTCAAAATAATGTGCTTCTGGACTTCTATCAAATGTATTTGGATAATAATCTCCAAATTGATGATGATTCTTTCTCACCAACTGACTTCACAAAGCATGCGTCATACATTCCCTCTTTTCAAAAGGGGAAAAAAAAAGAGGAAGAAAGAAATCTCAACGTAAGAATAATTCTTAATTATAATTATAATGATTAACCCGCAACAATATTTAGTGATGGGCAATGGCAGTAAAAAGAACCGAGTCTCCCGTGTTTGTCTATTCCATTGCATTATTTTTTTTTTTTACAAATTTAAGCCGATACAGTAAAAGGATCTTTTTTCGTGGAACTGTGCTGTCTACATATATCCAAGTTTGCTTTTCAATTTGCTGTTGTTTTACTCATAAAGAACAAAAACGAACTGCCTGTTTTGTTGAGGCAAAGCAAGTGGTAGTTGCCAGAACATCACTATGTGCATATAATTTTTAATAGTGCAAATTCATTTAAATATATATATATATATATATACTTATAAATTATATGAATTTGAAACATGCATAAATTATGGAGTTTACTTTGGCCAGTTCTTCTAAGCCTTTCGAAATGGGAATGGCTTGCCCGGTGCTGTTTGGTTAAATTTGGAACACAACAGTTCTCATGTTTAGAAAACCACATGGAGTCTCAGAGAAAAGAGTTGTGTTTCTTTCTGTTTCCCCTTTGATAGTGGTTGATTGTGTATGGTGTACATCAGTACTCCCTCCGTTCCAAATTAAATGTCGTTTTAGCAAAATAGAAAAATTTCAAAATAAGTGTCGTTCTCACATTTCAATGCACTTTTTGTCCAAAATTTTCAAAATTACCCTTGAAAGAATTAATATTATTAGTGAATATTTTTTTAATGGGGTTAGTTGAGGATATTCAAGTAATTTTATTACCCTATTTAAGAGTTTCTTAAACTACGTGCAAAGTGTAGAATGACACTTATTTTGGAATGGAGGGAGTACATCTTAATTTTACAAGTTATTCTTTTCATTCCAATTCCAAGTAAGTGTCCTATTATATGCTAATGGAGTGAAGTATTTTATTTTCTTCTTCCTCTTCTAAATACATAGCACCCCGAAAAGTCTCACGTGAGAAATGAACCCTTACAAGTCATTTACCAAAAGTTTAAGCAACTAGAGTAGGAGACGTGGTGGCATCGTGTTCTATTTTGAAGATGACATAGCATTATCTTTGTGATGGTCACTGCCTACTGACTGACATAACCAAACAGCCATGAACAACTCCCTCGTGCCCAAATGCATATATGCTAAATTAGCTAGTGAATCGAGAATCGGGTGGTGCTGCCATACCGCTGACTGCCGACTTCGTTACATTATGAAGTACCCCCAAAGTTTTAACATGTGCCTAATTTAAAGTCTTTTGAGATGCTGCTCGAAGCATCATTTGATTTGACGCTACTGATGATACTGACAAACTGAGATGAAATGGTCCAGAATTGTTGTGATTCGCAAAGCATTTTTGACCTTGGTTATCAACTTCACCAGAGATGCCCAAGCAAAGCCCAATCTATGAACTTGTTTCCACTTGCCAGCTCAATCTGGTCATGGCTTAAGGGTCCCAACCTATATTAGGTTCACCCTAAATGCTAAAATCCTTGATAAAAAGTTTCTAGGTCTCGGCCCGAAATAGAGAAATATCCACGGTCACGAAAGATTACTTTTGGGTCTGCAGAACATGTAACTAATCATTGAAGAATAGAAAAATTCTGGGACAAAGAAGTTTAAATTTGGGATCTCCATTAAGCTCATTTGGATTTTAATTTTTCAGTTCATAATAATTACACTAGTTCCATTTGTAGATGCAAACCAAAATATTGACCCTTGGCCACCCACGTTAAATCCAATAGTCGTCTTAGTGTTCCCCTGACGTTTCATAATCCACAACTCACTGGGGATCTAATGCATTAACAATGTTATGCATATCAAACTTAAGAAAGTTTTCGAAATGGCATTTAGACTTAATTTGCATACAAAAGGTCTGTTTCATCTAGCCTGCTCCGCCCACTGTGACCGTAGGGAACGAGCACTTCCAACCCAGAAACCAAAAGAGCAAAAACTTAAACCAAAAATTCTCTACCGTTTCGGTTGAAAGGTCCCATTCTTTTATCATTCTACAATCCCCACAAGTAAACTTGTTAGTCTGAGTCCCGTCAAACATTTACTCTTTTATAACTCACTCTTACAGAAACATGCAGAACAGAAACACCGCCTCTGTATGGACATTCTTTTGTCTTGGTAAAGGTTTACACAACGCCAGCATAATAACAACAATGCTCGAAACTACAGCAAGACTTAGCCTAAGGAAAGTCAAAAGGCACTAAAAATTTTATTAAAAAAAAAAGCCGAAAGTAGTATTTTTAATAATCATCATAGTCCAGTCCTCCTAAAACTTAGCAGCCAACAGTTTTTTTCTTTTCCTCTTTTCTTTTTTATTGAACAGCCAACAGTGAAAAGCCCATCTAAATAGAGCACAATGTGCACAGAGAGAGAGAGAGAGAGAGAGAGAGAGGTGGGGGGAATAAATGAAGACTGCCAAAATTCCTGAAAGGGAAAATATTTTATCAAATTGTTTTTCCCCTTGCCCTTTTTTAGGTTCCTTTTCTTTTGTGAGGGTGTGTGGGGGTGGCCGACAATATCGCAACAAAGAACCAGAATATCCACACTCCCTTCAATGGCCCAAGTCATAATGTATTTGAAAGTAATCGGAAAGAGCAAAATTTAGTCCTGTCTACAAGGCTAAAAGAACAGCCGATGGGAGTCGCATTTAATAAGGAGGAGTTTCAAACAAGAGCATCGATAAAATACATTATACCATAATTGGTAGAAATATGAGGGCAGAATCATACATGGCGTTACCAGGACGCCACAAGACTGTTGGTCCAATTGATTAAAAATTCTAGAGAGGCTACTAAGAAGACACACCTCCTTAATGATACTCTTAAGCAATCAATCAGATGGAAGTGATGGAACCCACAAATAATTGAAAGGGGTTGGAAAAATACACATGGGCACTGACTCAATTTTGTATATAGACAAACGATGTACCTGACAGCTTCAAATTCACTCAGTTCCCAAGTTAAGAGAACCATCCTTCATCAGCTTTATACTTAAACTATTAAATCGTCCTCTTGAGTAATGCCGAGAAGCCTTTCTCCAATCTGTACCAGTTTTCATCATGGCCACAAACTCATCATAGCTTATTCGTCCATCCTGCATAATTGAAACAACAATTAGTGAGATCAAACTTGGAAATCATCCAGTTAAACAGAAATGATAATTCAATTGTCACCTTATCGGTATCAACTTCCTGGAAAATGTCATTGGCAACATCTGTACAATCATCTGCTCCATCCTCCATCAGAGCATTACGTAGCTCATCTGGCTCGATGTAGCCATTTCCATCTTTGTCGAAGTATGAAAAGGCTTTATGAAGATGTTCATCGTTAGCCATTCTCTGTAGATGGAGCGAAACAGCAAGGAATTCTCCATAGTCCAAGGTTCCTTTGCCATTGGTATCTACCTGTTGAAATCAAATGTAATTGGATTAGATTGACCTCGTTCCTATATCAAGCGTTCCTGAATACCTTTGTTCTCAGATTTCACACAAGAAAGTAGCAAAAGAACGCTTCATGGAACAATCCGTGCGTGACATTTCTGTCAATTTCATTAAGATAACAAATCTGCAACCAATGCACAAGAGAGACAAGCAGGTATACGCACAGCTTCAATAAGCATCTGTATTTCAGCTTCGGCTAGCTGAGAATTCAACTTTGGAAGTCCAAGCTTCAGTTCTTCTATTGAAACGATCCCATCATCATCCGTGTCTATTTTCTTGAACATATCCTTTATGTCTTCAACTTCTTCAACTGACAGGAAATCGGCAATGACCTGCGTAAAGACCCAACGTCAAACAGTTGCTTCAACAAGTACACATCAATCATGAGAAGAATTAACATTTTGAAATCTAGGTTATCGACTAACCCTAAGAGCTTTTCTCTTGAACCTATTCATTAAAGAAAACTGCTTGAGCCTTGACTTGACAACATCTCCAAGAGGAACATTTGGAGCCTTTTTAGCATTTTGGAGCCAAGGGTGTTCTACAGTAACAGAAAACCAATTAGTCAGGTAACAAGCCAGAAACATACAAATAGAAATCAAGGACCAGCAAAAAGAATCTAAGAACAGAGGACCTTGATGAAGGAAAATAATTAAATTATATACATATAAAAAAAATATCAAATATCATATTTCAGACTTCAGATTTACACGTAACGGAAAGTATAGAAAAAACAAAGCCTAAGAAACAAACTCACCAAGAACTTGTTTCGCTGTAAGTCGAAGCTTAGGATCTGGCTCCAACATTTGACGTACAAGACTCTTGGCACTTTCTGATATACTCGGCCAAGGTTCACGTTTGAAATCAATTAACCCGCGTAATATGGCCTGGGCAACACCTTGTTCCGATTCTGCACAGAGAGATCTTCTTTAAGCAAAACACAGCTTTCACTTAAAATAAGAAATTCCTACAAGCAAGTTAGAGGAAGGACACATGTAAAAGTATCTTTAATCTCTTAGAAGCAAAATATGGAAGAAGTTTATGCAGGATAAAATTGCATGTCATACTGACTCTTCATTCACACAAAATTCTCACTGCATTCAGTAAGTAGATATAATCATGCTGCCACATAGAAACTCAACGATCAACTCTTGAGATAAGATCAAGCCATGGGCTCTATCGAGTATACGCACTGTAGCATGCAAAACAGCGAAAAGATAAATCAGGAAATAAATTACCAGCCCAAAATGGTGGGACTCCACACAGCAATATATAAAGTATTACTCCTGCACTCCATATATCAATTTCTGGTCCATAGTTCCGCTTGAGCACTTCTGGAGCCATATAATAAGGGCTTCCCACAATCTCAGAGAATTTTTCGCCTACAGGTGTTTAAGAAAATTAACACTCTACCTTGCGTAACAAAAGTAAATAAATCAAGGTATGGAGAATATTTGGCATGCTAACCACAATTCTGCCGACTACAGAAATCCATCTAACAATCGGATAGATCTACGCCAAGGTTACTATCCTAAAGCCAATGCTATGAAATTGTGGTCAACAGAATGCATGGGAATAAATAGCACAAGTACAAAATTCTGGACCTAATTTACATGATTGAATAATTGCTTCAAACCTTTCTTATCACATAATACAAGTGTGGTTGCAATATTACAATCAAAAGACTCAGCAGAATAACATTACACAACTCTGCACAGCACAACTATGCCACGAAAAAAGATAAATTTCTTTCATGGGCATTCCTCAGCTTCAGAGTCCAACAGTAGTAAGGGCTTAACACTTGGAACAGGTGCATATTTAAATATATTCATGACAACCTTTGAATATTACAACGAGTGGTGTTTGGCTATAAGAGAGAATGGAAAAAGGTTATAAGATTGAACTCCGCAGCTACGCACATGTTTGGCTCCAAAACCAGAATCAGATCCCATCACCACAAGGAAACTCAATCTAGAATTCAGCATATATTCAAATCAAGTAAGCTACTTGTATATTCTTATAAACTATCCTAGCTCACATAGTATCACCGGTAAATTTTTGTTAAGCACTCTCTGTAGACTACTGAATTATCAGCCAATGCATCCTATCAGATAGTTATCTTATCAGGCAACCAGTTGCCAACTTGCCATTGCTGGACTCCATTCGAGCAGGCTAAAAGGGTTCCGAGTTTACGATGGGGAATGCTGAACTGAGGCATTCAAGCAATCAACCTAGAGCCATCACTAATAATAGGATAAGGATATTACTTCCCAAATTCAAAGCAGATTTTCAAACTAATCATGTGGCATTCAATCATTTGGTTTGATTGATTTGACTATTAACATGATTATAACAATTAGTTTCATAATACTTAAATTCTAACACGCGAGCCTGCAGAGTAACTATGAATTAAGATGAATGTCACAATTCATACTATTGCAGAAGAATACACTCACGTTTCAAGCCTGCTTTCCCATAAACTGGGTCAGATAAAAGAATGCTAGCCAATTCCTATCGGGGTTTTTTTTTTTTTTTTTTTTATAATACCTGGCTTGAAGAAGATTGACAAACCGAAATCAATTGCTTTGAGGGGAGAATTCTCCTTCTTATTGGCAAACAAAAAATTCTCGGGCTTCAAGTCCCTGTGGATCACTCCATGCTTGTGACATAGCTGCACCACTTCGACAATAGTCCTCGTCACTGCTGCGGCAGCCCGCTCCGTGTAATGCCCACGCGCCACGATCCTATCAAAAAGCTCCCCTCCCTCGCACAACTCCATCACCAAATGCACTGCATTCTCATCCTCACACGCCTCTCTGAAACTCACAATGCTCGAATTCTTCGGCAAATGCTTCATTATCGCAACCTCTCGCCTCACGTCCTCCACATCCACCGCCGTCCGAAGCTTCCTCTTCGAAATCGACTTGCAAGCCAACAACTCCCTTGTATCCCGATCAATGCACAAATACGTTACTCCGAACTCCCCCCGCCCGAGCTCCCTGTCAACTAAGTACTTGTCCTCAATGTTCTCCTTCTTCACATCAGCTAACACAGTGATCGCCGCCGCCGCCGCAGCTGCTTTAGCCTTCTTATTGCCGGCTCCGGCACCGGACTTGTCCTTTCGTCCGTGATCGTGTCCGGACGACTTTACGTCCTCCCTGGCAACTGCCGCCGGAGATCTGCAGCAGTTCCCCATTGGAATCGACCGCAGATTCCGATAATTCCGAGAATTCCCGAGCAGAAAGTGTGGCAAAAATTAACCTAAGCCTTAACGGCTAGTCCGAATTTAAGCTGCGATTTCAAACCTCACATGACTTAACAGTAACAACTAAATGCAGAAACCCTAAGCTAGAAGTTCAGTTCTAGGGCTCAAAATGCAAATTGCTTTTGCACTGTGCGTTTTTTGGTGGGGAGAGTGTGTGAGAAAAAAAAAATGGAGAGAGAAATGGAAGGGATAGGACGCAGTGGGGGTAGTATGAATACGGTAACGGTTCGGATGCTTTTTGTAGAGAAAACGACACTTTGCTTTTTTACTTTTACTCTTTTTTCAACTTTAATTAATAGTGCTCTCTCTATCCCATAATTATTATTCAGTTTGGATTTTCATTTTTAGTTCAAATTGTACTAAAAGTGAAATTTTAAACTGGACAATAATTTTGGGACATAGGGAGTACTACTCATACTGGCTCTACTCCTAAACTTTCAGTCGGGAAAACTATTTTCTGTATCAGGTAACTTTTTTTTTCCCATTTGTTTTGTGTTTTCGTCAAAAATGTCTTTTCCATTTGGTTGAATAAATTTTTTAATACTTCCTCCTTGTCTTATTTTAAGGTATTTTAAGTTTTATCTTGCTTGAATTTGATATATCTAAGGTTTTATTTATTGTGTACGTCTTATTTTACTTAATTTTAAATTGACTAAAATTTAATTTGATCAATGTCTATATATTTAGTTCCCTGTATTGGTTCAAAAAAACAAGCACAGTGTGAGAATTTTTTAATATAGGCAATGTAACTAGTTCGCTAATAGATACTCATCTGCTCCTTTTTATAAGACATTTTTAAAAGTTTCAATAGTCTTATTTAGAAGACATTTGATTTATTTAAGGTTTCATTTATAATGTATTTCCTACTTTACCCCAACTTAAATTGACTAAATTTTAATTCAATTGATGCCTAAAAGAGTAGAGACATTTATGGATAATATAAGAAATTTAAAAAACCTAACTATCAATTTTTAATAATTTTTACAAATTAGTTATTTATACGTTATATTAAAGATCGGCAGGAATAATAATTTAACAATTTTCATTAAATCTTATAAATTAGTTAATTAATTTTATGTTAAGGACCGAATGAAGTAGTATTTAAGATGTTCATTTCCTTGTAAAGCAGCTAAATTGGAAAAAAAAAAGGTTTTTTTTTTTGTTGATTCTCTTGTTATACGAAGAAAATTGTACAATAAGTGTTTATCACAACGACATGACCCAAATAGTAATTTATTTTGTCGAATATGGTCGAGCTATCTAATTTGTATGAATGGACTGTATGATGCATACATAAAGTTTTATTCTTTAAAAAAAAAAAAAAACACACACACACACACAAAGGGAATTCAAATTCCTACATACAAGTTGTAAACGATACTGAAAGATCGTACATTCTCTGTCCTAAAAAAAATTTTATATTGAGTTTATAATTTGTACTAATCATAATATAAAATTCAAAATTTAATGTTGACTTTTTCCGAAACTGAAATAGTTCATTTTAGATGTTGGTTACTACTTCTGTCCCAATACAAAATTCAAAATTCAATGTTGACTATTTTTTTTGATACGGAAATAGCACTATTTGTTTACAATAATAATGAAAGTAGATATCTCGACACACGTTGGGTGACTGGACCTATGTTTTTCTCTTCCTTTTTTTTTTCTTTGCTGACGTGTGTTTGAGAATGGACTAATATTCTTCTTTTATGTATTTAAAACCCTATACGTATATTAAATACGTATTGCAAATATTTTTGATGAAATGAAAATAAATAAATAGATAGTGTTGGTAAATGTGATATTTCGTTGGTGGGTGGGAACAATGTGGGAGTTATGTGTGTGTCGGTTAGCCCAACGGACAACGGTCGGAACGGGACGGAAAAGTCCAGCCAGAAAGAGCATAGAGTTAGCATATGCTTTTCCATCCACCCCCAAGCTTTCGGGTTGGATGAATCTCTCCGTGTCATTCCTTTGTATTTATCTCCTTTTCTTCTTCTTATTTATTTACTGCTATTATTAATTAAAAATCGAATAACGTGATATTGTACTCCGTGAAATTGCCTCCTGAATAGGTTAAAATTTGGCTCGTTTTTGGACAAAAATGCTGCCCGAAAAAAGATGCCAATTCGGCATTGAGGCTGTTGGTCTGCCAAGTGCTATCCACTATTTGCATTTGGTTGCTTGGAGTGAGGGAATAGGGAATTCTCCTTTGAATACAGACAATAAAATACCGTATTTCCACTATGATAAAATGGAAAATTATATTGCAGTGAAAACATATAATAATACGATGAGATTGTAATTGATGTGCCATATGTTTTTATAAAATTGTCATCTGCTAGTAGGTGATTATTGATAGCGAAAACTTTAATCTTTAACATTTGAAAATTTTAACGTGAAACTAAATAATAGTACCAAAAAATGATTTGAAAATGAGGAATTTGGGTTTTGGCGGCTTACTCGTCGACTTTGTTAAGGAGACAATTGTCACGGTCATTCTTTTTCCCAAGTTTTTGTGTGGTTTGCTAGTTAACCGGGGCGTTCCTGTAGACAGGATAAGGGGCGGAACGTTCTAGAAGTTTGTGGAATTTTCCGGACAAGTCTACACGGTTGTGAAATTCTCAAGAAAGATATAGGCTTTGCTAGACACTTGTAGAATCATGTGAAAACTTCCCGGGCTTGTTAAAAAGTGTTGGAGCTTTCTAGAGACTTGAAGATATTTGTAGATTTGAAATATTTTATTATAAAAATTCTTTAGAATTTCAATATTTTAAGTTTTGTATGGAATTCTCTAAAATTCTTTAGACTTGGGGACTTAGCCTATAAATACCCCATGCCTCCTCATTTGTAAAGCGACCTAACTTTGAGTAAAGTTCTCATAACATTCCTTAAGCTCTCTTGTGCCTTCTTTATTCTTTCATTCGAAGCTTTCTTAACTTTCTTTTGCCTACGTTCTTTAACTGTTTACATATTTTTGCACATTCTTGTGGGTTTGAGGTTGAACTAGCAGTTGATCGTTCATTATTTTAGTGCTAGTGCCGCACGGTCTTTGTTTAGAAAAAGTAAATTTGTGATACAATGAAGTCAATGTCCAAATTTGTTTCATACAAAATAAATATTTTGTGACTTTTACATTAATATCAATAATCCATAAATACTGTTCAAATCAACACACCAACAAAAATTTTAATCTGCATTAAAAATTCAATGATTAACTAAATATTTGATAAATTTTCATATTGTGTCTAATTTTTAGTTGGTTTATAAAACCCAGTAGCCTGGCAGGAAATTAGGTGCATTATTTCAAGTTCCGAATGCAACAATTCGCAGGAGGACTATCAGATGTCGATGCAACAATATTCGTACAACGTCTTATATATAGACATAATATGTTACTCCCTCCATTCACAAATAGATGTCGCTGGAGAGATTTCACAAAGTTTAAGGAGGCAATAATTATCTTGTTAAAATACTATAATACCCTCATTTATTCTTAATTCAATTGTAGTCCCAATAAAATTCACTTCTAATACAATTCTACATTAAACATCGCAACAATTTCCAATGTAAGGGTGATATTGGAAAAAATTGACAAAATATGCCTCGATTTGTGAGAACGATATCTATTTTAGAATATTTGGGTTTTCCTCCAACGACATCTATTTGTGAATGGAGGGAGTAGTATTTTCATCATCTTTTTATTTAAAGCATGCACATCGTTATAAGTATATTTTATGATACAAAAAATAATATTATTAAAAATAAAAATGCAAAGTGTACAATAATGTTAGGACGGAGGAAATATTATTTATTCATACACGTAAATAACTTATTTTAAAGTAAAAAGTACAATTGATAAATTATAATATCAGCGAATTTGAAATTGATAAAAAAAATGAAATATGTTTGATCTCTATTGTTTCTTTCTCGAATAATGAGAAGAAGTCTAAGTGCTTGTTTGGACAACGTTTTATTTTAGTTTTTGATTTGGATTTGAGAGGAGATTTAAAAGATAGTTTAGTTTTTTATTTAGAAAGTATTATAGTATAGTGGTCATTTATGAAATTAAAATAATTCAGCGACCAAAATAAAGATTTTACAATAGTATAACGACCAAACACAAGACTTTGCAATAATTCAGTGACCAAACGTAACACTTTACAATAGTTTAGTAATCAAACATAATGAAGACTTTACAATAGTTCAGTAACCAAAACGAAAACTTTACAATAGTGTAATGATCAAACACAATATTTTAAAGGTAAATTAAAAAATTGTTTGGATGATTTTTTTTTTCATTGTGTTTTGTGTTTAAAAGGTAAAATGAACGAAAATGGAAAATGAGTTATTGGACAAACAAACACTAACTGATTTGTTCAAAGCCATGCGCTTTCTCCTGGATGAAATCATGATTGGTTCTTTGACTGGGGAACCGTAGAAAGAGTTGGTTCTGGCTAAGGTAAAAAGTGAAATCTATAACATATGCTAAATGAAACTGTCTCATACTGAGGTTACTCCTGTATAATTATAGATGATTATTACAGTAAATCAAAAGTAACGACTAATCAAAAGAAAAAAAAATCTAATCTCTTGTATGAATCCAGACACTTCCATCTGCCTGAGCAAAAAACATTCAAGTATATTAAATGTACTTCCTCTGTCTCATAATTATTGTCTAGTTTGAGTTTTTATTTCTAATTTAAATTACACTAAAAAATGAAATTTCAATCTGGACAATAATTTTATGACAGAAGATGTAACTAATACTTCATTTGTCCAACAGGACAGAGAGAGTACGTGTTTTCTTAATGTATTTTAAATCTCTCATAAAATCAAATACTACTTCGCAAACTATACCTTTTTTTATTTATTGGATTCTTTGACTTCTTTTTTTTTTTTTTCTTTTTTTGGTTGGTCCTCAGTATAATTTATAAAAGTAGGTAACAAACACTAACAAATGTAATACTGCAGGACTGGCATCTCAACTCGCATAAAGTGATATAGGAGTAGCTTTTGTTGCGTGAACCCTAGAGATACATTCATGATCATCACATTCAATCGCTAAAGTCTTGACAGACAACTTTTACTTGTTTTTGTTGGTAAACTTTGAGAACAAACTTGCGAGATATGTTATTTTAACTTTCAACTTTAAAGCGGCTGTTTGTAATCGTATTATGAATGCACAATGAGAGTGTCTTGCGATCGGCAAAGCCAGACCTTACTTATTAGCTTTTCAAAGAAACAAAACAGAGATTACATTTTTTTTTTATATATATACAAATTTACATGAAGGAGGTAATAAAAGTTTAAAACGTTACAAGTCTAAATTGTAAAGATAATTGAAGTACACCAGCAATATTTAACTATTCCAATAGATTACTTGTGGGGGTAGGATTATCGGAGCTCTATATATATAACCAATGCTTGTAAGGATACTGATAACGAATGAACAAGTATATTTGTACATACATATTGCAAAGAAACTTGTCAATCCTTCCTTGATAATTCTCTTAATTATCCCGCTTTATAAGCACACCATCACATATACTGGGAATATTGATGATCTTTCACCATTCTAACAACGCTCTATCATCTTTATTAACTTGCTATCTCACACCATATTCAACATTCATCACCCATAATTGAACATGTCCCTATGTTAATAACAAACCACTTTACAAATTCTTTTTTTTACCTATATTGCAAGGTGTCCACTTTACAATTTTGCTTTTTGTATACTAAGAACATTGACAGTCTTTGTTCGACTATGTAGTAAAATTTCTTGACTAGATACCATCATTTAACAATGTTAACACTGTTTGACTGGATGCAATTGTCAGGTTACGTATGAGACAATATAGTTAAATAAGGTAGTTAGAACATGATATAATTTTTTGAAAGTTAGATTATATTTTGATGAGACAAAATTAATATTATTATTATTCCTATTAGTATTATTATTGCATGTAACACAGATATAATAGGTTCAACTATTTGGATGGTTAAAACACGGATTATAGAGGTTTTGTTTGTTTCTTTTTCTTGATAGTATTTTTAAATTAAATTATTATTAAATGTTTCTTTTTACCATAATTTTTTATATTTTTAATATATTTTTTTACATTTTCAATACAAAAAACACCTAAAAACACACATTAAAAAAACGACACAAACAAACCTGAGATTTCTTACCCTGTTATCCGTACGGTTCTTTGCAAGATACTATAATAATATCGTGACTCAAAACTTTATTTCATGTACTAAACCGTAAAATCTTAATTGGGCCAATCCGCTGGCTTATGAGGCTTGGACTTGTTTTGGAACGGGCCGATTGCTGGGCATTTCAAACCCTCTAAATAGTTCCTTTTGGATTTGTCCATACAGTTCCTCTCTCCGGGGACTTAGCCCGTTTTGGATCAGCATTTGCCTACTACTTTTACCCCGTTGGTAGCAAATCAAGGATCATTTCATTCCCTCCCATCCAATTCCATTCTACAGTAACGAATGCAAGGAATTGCTTACCCGAAGTCAAAAGTTCTGAATTTTGTCAATTGTCGTGTCGTCTGTAGTAAAATTATATAACCCTCTGTCCCAAAATTATTATTATTATCACGCGGGACAATAATTTTATTTGAATTACGAGTGAAAATTCAAACTGGATAATAATTTTAAAATGGAAGGAGTATTTTTTTTAATATATTACGTATGCGGTGTTAAAGTCATAACCTGGCTGATCCGTATTCAGGCTGAAAATACCACATTATCCCGCAAAACGGGACCAATTACGAAGAAAACACTAGGCTTTACAGAAGTTAAACGAGAAAAGAAAAGAAGGGTTTTCCGTGATTGAGCTGCAAACATCAATCAAAGTGTGAACAACAAGTGCAGCGGGGGAAGGATTTCTTTAACTCCAGAAGAGAAGTGACTGCATGAAAGACACGTGGAAGGGACCCATGTCAGACGCCCACACGTGGATGGTAGGGTAAAGCGCAGCAGAATAATTATCAACAACGCGTCATCGTGGATTCATTTTCTTTTAGCGTTCCTATTTTACTTCGTCCCGGAATTGGGACTACTAATGATAATTGTTAGTATAATTTGGGAGAAAGAGAGCCCGCACCAAATCCAGCTCCCAATCCAAAACATTACTAAAAAGTGAATCTACTGGATGGAAGTGGACTACAAAGCATTCCTCTCTGTATTTTGGAAGTCTTACACAAATGTATTTTTCTGCCCAATTTTCAAAGGATTCATCACAATTTGTAACCTACTATTTTCGGTCCTTAATATAAGACATTTTTATGTATTTTAAATTTCACATAACACACATTAAAATCTTAAAAATATTTTCTAATAATCAATAGAATACAACAAATACAAAACTATATTTTTTTAAAAAAACTTTTGATTAAAAATACATACTAAGTGAAATTTAAAGACAAATCAAAATGTCATATATTAAGAACCGGAGGAAGTACTATTTTTTATCGTAGCTTAATTATTCTTGTGTCCAAACATTGTGGCAAATAACAAGTCGAGAAAATGTTTAACAGTATGATAAACCAATATTTATTCCTTAGAGAAATTGTAAACAAACACGAAAATTGACTGGAGTATTAAGCTTAAAATTAAGATTCCAGTCAAACTGGATCATTTTGGTATTGGAAAATAAGTCCTGCTGCTACCATCTCTTAAAGAAAGACGTACGTTCCCATGTTTTTGGATCCCAATACACGGCATGCTGCGTGGTTCGCATGGACTTACTGTATTAAATTAGGTTCACCTCCATTATTTTCAGGTTAATAATTACTCGACAGAAATGCATTTGATTAAGGAATTCTTAATCGATTTGTTTGTCCGGTTAAAGATAGACGTGTATATGAAAACAAAGGTTAGCCGCACTATGTTTTATTAGAGTTGCATATCATCGTAATGTTTTAATCTCTTTGTAACACATGAGCCTCTTTTTATTACAACAACAAAAAAAAAGTTACGATACTTTTTATTTTTGGTTAATAGTTGTGATATTCATCAAATTAAAAATGTACATTCATCATTAATATAATCAAACATACTCCTTCCGTTTGTTGAAGTGAAGTGGAAAAATTAAATTAAATTCAACGTGAATAACGGGAAAGAATGAGCTAATTAAAGTGAACCGTGTCCGTATGGGATTTCATTCATCCTTTGCTTTCATTTGCTTCTAATGATTTTTTATTTTTTTTTTGCGTATTGCTACCTAAGGTCCTAAACCAATTTTGTTGTTAAGCTGCTCATCACTATACCAAACACTATTGACTTAATTTCCACGGTCAAGAAATTAGTGGTGGCATTTAATTCATTCAGCTCGAGACTACGACCATATTTTGCGATGATTTTGAAAGGTATACTTGATGAATGTTATTAAATTAAGATTTGCCATAGATCCGTCATTTATGAATTCATATCACCATGTTAATAAATTTACAACTGCATATCTTGATCGTTGAAAAGATGGAGATACACTTACCTTGTAAAGAAGATATCGTATATTTGAAAGCATATCTGGAGTAAATACGAGATTAAATATAAGTATAGAAGATATCGATTATTATTACAAAAAGTCGCGATGCACTCTTCTTTTTGTAGTATTATATTTCTTTGTATCCAGAAAAATAAATCGAAATTTGGCATCAGTACGAACAACCTTTTAACATTTGTTTTTCAAGATTTTTTTGCGTTATTGAACGTTCTCCATTTGTTTCAAATTTTTTGTATGACCATTATACGTGGTAGTATAAAACTTAAAATAAGCGTAGAAAATAAGTTTATGTTGCTAACAGAGTTGCATTTATTTTATTATTTTGGATAACCCACAGAGATTGCTTTTAATCAGACGAACCAGTTTCGAAATTGTAATCAACAATGTGGAGCCGCTAATTTGTCATTTCCCCCGGCATTCGCAACTTATAAGGCACCACGTATCAAGGTCAACAGTAATTCATTCATTGGACTATAACATTGTGCACAGTACTTAGACAAATACATCCACCCCCACAAATATTCATCATCAACTGTGCTCCGATACATAAATTAATAATGAAATATTTAGCCAGAAATAATATCACATCATTAAAATCGAGCAGGAAATAATTTAATATTTTTTTTCCAATTTTATTTATACAATAAGTGTATATGAGAAGATACAATGAATAATACTGGTAATATGAAAGTATTGCGGCAGGGAAATATACGATAATACGAAGTACTAGTACGTATCAGAGAGAAGTGAAAGCTTGTACGTCAAGGATATGGTAGCAGAGAATGAAAGGCATCCCCAACTCCAAAAAAAAAGAAAAAAAAGAAAAAGGCCATTCTCTTTCAAACGTAAGGATGACGACATCAAAACGCAGTATGAACAAGTGTGGATGTCTCCTAAAAAAAGATATAAATACATTAGAAAAATGGAACAGGGGAAAAACAAAGAAGAAAACTAGAAAAGAGTTTCCGCGTAGAAGGATCAGACGAGAGACTGCTGGAGAAGGAACCCATTTCTTTTTCTTTTTTTTTTTTTGGTTTACTACTGTATTCGTCAAATAATCCAACAACACAAAAAAAAAAAAACACCACCCAAAAAGAGAAAAGGAAGAAAGGAAGAAGGAAAGGTTTCGTTTGTTTCGATCAGAAAAATCACCATCTTCTCTTCCTTTTCCGATTATCTGAAACCAAACAGCGAGCTTGCTCGCTCTCCTCAATTGACAACTCTTTCATCTCCCAAAGAAAAATCAATATTTTTTTCACCTGCTTGAGCCTTTCACACTTACTTTCACACCTCAAATTTATAAATTATTAAAAAAGAAAATTCTTACTATATTTTTATTGGTTTTTTTTTTTTTGGTGACCGACCCTCCTCCTCCTTATAAAAACCCGTCCAGCTTCTCATTTGAAAGATCTTTTTTGATCTTTTTTTTTTTTTTTTCATTTTTATCTTTTTTTGATGTGTTCGGTATTGATGATCATCATCGACTGATGGATCCGGGTCATCCGCATCAGCATCAATATGGGTCGGTTCATATTCATCCAGCTGATCAGAACACGATGGTTGGTGGAGGAGGGATGGGAGCAGCAGCCGCCGATAGGTTTCCGCAATGGAGCATACAAGAAACCCGGGATTTCTTGATGATCCGGGCTGAGCTCGACCCGACTTTCATGGAGACTAAACGGAACAAGCTTCTCTGGGAAGTCATCGCCAACAAAATGAGGGAAAGAGGTTACAATCGGAGCGCCGAACAGTGCAAGTGCAAGTGGAAAAACCTCGTCACCCGTTACAAGGTACCGACTTTTCACATTTCAATCATGTTTGTTTCCGCGTAAACAAATTAGAAGTTAACAGTAAATGAAATAAATATCTTTTTTTTTTGTTATATTATATACTTTTTCAACCTTCCCTCATTTCCTATGAGTTCGGCGGATTAAAAAATCATTCATCATTCAGAAAGTGATTTGGGGGAGAGAGGGGTTTGTTAGTTAGTTAATTTTATATTACAATATTCTTGAGTTTAGTAAACGTTTGGAAATTAGGGGTGTGAAACGATGGAGGCAGCAGATGGGATGCGTCAGCAGTTCCCGTTTTACAACGAGCTTCAAGGGATATTTGCTGCCAGGATGCAAAGAATGTTATGGTTGGAAGCCGAAGGCGGCGGTGCAGCGGCCGCCAGCGGGTCGTCTAATAAGAAGAAGGCGGCGGCGGTGGCGACCCTTTCGTCGTCGGAGGAGATGGATGATCAGAACGAGGACATGAGTGAAGGGGAGAGAATGCTCCCCATTAGTGCCAGTAGTAAAAAGAAAAGGAAGATTAAGGGCAGCGGAGGCGGAGGCGGTGGAAGCAGCTCGACTTCGAACACGGCGGTGGCGAGTAGCGTGAAGGAGGTATTGGATGATTTCATGAAGCAACAGATGCAAATGGAGAGGGAATGGTTGAAAGCTTACGAGGCACGGGAGGAGGAGCGGAGGAAAAGGGAGATGGAATGGAGGCAAACCATGGAAGCTTTGGAGAATGAGAGGCTGATGATGGAGAAGAGGTGGAGGGAAAGAGAGGAGCAAAGGAGAATTAGGGAAGAAGCTCGCGCTGAGAAGAGGGATGCCCTCATCACCGCCCTCTTAAACAAGCTTCGAAAAGAAGATTCATAGCAACTAGCTAGCTATACCATTTGCATAAAAAAAAAAAAAAGTTCCTATCATCGTCTTTAGGGCATCTAGTTAGCTAGGGTGAGATATATTCAGACAGCTTCAGATTGAAAATATCATTACTCTCTTACTGCTCGATTATGGGAGGGATATGATCCATCAGGTCAGTGATTAGCTAGCTAGCTATATAGCAAGCATTAGTTAGTCAGTCGATCAGCTCTTAATTTCATTAATCCTTGCATTTCATTTCTTTTTCTTGTGTAGTAGCTTTATAGTTCATGAATTTTGATTAATCCCTGCTAGATCTAGCTAGATTTGTAACTTCATTTCTGGTATGCTGAGGAATGGAAACCCTCATTTTGCCAATCAAACTTGATTATAACGTAATTTCACATATATATAAGTAGTACGTACTCATTATTGATGATTTACCTCTCCTAAGCTTCCATTTCGTACGTAAATTTAAATGCTGCATATCTCTGTTTATTGAGGCTAAAAGCAATCTTTAGTTTTCAAATTCCTGATTCCTGCTCTTATCAATTTTAATTCCAACGTAAAATTTCTCGGAAGACCGGGGTTAGATGGGTCATGTATACAAATACAAAGTCGCCCGGCCTCTCCTCAAGAAATATATATATATATATATATATATATATATATCATTGAATTTTGTTAACTTGCTTGAATTCCATACATCTCTGGTAGCTTATTAGTATTTCAAAGGGTCAAACGTTGTTGTTGGAAGTTTGAAAATGGAGCTAGCCAGGCAATGTACTGATGGGTGTAATCATCTGCATTTTGTTGCTTTATTAAGTTTATTCAGATATTCAACCATATCACTAATTAGAGGTTCATTGAAACATTAATGTTGCCGAGCTGAAAAACGATCATATCATATTTGTATTTCACGTTTATATTATACAAACCTCGAGTTTTGTGTATCTTTAATTAGTACCCAAATTCCATCCTTTTCGAAATTAAAGTGCCCTGGCTGCTAGTATGATCATATGTTCCATGCAAATATTCATAGTACCTCGTAATTTCTTGTATTCTTCACCCAATATTTTCTTTTAGTCTCTCATGAAATCGAATGAGCAGTGCACTTTTGCTGAGTAATCTTCTATGCTAGTAATTCATAATTGAATGTGTGAAAATGTTTCATGCATGCATGCGGCAGGTCTCAAAGTTGCGTGATAAGCGTTTTGAGATCGTCGGAATTTTCACCTGTTTCTTGGGCCCATTGTGAAATACAACATATTTGGTCATCGATCTCTATTGGAAATTTTGTTTCTAATGAAGGAGTATCCTTAACATTTCAGTAGGAGGACTGGAGGAGATCTAGCTATGTTTTTTTCTTTTTCATATTTTTTTTTTAAAAAGAAAATGATATATGCGCCTTTTTTTTTCACTTTATGATTAATCCACAATTAGAAATAATAAGAAAAAAAAAAGAAAAGAAAAAGTTGTGATGAATGCGTTACTGAATTGTTACTAGCTATTCGAATTGGAAGTTGTATTGGTATGATCCTATGATCATATGTAACTGTGTACTCGTACATAGTGTTCATGGTAGTGCTTGATTTTGTGAATCTGGGAGTCCGCACAGCGGAATCAATTCTACATTGCATTTGAAAAAAATTCGATTATTTTATTCATTATTTCTTTGATTACTTCAATTTTTCAAATAAATTAATTGGTTTTCCTTAAAATGGTTTTCACAGTCATATGTTTATTGTTGGACTTGGATATATACTTGGATTCCTTCGATTCTCAAATATAAGACTTTAGAAGTTGAGCTAATTCTTCCACCACCTTCATATATTTATTGTTAACCCATGATTTTTAGGAGCTTGCTGAAGTGTACTAGTACTTGGAAGGAGCACAGTACTTCCAAATTCCCATTTAATTATGTGTTGTGTAGTTTTCAGGTTTTTCTGATTCAGTAGTGGTTGGTTGGGGCCTTGACCTAAGTTCAAATGCTTAGAAAATCTCTAATTCATTAATTAATGCTTAGCAATGCGGTAATATCGGTCTATGGACTTTAATTTGCTTCCTCGTTTTGCTGTTGTAATGACTTACGTTGGGGGCGTTGAAAAGGAAAACCGAGTTGAATATCGGATTGGGGGAATTTAAGTCAAACGTCAGCATTTATTCATTTATCAACTGAACTAGTACTATTTCAACTTCACGAGTTTGAGAAAAAAATAAAATAAATTAAAAGAAATTGTGTGTTCTTCAAGAACTAGGTGATAAATTATCGGCCAGAAACAGACAAATACACTATGGAGAAAAGAAACCGGTAGGGATTCGAAGCTACGCATGGATGGTCGTCTGGTCAAATTTTGGTGACATCCTGGATGATCATCAAATGTCGCTATTGTCATTCACTTGTCCATTACCCCCCTTGAAAACTTAGTCGCCAAGCTTTCTTTCTTTATTTGTTTTCCATTTCCTTAAAAAAGAAACAGCTTACATTCTCCATTTTATTTTTTGGGTACTATCTTGTTTAATAACACCAATTATTACTGAAAATTATTCTATTAAGCATTTTTTTTTCACTTCAATATGTTTGATAATAAAAATTGAACCTCTTAATGAATTAAGTGGCGCTAAAAGTGCAGTACAAAATATAAGCAATAAAAATTAGGTCATTGTTTATTCCTTAACTGCTTAATAAATTTAGTATTTCTAATTAGTACTATTAAGTATTCAGAATTAATAACTATTTTTTATCAAACAAGCCCAAGGATGAGGTCTAAGAGTCAATGATCTTAAGTCTTGGCATCCTCAATTTGATAAAATTGAGACAAAAACCCAACCGTCTTAAAAATTAAGGGTATGTTTGGTTCGTTTTTTTAGTATGTGTTTTTAGGTATTTTTTTGTATTGGGAATGTAAAAAGGTGTGTTAGAAATGTAAAAAGGTATGTTGAGATCGGACAGTTATTATATCCATGAGCTTTTCACACATATGGGTGTTCTGGATGTCAGAAAACTACATTAAAATATTGTATTGTTAGAAAACTATATGGCATTATGATCCATATTATAATCAGAATGGCCGGTAATTCAAATAACTAACATGAATCCAAATTTATGTTAGTGGCTCAACAAAATAATAAATAATTAAAGTGATCAATTATTAGACATAAAGATGCTGATTGTTTTTATCAATCTCAGTGGATAGAAGGGGTGCGGGAAGTTTCTTGATTTTGTCACATTTTAGTCCGCTGCATAATAGGAGAAACCGTTGGCAAAATCAATTGTTTCTTTTTGATCTTAGTATTTTCCTTCCTTTGACTGCCCAAAAGAAACGATCAATTACGTCATAAGGAATTCTTGTTTTTATTTTCATTTTTTTCTTAATCAAGAGATGCAAAAGTTTAAAATTAGCATGGCTATAAAACGGAAATGTACTATTCCAAATCTGCCATGATTTAACCATTACTTAACTCTATTAATAAGTGAATTTAAGTGCTCAAAATATGCTCACTGAGTTAAGTCCACGAATTTTTGCTTTAATACGACGAGAAAAGTTATGGATGGCTTGAGATCTCATCTAATTGTCTCCTCGCTAAAGTGCATCAACCATTTCATTTAATTATCGGTGATAACCTTACAAATGGTCCATTACAAATGGGAATAGAACATTTTGGTTCGGAGCAAAACAATTCAGTGATAATAATATGTAACAAATTCATTTTAACTTTTTTTTCATTTTTTGTCCAAAATTAACGGAATGGTCCACTTCTGTCTTTGTTAACCGTTTGGTCAAAGTCAATAGGGGTATTGTCAGAAATTTATACACATTGTTTTTGAATTTTTTTAAAACTTTGAAAAATAATAAAATAATTTTTTTTGTAAATGACCATTTGCCCAAAAGAAATATATTCGTTCAAATTTGCAAAAAATGATGGATGACTTTTGCAGATGATATCAATTGGATGTATTAATCATGGGAAAAATTTTAAAAAGGCATTGGAAAGATCCATATTATTCTCAAGGGCATTAGTGTTTTTTATTTTTTATTTTTGTAAATAGTGTAATTAAAAGATAATATTTTCTGTCCACATAAAGACTATTTTATCCTTCATTATACCATTGTTTTCATCCAAGCTTGCCCCTAAACCAATCCATTCGCAAGAAATCTGCCATTTTTGAGTTTTTCTTGTGTCAATTGAGGGATTTTAGCCTTGAGTTTGAGTTCAACGATGTAATCGAATCTGCAAACTGCGTTTGAGTCTGAAGCAGTTAAATGATGGTAACATTTACTTTTCATTGCAATTGGTTATATCGATTAATATTCTTGAATATTATTGATGATTTTCTTTTGTTTAAGTGTGAAATTTAGATTAGGATATGAAAAGAGATGATATCCAATTTTTATTGACGGTATTAATGCTTTCGAATTAGTTAAATTCAATGGTACTTTGCCATTGATGTTATCATTACACATACTACTCTACATAAAAGTTAGTATAAGTGGAAGAGTGTTTAGATATTAAAGGGGTTGATTTGTTGAAATTCTCTTTCTTTGAAGAATCTTAAAATTTGATGAAGAAGAATTGCATATGGATTTTCGTACAAAACTTTATTCTCATCTCCCATGTACAGGTTCCGGCTCACAAAAAATGTCAACAATATGTATTTTATGGGTGCAATATCAAGGTTTCATAGTGGACAAATCGGAAATTGATCCAGTGGAGAAAAATGAAAAAGTAAAGAGTGATTGTTTCTTATTGAAAAAGGGTAAACTGGTCATTTGAAACATTAATGATATTTAATATTTATGCTAAAGAGTTAAAAATTCCAATGCCCTTGAGAAGAATTTTGATCTTTATGACGATCTATTTAAAAATTTTTCCATTAATCATTCATTGGTATCAATAAATTAGTTGTACGATAATTTCTTCCAAATTTAAGAAAATTGCGCGTTACATCTTTGGAACAAGTTTATTTGATAGTTAATTGGTAACACACTCTTTCCAAAACATTTGGATGGTATAACTATAATCTCTAAAAGGTGAAGATAATCTATAGCTATTTGACCAAACCTTGGGGAGAGAATTGTTATTAACCCATTATTAATAATTAAAGACCAACAAAGCGAGGGACTAGGTTGAGAAAATTAAATACTAAATGTCACAAATTGTTCTAATTCATGTTTTAACGGGTAGTCTCGTAAAATAAAAACTCAAAGAGGTTTTTATGCAATTTTCACCTTCTAATAACGGAGGACGGAGGACGTAAACCGCGATCCCGATTGAGAGAGTTGAGGACGAAAATTTGGATAGCAATGGCGATGGACAGGGCACAGCTTCTCCTGGTTGGCCTACCGCTCTTCCTCTTCAGTTCTGACCTATTTAACCTCTTCGGCCCGCCGCCTCCCAAGCCGGCACCGGCCCAGGCCCACCACCACCACCGGCACCATCAGCCCTCATCCGTGATTCAACCGCAACCCGTTCTAGATTTCCCTGCCCAGGTAAGATTTGGTTTGCCCTCTGTTATACCGTTTTATTTGATCTTTAGTGTGTTACTTTTAATGTCTCACTTATTTAAAAGTTTTTTTTTTTAATTTTTTTTTTATTTAATGAAATCATTGTCATATTTCATTAAATTTGATTGAATTTACAGAAGGCTAGTGGAGTTGGAGGAGCAATTGGGATCGGGAATACCGTTAACATAGACTTCTGCGCCTCTTGTTCTTACAAGTTATCTCTTCTTACCTTCCCTTACTAATGTTGTTTCCTGTATTTTTCTTTTTCTTGGATTTTCACTTTAACTGTGTGAATTCAGTTAAGTTCCCGATTTAGGCGTTAATGATGTTTTCTGCGTGAATTTTTTATAATGAACATGCTCTTAGAACTAAGCTGAGTGGCTTAAGAAGACTGAAGGTGTGAAAGACATCAATTCCGCTTGCATTTGCAGTTCACATATTCATTTGCACTCTAATGATATTTAAAGGTTTTAAAGTTGCAGTAAAATAAAATGAGAGGCCTTTAAAATTGGAAGTGAAATGTAAAGTGGGGCTTGCCGAAATTGAAGGCTTACCTCGTAGGGCCTTAGAGCTTCAATAGCAACCGTTATTTACATTTATGGATTCATACCAACAACTTATTTATCATATGAGGATACCTAGTGTAGTAGAAAATCTATTAACAGTGGTCCCCATTAAGAGTAAGTGGGCACTGTGTCTGAAATTTGAATTGAGTGGAGGTAAGAATTATCCACTCAAATTCAAAGAGTGGGGTTAAACCCTAGAAGACTTGCAAGAAACTACTGAAAAATATGTGAAAATTAAACATAAAGGAGAAACCACGTTTTTGGCAGAATATTAGACCGTTAAGCTCAGTACTACCAACACCGCACAGTAGATATAGTCATAGTTGTTTTTGTCGTATTATCCGGATATCACCCAGAGCTGTGGATGTAAGTCTACTCTTTTTTCAGTTTGGACTTTGCGGTCTTGAACTACTTAGTAGAGTGTTTGCATGTTTTGAGGAATCTTGTTTTTTATATTTTTTTTTCCATACCTTCTTTGATGTTTACAATTGTGTGTGTGTGTGTGTGTCTATATATATATATTGTGTTTATTTTTTGCCATATTGCCTTGCTTTTGTTTTTGTCTTGCATTTTTGTATTAATTGGCAACCGTATCTGATTGTGGTTTTGGCAGAGGAACTGCGGTGACAATGAAGAATATGTTAGAAACACAGTTTCCGGGGATCGAAGTTGTCCTTGCGAATTATCCTCCTCCACTTCCAAAGCGTGCTTTAAGTAAACTGGTTCCCCTTGTTCAGATTGGCGTAATGTCTATTGTTTTGGCCGGCGAACATATCTTCCCGCGTTTGGGTTTTGCTGTACCACCTCCATGGTATTATTCATTAAGAGCGAATAGGTTTGGTACTATTTCAAGCACTTGGCTCCTTGGGAATTTCCTGCAATCTTTCTTGCAAAGCTCGGGTGCTTTTGAAGTATACTGTAATGGAGAACAGGTAATGTCATTCTGCCTTTAAACCTTTTCCTGGTGCTGCCTTTTCATTTTTGTCTGTATACATGTTTATGGGGCTCTTTTTTTCCCTCCTTTTTCTTTCTCTCTTTTTTTTAAGGGAAAAATTTTGTTCATATTTCGTATAATTACCCTAGACAAGCCAAATGGATTAAACTGGTGGTTGCATATTCATCAAAGATGACATAGGAACTGTTTGGTTTCTTGTAGTTCTGAAAGTAATGTGCCGTTCTACTCTACTAAGATATGAGTTAAATTATAGAATCTTTCATAATCTGATGATTGTCTCTTGTTTGTTGTTGGTTGATTGCATTGAAGCGCGCAAAAGTTTTCCAGTTGAATAGTAGTAGAGAATAGAAAGGGCTGCATTGAGCGTAATGATTAGTTATGAATGGGACCCAAGTTCAGCAATTTATTGATACCTCTACTAAGATACGAGTTAAATTATAGAATCTTTCATAATGTGATGATTGTCTCTTGTTTGTTGTTGGTTGATTGCGTTGCAGCGGGCAAAAGTTTCCAGTTGAACCGTAGTAGAGAATAGAAAGGGCTGCTTTGAGCGTAATGATTAGTTATGAATGGGACCCAAGTTCAGCAATTTATTGATAGCCTCGGGTTAGACATGAGATTTGGATGTAGTAATGGTTGAATTAAGCGTAGTTTAAGGAAAGGTTTGAGAAAATGGGGTATTTTTTGATGATTGAAGGATAAACTGGTGGACATACAAATTAATTGTCCTGTGCTTCTAGCTATGGCTATATGACCAAAATTAAAGAGACAGTATTTGTGGGCTTAAAGATTATTGTTCTTGCTGTTATTTTTATTATTGGTTGCTTGAGCAGATGTTTCATTATTCATTTATTGTCTCTTTTTCATTAGAACCATATGCATATACCATATATATTGTTTTTCTCTAATCTTTAAACAACACATCCGATGTTGTTTTAATCCTTCAGTTACAGCCCATACTAGTTACGTGATATATTCTGGTTCCTATGATCTAAAGGGGCTATCCGTTTTGTAAATAGTTTTTAGGGCTATCGAAGATATCAAGTTTATATCGGAATGCATAATAATTTGAATCTCTTGGCCTTCACGGTGCATTATTATCGACAGGTATTTTCAAAACTTAAAGAGGGCAGGTTTCCTGGGGAAATTGAGCTTAAAGATCTTGTTAGCAGGAGAATTGCTAGTTCAAGAGTTGTGGATGGTCTTGGTGGAGCAAACTGGTAGTCTCAAATGGTGTTGTTCAGCTGTAGTCATAAGAATTTGAAAGTGCCAGTTTTGTTCGTTTTGTTTGGGGGTGGGGGTGGGAAGGAATTCAGCCATATGGCTGTTCCTTCTCAGGTAAGCGGAGTTTGACCATGTAAAACTCAGTCCTTGCTCTTTTCATATTGGTTTTGATTTGTAAATTTGTATTTCATTTAACCAAAGAAATTATAATTTTTACTAGTTAATTTGAATGCGCTGAAGTTTTGAATGAACACATCATCAACTTGCAAATATCTAGCTAAAATAAATTCTGCAAGTTGATCTCACATGTTTAACTGATAATTTTTATTTTATTTTATGTTTTAATACAAGGTAAGCCATAGGCTTAGATACAAAACATTTCCTATAGAGAACGGGATGAGCTTATCATGTCCTTCTCTAGGTTCTCTGTAATTATAGACGGAGGTGTCGACAACATACGACAAATTTTGCCAGTATATCGGCGAAGATATTATTTGGACATTGTTTAACTGAGAATTGACCGAGGCAAATGCCTATGTTTGTGTGACCATTGGTCACAAAAGTAACAATCAGCCCATTTGGAGCTTGTAATAAAGGTATGATGGTAATTTGTCACGGGGGCCTTTTGGAGGTGGCCGGAAAAGAGAAAAGTGGAAATCAGACTGAGAACGAGAAATTTAGGGTTCAGGGATAGGAGAGAACGAAGAAGATGAGAGAATTGAAAAATTCCAATTTAGCATAATAATTCTGATAATCCACTTACAGCCCTTGACAGACTTTTTATAGTCTGCAAGTTACAGAAAATACTAATAGGTTCTTAAACTTTCTAATCCCTACAATTTAGTCCTATAATTTAGTTCGGGGCATGACAGACCTTTCCCCTTAAAAACAGTCTTGTCCCCAAGACTGTCATTACAGAATCACTACTTAACAACTGAACAAACAGAAATTGGCACTAATACCACTTTTGCTAAACAATTGAGAATAAACAGAAAGAAATGAAGCGAACAAGCAGCTTGATTACATATTCCAAGCAATCCTCCATACAAAGTTCTCCTCTTCAACTGTAATCACAAGGTTTAGGCTTCCTTCAAAAATGGATGTGTTTCCTCTAAAACGAGTAGCCTTTTTATCCCAACTTTGCATTTCCAAAAGTAAGGTTCCAACTTTGAAAGCAGTTGCCCTACCAAGCCATAATCTGTCTACACTTCTCATTTCAACAATAAATTCCAGCTTAACAGTATCTCTCTTAGTTACCTTCAAGAACACAGAATTAGAAGAGTTTGTACAAATAAAGTCTTGGCTGTCACCATGTTCCACTCTAATGGCCAGCTTAGGTTTATCAGCCTCAATCAGAAATAATGTGCCTCCACTGAAACATGTGATCACTTTATCCCATGATCTATCTAAACGTATCATTTCAGAATTGGAAAGATGTACTAATCCCCCAGGATCAATTGGAAATAAGTAGCCCTCATTTGCAGTAATGGAAGTACTCAAAAACAAGTCTAAATCATCATCATCATGCTTGCAGTTCAACTCAATTAAAACAACACCATTTGAACTCGTAAAGAGTGTCATTGCTCGACCAAGTAGTTTACCATTGAGCCTTGTTGTTGCTGCTGTCTCAGTTTCATGAAAATCCAACAAGTGACACTCCTTTGATTCCAGCGAGGTTTTAAATGCACAAAGTTGACAAGCCAATGGTTCCGGTACAGTACTTGTACAACAAAATGGCAGTTACCCTCCAAGTCAAACAAGATACAAGTTCTTGTATCACAAAATTCTGTGCTGCCTCTCGAACATGTGGTCAAATTAGGCCACACGCACAGTGCTTCATTAAAACTATGATTGATCAATATAGAACCTGGGATCCCCACTAACAGTTTGAATATTCGAAGCTGCACTTCGGCTGCCTCCGTAAGTCCCGTACCTCCCTTGAAAGAAGTTACCATTTCAGCCCAGGATTTGAGAGTCAACTTACGGTTAGAATTTTTGCCCAGCATTGAATTCCATTCAACCCAACCTTGCAGATCAATGCCCCATTTTGGATGAAATTGGACAGCCACAAATATTGCACAAGGAAGAACCGACAGTCCTTCTAAAGACAAACTTTTATGGTCAATGACAGTCATATTTTTTCTGCCATTGAGATCCCATTTTCAGCACAAAACCTCCTTCTAACTGCTTGGGAAGAATAAGCTTCAACCACTACCTTTCTCATGAACCACTTAATTGATTTAGATAGACATAGGGCAGAGATGGTTCCAATCTTAATCATATTTAAAACTTCAATCCTTTTTAGCATAGAGATATTGCAACTCCAACTAATGGAGAACATCATTACAAGGTAACCAGCAAGCTGCCATTTTTTATATAAAACAGTCCCTCCTTTAAATCCGGTAATCAACAATGAAAAATCACCAATCACTAGTTGATTAATACCAAGTATATCAAGTAGAAGATCACTCTAACTTGCAGTTCTCCTTTTGAGAATCTTTCGCGGGAATCCTTGAGTTGCTCGAATTGATCACCAGGGTCAATGGCAAAAGTATTTGGTTGATTTTCCCGTAATTATAAAACATAGCCAACCAGAACCATATTCGAAGGGATTACAATTAACATTTGACAACGATTCACCGGTAATCATATTACAGTTGCGCTTGTACTTCCATTTAATCAAAACAGCTGCTTTCTGTACCCAATTAATATGGTATTTCAAAAGATTTTTAAAAACCAGACCACCCTTGAATATGGTTACCTTTGTAATCCAAGCACAAAAAGTGTTGCTGATTTCCTGACTGATACTCACATTTAAAAATCTTAACAAATGAACAAAATGCTTCAAGTAAGTATGAAACATCCTTGAACCCTTAAGAAAACTCCAAATCATGTTTCCCATTTCACTAGACTCGAAAGAACCAACAATAGGCCATTCTCCTTCTAACGTGTTTAGAAAATATACAACACCCTTTGTCCTCTCATTTCTAATATAATTACCATATATAATCTCCAGTCCATAATAATTCTGAGCATTTTCAACCAACATAGTTCCCAGTGCGCCACAACACTTTGACAAAACCAACAATACACAAGTAACACTATGATACTCAGGCATAACATCAACATCACTCGCTAATCCACCCCGATCAACATAAAAAGTAGTGGTTTCAACCCATTTCAAACATTTATGATCATCTACTAACCCCTTAGCACCATAAAGACCTCTTAATCCTCCCGGATCACTTTTTGGTAGCCAGCAACTATAGCTACTAAACAAAGGTTTCAAAAACTCGTATGAACCCGCAGTAAGATCAACTAAGAAACGAAGATCAAATGAGGATTTATGACTCAGATTCAGAACAACACTTTCAGCCATCGAACTCAGGGTTGCAACAATTATCTCTCTATCGTTACCAACCAAATTCTTCATATCGGCAGAAACATCATTCAGAGTCACAGAACAGTCATCTAAACTCAAATTTTCAACACTAACATCTTTTGAAACCACAGAATTATCATCAACGAGTTGCAATGACGAGATGTTACCTGCTGCCTCAACATCATTTTCTCCTTCATCACCATCTAAAGCCAATTTACCAGGATCAATAGCAAATTTCAAACCATAGTTAGCTATGCAAGCATTTCTTTCATTTTTCCCACATTCTTAACAATCTCATCATTTACTTCACTGAGATTCTCGTTCACACTCATAAAATTAGTATCCAGATAGCCCGAACACACTATTTCCTCAACCATATCATCAGCAGCAACATTTACCGTCAGTGTTATCCAAAACCACCGAGTTTTCATCACTCAATTTGGAGGAATCATCTACTGATAACACAAATTCAACACGACCTACACTTTGAGACAAGGGATTACCATTTTCATCATATGTATCCACAGAGAGTTCAACAGGCGAATCAACATCATCTTTTTCTTTCTCTGATGTTGGCGACTCGAATTCCACCGCGACATCAAGATCAATTTCTTCAAAAGCAACCGATGCTCCTCCTTGGCCTAACTCAAAATCGCCGGCTTCCCACACATTAATCTCCACTGTCGGCCGGATGAACTTGCCGAATCGGAGCTCCAACTGTTTTGCAAATTTCTCCCAGGTAAATAGTTGAGAAACGACGAGCAATCCGTACATGAATTGCAGGGGTTCTCTGGTTAAATAGAATTCCGCCACAAATAATTTCATATCTGGTCGAATGAAATTATAGGAGAAGAACTGCTCCATTCGGTCAATCCAATCCGTGACATCTTCGCCGGAAAAGAGAGGGATTCCGGACTGTGAAGGCTCAGGAAAGTTGAATCTCGTCGGATTTGGTGGAACGATCAGGGATGGGAGAAGCTTTAATTCATTTTGAACCCTGCGTAGGGTTTCGTTGGACAAGATGAATCCCATCGACTAATCGGTAAAAATGAAGAAATGGACGGAGGGTAGTTTGGTGCGATCACAGAAACGAAGAACACGCACAGATTTCAGAATATAAGGAAGATGAGCAAGAGATTTCAGATTTTCAGAGGATTTGAGAATAGAACGGGGAAGAAGAGAGCGAATCGGAATCTGTGAATCCGATACAGAGACGGCCGAGAATCGTCCGCTCTGATACCAAATGTCACGACCAGGGACCTTTTGGAGGTGGCCGGAAAAGAGAAAGGGGGAAATCGGACTGAGAACGAGAAATTTAGGGTTTAGGGATAGGAGAGAACGAAGAAGATGTGAGAATTGGAAAATTCCAATTTAGCATAATAATTCTGATAATCCACTTACAGCCCTTGACAAACTTTTTATAGTCTGCAAGTTACAGAAAATACTAATAGGTGCCTAAACTTTCTAATCCCTACAATTTAGTCCTATAATTTAGTTCGGGGCATGACATAATTTGTGAGACAATATAGGAGCAATCTTCTTGCCCAAAAGGGTCCATTTTCTCTAGCTCTGACTGAGTTGGGAGTCCAGTATGGTGCACCCAACTTACAAAGGGGAACAGAACAGATCCTGCTAAAATCTGGGACGAAGCAAGGAATTGGATTTTAAATGGGAGGGAATCGGGTCCGACCTAGACTGGCCCATCTAAACTGGAGTGGTGATATAACCGGTTTTGTGTAGGTGTTGCAAATTGATTTAGAATGCACAAAACATTGTCTTCTCAAGTGTCTCATTAATCGTTTTTATTAGTGTTACATTTGATAATACTTTGTCATTTACTTTTAAAAGCATTCTTTTATATCCTTGACATATTTTTGTCTTTTGATCTTTTTGTCATTTCTTCACCTGTCATATTCAGTCGTATACATTACCAACAGTGAAGGTTTAAAAATAAATAAAATTTGTATATCTAAAGGATGAAGTTTGGGAAATCAACTTTAATAGTTTACCTTTTTTAAAAAAAAAAAAATCAAACAAAAAACCATCAAGTTGATAATCCCTTTCTTTGACACATGAAAAAGAAAAAAAAAGAAGAAGAAGAAGAACAAAGGATTATTCTTTCTACTTAATTCAAATAGATCTTTGAGGTCGCAATATTTTCATTAGGAAAAAATAAAATAAAATAAAATCATCCAATATCTTTAAAACAAATTTTCCTTAATATTTTCCTTCGCTCACTCCATACCAAAATCAGGAATTTTTTAATTTGGACGAGCGAACAAGCTCTTAAAGCAAACATGTACAAATTTCAGCAACAAATCCCGTGGGAGCAAACAAAAAATAAAAAGCTCAAACAAAATGCATGTAAACTACCAAAATGACAAGGACCTCGAAGAATCTGGCACATAGGTTTTAATTTTACAGATCCTAGAGAACAATTGATTCCATGTCACATCATCATATCTGCCACCATTTTCGATTTTCCATCACCTTTACGAGCTCATTCGCCAAAGAAGCAAAGTCTTCAGCTCCATTGCGCAATTCTTCAGTTCGCTTGCTAATCCTCTGAAGTTTCTCCTGGCGTTCTAAAAGTTTGTTTCTTGCTTGTCCAGCAACTGACGAAGCATCCTGGAACCAAATGACAAATTCGATTAAAATCTCAGATAACAAATAAGATCGTCATATTTGTAGTTCAAAATTACCCCAGCTTTTCTGTAGGTTGCTAAGATTTCTTCAGGTGTTCTGACTCTGGGTTTCACATCAGCAACACGACCGTCAAATAACTTCTCTCTATCCGCTTTATTATCTGCACAAGAAGTTATTAACCAAAATTACCCCTCTAATCCGAAATTCTCATCAGAACCAACCGATGATGTACCTCTTTTTCCTTCTACTTCACGGGACGAAGATTCCACAAGCACAGGTTCATCAATTTCGATGTCATCTGTTTATCCATGAAAGAATTAAGTCGAGCAGATAGAGTAAATGGAAAAATGATTCACTTTTTTATAAAAAAGGACTGAACGAAACCTATATCCAGTTCAGTTTCATTCGATATTGGTGGCTGACTAGGGGATAGGTTCCTTAGAAAGATTTCCACCAAGTGACTCGAAAATGATTCTGAATCCCAAGCAAAATCGATTGGATTAAATTTCTCTTTCTTAAAACCTTTGACTATACCATGTAGAAGTCCACGGCCGCTTCCCTGCAGTTAAATTCATTAGCCAAAAAGCTATCTTAAGAATATTCACAAAGCAGAACAACTCCACCAAAGTTTACCCAACTTGCTTTTTCTTGTGCTTTGAAGAGAAGCTTGTGGCAGCCTTAGCTGCAGCTGCAACCACTTCATCATGAAGAGCCGGCAAAGATTCTGGAATCCTAAAACAACAGCTGTCCATTTTAGGGTGCAAAACAATGCACAAGTATACTAAGAGTACCAAACCAGTTGCAGAGTAGTGTGTACCTGAAATCGTTCTCGTTGGATAATATAGACAGGAATGCCAATTCCGACCCATTTACCTATCATAAATATCTAAATTTGAGAAAGATAGTTACATATTGAACAAAAAAAAATTCATCAAGTAAAGAGAAGAGTTTCCTTCACAGAATGATCTTAATTACAATCCAAGTCAATATCCAAGCTTCCAGGTTAAAATGGGCTTACAATAAACCTTAATGAGAGTAAATAAATATACCAGCGCAATATGCCCATTAGCTGTGGAACTCATCATCCTCTCCATATTTGCCTTCAAATTCCATTTTAAAATTGATGTTAAAGAGTTCTCATTCAACAATTCTAGATTGGGTAAAGATCTGCAAGGTTCAAGACTTAACTATAGTCATCTTTGCTGACTTCAATATTAGTCATGTTTATACAAGTAGTACTCAATCATAGCAGACAAGTAATTTTTAATACTTGCAAAGTCAGATGGCTTTCCCAGAAACAAACACTTCATTTGGCAGGATTCTGAACCAGCAAGTAAATCACCTGATTTCTATGTCTCCGGTTAAATAAAGTAGCACCAGCCCACAAACTCTGCCATCCTTCATGATAGTTGTTGTCCAAAAACAAGGCTTCGTAAGCCTCACTTTGGAGATTGATTTTTTGTCTCCCTGTGGGAAAAGCAAACATGTTTTGAGAACAAAAACCAACATAATCAAGTGAAGGGCAAGGCAATGAAAGAATGTTACCTGAACTATTGACTTTGCACTATATACACATATAATGTCATTACAACAAAGAATGACAATCAACTGATCTAAATGCTGCCCCGGGGACTTGATATCTGAAGACTGGCTTTTTTCCACTTCACAGTTACTATCTGCATTTGTCATGGTCTCCTGAGCAGTCTGACTAGTGACAACTTCATCCAGTTGTTGCTTCTGCCTGGGAGATATTGTTCTGCAATCTTTGGTACTGCCTTCTGAAATATGATCAAACTATTAAAATGTTAAGTCCACCTTGATTGCAAAAAGTAACTAGACATCACCAGAAGTAAGATTTACTTGCCTATAACATGCATGGAAATTGCAGTTGAATTTTTATTTAGGCGTGGTCGAGAGCTGATCAAGTTCCCTACATCAGCATAAAAGGTGCAAATGGTCCCATCCTTGGTTAATATGATCATTAAATTCTTACATTGATCTTTCCCATCTTTCGACCCAGAGTTTAAATTATTAGCACAACAATCTAAAATGACGTCACACAGTGATATTGGACAGGACTGCGTGTTAATCACAAATGTCACTGAGAATGCATTCATATCAAATACCACCACCTGAAAATAGAAACTTGGAATTACTAGCTAAAATAATGATGAGGAATGAGAATTGGAAAACAACGGAAAGAAAATCAAACTGACATGTCCACAATTGTATCCAGCAGCAAGCTCAGCTCCATTGTTAGTAAATTTTAATGCTTGAACACGGGACTTAAAAAAACTAAATGCAGCTCTGCAATTGGGTCCATGATCCTGAGCCAACTGTTGAACTGCAAAAAAAGACACTTCTTAAAAATGTTGATCCAAGTCTTAAAAGTTCATTAAATAATGGGGAAAAAATGAGGTACTCCATCACTCAAAAGTGAATACTGTTACCTTCATGAGTTGATTCTGCAACAAAATGGAAGTTCCTCTCTTCACTGCCAACGAGACTGAAAATACGAATCTGCACTAATTCCAACAAAAAAGAAAACAGATATAAGAACCCCATGCACGTTCTTGAGGAAAGTATCCAAACCACAGGAACATTTCTAACCAGACCACATTCATCGCCAACTGCCAATCGAAAAGTATAGATGCAGAACTCCAGTTTTGATATCGAGGCAACTGAAATATCCACATTTACACCTCTAATCTGCCATTTAGAAAGGTATTTTCAATAAAATTCTGAACCAAGAATAACTTAAAATTTTAGTGTGAACATGTGAATTCTGAATGATAAAGGGAAGTTTGTACAACATCCTATGATGTTATGACCTTATTTTCCAAAGTGTAAAGGGATGAAAGGACTGGATAAGTGGCATCCCAGATCAGAACAGATCCATCCTGATAACCAGCCATATACAATCTCAAAATCCTGTAATCTTTATTAGATGATAAGTGATTGCATCCACCTCCAGCCAAAGGCCATCTTTTAGCGTCAGAGAACTTGTTGATTGAAATAAATTTCTTTGCCGCCTAATAGAGAGATGTAAATGTGGTAAGTGAAATATGAAGGCTACCCAGGAGTTTGCTATGTTTATACATGAAAATTACCTCTGTGAAAGCCTTTGACAAGTTTCCATCTGTAGGTAAACAAAATAGGCTTGCCACAGTCATGAGAGGGTCACTAGTTGATATAACTGGGGGAAAATCTACAGCAGAGACAGACATTTTCTTTCCCTGTTCTGATACTGAGGTAGACAAGCTTGCAACATCAAATATTTGTAACCGTCCAGGGTTTGTAAGAATGAAGAGAGAAACATTTTTGTCCCTCCCCATAGTCCCAGACGTTATTGCAACATCCGCAAAAGAACCAGGAAGAGAGAGATCTACACGAGCGAAGCAGTGGATAGTCTCCATTCCAGATGACCACTCAATATAGAGAACCTGTCATAGTCAAGAAATACTAACGGGGATAATTGACCAACAATGCCATATTTGTCTCAAGTAAAGCGAACATTAAGGAAGGCATTCAACTGCGCAACTGTCATCTAAATTGTAACATGAAAATGTTTGGCAAAGTTTATTGGAGAAAGAAATCATTTGAGAAAACCAATGCCAACTTCAGGATAGTTTACCTACCGTTAGAACCTCATCGGATCCTATCTCGTCTCCACCATAAATAAGCAGCTGGCCGTCACCATCTCGCTTGGAGTTGCAACTTGGCCACCATTGCAAAACTATCACAGGAAGCCTCTTTTCAGCAGGAGATAATTGCAGTTTCACAATGCTGTCAGATAATCCTGATTGTTGGCTTTTGCTACTTGGTGAAGTCGATGTTCCTTTGCCAGGAACAGATGTAAATGTCTTCCACAATAAGATGTCCCCATCAACGTATCCAACCGCAACAATAGATCCATCACATGATGCCCAACAAACAGCACTTATCTCTTTCTCCTCTAATTGAGGAGACTTATCTCCGACCGGGGTAGAATCAACAGTTTGAGGAGAATCAATTTCATTCTTCAACTGAAGGACCTTTTCACCTCTTACAACGACAACCTGAGCTTTAAGAATGTCCCACAGTATGATTTGTCCACTTTCATAGGCAATCAATACTCTGCAATACAAAAATTTAGCGGAGGTTGTTCACAATCTCTCTTTGATTTATCATGTTCCAAAGGAACTTCTTAGTTCCCAACAAAGATAGCAGAAACTACATGACACGAAGCGAAACAGTCATTTTCTTGCTGTTGTAATCAATTAGTATATTTCTATACTAATTGAAACATTTTTTCAGCATGATTTTTTTATTGCAAATGTAAAAAGGTGTATTGGGAGTGTGAATCGGTGAATTGGGAAGGTAAAAAAGTGAATTAAAAAGTAGAGAAAACCTTTTGTAAATGCATGAAAATAAACACAGACAAAATTACACTTCCTACTGATAATAAAGGCCAATCAACGTCTGATGAAAAGGGCAGAGTTAAGCATCAGGAGCAAACTAAATACCAGGCTTTTATAAACCTCTCTGCGCCTTAGCATCAAAACACAAGGCAAAAATCTAAAAAGATATGGAGATTAAGAACGGACAAGTAACCACAACAACAAACAAGGTTTCTGGTCATTTTGATATATTTTGTTCCCAGTTGCACAGTTAGGCAAACAAATAACCTCTACTATGAACACAGCAAGGAGGCCTAAGATGGGTCTATGCTTCCGATCATTCTTCACCCCCCCCCCCCAACTTATTTAAACTTCTGGAGCTCAAAAAACTAACATTTGTCAATACAGCCATTAATCTTTCTTTAATTGTAAAGAAAATTACACATATTTACTTGAGATCAGGAAAAAGTTGAAAATATGTTTAGTAAAGTATCAAGAGTTCAAGATTGAATCTTTAAAAGTGCAACAGAAAGTAATTAATTTGGTGCTAGACTTTGTTGCTACTATGATGGACAATAAAAGAAACAAAGATTCAAGGCAATAGTAGGTCTTGCCTAGTTCCAGAAGAACAAGGTTGGGGAAGAACTCCAACAACGGGTTGATGAACTAGAAGTGGAAATTGAGATGCCTCTGATGAAATAAAAGAAAATTTTCCCATCAGATTCGTCTAAATACCTTGTTAGAAAGTGAATTCGAACTTGCTGCAAAAACTAGTAATTGATATACACACGCAAGTCACTCATTGCAGAAACAGTTTGGAAACAAGTAGATAATACTTATGACAAGACATAGCTCTGTTGAGAGAATACTTTAAAAAACTATAGCTAAAGAGGAACCACTTCTGGCAGTTGTAAATAATATTACTGTAATTCACTTTTGAAAATTTATATTAAATGATACTTCTTTTCCCCTTTTTTTGGGGCAGTTTTATCAGAGTACGCAAAACGAATATTAATTAAATGCATCCCAGCCACAAGAAGTTGATGAGTTCAAGTAGACCTAAGCAATCATTTTACTACGTGCTGAACTGAATGGAGGGCAACACTTCTATGTTGCAACCTGAAAGCTAAAGTGAACACTCAAAATGTATCAAACACTACTATCCTTCCTGAATATACTTTAGTAAGGCACAATCCACAAATTATATGCATCTCCACATCCTCAGAAGTTGAATCCAATATTTTCAGCAGTTGAATCTTATATTTTAATGCAGAACAATAACGAAGAGCAATAGAGCACCATTGGTTCATAATAGAAAGATGAAGAGCACCATTTTTGGCCAGAAAATACCCAAACAATAATATCAATTTTGCTGGCAGTAAGGAATTAAGACAAATATATTGAAGTACTAATAATCTGTATGACATCTATGGCAACCCCCAGCAAACTGACCTGAGGGTAATTTATAAGGCAAGTGCAAAAGCTCCGCTTTTTCCTCATCATAGAGCAGTACAGAAACCACCCCATGTTCATCACCAATATAGCTAGAGTAAAACGGAAGAGAACACTTAGAGATTACCCTTTACATTTCAGTCGCTGGAGTACAGATTACCCAAAACAAAAGAATCGATATAATCACATGATCTTACATGAAAGTGGACCCACAGATGATTGAGAAAGCAGTGATATTTGATTCCCAGTGTAAATTGCATGTCTTGGACCTGCTTCTTAGATTCCAAACCTGCAATGGAGTTGTAAGCTAATAACATAATACAGAACCAATTTCTATTGGAACAGGTCTTTTGGAAAATCTGGCAGGCTGACTATCTCAGCCGCGTAATTTACTAAAGGAGGGACCTTGCAAACTATCCTTAAGTTTCCAATAAACTAAAGACTTGCAGACTATCTTATCTCAGGCTACAATGTTTATAAGAAGATGCGGAATATTGTACAAAAGGCTTGGTCTGTAGATATCTATATGAACCACATAAGACATACAGCAATCCCATACACCATGGAATACTTAACCCATCCCGCCAGGCAGCATTAGCCATTAGGACTAAGATACAACCATCTTTCCGTTTCAAATAGTCTCACAAACATTTTATTCCAGGGACATTAAATAAACAATAAATGTAGGTCGATAGGGACATAAATAAAAGGAAAAAGTTATGGTGTGTATCAAATTGAAACATCAGTGATAAAGAGCTGCAAGACATCATAACATTAATCACGGGAACTCTGAAAGAACCACATATGTCGTACCTGAATATTGTTATCAGTAGTTATGCCCATCAAATAGCCTTCATTTTGAATGAACTGCGAAGGGAGGAAAAATAATGATCAGCACCTATCATACTTCTTTAGGCAGGGGTGACATAAATCTGGAACCAAGTAGTTCCTACTCTCCAGACTTTATGGAATTGTATGAACATGTTACAGTCACGCAAGAGGATATACAGTCTGAAAATTGATTAAAGTACAACTAATACAATAGATCACCCATAAATCAAAACTTCCCCAAGAGGGAAAGAAAAAGTAGAGTTAACTCTCTGGCAACAAACCTCCAGATATTTGTAGGGAAGTTTCTCAGGAGAAACAAAAAGGCATTCAACATTATCACCGCCAATTATTTTTATCCTACCATCCCTGCATAAAAATTAAGTAGAATGTCTTTCGTAAGTAATGAGACCTGAAATTTTAATCAACATCCATCCCACTTCAATGAAACAAGTCATTTCATCCTAAATTTAAGTGCCAATATCCAAAGCTTTGACGGTACAAGAGGCAACAAGTGAAATTTGTCATAAGAAAGTTAGGATGTTCACAGACAAATAAACTTTCTTTTTGCTGTACCCTTATGAAGAAATAACTTTCATCTAAATCATTCAGCTAAAAGTAAACAATGGGTGTACGAGATCATGAGAGAGACTTCACTTACAATGTTCCAATAGCCAATAAGTTTTGGATAGGATCAAAAGCAAGAATGGATGCCGTAGGTGGGATACCATAATGTAGGATGATATGCAAATCCACATCGGATGATGTAAGGCTACTACTTGAATTTTCCTGAATCGAGGAACAGGAAAATGTAAGCGCATGATTTTACAGTTTGATGCACAACATATTGATGGTTGCACCAGGAGCTTGACTGGGCTTGCTTGGTAACATAGCTTGATGCTCCATATGTATTCAATAACATATTCATGTTTGATCAGAAGAACTTAATGTACTTGATATGTGAAACACTCAAGATCATATTAATGAGCAGTATGGCAACTCGTTTTTGTTTGTAATTTTCAGTTCCCAAAATAACTGCTTGGTAAACCTGAAAAATACAAAATGAGAAGCCGTCTGCATCTGATCGAGCTGGCAGACTCTAAATATAGGACGCCCACAATACTTGAGGACTATCATAATAGCAATCATTACTCAGCTCATTCTCCTTGATTTTAATTAAATGATCTCAATCTTTTTTTTTAATACTAATGTCTTAATTTTCAGCACAAGGACTAAAGCTACTGTTTTCGTTTGATTATGCTGAAGCATCCATTCATTCGTATCAAACAGGCACAAAAAGGAAAAAACCAGCAAAATTCTACAGTATTAACCAGCAAAATTGTGAATGGAGGAGCAAAAACTTCAAGCATTGACTACTAAAGACAGTCATCAGCTGCGAAACCTATAAAAGCTACATGCATTCAAATTGGATAAATTCGTTAATTAAAAAAAACGAAAAAAAAAAGGAGTGCCAATACGTGTCTGATCATAGTATGAACGTACCGGATGCTGGTGATGATGCCGGAGATGAGCGGCAGCGGCCTTTTGAAAGAGGCGTTTTGCCAGCATGCCGATGCTTTTGAATTTGACAGAGGAATGATGATCATGGACTAATGTTTAAATATCATCGTTGGACGGAGTCACTGAGGTGGTACTTTTGTTCTAGCTTCTGATTTTCTTCTTCATTTTCGTTTTTGGTTTTGTTGTTTTCCGCCTGCTTGCATTTGTTTCTTCTTACTGTTCCAACTGCAACTATAGAAATCTAATGATACGTTCCAGCTCGTAAGCATACAGGGGATGTAGCTCAGATGGTAGAGCGCTCGCTTAGCATGCGAGAGGTACGGGGATCGATACCCCGCATCTCCATTTTAAAGTTTTTTAAAAAGTTTCTTTCTTTTTTTAACACCTCCAAACTCATATAATGGCTAGCTAAGTGTGACAAGATCAGGCGTGAAATTCCATATCCATATGCGCTTTTGGCCACAAGTAAACCTGTGATAAGACATGAGATCTTTCTTGACACTTTCTTGTGACACTCTCTATTGCACAATTCAATTTTTCAATAAATAATATAATTTGTGTTAATACATATACCATAAATACACATTTTTAATGTAGATTATTTTCATATTATTATTTTCTTTTTTATAACAATATTTTATTTTTGATAAAATTTGTCTATTTTCATTGAATTTTTTAACTATGAAAATTAAATTAAATGCCTCCAGCCAAAAAAAGGTGAAACCTTACTTCTGAAAATATATAATTTTGAAAGTAATTATTAATGGTGTAAATATTAATGTGAACGACAATATTTATACAAAAGTTATTGGATTGTTCAACAGAAAGTGTTACAGGAAGAAAAGTGATATAGGGGATTTCGTACTAACCGTTTGGTATGGGAGAGTGTCACAGTTATTGAAGGTACATACACCATTTACTGAAGGTACATAATAATTCCATTAGTTGCATTTTAATTATAACTAGGGGAAAGAGCTGTACGTTTTGCAGCCAAGGGGAGTGGTAGCCCAATATTTTTCTCATATATTGGTAAATAGGAAAACTTTAATTAATGAAAATAGTAATCTTTTGCATGCCTTGCTAGCCCTTTTGATCATAATCACAGCAAAATTTTAATAGCCGATACAATTGAACTCTTAACCCCGTCAATTCCTACCACAATATTGACTTCAATTGAGTGGTAATCCTTTCAATACCTTTCCCATCCGAGATTATGAAGCCAGGAAAACTCATCAATAGTATTAAGTGAAGTCATGCTATCACAATGCTTTTAAACTAACACAATGTACACATCTAAGCTACATTTTGCAAAACAATAAGAGCATGCCTTCTAGAAAACTACATTGACGTAGATAAACATGACTTCATCGTCAAATTCTTTGAAAAAAAGAATTTTATCTTTTTTGGGGGGAGGGGGAATAGTAGCAACTTCTCCAAGATGCTTTGGTTACTTCCCTCAGCCACCAACTCTCAACATTTTCCTTTCGATCTGTCATGAATGTTACAGTATTATTCATTTCATTCACTAAAAAGAAGATACATAGACCTAGACAAACCTTGACATTTAGGCTATCCATCAGGAAACCAGAGCTCCTTTCATGGTCTGCATGCATCCTCCTACCGTTCCAGCTGGGGTACGATATCAGGACTGTGGGTCTCCTTTTAATAATTGAATACGCACGCATGCGGATACTAAGTAAATTATCCTTAGTAGTGGCCCATCAGCAACAAATTTTTTTGCATAAGCAGCTACTCTATTCCTGTAGGCGAGTGAGCGAGGAAGCAGGAGATTGAGAAGCACAGGAGCATTAGTGTTCAGAATAACTATAGCTACTCTGACTTCAAGAGACATTACCTCACCAATCCTCATCATCAGTTCAGTATCCCTAGTTAAATTTAATAATTAATCAGGCGTATAAAAATGGCGTATAAAATCAGTGGCTGCATTCATTAAAGCAAAATGTTTCCAAATGTAGCATCTCCTTAAGAAAGCTCAATGCCTCTGGCTCTCTGAGAACCTCTGGCTTGCTTTTTTCCATGGCTACAACTAAAAGTCTAAAACAGACTTTCTTTTGCATTTAATTAATTAGTTTTGGAGATGTCATAACCTTGTCCTTGGAACTTGGATTTTGTTTTAATCAATTCAGCCAATAATACATCGTAGATACTAAACTATTCCTCCTGACTCAAGGCTACAGGAGCCTTGGAAAAGTAGACATCGTACTCCGGATGGAATAGAACACACTTGCAACAATATGAAATCTTTCAGTGCTTAGATTCTCTAAAGAGAAAGAAAACTATAGAAAAAACCACACAAACTTGAGAGAGCGAGACAGAGAATTCAGTTCTAATACTACATGATCTTTTAACAACTCATTTGTTTAGCTAACTTAGTATTTGAAAAGCCAGAAACTATGTCCAACTCATTTGGTAAATAAAACAAACACTCAAAAAATGGAATTTTTGTTAAACCAATAGTAGAAAGAGTTAATGGGAATAATGTATAAAGGAAGCAAACTCAGTTTTGGTAGACTAATGTGATGTCTTTATTACATTCTTTGAGGAAAAAATTCAAGCACGTTATGTGCAAACCCAGGATTATATTTGGAATACGTGAGACTTTAAGTACCCAAAGGCTAAATTTCATATGAAAATAATCGACAATCCCAGATTCAATTTTGGAGTTTTTCTTCATTAAATAGTACCCTAAAACTAATTCCATTAAACCCACTCCACCTTATTCGATAGAATTACAAGAATCACATACAAAAGCTCAGAACGTCAATTTGACAGAGCTTTAGCAGAGCAGGAATGTGAAGAAAACAACAGATTTGTAGAAATAACACAGCAATCCACCAAAAAAAAATTCACTTTAGCTGAATTATACAAATCTCTAAACATCCAATGGCCCTCAATTGCATCAGATCAGCTAGAAATAAGACAAACACACATCTTATCTAATGGAAAAAAGAGACTTCAATTTTGGGAGGACGGCCTCCTGTTCTGAGCAAGAAGAAGAAGGAATTTGCTCATCATTTGGCTGACCAGTTATGCCTTTGGTGTGCTAAGTCTGACTTGTGATGGGGGAAAGAAGACAGAGAGTCACCCAGAAGGAGCAGTGCAGGGCAACCTGGCAATCAGGCTTCCAGTAGAAGAACAACACGTGTCAAAAATTGGATGGGTCACCGGACCTAAACAGGCCCCTCCTCGGTAAATTCCCCTTTATATATTGTAGATTTGACTTTAAAATAAGTTGACAGTGTGGGTATTATAAGCATACGATGCACAGAAAGGGGATGTAGCTCAGATGGTAGAGCGCTCGCTTAGCATGCGAGAGGTACGGGGATCGATACCCCGCATCTCCATTTATTTTCCTTTTTTGTTAATTTTTTTTTATTTGTTCAAAGGTCGGGGTGCCTAGGATGTCGTGCCGGTATCGGTCGTCATCTTTCTCATTGATCTTCATCGCCACGTCATGATTGATCGTTGACGAACTATAAAAAGGACTCGCTCTCATTCTTTAGAGGAATTATCCCCATCCAATATCTCAAGCTCAACCTCCATAGCTCTCGATCGCTTGTTTTGCAACAGAATTTCCCCTCATCACTGTTTTGCGTCCGCCATGAAAGTTCCATCCAACAAAGCTCGAGGTACGCTGATCTCTCTTTCGATCCTCTCTATTTATTTTTCGTTGTAATTGCTCTTACTCACGAATAGGTCCAGTTCCGTGACTGATAGACTTGGCTCGTCATTCCGAGCTATCTATTTCTTTCAATTGATCTTATTTTAGGACTATTAATGTATTTTTTTTCCCGAGTTATTTATTTGTTTATTTACACTTTAGAAATGTGTAGAATCTGCAAAGTATTCGTTGAAAGTTCACTAGATGAAAATTGCATACTTTAACATAAATTTTGTAATATCACTGGGGATGATGATCAGAAAAAGTAGTCGTTTTATCCGAGAAAAGGTCAAAAGATTCATCTCCATGAAACGGAGTGCTATCTGTTATTAACAATAAGTATCAGACAGTGAATCTATGTTAGATCGTTTTAGAGGCGAACATTGAAAGTTGGATGCATGTATATCTCAACCTTTAACCATGCAATTGGAGCTGTCCAGTGGTTAAGGATCCATGTGAATTGCATTTGATTTCTCATTTACAGTTTAGGATGAATGAAATTTTTTTCTATGTAAAGCGTTGCCTGAACTATATCGGAGTGTAACCCACTGCCAAGTTGCCGAATGTGAAATTGAAAGCAAAAACATGAGTTCTCACTTGGCAACGATTACTCTTCTGTGATGTGGTTTTAAGTCTCGACCTTTTGAATTATTGAAAAATGGATACTTCGTCATTTTGTGACAGATGATGCTTATACAGAGGCAAAGAGTTCCTATTTTGATTTACCGGGTTTGGATGTTTCCCTGGCATTTCCCCAAGCAACTCCCGCCTCAACCTTTCCTCCTTGCAGTAAGTTTTTGTGAGTTTATATTCCGCCAAAAAAGTGCCATGAAGTTCTAGATCTTGCGGCATTCGCATGTTTTAATGATAAAGATGACATAATCTTCTCAAGTTAAATTGTGCCTTTTATTTGTGAAGCTAGTTTGTTCTGCTAAAGTCAGTTCTATTTTAATTTGTGGCCATCTTTTCTTGACATACTCTTCTGGTATTTACATTTTATGTTGTACCTAACTGTAGCCCTTATTTCCTTTAGAACCATTTTTAGGATTGAAATGGGAGTCAACTGACAATGCTTGTAATTTTATTAAAGCTTACTCTGGGTCTTTGACAACATCCATGATACATTTATACATTGCAGCATCGGACTATTATCAGTTTGATGATTTATTAGACCCTGAAGCTAAGTTGACTAGACAGAAAGTGAGAGAGTGTATGGAAAAAGAAGTTGCTCCAGTAATGACTAAGGTACCTTTTTTAGCTCTGGTGCAACATGCCCTTTTAAGATTTTTTTTTTGTTTCTGTGCTGTGAGGTTTTCTTAAGATGATCTTTCTGTTGTACTTGTCTTCAGTATTGGGAGAAAGCTGAGTTTCCTTTTGAAGTCATCCCCAAGCTTGGCGCCCTGAGGATTGCGGGAGGCACAATCAAGGTATTTTATGAAATATGTCAAATTTTTTGTTTTTTTGGTTCTTTGTTTTTTTGTTTTTCCTTCTCCCGGGTAATATGATTTTGACAGCTGAATGTTGTGTCATTTGAGGGTTATGGCTGTCCTGGTCTTTCCATTACTGCAAGTGCCATTGCTACTGCAGAGGTTGCCAGGGTCGATGCAAGCTGCTCTACTTTCATATTGGTGCATTCTTCTTTGGGAATGCTCACGATTGGTGAATCCTTTTATATGGCTATTTATTCTATTTTTTTAGTTCCAAAGAGAAATGATTGTGTACTGGAAGGATACTTCACGTACGCTTCTCCTTTCTCAATGATGATTTATGCTTTTGATTTTTGGTCTTTCTTAATAGCAATATGTGGATCTGAGGCGCAAAAGCAAAAATATTTACCTTCATTAGCCAAACTCGACACTGTAGCTTGCTGGGTGAGCACTTCTCATAATTAAGTAATCATTTATATCTTTGTATCTCTGCTGATGTTATTGACAAATGTATTGTTAAATTTAGGCTCTCACCGAACCTGACTATGGAAGTGACGCAAGTGCTTTGAGAACAACTGCGAGAAAGGTTTGGACTAGTTGTACCCTTTTCCTTTGAAGATAGTGTTGGGGCTAGTGGTATAATGCTGTCAACATCATGTCTCACTTTTCAAACATTCAGGTTGAAGGTGGTTGGATCCTTGAAGGGCAAAAGCGATGGATAGGAAACAGTACCTTTGCAGACATATTGGTTATCTTTGCTAGGAATATATCCACGAACCAGATTAATGGGTATGTATATGAGAGATGTAAATGGGGGATTAATGTTGCTCCTCGCATGTCAACATTATATTTTTCTGAGGATTCATATTTTCTTCATTCTGATGACCATGCATACTGAATCTAATAGTAATAGCTGTTTTAGAACTATTGCCCTTTTCTTTTGTTTATTTCAAGTGCTCAATCAATTTTTTCGTTCTCTCAGGCCATTTTTACTAGTTAGTCTGGGAGCATTTTATAGGTTAATTAATGCACTACTTATTTTGGTTATTGCTATTTGTATATCCTCTTTTAGTCACATTTTTTGCCAGTCAAACACAATCACATGTCATATAGCTTAGTTGGGTGATCAAATGCAGATTTTTAGTAAAGAAGGATGCTCCAGGATTACAAGCCACTAAGATAGAAAACAAGATTGGGCTCCGCATGGTTCAAAATGGAGATATCTTGTTGAACAAAGTTTTTGTCCCCGACGAAGATAGATTAGCTGGTGTAAATTCTTTTCAGGATACTAACAAGGTAATAAGATATCATATCCTTGTACGTTTCCAGTTGATTTTTTTATATGTTATCTGTCCCGGTGGATGGTTACAATTGGTGGCGGTAACTTTGTTTTGTTCAAATTTTTTCTGCCTATGCAAGCATGTTTCCATGTCTGAAGTTCTCCACATTTGGATACCTCAGCCATTGAGATGTGTTCTGTAGAGATTGTAAAAGTTTTTGAGGTGGTTGGTCCCTCAAAATTTAGCCCTTTGCTACCCTTCGTGTGTACCTCCTCACAATAGAAAAATATAAGTCAAAATCACGTGATGCTCTGAGGAATATAGAAGTTAAAACCTGAATGCTTCAGCTTACTGCATAAAAAAGGACGGGGAAAATGTATAGTTGGGCTAATTTGATATCTGTGTCTGAATATTTGTACCAGATCTGTATTGAAATACTGTGTGCAGCTAGTGCTTATAAGATAATTGTGCAAGTGAAGGATAGGATTTTTTCTGCCATCCTAACATGCTTTTGTCTCTTTTCAACATTGGTTGTATGCGTGTTTCTTGGTGGAATTTCTTTGGAAATTCATTCATTTCTTTTTGTACTTTTGGGCCAGCCTTAACTTGTTGAACTTTCCCCTCTATTCAGGTGCTTGCCGTGTCACGTGTTATGGTCGCATGGCAACCTATTGGCATTGTGATGGGCGTTTATGACATGTGCCACAGGTAGTAATTCAGATAAGCAACAAATGTTGCAAGCTTCCGAGTGATTTGGTAGACCAAAACTCTACCAAAACCATGGAAGAAGCTTTTTGTTTTGTTACCAGGAAATTGGTTGTGTGATTGCCCCCTCTTTTATTCTTAAAGATATTTGAAAGAGAGGAAGCAATTTGGAGCACCATTAGCAGCTTTCCAAATCAATCAACAGAAACTAGTTCAGATGTTGGGTAATATACAAGCTATGCTCTTGGTTGGGTGGCGTCTATGCAAGTTGTATGAGAGTGGTAAAATGACTCCTGGTCATGCTAGCCTTGGAAAGGTAAACAAATATGCTCTATGTGTTTTTCCCAGTTGTTAGTTGACATCTATGCCAATATGACACTCCTTTTGCACATGATCTTTCAGTCATGGATTACCTTAAGAGCAAGGGAGACAGTATCTATTGGTCGGGAGTTACTCGGTGGTAATGGGATATTAGCAGACTTTTTGGTTGCCAAGGTACATAAGTTGTTCCTTTAATTAGTCCGCTTGATTTTTTTTCTTGACTTTTTTGGCTTGAGGATCAGCAGAATTCTCAGCATTGCTTTCTGGAGAGTTGTGAAGGTTTCGTCTGTTTTGTACAGGCATTTTGTGATTTGGAGCCGATATATACGTACGAGGGAACGTATGACATAAATACACTAGTAACAGGGAGGGAGGTAACTGGCATCGCTAGTTTTAAGCCGGCCCCTATTAGGCAGCAGAGCCGCCTGTGAACCACACTGTATCTGGTGTTATATACAAGAAGAACAAAAAAGAGCTTGTAACGCGCAATCAAGATTTGTTGGTGAAGTAACCCTAAAATGTCATAAATGTCCCGTACTGCTTGGACCGTTGATTTATAATAATTGGTGCAGTCCTAAGTGCAATCTATGGGACTAAGTTCTTTTTTTTTTCAATGGGACGTTGGGTGGATGAATGTTCAGTTACAAAAAGTTTTGCATGTTCTACAACTCTCTTTTCTCATTAGCATTATCTGTAGAATTCATCAACTTTGTTACTACCTACCTGGAAAGGGCCTTATAAAATATAAATGTGTAGGGAAAAATAGTACAACATGAGAGATCCAAATCGCTGTATTTGAGGTGCATTTGAATCGACATTCGACATTCGATCTCAATACAACAGCAGGTGAAGAAATTATCCTTAGCAATTTGTACAGGAAAGGAAGAGCAGACGCAATTTTGAAGAAAAAGGATGGAAAGGAAATCCAAATGCGATCACACCCCAATTCTATCCCCTTCTCATAGGAATGGACCTGCTCTGTTCCAACCCAACCCCGTCACCATCTCCATCCAATTCAAAGTATAAAGCTCGAAAACTAACTATATAAAGCTCGAAAGCTAACTAAATTCTCTCTCCACTTGATGATCAAAACGTGGTAATCAAACTAAAGTCAGATAAATCTATCAAAGCTACCTCTTCTAAGCATTCATTACTTTCCACTAAATCAATTTAAAGGCGTGCCATCATGACTCACCTACCAGCCGTTGCTCGGATCATCATAAGATCCACAGCCCTCCCGCCGACGAGCTGCCTCCCGCTGATTACCCAGCATCCGAATTTTTAACTGGAGCTGAGCCGCGGCTGCAAACAGTTTCACATTCTGAATAGGCGACAGTATTCCAACCATCCTCTCCGCCGTCCTTATCCTCAACCCATCCGCATCACTCAGGGTATTCACCATTGCCAACCTCAAGCTCTCAATCTGATCACCCACCTCATCTATTGCGCCATCAATGGGCCAATACCCGGTCTGTCTCTTAGCCAGCTCCACCATTGGCGGCCCACCAACGCTCTCCTGGATCCTCGCCATGTCTTCATTTAGGAGTTTTTCTTGCCTGTTGGTTTCCCTGCTCAGGGTTTCGATGCTCCTGATTTGGTCATCGGTTAAATCGTCCACCGACCTCATCGCCAGGCTGGATACTACGCCGGGTTTGAACCCGGCAATCCAGAGCAAAGTTCTTTCCAATGGAGAAAACCAAGGTGCTGAAAATGCTAAGAAAACGTTAGCATTGGCCATCCTGGATTTTTCAGAATAGTATTCTTGATAGTGCTCAAGAACTCGAGCTATTAAATCCCTGGCCGTATTCTCGTCAGCCTGGGTAGATCCTTGAACTGCCATAAGCTCATTCATCAGCTCTTCTTGTCGGACTAACCATCTTTCAAAAAATGCCTGGAAAGTTCCAGGATTATTGCCACTAGCACCGTAACCGGAACTGGAACTGGGACCAGAACCACGAGGCATGTCTTTTTATTATTATTATTATTATTATTATTATTATTATTATTTAAAAAAGAAAAATTCCCAACGAGAACTGTGTTTTGACAACAGCCCAAACACCATAATAATATGAGAAAATTGCAGAGCTAGGAAGCCATGGGAAATGGGTATATATATACAAAGAGACACTAATTAATTTGGCTGATTTTTGGTTGGGGTTGATTTCTCGGAGGATAATTATGGTTGCTTTGGTGGGTTTCGAGGGGAGGGGGGAAAATAGTTTTGATTAAATGAATGATCAAATTCGTCAGAATGCTTCACTTGTAAGGCTGCGTATAAACCCGCCGCTTTGTGGCTACTTGTCTAACATGGGAGTACAACGTTTGGAGAGAAGCCAGCTGGCAAAAGGGACGAACCGGGGATTGACAAGGAAGAAGAGCCCTGGAATGGAAGGAACTCGGTACCTTTCGGTGTTGTTTTCCAGCGCCGACGAATTTGTGTGGCCAATTGCTATTATATAGTACTACTATATATGCTAAGAAAACATATAATACGATATTCTCCATCCATCGACAATAAAAAAATATCAACAATGACTAAATACATTCTAATTTCTGAATTCTATGTAGTTGTACAACGTTAGCATATATGGTAGTACTAGCATGTTCATTTGTTTTGAACCTTAGTTGGACTAAATCAAAGATACCACAATCAGTTAGAAGCCTTTTTTTTTTTTTTTTTTGGTAAACCGTTTAGCCAAGCAGCTAAAACTTCAGATTACATATACAAAACAGAGGGTGAACTCAAAGTTAGAAGCCTTTTAAAAAACGTGGTTGTTCAGGAAACGAGACACCGACTGTGAAAAGTAAAAAAAACATACTCTCATTTGGCAAACTCCGAGGAAGGATAGGCGGTCCAGTCACCCTCTTCTTGTCCTAAATATTAAAAGACTGATTTCATTCTAGATACTATTCCCTCTATTTTAAAATAAGTGTCGTTTTAACAAAATAAAGAAATTCTAAAATACGTATCGTTCTCACATTTCAATGCACTTTTTGTCAAAAGTTTCTAAAATTACCCTCAAAAGAGTTGATGCTATTGGTGAACAATTTTATAATGAAGTTGGTTGAGGATATTCAAGTAATTTTATTATCCTATTTAAGAGTTTTTTAAACTATATGCAAAGTGTAGGACGACACTTATTTTGGAATGAGGGGAGTACCATTCATCACTCTGCATCTTATTTAATTAACCTGATTGACTACATCTTCATTATCAATTCTTACATTGATCGAGATACGAACTGGAATTCTATCTTTGTTAGTAATAAATTCATAGCACTTGATAGTTGATAGCGTAAATTTGAAATATAACTTTAACAACAAACATCATGATTTTTTATTTTTATTTTTTGAAAAAAAAAAGAGATAAGAATAAAAGTTCATGGTCCTTTTTTTCCATAATCAAAGTTACATAGGTAAAATATGGAAGATGCTTTAATATCATGACACACCACATTAATATTACCTTTAATTTAATTAGTGGTATAAATGATAAGCATTCAAGCTTATACGAGCAGAGTATAATATTTAAAATGCGAAAAGTCGTAAAGAAAAAGAAATGGAAATGAAAGTAGATGACAAACAAACTCAATTAAGACTTGTATATAATCCCATTCTCCACTGAAGAAGAATATTATTTAAGGGTGATACTATTTCAAGCCACAACTTTTGTTTCTTTCGATCATAATTTTTTAAAAATTCTGATATTACCCCCTTCCATTTCAAACTTGCAAGCAACCAAAAGAGAAAACTCTCTCAAATCTTCAATCTTCAAAACCCCAATTTAAAACCTATTTTGAGCCAAAATTAATGGCCACACGCCAGAATCGAAGCGGGAAAGAGCCGATCTCATCAAAAGTAAGTTTTTTTTTTGTCTCAAAATTGTGTTAAAAAAAATCTAACTGCCGGAACGGGCAAGAAATTCGTCCGGCGGTGCTGGGAGGACAGGGGAGAAACCGGGTTTCTCCCCCGTCCTCCCAGCACCGCCGAACGGCTTGCCTGCCTGCTCCGGCGGCCAAGTTTTTGCCGCGTGAACCGGGATGAGCCTGGTCCAAGATCGGTCCGGTCGGAGAATCGGATCGGTCAGAATATCTTTTTAAATTTAATTTAATTTTAAATTTGTTTAATTCTTTATTAGTTTTTAATTATGTTTAATATATTTAACATAATTAGTTTATAATTTTGTTTAATTAATTAATAATTTGTGATTTAGATTAATTGATTATTAGTTTGTTATTTAGTTAAATTGTGTAAATAAATTATTTAAATAGTTTGTAAATTAGTTTAGTTTATTGGATTAATTTAATTAATAGTAGATTAGTTAATTTAATTTGTTAGTAATGTAATTTAATTGATTAAATTAATTAATTTAAATAATTTGTAAATTAGTTTAGTTTATAATTAAGTACAATGGATTAATTTAATGAATAGTAAATTAGTTTAGTTTATTATTGTATGATAATTATTTTTATATTATGTATATAATTATTTTGTTATCGTAATTGTACGTTTAGTTTAATTAAAGGGTACTTAATTATTAAACTATTTAGGATTTAGAAAAATTTGTATGGTTAAGAAGTTATAGACTAGGAAAATGTGATGATGATGACTAAAATTTTGTTTATAGGTTTATTGTGATGATGATGATGATAGTGATACTGAAGATACTAGTAAACGTAAAGTTCGTGAGCGTTATCTAACCATGAGCCGTTGGAAGAAGAGAGAGAGGAAAAAGTGTTAAAGAAGCAAATGAAAATGACTCAGGTAAATATGGGTAATTTACCGTTTGAGCCTCGGTCGAATCAGCCGATTAATGTACCCGATTATTCTGAGGACGACCAGGAAGAGAAGAATGAGGATGAGGAGAATGAGTTTGATGAGAAGGATGTGCAGGACAATGTTTAGGATGTGTGCACATCACAGAGACCCCCCGTTGTACAATCCTAGTAGTTACTCTCCTCTCCTATTTGGTAGTCAGTGGCCTGGTCCTGGAGGTTTACCCTCTCCTCCTACCCCAATCCCTTCTCCTATTAGTGGTGAGTGGCGCAGCCACGGAGGCTATCAACCTCCCCTTGTCCGTGATTCTCGCAGCTCCTCTTTGGTCCACATCGTAGTCCCTCTCTCCCTCGTTTTGTTCAATTCCCAAAGGGTACATCCACTAGTAGTCGGTCTCGTCCCTCCCCCGTTAGTCAGGCATCTTCCCCTCTCATGGATCCTGTGCGCCCTCGCGGAGGTCCTGTCTCCACTGAAGTATCTACACATCTTCCCCCTCTAATTGATCCCGTGCCCCCTCATGGAGGTCCCGTCTCCACTGGAGTATCTACACGCTTTTTTCTTTGATTAGCCCCCTTCGGCCGCCCCTTCCGTCTCTGGACCTCCTCGGGTTGTTTGGACCTACACTGGTCTGGACAAAGAATATCGTGGACAGCCCTATTTACCTTGCATCGTACTGCTTGAGGATATGCGTTCAGTTCTTCCATCAACTGTCTAAAATAAAGGACATCATCATCCACATCTCCCGAACTACCAGTAGCAGCTTGTTCACCGATATTAAGGGTTGCCCAGAATGGGTGAATATGTTTAAGAGTAATCGTTGTGCCGGCATCTGCAGCCTTTTTGAGGGTGCACGCATATGAAGTTCAATAAGTCCAGTAAACCACATGATCAAATCTATCTTTCACTCCTTCTTTTCACTCTTGCGCCTTCAACCACTCAGTGTTCAGTTTTTTCAAACAGTAATGCGAAACTTGACACTTCAAGCGGTTCAGTGGAAAACCACAATAACTGGTGCTAATTTTTTGTCTCAAGTATTCCAGTTTGTACCTGAATTTAGGATTACATGCATGTAACCTTTAAATGTAATACATTTTTTTAAATGCCAAAAATACTAAAAAAATACTAAAAATATAATAAATAGAAGATAATGGAAAAGAAATTATCGTATTTCAGTTAGCTGAGTCTGAATTTCCAAGTGCACCTTAGCCCAAAGTATATCCAGCGACCCGGTGGATGTTTCCAGCCAATCTTTAAACTGAGCATGCACGCTCTCCACTTTATCTGTAGTAGTGTTGCCCATATGAAACACACCATTCGTCTAGCCTTGACGAATTTGTAGTTAACCACTAACATGTGTTATGGATATAATGAAGAACTCTCGAAAAATTTAGTCAACGACGGTTTATTACGGCATAACTTTATTGTATTTCTCTTGATTCTCAGCTTCTACCACGTCTTTTCACAACCCATACGCAAAACCATTTGCAAGCTTGGCATCAATCTCCAATTTCTTGTTGAGATGTCGCTCTACATTCTGATAAACATGCCAAACACACAACATGTGGTCTGAATTTGGAAAAATCACACTCAGAGGCGCCATCAACTCCGGTTCCCAATCAGTAACAGTGACAGCCGGATACAAATGACCAGGAAGTAAATCCCTAAACTGTCTCAAAGCCCAGTAATAACTATCACCAGTCTCGTCACTCAAAAGGGCATATGCAATCAAGAAGTTCTGGTTGCACGGTGTCATCCCAATAAACTTAACCAATGGCATTTTGTACTTGTTCGTCTTATATGTAGAGTCTATCCCGACGATCCAAAAATAAGTGCAAAATAAATTGACAGATTCAGGATATGCAAAAAAAACACGAGTCAGCGCACATGTCTCCTCACTGCGGTCTGTCATAATGATGTATCGATGATTCTTCACCGTAGATAGTGTCTTCATTGCGACATCCATGGCACTCGAGTCACCCAAGACCGGGAACCCCTTACTATGCAATTTATTCATGTAATTGTAGACTTGCCGTTTGTTAACGCTTTCATCTGGAAATTTCCTTTGAATCACTGTCAGTATTTGACACGGTCTGCACATATCCTGTATAACCTATTTCACTCCATCGCTACGGCCCCTCGTGGGATGATCTTCGTCAAACATGGAATGGTTATGCATTCCAAACTCAGCAGGATACACACGAATGCACCACTTTTCACCAAATAAGTCATATACCTTAAATTTAGTGACCTCCTGACCGTTCCACCTTTACAACATCTCATCAAAACACCTTTTTTCACCTTGCCAGAAACTATATTTATTACCATACAATTTGCTAAATCCATGCCTTTCACCCAATCAACAGCATTCTGCCTTTTTGCAAATTCCTCATTTATAGCAAACACTGCACTGTAATCTTCACTATCGCCATCAAACTCTTCGAAAGAATCCTGTAAAGTAAACATAAAATTATAAAAAAAATACTGCAGTATAATAAACTAAATTAAACATAAATTACAATTATTTAAAAAAATTAAAAAAAATATTATAATAAATAATAAAAAACATACAATTACATTAAACACAATTATTATAAAAACAAATATTCAACTAATCAAAAAAATTATTAAATTAATTTCCCCATAACTAAACTTAAATTACTATAACTAATTAAATTAGCAAATAAAATTATATAATTTTTAATTAATTAAACCAAACTAAATAAAATTCAACTAACTAATTATATTAATTAACATAACTAATTAAATTGTGAAATTAATCTAATTAGAAACTAAACTAAATAATTTTCAACCACTTTTACTAAACAAATAATCAACTAAAAGTTCATAAAAAAAAACATAACGGGCAAGAAATAAATAAAAATAAATAAATATATAAACAACAGTTCGTAAAAAAAAAAACCAGAACTGATAAGATATCTGCCCCGGCGTCCCGGTTGAACCAAGGACGGGCAAAAAACTCGTTCAACCCATTGGGTCAGACGATCGATTCGCTCGTTCGATCGATAAGGGGGACGAGTTCCTTGCCCGTCTTTTATTCAACCGAAACGCGTCTTCATTGCTGACCGGGTATCTTGCCCGTTTACTCTCAAATCGGGACGATTTCATTGCCCGATTTGGTCTGTTTTTTTAGCTCTTTTTAATTTACCTCTGAGTGACTCATTCTTTTTCTTTTTCTACTGCATATAGGTTTGGACAAAATGACAGGAGCAAAATGAGAATATTTCAAAAATTATGGCTGAAAGAAATAAAACTTGTGGCTGCGAAAATCCTCCCCTTATTTAAAGAAGAAAACAAAACTCAATCTAGTAGTAGTAATAATACACCAAAAAAAAAAAAAGAAAGAGAGAGAAACGAAAAAGAAAACGAAAGAGAACGGTGCCACCACCTCAGACGTAGCGCCGCCTCTTCAAGTGGAAGAAGGGATGGCTCCTGAATGTATTCGGTGCATTTTGTCGTTGTTTGGACTTTGGAGTAACTATTTCCTTTCTTTTGCAGTTTCATTTTTCTTCCCAAAGATCAAGCCTTCACATTCTTAATGTGCGCTGCATTCTTTTGTATCGGGTGGAGGTGCAGCCAGGCCTAATTATAAGGAAAACATGATGATAATGCAAATGCACGTGTTTTCTCTCCTCGTGATGAACAACAAATTAGAGAGAGTAGAGTTCATCCTGATAAAATTAAAAAATTCTCTCCCTCTATCCCATTTTAATAATTATGTTTATTTCTGTTTGTTAATTGAAACAATATATATAAGGATCCTGGAGGAGACAGCCAGTTCTCCTTGTTTACTCCCCTTATTCGAAGGGCCTAACTTTGTTAATTCCCACAGTACACTCAAATTATAAAAAACCATACCTTCGGAAAAGAGGGGAACAGGAAAAAAAAAAAAAAAACACTTACGAGTATATTCCCTCCGTCTCATAATTATTGTTCAGTTTGAGTTTTCATTTCTAATTCAAACTGTGCGAAAAATGAAATCTCAAATTGGACAATAATTTTAGATTTTCATTTCTAATTCAAACTGTACGAAAAATGAAATCTCAAATTGGACAATAATTTTGAAACAAAAGAAGTAAGAAAAAAGAATCCATTGGACTAAACATGCTCAATATATTAGGGCAGAACAACATTCATCTTCCATACATAAACCATCACAAAAATTGGCAATGGTTGGTAAAATTGACGTCTTACGAGGATTTGATCAAGTAAGTGATTAACCACAACAACCACAGCCTAGTCTCATTCAACACACACCTAACGAAGCTACATATGCTGGACACAGAAGATCTATATATAAGTACTCCCTCCATCCCAATAATTATTATCCAGTTTGAGTTTTCATTTATAGTTCAAATTGTACTAAAACTGAAATCTCAAACTAGACAATAATTTTGGGACAGAGGGAGTATTTATTTTCACCACCACATGAATAAAATAGTTATGAGATTGAAAGGAAGAAGTACAGCAACAAAGTTCAAGGGTCATATAAGCCCACACAAGCGAGGCCTTGAACAAATCTGCCTTCCGTTTGCTTTGACTAAAGCCATCACTCCAGCAGTTACACCAGCACAAAGAACAGAGGACAGATATGATTGTGCATTTCGTCCCGCTTTATCAAAGAAAAGAATACCAGGAAAAAAAAAAAAGAGGAGAAAAACAAAGAACAATGTCAACGATTTAATCCAGCTGAATAATGACAGAAAGATTGACATTGGGAGGAAGCTTCTTACCTTGATTCAGAGTAATGGAGGTCATTGTTAACCCTCCAATAAGCAAAGCTGATGCTACGGGGAGGTACTGCCATTAAAACCCAGTCTTAGAAAGGTAGCACTGATTGAAAATTCCGTAAAACAAAAATAATGACAGATTTAAGAGAAGAGGACAAAAAATGGTAAACAAGAGAAATCAGGAAAGAGACATTCAAATGCACATCACACCCCCAGAAGTGCAACTCAAAGCGTGTAGAATATAGCTGCTCTTGGATGGCAACCGGTCAAGAAAGTAGGGTTTGTATTAAATGCTTTTACAACATATTTTCCATAACAGGTGAGTGCAACGAGCGCCATGGATGCGTTATGGCCACTTTCCACATTTTGGATTGGGCATTATCCTAAGAAGTACCCAAGACATTTTAGGCAGAAAGAAATACTATGATCACTCACGGAGATTGGCTCAAGTCCTCTGATCTGGGAAGACAAGGGCCTGCTACTATTTACATCATATCGACCACTGATAAGATCAATGGCATCCTATAAAAATAATGGAAACTGTTAACAAAATTTGGCAAGACAAATCATAATGCATGCAAATAAATTAGATGTTGAAAATATTATTAACCTGTCGAACACCATCTTGAAAATTATTTAGATAGTATCTTGATAGAGAACTCACTCCATCTTGAAGTAAACCAGCCATTGTTTGCTTTCCATACCTGGAAATCGAAAAGGCAAAAAAGCTATAAATTGGTTTCAAATAGATGACAGGAAATATCAGGCTTCAATTGCATCCAGATGTTACCTGACCATGTCCCTTTTTAAAGCATGGGTTCCAGAATATTCGAGGCTTATCTCATCACCTTGATCCACCCACACTATTACAACGAACAGAATAAGTAATAATGCTTCAGAACACACAGATGTATAAATTTACAAATCAGAGGTGAGTAATCATTAACAACCAAAAGGAAGAAGTGCTTACAGTTCTTGTAGATCTCAAAATCTTCACCAAAATCCGAAATGTTCTCAGTTGCAGAAAATACTCCAACTTTCTGGAGTTGAGAATTCAAAACTTTCCTAGCCAAGAAGCTCTACAAGGAAATGCAGTCATTCAAACTAATAAGTGCTAGTGTACTGCCTTCCATAAAGACAATCATTAGTTCCAAATTTCAAGTTTTTCTTTAATGATAAAGTCAACTCCAAACCTGTGTAACATTTGTCCTATCAAGACAGTCAATGCAGTTTGATCTGATCACTCCCTTCTGCTCCGACAAAACTTCACCTCCTTTGCCTAAGAGGAAATATCTGTTCAGCTGGAATATTAAATACTAAGATATGAACCATGAAATCCTAGAGAAGCTGCAGTTCAGCTCATTACCCTTGCTTTTCAAAATCCTCTGAGATCTGAGAGTACAAAAGCTCTATATTCTCGAAGTTTGAGTTGCCACAAGCTTGATGAAAATCAAATGAAACATATCTGAATTGCAGCAAAGAGCAATATATAAAGTGTGGCATGATCACCACCAAATAGCTGAAATAAGAGGATCATACATTATTTGCAAACATTCATGAGAGGACATCACCTTACATTTGGTAGCTTCTGCATTTCTGCAGCATAAGCGGCACTTAGTCGACCCTCATCACCATGCTGCGATGTATAACAGGAAAGGGAGATAATTAGGTGCTCGCAATGTGGATTCAAATAAGGCAACTAAATAACGAATATCCCAGAAATGGTCTCTAACAAGACTCTCCACTGAAGTGGAGCAGTTTTGGATAGATTAAATTGTCACTTGTTCAACGTGACTTTCACAAATATTAGTTAATGTCGACTCGGATAATTTCCAGAAAAGTTTATCTACAGCCTAGATGTTCCTTCAGATGACTACATTAGATTTTCTTGAAAACCAACATAGACAGCTATTACCAAAGAAAGCTCTGACCTTATTAGTAAGGTCAACAGCAAGAACCTCCCCATATCTTTGTAAAAGGTCATTAAAATGCCGCTCGACAACTTTTGACTGAATGAAAACATAAAAAAACATGTTACAGAATTTCAGAGATAAAAGTATCAAGATTTACAGTAGGAGAAAAACTGTGAAGTGACATTGATATGGGGTTAGAGGAAGAAGCATACCGTTTGGTCATGACTAATGATATTAAGTTGTGGTTTATAGCTCAGATCAACAATTTGTTCCCAGATGAGAGGGATGGATCCCCGGACCTGAAGCAGATGGACTCATCAGAGTTTCCCAATAAAATAAACAAGAGTAAATAAGCCAGATGGTATGTATAAAACAATCATTTGCAGACAGATTTTGAGGCGGGTAGCATCGTAATTTTTCTTACACTTATCAACCTTTCCAGCATTGTGTACAGCTTGAAAAAAGGATAAAAAAAATAATAAACATACATAAATAATAAAATGCCAATCACATCACCAACAACATGTAAACATTCAGGCATATACTTCGTCTGCAAATTAGGGTGTCTACAAGGTTCAGATAGACATGGATTCATCTCACAATAATTTCAAAGTTAGAATAACTTAGGAAGAGATAATCTAAAGCATAGAGTCACAGAAGCCTACTTGCAAAAATGACAAGCTTGAACCTTCAAGTTCCAGCAGCTGCTCGGTTTCAATGAAATTAGCAGCATCTCCTTCTAGATTGGCTCCTCTTCTCCACATTCTAGTGCCTAATTTGTGTCCAACAACTAGTTACTTGAATTTTATCCAATTATCATATCCATAAATTAACTTGAAGAACCTGCTAAGCCATCTTGTTTTACCTAGGCGCCGTGTGCATCTCCTTGAAATCAGAGTTACTGTAGCAGGCGAACTTTTCAGCTCTAACTTTCCAGTTTGGAAACTTAAATTTACGTTAAGTTAAACTTCTCTTCCTTCAAAATGAATATTACGTGATTAAAGCTTCAGCCATATAGATGGCCAGATAAGATATTATATTTGCAGATAAAAATGCAAATGAGAAGGAAAATTCGGTGCAAATATTTATGGTCCAGGATATTTCCTTGTAACAGAGGGATGATGAATCCATCAAGCTGCAAGAAGAGAACAACGCATTAGGATGTTTGGATTGAAAATAAACTATTATGAAAAACCACTTAAGTTATTTCAAACACTATCCTTCCCAGATTCAGAAAAAAATCATTAGTAGTAAAGATGAACTTAACAAGTACAGCATCTGGAAGGAATTCTTCTCCATTGGAAATATATCTTACCTTTGTCTCAATAAGCTCCTCCAAAAGATTTCTGTTCCAAACAAACCGTGGATCAGCCTGAAATTAATGAGAAACCTTTACTTACACGATCGACCCTCATTGAAAGATAAAAAAGAGAATTAGTTTGAGCTCTTCATTACTGCTCAGGTTGCTCAAATCTGACAAAGAATAAATCAATTTTTTTTCCAAAATACCTGCTTCCAGAGTGGTTTACCCATCCAACCATCGGCTAATTTGCACCTCCTCTGCAAGCTGAAACATGAAGGTGAAAGTCAATATAATACTTCACTCAATTAATGAACAAAACTGTAGTATTTCATTGGTTTCCAAAATGACTCACTTTAGTGTGATGTCAGTTTCATAAGAGTAGTACAAGCCCGGAGTCGATTCTACGACTTTCAGAAGAGTCATGAAGTATGACTCATCTTTCTTCTGCATTTAGAAAAATAAATAACACATATATACAACCTAAAATATGCATAAACATCTACATAGTTGTATATAAATGAATAAAATTAAGCATACTTGATGCAGTGGGAGATCACATCATAACATCTGGATGTCCAAAACACATAAAATCAAAATAAATCATACCTCTTGGTTAGTAAGAAACTTTGAAGCCTCATTACAAGAGAGAAACTTCATGGACATCACTCGGAAAACAGGGAAGCCCAGAAAAGATCCTACTTCCTTCCTTGAAGTGATGACCAATAAATGTACACCTACAAAAAATGAAAACAGATAGCCGCTAACTCGTGCAATCTATTCAAAATCCCGATCATGCGTCAGTTGCTAAGGAGTTCACTGACGTATATTACTCTTTCTAAAAGCATTTACTTCTTCGATTTGACTTCTTCTAAAGTCCTCTTTATTATTTTACCAAAAGAAATAAATAAAAAAAAGGCATCTCTAATCATCCGAGGAACCCTGCCGAATCAAAGCTGAACCTTCTGTTCGGAGTTTCAAAAAACATGAGCTTGTTTGGTTGCCTTCTATTTCCATTATTTCTCTCCAATACCTTACTAAAGCATTTATTAAATAAGATTTTACATTGCTATGATACCACTTTCCACTTTGCTAACATAATCTTTCCATTTAATATTCCAATCTCATTTTCTGATAACTAGTGCGAATATCCACGTTTTGCAATGCAACTTTAAGTTGTTAACATAACTCTTTCTGATTTAAGTTCCATTTGCGCTTTCTGCTATTTCATAGAAGTAAGCCTTTTTTTCTTTTTTTGAAAAATGACTATGTTCGCAATGCAAGTTGGATGGAGAAAACCTAAACAAAAACACAATCCCTTACTCAAGTAATTACCTGCAAGCAATCTGATTGTTCCAACTACTCCGTATATTCTAGAAACTTTGCCGCCACCACTTTCCCGCTCACCTGCACAAAGTTCATCTTATCATTTCGTCGTAAGCTAAACATCCACCAAAAAGAGGTTGCTATTGTCAAAATACTAAAGCTATTACACTCAAAACAAATGATGACACAAGCTAAGAAGCACAAAGAAAGCTGGCATTTAAGGAATCAAACTTGCAGTTAAAAAGAACCGCGAAAACTTACCGTTGAGTTTCTCAACAGTGCCATCGTAACGGCTGACGGAGAAACCTTGATCCGGCAGCTCGAGCGATTTGATGACGAAGCGATCAGGAAACTCGAGTAGTTCCAACTCGCTCCACAGCTTAAAGTGTTGAGCAGCCACCGGAGCCGGCGGCGGCGACATTTCTTCAATCTCCATGGGAGATTAATGTATCTGAGCTCGTGGTCGTGAATCAATCGCACAAGAAGAAAGGAAGAGTGAAGACGAAAAGATTGATTGATTGACTGATCTGAGGGGAAATTGTTAGAACTGAAAACTGTCAAAAAAAAAAAACCAATTACTACTGTTTGCGAATCTAGATTCTAGAACTTGCCAGATGATAATATGATTATTAATTAATCAATCAAAATGTCCAAATTATATCTTTTATTATATGTTTTTGCGGTACCTCACACGCAATTTGTTGTAAGTTGCTTGAAATTCCCAAGAGTGAAATCTGTTGACTTCTGCGGTGAGCTATTTGACGATATTGTCCTTTGAGCGTTACACGAGCTCTGCACGTGAGAATGTGCCGTCTGATTAAACGGAACCAAACAACCTACTATGATCAAATTTGATGATAATATCTTTTCAGGTGTTACTCCTACTGTTCCAAAATTATTGTCTAGCTTGAATGTTCACTTCTTGTTTAAATGATTGTCTGAGAATATTGGCGGATACATCCCAACATTTACTTTCGGCTAGTCAAGTCATCCCAAACTTTAAAAATTAAGTGATTATATTCCAAGGTTTGTAAAGGTGAACATAACCATCCTATGACTTGTTATTAACCTGGAGTAACATGTAAATTTTACTTAATTTCATAAATTTTACTTTTAGTTTGATATTTACTTCTTTTGCCAATTACTTTTTTTTATTATCTTTATTTTTTTTCTTTTTATTTTAGTACGGTTAATTATGTCATTCCATCACCCCATCTTTCTCAACACCGTTACCATTACTAAATACAACACTTGGTTTTTAATCTGTTTGAAATTTTTTTATGATTTTTTCAAGTTATTAATAAATGTCTAATTTCAACATACTTTTTTACAATCTCAATACAAAAAATACCTAAAACACACACTGAAACAAGATCCAAACATAAGTAAGGGTTTCAATTTATGTTTGAAATAAGTAGAATCAAAATCCACCATACATTATTTAAATATTAAAAAATTAAGAAAAAGATTAAAAAAAATCAATTGCTTCTTCGTAATAAGATCATAACCAGGTTTGAAAAAAAAATTACTAAAAAATATTAAAAATTAAGAGAGAGGGAGAGAGAGAGAAAGAAAGAGAAAATTACAATTTTCACTTGTTGTATCAGGTTAATTTTGTGTTATTTAAGGTCAAGGGATGATTGTGCTCAATTTTAAAAACATTGATATATAATCACTCAATTTTAAAAGTTTGGGATGAATTGGATAGTAGAGGGTAAACGTTGGGATGTATCCGTCAATATTTCCATTTGTACTAAAAATGAAAATTCAAAGTGACAATAATTTAAAGTAATAGAACATAAGAAGAGTTTTAAGTCCAACCTCATTTTTCTAACTAATTTTACCACAGTAGCATTTGTGTGCTGCTAGTTGACGATCAAACATTCAAACTAAAGACGTGCACAAATGGCGAAATGTCTTTTTAGGATATAAGATTATAAGTTACAACTGCCACGACAATATTTACTCTCAAAAACAAACTGACTAAAATTAGTATTGGTTGTAGTCCTTTGTTTTTGATTCCCTTGTCTTTGACAATGTTACACCTTCCTTCAGATGCATATATTATGTTAAAAGTGGAAGCAGCTTTGGATTTACAATTAGCAACGACACCAAGGTAATGCTGTAAAAATATTAAGCCCTACCTGATGACAACAGTAAGCATCACGAAAACTTTATTACCAGGTTTAAGAAGTTGAAAAAAAGGGCCAAAACTTCACGTCATAAGAGAGTTTATTCCAATTATACAGAGCTATCTGAATGATTTAGTTTTTGAACAAATCTGCAAGCTCACCTTTTTCATACATGGAAGACAAAATGTCACATCCACCTACCAATTCACCATTGACAAAAATCTGTGGAAATGTCGGCCAATTGCTGTACTTCTTCAATGTCTCCCTCAAACCAGGATTGTATTGTTCATCCAGTACGTCGACACTTTCATAATCCACTCCCACACTTTCAAGGATTCCAACAACTCTCTGTGAAAATCCACATTGCGGGGCGCTTCTAGATCCCTTTATGAATGCCACCACCTTGGTTTCCTTCACAAGACGGTCAATCAGATCCTCCAAAGAGACTGTCAATTTCATCTGGCGGCCTGGAGTCAACCTCAGATCGGCTTTCTTTCTTGGAGGTTGCCGCACCCATGTATTATTTCCAGATTCATTACCAAGAGGAACCTTTCCAGTGGCTGCTATGTGTTCTTCCATCCATGTCTTCCAAGCTTGGGTTAAAGCTGCTCGATCTGGATCATCTACAACCCCAATCTGCCACAACAATGACAACTTTAATCCTTCCACCCACACACTACGAAACCAGTTCACATAAATTCCTTCAACTGACATACTCCATCCTAATACATCAGCATGATGTCGGTTGATATGATTACAAGTCACTGAAGAAACTTATTTTGAATGTTCAGATATGCTTCTATTTGGAAAGCGCTAAACTTAGGCGGCAAGAAGTACATTAAGGCAACAAAAAAAGGGGGGGAAAAAAAACTCAATAAGAACGTGTACATACAATTGTGTATTTTGCATATATTTCAGTAGATTTTCATTCGGTTTCCCCTGAAAGTTTCAGATCATTAGAAAGACAAGAGATCTACACAGAACCGTGAACTGCTACAATTCTAAGCTAGATTAGCATGAATTTTTGTTTCATTTTTAGTGTTGGAAGACTTGGCTACATAACTCATCAGTTTCACATGAAAATCACTGATAGAATCAGCAAGCACTTTAAACAAGTTGACCTGGCCATTTCACTAGCTTGATGCAATTCCAAGTTCCAACCCGAGTCTATATCATTAATTGGAGCTTGGGATACTGACAATGAACGGATACAGTATCGAAACTGATATCCTGATAATGAACGGAGAGAGACAAGAAGATTATCCAAAATTGCAGTAAAACTGATATACTCACTGACTAACTATAAAACATGAAACGAATGTGTGTGTGGGTGTGTGTGTGTGAGTGTGTGTGTTTTCTTTTATCAGGGTTGACAACAGATAAAATAACACCAAAAGAAATAGAACAATGTAAAGTATGTGATAACCTTAACGGAGGAACAGAGTTGAGGAACGGATTTCCGGTGGACGGCAACGCTGGCGGCGATGTTTCTTGAGATACCGATGAACTGAAGTTCATCGCTTCCATCATAAACTGCATACACACCGGAACTGGAGGGGAATACATCGCTAATAGCATCGGTTTCGGGTGGGACTGCAACAGAGGCGGCTTCGGACAGTTTGCTGAGGGCCGAAACGACGACGCTTTGATGGCGGCGCACTTTATCAGCTCTGAATTTGGGTAGTGGCCGGAGAGATATGGGAGGGAAAATAAGCGAGGAAGAGTTGGGGATTCGATGAAATGCGAGTTTCGGCGCAGTTTGGGCGGGGAAATTTAAGGGGAGAAGGGAAGAATGGGCGGCGCGTGTGGTCGGAGACGTGAAGCTGAGCATGGTAGCCATTGGCGAATTTGGTCGAACAGATTCAGAGCTAAACGAAATTGACTTGGCAAAGAAGATGATTTTTGATAATTTGGCCTTAAGTTTACGATTTCAGCTAAAAGGCGCAGAATCAGTGATCACGCCTTCCGACTTCTCATAAATCAGGCCAACCAAACCAATAACAAGGTAGGACTTCTTTTGCATAAGATTTTTTTATTTTATTTTTTTACATAAAAGGAGCTATGCCCGTTTGATACAATCACATTTTTGGGATATGAAATCGCAATCAAAACATGGCATATCTAGTATTATGTGAGTGACGCGGGGGATTAGCTAGTAGTAGTATCTTACTATCCCCATTCTTCTTGCTCCTTATGTCCTGTAAGATAGACTGCTGTAAAATTAATTGCCTTATGAGTAGACCCTAGTGGAACGACTTTTGCATTATATATTGACAAACGACAAAGATTTTGGTTATTTTACTACGTGAATTTACATGATATCTTATATTCGTCACACTACTAATATGATGACAAGTACTCCCTCCGTCCCATAATTATTGTCCAATTTGAGTTTTCATTTTTAGTTCAAATTGTACTAAAAGTGAAATATCAAACTGGACAATAATTTTGGGACAGAGGGAGTATCTTTTTCAAAAAGGGGAACAAAAAAGCCTTGCCAAAAAGTTGTCATCCACAATATTTTATTTATATATGTGTGTGTGTGTGTTGTGAGTTTGAGGCATCTGATTGTATGAGAGAATTAATTAACGGGGGATAAAGTCATTATAAATAAAATCATGGAGCAAAATCAGAGAATTCTGTGTTTTTGAGGTGGATGGAGCAAATTTGGTAGGACTTTATAATTTGATAGTGCTGATCGTGATCTCACGAGTTAACTAACAAAATGGTCCATCATTAACGTCAAAACTTGCCTTTTTACAAATTACAAGTGATTGATTGTAAATCACCCATCCCGATTACATGTTGATCAGTGAGCAACTGAGCATCATCATAACCGCAACTTCTACAAGTCTTTTAACATAAAAGTACCATCTAACGCAAACAAGAAACACTATTGGAATGATAAGTTAAACCTTTCTGTTACCCGGGAGAAAGAAAACTAGTCAATTGCATATTTGTTGTGACTGTAAATGCAAGTTATTCAACTGTATTCAAAGAAAGAGTGGGAGACAGACAACACATATAAGTTGATGGAGATTGTTTAAAATTAGAAAAAGTTGAGACTTGATTGACTTGTGCACCTTTTCCCAGCTAACTATGACATGATCACACACATTGGCTATAATGAAATAGTGGTTGTCAAATTCGGAGGATCGAAACCTAAGATGGATGTTACCTTTGCAGCTTATTCACTAACCTCCATTACTGAGTTTATGTGTTGTAAGATTTTAGTGAAATTATTTGCAACCAAAATTAAGTTGATTTTTGAAGATAATAACCCTTGGATTAGTACATTATTGACTCATCTGTCAATCTAATCCAACCTATGAAACATTGCCTGTGATTTGACTCATGATCCATTTGCTCACATCTCACCAGTTAAAATGCGTTACTTTTTCTTTTTTTTTTTTTTTTTTTGTTGCATGTATTCAAAATTCATAGTGTGGTGGTGTCCTAGCTACTGTATTTGCGTGTGGGAGAACCTCGGGAAGTTTTTTCGGCGTAACATGTATTCGTTCTATCTCCATATAACAATTAATTTGGGACAGAATATGATAAAAAAAAAAAATTAAGAATAATCATTTTTATCTTATTATGTGACAAACAATCACGTCATTTTGTTGACAACTACTATAGTACTGGTATATTTTTGTAAGGTACTTCTTGCTCTTGAGTAACTTAAGCGGATCCGTACACTTCTCCCCACGCTTAAAAGAAACCCGAAACAACACACACATGACGAAAATAAAAATATGGCGTTAACTTCACTTCTACTCAAAAAAACCAATAAAATAGTCCACAAAATCAAACCTTTCTCTCTTTCCCCTCCAACCATAACTGATAGTCCTCATCATTTAATTCCGTTGCGATTTCACTAGTTGTCTTGTCCCCTCCTCCAAAACCTCGTTCCTTCATGATTTTGGTTTCTTATTCTATAGTTCTGTTTCATCGATCCTTCAATTTTTACGTTTATTTCTCTAATATCAAATGAACCCCATGAATCCCAAGTCCCTTAGTGCTTCAAGAGGTGGAGGAGGAGGAAAGATGCCACTATCCATTGTTGCCATCATACTGTGTACCTTAGCTTTCATGGGTTTACTGTACACTGAAAGACTCAGCTTTCTTTCGTCCAACACTATTTTCAGGTTCAAGCCCTGTCCTGCGGCCAGATACAAACTACCCAAATCAGGTACAATGTATATATATTTGCTCATAGCTATATTCTCCAAAAGTATTCTTTTGACATTCATTCATTGATTGTATGCATCATGATTGTATACAGTACTTATTTAGGATTTTAAACGCAATTACATATAATCGAACCAAAATAATGACGAGTATATTTTTATGAATCACGATAACTATATAAATGTTTTGACAGATAGCAAGAAGTTGAAGGAGAAGCCGCTTGATTACGGGGCTGATGATCGATTCGAGTTTGATCCAGAAGAATGCAGCATTACTAATGGGAAATGGGTGTTTAATCGTTCCATCAAGCCCCTGTACACGGATTCGAGTTGCCCTTACCTTGATAGGCAGGTTTCGTGTGTGAAGAACGGAAGGAATGATTCGGATTACCTGTATTGGCATTGGCAGCTTGATGACTGCATGTTGCCTCGGTAAATTAACTAATAGTGATGACTGATGAACTGTCTGAGCTTGAGTTTTACTTAGGCTGGAAATTCATGAATGTAATCTTTTTTGGTCTAAATTGTTAAGTTACAAATTGGTGGCGTGTTGATGGATTGATTGAAGCTCTGCAGGTTCAATCCAGAAATTGCACTGAGAAAGCTGCAAGGGAAGAGACTAATGTTTGTAGGGGATTCGTTGCAGAGAGGGCAATGGCAGTCATTTGTTTGCCTGGTCGAATCCGTAATTCCTAAATCCCAAAAATCTATGAAGCGAGGCCGCGTTCATTCTGTCTTCAAAGCTAAGGTTAAAACCTGTTTGCCAGTCTTCTTTTGTATTTGTTCATCCAAAATGATTGTTTCTTTTGTTCTCTCTTCTCTTATTTTTCAGCTTTATCTTGAGGTTATAACTCTCTCCTTTCTACTTACTCCAGGAATACAATGCCACAATCGAATTTTATTGGGCTCCGTTCCTAATAGAATCGAACTCAGACGTGCACATCATCGGAGATCCAAAGCAAAGAATCCTTAAAATAGATTCAGTTGCCAAGCATGCCCAAAATTGGATCGGGGTAGACACCCTTGTTTTCAACACCTACGTTTGGTGGATGAGCGGCCTCAAGATCAAATCATTGTAAGCTAGCTCTTCCTTAGTTTCCACGAAAACCAACAAAGAAACAAATGAAGACTACCAAAAAGTTATAGAGTATGTCTCAAATAAGTAATACTACTATTTGACTCTGTTTGCGATGTTTTGGTGGTTGTTGGTGGAAAAGCACAGATGGGGTAACTTCTCAAATGGAGAGGAAGGTTATGAGGAATTGGAAGCACCGGTTTCATATAGGATTGGATTGAAAACTTGGGCAAATTGGGTTGACACCACTATTGATCCTAATAAAACTCGCGTCTTCTTCACTACTATGTCTCCAACCCACCAAAGGTCCAATCTCTTTTTTCCTTCTCTTCTTCTGGCTACTACCAAGTTAAAAAAAAATACTCCTTCTGTCTCGAAATTATTGTCCAGTTTGAAGATCTTACTTTTTCGTACAAAAACGAAAATTCAAACTGGACAATCATTTTTTGGGCAGGAAGTATAAGGTATACTGGCTAGTTATTATTGCATTATTATTTCGGAATGTTTGTGAATTGCAGAAGTGAAGACTGGGGCAACAAAGACGGCATAAAATGCTTCAACGAGACGAAACCCATACTGAACCGATGGCACTGGGGAAGTGGGTCAGATCGAAAGATGATGAATGTGGTGTCTAGTGTTGCATCGAGGATGAAAACCCCAATCACATTCATCAACATAACCCAATTATCAGAGTACAGAATCGATGCCCATTCCTCTGTTTATACAGAGTTGCAAGGTCAATTGTTGACTGAAGAACAGAGGAATGACCCTCTCCATTTTGCAGATTGTATACACTGGTGTTTGCCCGGTGTTCCTGATACCTGGAATCAGTTACTCTTTGCACACTTGTAGCGTTTCCTTCTTCTTCTTCTTTTCCACTTCATATTGGGGCATAAGGTTGAACTGAACGTGCTATCGCTCTCGAGTTTGGAGCTCAAAATTTCCAACTTTCTTAGATGAGAGTACGTAAGATACTATTGTCGTGTTAATACTACTTCATGTTTGTAGCTAATCTTCACTTAATAGTTCAGTCATTTATGTCATTTTTTTATTTTTCTTTTTCATTTCAGCTTTTGTTTTTTTTCTTTCTACTTCATGGTTGTGAAAAACTTGGGGCTTGTATATCATTATTGTACTATGGAAATTAGAAACAGAGATGCAAAAAAATGCTCTTCTCTGATTGTCGTTCCTTGCTTACTGACCTGCATGTTCTTTCTCATAGAACCTTCCGTGGACTATGAATTATTTTTTATTAATATGAAAGTAAATGCTATTCCCTCCGTCCCACAAAAATAATTTACATTGAGTTTTAAATTTTGTACTCCCTCCGTCCCATAATTATTGTCCAGTTTTACTAAAATGAAAGATTTTATTTTTGGTCAAACTTAGCTATATTTTATCTTAAACAACCGGATATACCCCTACATAAGTAATTGTTTAACCACTAAGATTTTATGGATAATGTTTTTTACTAAGGACAAATGTGTAACTTGATTCATAAAAAGTCAAATTGGACAATAATTTTGGGACAAAATTTTTTGGGCAAAGTGGACAATAAATATGGGATGGAGGGAGTACTATTTTTAGTACAAATTTGAAAACTCAATATGGATTATTTTTTTAGGATGGATTTTTTTTTTTTTTTTTAGATTCAATAAGAGAGGCGAAACACCTCTAATCAAATTAATGCATTCCGAGCGTGAAACTGCAATCAGATTGTGCTCTAACCCTAGTTCAAACCATTGCAATCACCCGACCCTCCTACTGCCAGTAAAATTATATAATACGCTACAAAATTAGGCTCCCAAAACACATGTTTGAGCTTAACCACCTAATCTCTTTTTAACCATAAACTTCCGCACCCACCAAACCCCCCAATTTGATTTAACTTATTACTATTGCCCCGAGTTAGATATAAGAAACTATTTCCTTTACGTGGGAAAAATATATTTTAAGTTTTAAAAATAACTTTTGTCAAAAAAAAGTTCAAAAAAGAACTAAAGGACAGGACACTTTTTCTTTTTTTCTTTTTTTGATTCACTTTTTCTACTTGCATACTTGTAAGATACACGGTTAACAATGACTAGTCTCATTAATTAACAAACTTAACTCTTGTAATTGGACCACCTAGTGCAAAAATTATATGTTTAGTATTTATCCTGTCCCAACTTATTTTTATTGTTTAATTTTTTTTACTTTTAATATAAATAGTTGTCTTTAGAGTTTTACGTATGTTATAAGTGTCTCTCCATCCCAAAATCATTGTTCGCTTTGGATTTTTTATTTTTAATATAGTTTTTATATATATAAAAAAATACAAACCGGACTTTTTTTTGTGATGAATGGAGTGTTATTGAACCAAAAAAAAAAAAAACAATTTTCAAATTAAAAAACAAAAAAAAATCATTTCATAATATATAGAATATTATTGAACAAAAAATCACCTTCGATGTGGGAGCTTATGTTTATATCTATAGTACTTATTTAAAGTAACAAACACTAAGGATACATGTCAGTACCAGAATGAAAATTTTCCCTCCAGACGTTTACAGACGTTTACAGAACAAATTTGAAGCAAGAAAAATGTGACACGTGGCTTCTTCTTTGCTCAGAAAAATTTTGTCCCAACCCATTTTTCAATAATAATAAGCACTGTAAAATCAAATTCAAAAAAGATTCTCTCAAATCGCATTAATTCGTCCCTAATTTTAGCAATAATAAGCAAAAAAAATCCCCTCAAATCAGCCACTTCAAACTTAACACCAATTATCAAAATTATTCCTAATTTCCTTAATTATAAAAACCTACCATTAACTTAAAAATTAAAATTTGTTCATTATTTAGAAGATTGAAATAAATCTCCTCCATTCCGCTTCCTTACTTTTAGGTTTCAGTTTTGATGAAACAAACTGATTGAAATAAATCCTTCTTCATTTATTGCTTTCGTTGAGGCGACGAAATTTCTTCTTAGCCAGAGCCGTCTTCCGCTCCGATCAACCTTCAGATGCCATAGGTGATTTTATTTTTAGATTATCTTTTATTTATAGTCGGATTCCAAATTCGACGATTATGCGATTGGCAGGATCTCTTTGCAAATCCAGGTTGTAATTGGTTTTGAGATTAGTTCATTTGGTTTATTCATGTATTTTAAGAAAATTGACAATGCCAAAATTGCAAAATAAAATCGACGATGCCCTGAAGTGATTGATTCAGATTTCTATTGTTGTTATTCATTCAGATCTATTGGTTATTTGACTGATCGTAAACATGCCCATCTACTGGGTAAAACTTAATTTTTATTTTTTATATATTTTTTGATCAATTACATTATGTTTGCTAGACTAGGGAAGGGGTGTGGCAATGGAAGTGGTGAAGGGAAGAGGAGGGCGGCGTAGGTGGTGGAAGTTGCTCCTCCCAAAAGTCGAACAGCAGTGATGGCCGATTCGTAATTTTACGAATTCCAATCACGAGGAACATTGGTGGTATTAAATCATTGAATATCTCTTGCTTCATTTATTGGTATTAATTTGTATTTTTTTTCCCTCTATATATGATTTAATAATTCTCCAGTTAGTCTGAAATGGAGTAATTTGGTTGTCAAACATTTTTAATGGAGATTTATAAGCATTTCATTGATGATATTGATTTTCACATATAATTATATGGGGTCCTTTAAAAGGTTTCAGAGACAAGATAAGAGAAAAGTCTCTAGGTTAATTTATGATAAATTATCCAATAAAAGTATGGGACCTCTTTGATTAAATGCATGTGATGATTTTCCGCAACCTATTTGATTGAAACCACTAATGAATTTGACCATGATTAGAATGACCATTTGTGTTTCTGTTGGATTTGATATATATATTAATGTATTTTGAGGTCAGTGTTGGGCTACTCTTACAATTTCGTAATTTACTTGGTAACGGTATGTTTGAATTTAAATCATGAAATGATGATGTGGTGAGGAATGTAAGAAATGTCAGAAATGGTAATGGGATCAACGGGGAAACCAACCCATCAGTTTGTGGTTTGAATAATCTCATTCACTTCACTTCAGGGTGCCTATTTTGGAAATAGAGTTTGACTGAACCCAACGGTCACTTATGGGTTTGATTTGAATCCGTCAAGATTCAAGGAAGATAACTTATATTCTTATCTTTTAAGCATGGTTTTAGACATCATCAGTTTGATGTGCTACTAATCAGTTGAGTTTAATTAGCATACTTTGTAGAATTAACAAATGAATTCATTGTAATGTAGAAGATTCTTAGGTATGAAGGGCATCCAGACTAGCCAAAGGAAGAAATGCAATTGAAGGGCTATAGTTATTTTTTAAAAGCAAATGTTAGATTACAGATGTGTAATTTAAGTTGAGTTTTTCATTAGTATAATATATTTTGTTTGAATTTTTGATTGCTTCAGATGTACAAAGTTGGCGAGAGATGTTTGATTGTATATTTTAGACCACTACGGGACAACAACTGGTGAGTTTAATTCTTTTAACTAATTTATTATTGTCTTGATCAAGTATTTGGTAAAGTTACAGACTTTGTGTATATAAACAGTTCATACTGCTATGAGAGAGTTAAAAATTTTTTGAGGAAAAAATTAGTCGTGAGTTTCTCAACTGGTGAGTTAATGTAAAATAAAAAAAAATAGACAGATAAAGTGGATTAAAGCATTCTCTTTGATCAGGAAAATAGCTAGATGAGATTAAGTATGATGGACTTCATTAATCATGTTTGTGATGCTATAAAATACCTTCCTACGTTTACAAGTAAAGAAAACCTCGAACTTTGGGTATATGTTTGAGTAGAAGCAGAAAAGATGTAGGACTTTTAGATACTCCCTTCCGATAGATTAAGATTGATGATAGTTTCAAAGTTCAAGTGCTTGCTTGGCATTATTTATGTTGTGAAAATCATATAAAAATCTGAATACTTTTGCGATAGCATATGATCATGTTGCTATCAAGTTTCGTGGACTTGAGACAGATAGTATTTTGATGTCAGTGATTATGAAGAAGATCTCGAGCAGGTTGTCTGTGTTTCCCTGCTAATCTGTTTACACAGCTGAACCTGTTACTTTTAGAAATATAGTGTTAAGCTCCAGTTAAGCTTCGTTATTTAATTGCGAGGGTAAGCTTTGGCACTAGCTTTACAGAGCATAGACGGTACTTTGATACGTCTCTACAGTATATACTTACATGGCAGTACTAATCCAGGTAAATTGATTTTGTTGGAAATTTAGAAAGACTGAAAACAAGTATTTTTGTGTTCCAACAGGATAATTATATGCCATTGCATTTTATTTGTTCAACATCTTTCTCCATTGCATTAAAAATTCTCCATTGCTGACCGACCAAAGCTTTATTGTTTTTGCAAACTGTGACTGGAAGGCAATATATGTGTGCTACTTTTGATTGTAGCTACAGTAGGATTTGTAGGCCTGTTGACAGAATTATAGAGGTTAATCGTCAATGCAGGAAAGCTGAAAATGCAATATTGAATGCTAAGTTTTAAGAACTACCCCAAGCTGCTTCCAATCTCAAGAAGATATTCTGAAATAGGAAACCAAAGAAAGAGAGGATGTAAAGGGGAAGCCTTGCTATACAAACCACCTTCATCTTAGCAGAGAAGTGGTTGCAAGGGGGAGAAAGATTGCAATAATGACTTTCGCAAATTATTTTTACTTTGTATTAGATGTTTTATCGCGATTTCAAGTTTTCAACTTGCTAAGTCAGAGTTTAAAAATTGATAAAAAATTAGCCCTTGAGCAATTATACTACGGGTAGTAAACATGGCGGCTTTTGAGTAGTATATTGGTTATTTATGGGAAGTATGTACGTTGGGGCGTATACATAATTATGTACTAATTACATTATTTGTCTTTTATTTCATACTAATCATTTTCATTGTCAATTGTTTAACCATTTGTTTTTGTCATTGATATGTATAATATTTTATATTTTTTTAATTTTCTATTATAGTTTTAATTAAGATAAATTATAAAATATGATATACCATGAACGTTTTCTAGATTAATTCCCTTTGAATAATTTATATATGCCTTTTAAATCTGTCTTCAGTACTGAGTTATGATTAATGTTCCTCTATATTTTTATAATTTGTTATTATTTTTTTAATTAATATAAGTATAACATTAGAGGTGTCCGGGCTTTCGGCCCGGGCCAAGCATCTAGTTTTGATGATTGAACTCAGTTTGATGAACTTTGATGGGCGGTTCCACGATTTGTGAGTCGTGGGTTAAATGCCTTGACATCCTACAAGGCCACAATTTTTTATTTTTTTTTACAAGAACCAACTTACAAATGCATAGACTATTATATGGGTGGAGTCTATAGAGAAGGAGATAGTACTACTACGGGGGAGACTCTACGCGTGCATGTCCATTCCACTTGTCCACCCTTGAAGCATCTTTTTGGCTGCTACTGCCTCCTACCTTGCACGAAAGCATGGCAAGCGATAAATTACTGCCGTGGGGGTTTGAACCCGCATCATCACGGATAAGTGCCAAAACCCCTACCATTGGACCAACCCCTCATTGGCCAAGGCCACAACCTTATTTTGGTGGTGTCCATCTCATAATTCTGAAGGCATGTGATCGACAATAGACATGACATTATTTGAGAGTATCTAAACAGTTTGGATGTCGTAATACTACAAATGTAAAATAACTTGTTCCGTTTACCCAAAAAAAAAAAAACCTTCCTTATTTTATACTTTTCGTTCCGAAATTATTGTTCAGTTTAGATTTTCATTTTTAGTTTAAATTATACTAAAACTTAAAAATTAAAGTGAACAATAATTTGTGACCGAAAGGTGTATGGTATCAAAATGGTAAGTGTTTTTTATCTTGGACCGGGGGTAAAAAAAAAAAAAAAAACTACTCAAATTTCTTTCATCGGAGGAGATTGTCCAGGGCCATGTCCACACTGTATGGGCCCAAAAATCACTTCCATAGAGTTGGGCCTTGACCCAATTAGAATATTAGTATCGGTTTCCGGGTTCAGCCATAAATGGCGCTCACAAGCCAACTATGAGTCCTCTTTCTCAGGTCAAGCATCTAGAGGATTCCAAGGTCTAAAACGAAAACCCTAGTTTTTCCAGTTCCGATTACTTGGCCATCGAATTTCAGGTGAATGTTCTTATTTCATTGTCATTCTATATATTTGGGCAATTACAGTGCAAATTGCGATACAGCAGAAAACTGATAATGGTTTGATTATTCATTTGTAGGGAAAAAAAAAGTTTATCAAAATGGCTGGAGGGAATTTCATGTACAGGGTGATGTCTTACGTCGCTAATGAGGTCGTTGCGAACGGTCTCGCCTCTAAGTGAGTTACGGTTTTGTAGATATCTTATTGTTATGCTTTTAAGTTTTTGAATGAATTATGCTAGTGATTAGATTGGGCTTTTTTTTACTTTTGTTCCCTCCCTGGATTACTGTCGAAGGAAATAATGGTGATTTTTATTCTAGATTCTTATACTCCCTCTGTCGTCCTGTTTGAATTTTCACTTTTATCAGTAGGAAGCCTGTAATTTGTTGTGATTATTGGTTGCCAGCCTATGATGATTGCTTATTTGCTTCATAGGCTTGTAATGATTTCCGGAGATATTGCATTCCTTTATGTTTGTCCTGTAAATCTACGTGAAACAGTATTTTCTTGTTTGCTGTAAATCTATGTGAAACAGTATTGTCTTGTTTCTAAAGTTTGTTATGGCTCTGATTGAATTGTTTTCCTTTTGAGGGGTGTCATTCAATATATTAATGAAGATTTTAATCTCAGAATTTTAATCTTGTGATGATGAGCAGCTGCCAATGATGATCAATTTGTAGGCTTGTAATGATTTGCGGTGATGATCACATCTTTTCTTTTTATAAGTAGTGATCTGAGGTTGCTGGGAATTTTTTTTTTCTTTAAATCTTTTTTGAGATTTTGTGTTATTAGGTTGTGGCTTTTGTTGTTTCTGATTGGCTTTTTTTTCCCTGTCATTGGGGTGGTGAATGGGGATAATTGAATGAGAAATGATCATTTTATTTGAGATTCCATAATCTTAATTTTGATTACACCGACACTATTTGCTTCCCTGCAATTTTTACTGTTAGGCTTGTAACGCATGGCTTTTATGATATATTGCAGAAAGTTTGTTTGTTTATTTATATTTTTTTTTCCATGTTTTAGTAAAGGATTTCAGAGATTTGCTGTGAAGATACGTAGAACCATGGAGTCGTTACCAGAAAAAGGTTTGCAGTCCTATCTTTCTCGACCTCAATTTCATCAATTCCGAGTTTTTCATAACATTAGCTTCAAACATTCTTATTTGCAGCTGCTGAGATGAGAAAACAAATTGCAGAGCAGGTCAAGGAAGTTTCTGAGGTCAGTTTCTGAAGGGAACGCTAGTTTTACTTTGTCTAGATATAGATATTTTTCTTATTGATCTGTCTTCGTTTCAGACTCTCAAGAACCAGCAGTGAAATGGGGACGATTATTTGTTGAGATAACCATGTACAAGGTGGTCCTTTAAGTGCTTGTGTTGCCCTCATGTTTGCGAAGAGGGAGGCTATATTTATTGTAGTAACTTTTACTTTAAGGAGGTGAATGTAATTGCATATGGTTAACTGATGTTACGACTTTACGAATCCTCAGTAATGCCTGCACTGAGTTACTACATATTTTTCTGGTTACCCATGGTAGTATAGTTTCTTGCCAAAAATAACTAGCTGTTGCTTTGCTCTTTCAAAATGTTCCTGTACACCAGGATATGTATTTTCATACCTCCATAATAATGCATGTGCCATAGGATAACAATGTCTCTAGCTTTTGCGTAGCAAACTCGTACACTCAGATATGTATTTTATATACTTCCATATCAATGCAAAACCAAGCAAGACAACAAAGAAACAGATACCATAGGTTTCCGTGCTCCAGAGATTATTTTATTACTATAACATAAGAACTTGTGCAAGTTATATCTCTCCCTTCCTATCATGCCTTCGTTATTACAATGATCTGAATAGCCTTTGACATCTGTGCTTGAAAGGTTCTTAATGAAGGCCTGCATGCCTTATGGCTAGATTATTCACATACTATCATGTAAAGGTGCTAAATCCGTCCAAGTTAAAACTTCCTGTAAGCATTTGAAAATGGCACTTCATCGCCGATGATCAAGTATGAAAGGTCTTGTAATGACTTGTAAACAGCATATTCTCTGTGACTTTCATTCCCCTTCGATTCTTTACACGATATGTCTCTTCAGCTCACCCAAAATCCGACAACAGGTCAAATGTCACTGTACTTACCTACGGAGATTGCAAAATAAAAACATTTCTCCAGTTTTAAGGTGGAAATTTAGAAACAAAGATCATGAGAAGACACTGTAATCTCGGCGCTGCCTTTTACCTTCATATGGCAGCCATTGTTTGCCGGAAAACCAAAAAAGAATTGGCCTTGTCATCAAGGGTTAATATGCTCGGGAAATACAGCTTGGCCCAAGTAAACCTGTTGCATCTCTTCTCTCCAGATCTGTAATGGTAAACTCTCAATCAGATCATGAAGGTAAGATATCCAAAATTTATTCATCATTCATAAACAAAAGACATCCTACGCAGTGTCTACAGATATGTTTCAGAATCAAATCACGGGAGTTTAATATCATTGATTATCAATCAATACATGAAGAACATAAACCCACGTCCGTGGTTCTCTTTTCTTTTCAGAAAGGTTTACAGTGAGACTAATCATGAAATATCAAACCTGGTACTCAGAACAAGAGAACAGAAAAGTTAGGAAGGAATTACATTCATACCATGTCACGAAATTCCAGGCGAATATGAGGCACATTGGTCTTATGAATATCATTTCCATCTGGTCCTCTCTTGTAGTACTCCTGCCCAACCCAGTGAGACTAAAACAGAGCAAATTGAGGCATAACGGAAATGAGGCTTCGGATAAGCAAAGGCCTTGTATCTTAACAAACAACTGCAAAAAAGTTCCATGTGAAAATGCAGGGAGTAACAAACATACCTTAAGTGCATGTGAGAATCCAGACTGATAAACTGAATTGCGAGCAATCTCACATAAATCGCATGAACTCAATTTCCACACCTACAACAGAAAAGGTAAATCTCATGGCCACAACTACAAGAATTCACAGCATTCTTAAATTCAACAAAATCAAATGGAGATCTCACAGATGCAGCTATACTGTACTCTTCAACCAGGGGCTCTTTCGTTAAGTGGATTTGCAATGGGTCATCAGTTGAAAGCGAGACATTGAGGCCACGTAAAAAAAACATTGGAAAAGGATTCCGATGATAGTCCAAAAATAAAGAGTTGTTGCTCAAAGGAGACATTGCTAGACCAATCTGTTGAAAGACCAGATATCACAGCATTTCAGAAATTCCATGTGTTCTAAGAAGATTCAGTTTCAACTTGCTCCATTTCTTTTACCTGGGCTAGGTAGTACAAGTATTGCAGGACAGGTGATTTTCTCAAGTTGATGCCATGTGCGATATTATGTGCGGTCAGAAATGTTGCAGCAAGATGGTCAACATCACCAGCCTAAGAGACTCATAATATCAGTAACACAACAAAATTTGCTTCATAAGCTAAATATATTTTACATGATTCAGGTTGCATATACCTCTCCAGAATGCGGACGAAGTTTGATGGTTGTCATCCCTTTTGACTCGCGCAGCTGAAACATCAACAAAGGATTTAAAAAAGAAAAACAGACACACCGATGTTTATCCACACATGTTTGTAATGATCAAAAGAGTGCCAACTTTGGAAGACCTCTTCCGCTCATCATGAGGAAGGTCCAATACTTCCTTCATCAAGGGAGTAATAGATACATAGTACCCGTAGAGCATATTTAATATTGCTTGTCTGCAAGATCTGTACCTTATTTAAGGTGTAGAGGTTCGCATAACAGTAGTATATGTAATATGAATAAGCAGGATTAAATATGTTGGTCCACTGATCTGGTGTGGGCATGTGTTTTGTAGGCCGCCGTTCAGGCTTACTCTCATCATCCACCAAATCAAATCCAACAACCTGAAAGTTAAAGGAAGTGATACGTTAACAAGTATCACAAGCCATCATCAAGACATCATTATCAACTAAAAATGCTTGCATATGTTTATCATGTGTATAGGAGCACAACAATAATTAGTATAAAAAACGATCTGTACAACACTAATGTAATATAGCATCTAAACTTTCGGCTTAAAACGTCTTCACATTACTTTCCATTACTTCTGCTGGACAAACAATATAGTTTCCTAATTCTTAATAAGCACATCTATGGGTTCTATAATAACATTATCGCATACGATAGCTGTATCATCCATACCTGCTTCAAGAAAACATGCAACTGAGGATGTGAATTTGGATCAACAGTGACCTCAAATAAAGGCAGGAATATGTTATCGAGAATGTTCTGAAATGATGTCACTATTCCCATCTCCTTGTAAACATTGTAGAGTCTGGGGAGCTGAAAATATTGGAGATTCAACATGAGATTGTATATCTAAACAGCACTTGATGATGAGACAAAACATAATGAGTATTAAAAGTCAGCTTAACAATTGGAAAATGCAGAGCCGACTGCTGAGTGGTGCCGAGTTGCATTTCCCTCATATATATTGAAACTAAACTAAAATAAATCATGAATGATTAATCTATCTGTCGGATACCTGAATTAACCAGACAACATTCTCACTATATAAGTCATTATTAACAATCCAACTAGCCAGCTGATCCCACTCACTTTGCTTTCTTCCATATATCGATATTCTATATTCAGCCATCTGCAAAAACACCAACCAAATCAAACAGAACCTCAGACCATTTTATAAAGTAAGTTGCAATATACTCCATCAATATAGGTAAAAAAAGAAAAAAAATCTTCATCTGCAGAAATCAAAAACAAGAAAATAAACCTGAAATCACAATGAAGATACAAAACAAATTTGTGCGTCAAATAAGGAAAACTAAATATTATATAACGGGAGAGTCCCATCCCAGCCCTTAGTCAGAAACCTACGTGCTAGATCAGCTATTTATTCAAACGATATTGAGCATGTTTATCGTTAGTTCATAGGAATAGGACAATAATGCGCTAATCAGGAGTACTGAAAAAAATGAGCCCACGTAAGTAGGTTGCACAAAGTTTGAGAAGATTTGCAGCTATGTAGCCCCAGAAGAACCAGCTTGGATACAGCGAAGTGCTCACCGTGCAAACATGCAGTACTCTTAGTGAATGTTTGGTATATGAAACAAAGAATTTGCTCGGGATGAAAAAACTTCAAAAAGGAAAGAAGGAACAAAATGGAAAGATTTCCAAAAGTTAGGAGAAAAAGCTAAATAAAATCATGTGCCTTGGAAAAGGTCCGTCTCAGAGTGATACAACAAGAACAGGCGACATCCATACATATTAGAAATGCCAAGTATACATACAAGATAAGCATCGAAAACACACCTGATATTTGCTAGCAGCAAGATCATTAAAAACTTGTTTTGTCAGCTCACCAAGGAAACGACCTGCAAATTGTCAGCCACTTTTAGAGAAATCATGAAGATTTCCAAAGCACATAGAAGATAAAAGCACGCAAGAAACACAATCTAAGTATTGGACTTGGGCGTGTGGACAAGAAAAGTGGGTCTTTCCTCAACTGCAAGTGCCATCAAGAAAATTCTTTTAAAATAAAATAGAAAAGATTCACAAACCTTGTATAAGATTGTCCTGCTTGAGGAAAATCTCCCTCAGTCTACTTTGTCCACAGGGATTATACTTGAGATTAAACTTGTCAAAACGATGAAAGGTGCTCTTATCAGCGTGAACATCAAGCAGGTCAACATTCAGATCATATCTGTTTCCAAGTTCAAGTTACCAAAAGAAAGAGTCACAAAGCAAAGGCCAAAAGAAGTAAATAGACACAGCAATGACATGTGAATTAATGATCAATGTCCTGATCACAAGAGCAAAAATGATAGCACATAAATCAGGTGGTTCTTCATTACCCAGACAAGTCCAAGCTCTCGAAAACTTCCTTCAATGTCAAATAGGTACCATCACGAAATATGACAACCTGAATCAAAAGTATGAGTAGATAGATTTCAAGTATTGATTTGCTAATTAATTTTCAAAGAGATGCAACATATTGTTCAGAAAAACTCTTGACCTCGTCAGGCTCTTTCCTCAGCTTTGACTTTATAAATCTTAACAGATGCTTCTGATTCATGCATGCTGAATGGTGAACATGTGTATCAACCTTTCTGACATTGTAGAAGTCGCGATGTGGAGCACTTTTTTGGGCAAGAAACTCCCTATCCGCATTAAGCATCAAATGAAGGTTGAATTTCTAGATGGGATCCAAATGTAAATGTCTCAGAAGGCATATTATGATTCACCAAAACAAATCACAATTATTACCAAAAAATTACCGCATTGACTGAACTTACTTGCTCTAGAAGGACTAGGCGGTGGTGACATAATGTCCGGATATTCCCAGCTGCAATAACTTTAAGTATGTGATGCAAATCAGTGAAAAAGGTGGTGGCATCAGCGACCGGAAAAAGTTTCTCCTTTGCTGAAAGATGGGTAAAGAGCCGCCAAAAGAAAAAGAAGACAAGGTAATGCTAAGTAGGCAGAAGTCCAGTTCAAAACATTTAAACCCAAAAGTAAAAAGGTAAACAAGTATCTTACAATCTTTATTAGCATAAACCTGAACAACTCCATCTTCCATCTGGAAATAATGCTGGAGGTACAATTAAGATGTCAGTGAGAAGTGAATAATATAAAATTAAACAGTGCACCAGAAAATAAGAAATAATAACACCTCCTCGAGAGTTGATAACACCACCCCCCCCCACCACCCCCCCCGGGCAAAGTAAATAAAATAAAATAAAATAGTAAAGGGATATTTCCTTACATCTGATTTTTGTTCCAGAGCATAATCAAACGGATTCGGAATGGGCTTTGGGGTGCTTGGATCAGTAATAATTTCTTTTTCCCACGGTGAAATAGCTTCCCTGAATACGTAACTCTGTCTCAACTCAAGGCAAGTTTGCAGATTCCGATAAACATCCACTTCATCGGGAGATGGTGCCTCTAACAACCATTAAAAGGAAATAAAAAATAAGCTCATTGTAGCTTTCCCAGAGGCAGGACGAAATACACTCATAAACAGAAAAACTGGCTACCCAACCCAAGATATGTTGGAAATACACTCCGAGAAATGCAGTAACAGAAGCAATAAAATTTAGAATATAAGGATAACATTTTGGCATCAGGAAAAAGGGTATTTAATTTTAAAAGCTAACACTCATATCATAGGTATAATTTCCACGTGTTACTAGAAGTCACAATTCTGATGATGATTTTGCATGAATCTGTAACACCACATAATGAGATTACACAATTCATTGACAAGCACCAGAATCGAGTTTTCTGTGAATCGTATATATGTCGCAATAAGTCCCAAACACATAACCACCAAAAGCCACATATTAGAACAGAGCTGATATAGACAAATAACAGTACCATTCTTTGTAAATTTTTTCCTCTGCCTACAAAGTGCACAGGGCATCATGTATCAACCATATCTGTTGCCGCATCACATACTATGTCTCAGTTGCTATTTACCAGTGTTAACATTCTACAAAAAGTCGGTTAACTGTCTTAATGCTGTTTTCACTAGAACATAACGGGACAACACCCAAGGACGGAAAAACTAACAAATGAAAGGACTCGAGAAGCTTTTTCCTATGCAGAATTACACAATCAAGTAAACAAGAGGAAAAATAATACCCCTGGGAGAAATTTTCAGGCGCACAAATGTTTCTTGCTCTGGCTCTTTCCTGAGAATATCCGCAGCAACAGGATCAGGTTGAACACTATGTAGATCACCGGATACACTGTGGGATCGAATCAAACTAGGTGCAGCCAAGGCCATTTGCTCTCCGTTATTGGCATTACCATTATCTGGTAGATTCTGGAACATACCTTCACATTCTGGACCCTGTTCATATCAAAGGTAGATATGATAGTTTGCAAAGTTATTTATACCAGAAATACACAAGCTCCAAGCTACATTGCCAGCAAAAAGAAGTTGCACAATTAAAATTGGAAAGAAAATTATTTAATCAAGGTCTGAAAACAACAAAAGAAACAGGTAACATAGATATAATCATTATGTGTGGCCAAATACACCACAGAACATCAATTTACCACATTGCCATTGGCATGTATATATGCAGTATCCAGTCCAGCATTGTCAGCCACATTGTCTTCATCATCTGATCCTTCTACACTTTCAAATGCACTAGCACTGGGGACAGGAGACTTGGGAGAAGTGGGTCTAATAAGATGTCCACTTCTCTTGGAAGAACTAGCATGCCCAGGTTTCCCTAAAGCCAGATAAAGAAAGACCAAGAGTAAATGGACAGAGAATACATTAAGAAAAGAATATAGAGTAGCGAAGCAGAATCAAGTGTGGAAAGACAGGACCAAGATAAAATGCGCATCCGGATACAGACAAACTTTAGAAGTAAGAAATACAATGCATGATAACTGCTGCATGTGCAAAGTGCACCAAGAGGATGAGCATGTTATCCAAACCTCTCAATAGAACAACAGGGCAAACAACTAAAACAAACCAAAACTTCAAAAGACACCGAAAAGGGGACAGTACTTTTGAGGTAAAAACAAAAACAATCATTAGAGGAACTGACATTTTATGCAAACCTCACATGAACTAACATTTCATTTCATGCCTACATGCAGAAAACAGGTTTACTCCTTTTGCGTCAATGCTGTAACGCAACAGTGTTAATGTCTCATAAATAAACCTATGCACAATTGAGTTTATGACTTTAATGCAACGTCCAAGTCTGACATCAAACATGTTTTGCACATGTGAAACGGAAAAAGTTTCTACTTTAGATATAAAGACTATAATCACCATAGAACAAACAATATAACAAAATTCAATTCACGTGTACCAACAATCTATTTCTTTATTTTCTTTTTCTGATTGTGCCCTAACCCTGCCATGACAGAAATAAGTTAGATGTTATGACACTGCACTTGTCTGAGATTGTAAATGCATTAAAACATTTATCACAGTCAAGAAGCATGAGGAGATCACAGCCCATCACTGTTGCCTCAGAATTCATTACATATGTGCCAAAATAACCTCAACTTTCCCCTACTCTGACCACTAAGTTATCGCCACATAAATAATGCTCATAACAGAGAAATACAAATAATTTTCAATCCCATCAGCCTTCTAAAATCCAGTTATGACATGTATGCACCACCCTGGTTGCAAGCTCAGAAAATCACATAAATTATGGAAAATGTACTTAAGCATCAAATTACTCCAGCGAAAGAAGGATCAATGAGGAATTTATCGACGGATTCTTCAGCTACTCCTGTGTTGTTAGCATGAAACCTGTACAATCGAGTACCAGCATTGCAGTGGTCCAAGACTGTACACTAAAGAGAAACGCAGCGACTGATATTGTTTGCTCAAAGTTAGTATAATATGGCGATATTACCATGCCTGCAAGTCAATTGAACCTAGGCCACCCCTTTCACATTTCCCAATCAACCAGAGTAACATAAAAAGATTTCACCATAAACCAACACCAATTACGAAGGAGTAACAGCATCATTTACAGAAATGACTATACAATTTCAGGAAGGGGGGAAAGAAAAACCCAATAAATTGAAAAGGGGGAAACAGTTTCTGAGAGCATAGCATGCAGTAGCCATTTGACCAAAAACCGAACTACAAAGAAGATGCTCATAACTTTTCAATTGAGTCCCAAATGCAATCAATTAGCAGTTTGAACTAGTCACATGAATCACTGCCACTAGTTTCCTTATGAGTGGTTATTCTCAGTGAGAAGATGGTCCGTATTTGGGCATTCAAGTTCTATCAATAATCAAAATTGTTTCACCTTGATTAGACGGTGGTACTTAAAAAAAATCATAAGAAAGTTGTAGCACACACTCCACCGTGATAATTTGATTAGGAACACGATCCATACAACAAAAAGGGCACAAAAATAAGCATGCAATAAAATACCACGTTTAGTATTCCGGCGAACAGTCCAGAATTTGCTTACCTTCCGGAAGGGTGTGGAGTCTCGGCAACCCAAGGGGAATACAATCAACATGGATTGGACCATTCATAATCCTTTTCTCTTCAACAACATCCATCCCTCTGGAAATAGCCGTGACGTCCGGCATTGAAGCCGAACCCCGGCGGTAGTACCCGTTGCTTCCTTTCTGCCGCCCATGGCTTCGCCTCTTCTCCACCCCATCCGCACCTCTGTACTTGTTCAAATGCTGCGGCGAATCGTCGGCACCACCTCCTTCATCCACCGCCGCTGCGACGCCACCGCCGCCCTCCTCCCCCCTACCCCTCTCCCTCTCCATAGTCTTAGCGAACTCCAGCAACTGGTTTAGGGTCTTGCGGTGCATGTAATACGCCGATACCGCCACCACCGACGCCCCAACCAGCGCGGCCATGGCTAAATGCACCGCATACGAGTCCATTACTACCTTCCACCTCACAAAAAAGTTCCCCTCTCTACAAGTAGAAAATCGCTCGTGTTTCGGTATCGCCAAATGAGAAAACCCTACTGAATAGTGACAGTTCGGAGACAGTGAGCCAGTGCGTGACTGCGTGAGAGAGAAAGAGAAAACAGAGGCGAACCGAAAGGAAAATGCGCCGCTGTGTTTTTATTCGGGGGAAGAGAAGTGGCGAGCTGGGTTCTATTTATATTGAGATGAGAGAGAGAACATCATATTCGCTTTAATATGCGTTTTTTTTCATCAGTTTCTCTCTAAACTTTCTTTCTTTTCCCCTCCTTTTTTGGTTTACTTTATCCTCCTTTCTTTTTACTCATTTTCATCGCATAGTAAAAAAGCTCATTTGCAAGTCCTCCCGGCTGGCGGCGGCGAGTGGTGGTGGAAATGGTGGTGGACAGGTGGAGAGAGAAACAAAATAAAACGAGACGCTGCAAGTGTGATTAAATTAAAAAAAAAAAAAAAACGCTGCTTTTTAGTTTTTGTTATAATCGTATCATGAATGTTAAAGTGAACTTTACTTAATTACCCAAAGTAACATTTGATTAGTGGTAAATTTATTAGTACTAAAGTCTAAACTAATGAGAATGATTGTCTTTTTCTTGATCTTGTAATTATTTATGATAGTTACTGCACAACTAGTGGATTTTCGGCACATCTCTTAGTTTATTAACTGGCCGTTTAAGTTTTTTATGGTCGAATGTAAAAAAAAAAATGTAAAGTATGGTTCTTAACCATTAATTTATGTTACCCCTCAGTTCTCGCTATTACGCTGTCATTATCCACGTCCCACTATTTTTACTGTGTTTTTAAACTTTTGTTAGCTGAAATTGACTGATTTGGATTTTGCATGTGAGCGGATTTTACTTTTCATCGTCCACGCTATGCTACAGCAATTACAACTTAAAAGCTGCCTCGTATCAATAGTTCACTATTTATATTAATTTATATAAATTTGAAAATTCAAAATAGATTATTTTTATGGGACGGAAAGAATATTTTTTTAAAAAAAAATGGTTGCAATAAGTATTTACTCCGTCTATCCTGCAAGGATTGATTAATTTAAATTTTTAATTTTTGGTACAGTTTATTTTATAAGTTAAAAAATATTATTGAGGAATGATTTTAGAACGGAGGAAATATAAGATATCGAAATGTAGGCAATCTTCCCGCCCCCCCCTCTCCCTAAGTTATGACATTTTCTTAAACAAAGTTACGACTGAATGATGTATTCCCTCCTTCCCATAATTATTGTCCACTTTGCCCAAAAAATTTTGTCCTAAAATTATAGTCCAATTTGACTTTTTATGGATTAAGTTACACATTTGTCCTTAGTAAAAAAATATTATCCATAAAATCTTACTGGTTAAACAATTACTTATGTAGGGGTATATCCGGTTGTTTAAGGTAAAATATAGTTAAGTTTGACCAAAAATAAAATCTTTCATTTTAGTAAAACTGGACAATAATTATGGAATGGAGGGAGTACTAAATAGACTATTCGTACATTTAATTTTAACAACAAACTGACACATAACTAGATATTATTTTTGTCTCAAAATTATTGTGCAGTTTGAATTTTCAGTTTTAATTTAATTTGTACTAGAAATAAAATCTAAATTGAACAATAATTTCGAAATGGGTGGAGTATTTGAAATGGTACTCTAATATAACTAATTTGAAAATAAAATCCCTTTTACCCTATTAAAGCAGAAAACGGGATGCTGATGTGGCAATTTCTTATTTAAATGTTTTGGCTCCAAATGCACCATATTGCATAAACCATTCTGCCACGTGTCACCCCTTTTTAAAAACAAAAAATATATTTACAATATTAACGAAGAGATCAGATAGCCATGTTCATTTTGAATTTGACAATGAATGGAACTTTCCTTCTCCACTTATTTAGGACTTTCGAAAAAATTAATTTTCGATCAATCAATTATTTTCATCAAAAACTAAATTCATTTCTAATCAGTTTTGATTATTTACATATTAATTTATTAGGTGAGAGGACGCCCCCGGACATTTGCCCGGGACAAGCATCTAGTTTTATTTAAAACACAATAATGCAAGTACAAATTAGTAAACATGACTATTTAGCGCTAACTATAAGGAAAGGGAACGGAAAAAGTGATTAATAAAGTAAGTTCATCCAAGGAATTGGAATAGTGAGTGGGAAGTAGTGGGTTGAGTTAGGACTATTGGTGGTTCGGCAAGTGGACCATGTTCCGCGTACCTGGGCTTATGTACAGACTACGGACCAGTAGCTGGTGTTTTAGTGTCTTTTTCATTATCCATTTGTGGGTTCCAATTTCTGCTGATTAGGCTGCGACACATGTTTAATGTGCCTTTTTTATTTTTTCAATGGCTCCCCGATTAACCCAATACATCATTTGGAAGTCATTTTATTTTTCTTGGTATTTCAAATACACTGAGTATATGGTATTTTAAATACAGTTTGATTATGTATTTAGAGGATCGTCCAACCCATAAAAATTTCCCAAATCTAACGGTTATGAAATAGGTGGACAATTTGCTACTAAAAAGTGTCTATAAACTGAATTTTGAGCCAAAAAAAAAAGAGATTCGTCGACTTATCCGTCGATAAAAGCAATTCGACAATCAAGTGACAAATCTCCTTTTCACTCAACTTTCTTCTATTTAGGTTTCATTTTTCCATCGTCTATAGTCTATATGCAAATATCGCAAAAATCCAAACCAATCATTCTACAACCAAACTTATTGTATTGATTAGTATGGTTTGAAATGATTCTTAATTATCCATTCATGGCCATATCACAAACCGTGCAAAAATTATAAAATAAAAAAACAACATTTCAAAGTGCAAATATTCTAGTACTGATTCCACGAATTTTTGAAACTCTATGCAGATTAGTCAATAATTATTCGAAATATTGAGATATTAGTGTGGGAAATTTCTATGACACATGTATCTCTAAGTCTATCACTAAACGGTTATTTTTTGGAAGATTAAGCCTATTCGATCGTAAGAGAGAGAAGGCCGAACCGAAATCTTTATCGCGTGAAGCCCGGAACGTAAATCGTAACGTATAAAGTGGAACCGTAAACTTTAACGGTGGAAACTTGTCGGGATGACATGAAAAACGTTGGGTCCTTTGCTAGAGAAACGGCGGGGAAAAGAAGCTAGCTTTACGACTTCAGTTGCAACGGATCTGATTCACGTTAAAGTTCTTCGACGATCACGTTTTTTAGTCTTTGCATATTTGCTGCTTTCGCTTAATCTTCGTCATGTTAAACAATTGAAACTGAAAAGGTTAAAGGCTATAAGTAGTTAGCTTAGTAGGCAATTATTACAATCCCCCGGGGGAGTTTTTTTGACTTCGTATTACTAAGTACTAATGAACAATGGCAAGCATTCCCGCAACATCATGCAACACGGTGTGCGCTCTCGTTGTGGTAGGATATTCTCATAGTATGATTGTGAAAATTTGAACCATTTTTCTCAATCGTTATGCCAAAAGAAATAAAAAAACGAAGCTACCATAGGGTGTAAGTACTTTTCTTGATTTTTCAATTTTACACGGGAATGGCACGGCTTTTATCCGTGCAATGGTCAATAACCTTACGAGCATTGAACTTATGGACAATAATTTACGATCAATATATTAAAATCTATTAACAAATTGTCCGAAAAATAAACTTGGAAATAATTTAATTTATTGAATAAAATTCTAAAACAATTAAATCATATCTCATATTCCCAAGGTAAAGATGATTAAATTAAAAAAAATACAATTTTTTTTGGTGTATTACGCATCCGGTGTCCGAAGTCATTGTTCCGATTAATCCGGATTCGAGCCGGATAAGTCTCTTTTAGGAGGTAAAACTCTCCCAACAAATATTTAATCACTAAAAATACTAAAAATATACTCTTATTGTAACTACTATTAAATGTCAACAAAATTATATATTCCCTATATCCCAAAATTATTGTCCAATTTGAGATTTTACTTTTAGTACAATTTGAACTAAAAATAAAATTCAAACTGGATAATAACTATGAGACGGAAGGAGTAGTTTGTATGGAGTGTGTTCCAACGTATTCTTCATTTTGTCTAATAAAAAAAATTTCATTTGGCAATACATACGGAACCTTTTATTAACCATGGGTACGTAACAACTTGAAGTGTACGAACTTCATTTTTTCCAATATAGATCTTACACCGTTTTAGAATTTGGACAGATGCAATTAAACTAGTCATGAATCACATCACCAAAAATAAATAAATAAATAAATAAAGCAAATTTGTAATAGATCTAAGAAAAAGAACAAAGATGAGTGTGGGTAAAAAAAGCTATAGATTTACAAATCTCTATTAATCACCTTCAAATCATGCATTACATGTAAACATGCATTTCTTTTGGTGGCTTCCACTTCACCAATCAGTCTATTCCTGCCAAAAGGGCCATACTTGAAAAAGACATCCGAATCAAACAAACTTTCAAATAGTTCTATATAATTATAATCATCACTTTCATGGATAATTATCAATTAATTATATATATGGGAATCATGGAATTGATATCTGAAGGTGACCCAAGTATTAAGGACAATGATAATAAATTGCAGGTGTGACATTTAGTGATGGATCCACGTTGAGAAAAGATGGGGTAAAAATAGAATTTACAATCGGAAATGAATTATACTATCTATGTTCTCAAAAAATAATCCATATTGAGTTGTGAATTTTGTACGGTTTTTAATACAAATTTTAAAACTCAAAATGGACTACTTTTCTGAGACGGAGGGAGTAATTGTTAATTGAATAGAGGATGTCCAATGCACATTGCACAATCGATCCTTTGTTTGAAAGCTCATATTATTGATCTGTTTTTGTTTACTAGTAGTAAGAATTCCACTTGGTCCAAACTCCAAACTGCATACACTTGGTCAGGAGAATTACAACGATGGGATTTAAGCCCACTTGATTGGTATTGTAGGGGATCCTATTCTCTGTTAAGAGAATCACATTTGTTTCAAATTCACTTCATCATCCGGAGTTCCGGATAGTCCCGAGAATCATCCGGCGTAGGCTACCGGTATAAAAAAAAAAAAGTAGCTAGGATTAGGAACCCCGTATCGCACATTGCATATTGCATTTGCTTATTCTAAGAAAAGAGTATCATTCTACTATTTATCCGAATATTTCATGCCAGCAATTAAAAACTAATTAGACGTAGGAGAGCCTGTGAGGTAATAAACTAGTATTGTCCGGGAAACGACAAAAAATATGGGCATTTATAGTAAACGCAATGAGATTCAAATGCCTCAACATATATGCATATTGTGTTTGGAGGTAATGCGTTTTAGTGTAATGGATTCAATTTTCACACGTTTGCAAAGAATCTATGATATGAATAAATTCTACAGTTTATGCCCACTCATTGAAGATAAACTGATGAAGTGATCAACCCCAAAATCTTACGTACTCCCTCTGTCCCAAATTTATTGTGTAGTTTAAGATTTCACTTTTAGTACAATTTGAATTAGAAATGAAAACCTAAACTAGACAATAAACATGGGACGGAGGAAGTATATTTTTGTACTGTAAAGTGTGAACTACTAGAATTTGACGGAACCGCTTATCAATATGGCTTCAATTGAGTGAAAAAAAATTTTCTAAGGAGCTGTCTGCTACTATTATTTACAATTTTAATAACACCAATTAAAGTGAATTCTAATGACTCCCTCAATAGAAACTCTGACATGACGAGTGCGGGTGGTGGTCTGGTCAGAGATGTTAATGGTCGGTAATCTTTTGATAAATATTGGCTTTTGTTCAATTATTGGGCATAATTGTGCGGTTCATTTCAAGATTTACAAGTAGCACATGCAGTTTGCTGATGAAGGAATTAGTCATGAAAATGAAAGTTTTCAGGACCTGTGAATGATTTAACAATAAACTCCCTTAATCCTTAAATCTACATACAAAAGTTGAACCCCATAGGAGGCTTTGTGGATACAGAAGTCGACAAGAGTTTAGAATTTGGAAGGGGATAGAAACACGACCTTTTACCACAGTTATGCGAAAGGAAAGAGGAGAAAGAACATAATTGTATCACTGCAAGATGATAATGGAGAGGTTGTGGAGGATCCGATAAAACTAAGAGACATGACTGTGTTATTTTTCAAAAATTTATACTCAGCCAGCCTCGGCCCCTTCCTCCCTTATCCTGTTGTTAATGGTTTCCCAAGTATTGAGGCTGCAGAGTTACAAACGGTGGGCAGGAATGTGAGTGAGGCTGAAATTCTTCAGGCCTTGAAGGAAATGGGTCCTTTGAAGGCGCCGGCCCCGGACGGCCTGCATGCTTTGTTCTTCCAGAAAAGGTGGGGAGTGGTGAAGGGTACAATCTGCAGAACGGTGGCTAATATCATGAAAGGAGAGGGTGTTCATGAAGGGTTGAATACAACTAACATAGTACTCATCCCGAAGGTGGAGAATCCGGCAACGATCAAATCCTTTAGGCCGATAAGCCTATGTAACGTGGTCTACAAGATCGCTATGAAATTAATCACCAACCGCATCAAACCCATCCTCCATGGAATAATTGGAAATGCACAAACAAGCTTTGTACCTGAGAGGCATATAGTGGAAAATATTCTGGTAGCACAGAAAGCGATTCATACGATTGAAGGGCAAGAAAGGTTTCATGGCCATCAAGATCGATTTGGAAAAGGCCTATGATATATTGTGTTGGGAGTTCATTGAGGAAACACTGCAACAAGTTGGGTTACCGGGTTCAATTGTCAAGGCAATAACGAGCTACGTCACTTCACCAACGCTGCAAGTCATGTGGAATGGCATCCCAGCTGAGGGTTTCAAGTCCACAAGGGGGATTAGGCAAGGGGACCCGATTTCTCCATACCTATTTGTGATGTGTGTAGAGAGACTTGTTCATGCCATCCATAGAAGTGTGAAAAAAGTGGAGTGGAAACCAATAAGGTTTGGGAAAAAAAAATTGGGAGTACCATGCCTTCTTTTTGCGGATGACATCTTCCTATTCCATTAAGCCACTTCACATTAGGTGGAAACGGTTAAACAAATCCTTTATGATTTCAGTCTATCCTCGGGCTTGAGAGTTAGCAATTCAAAGAGAAAGGTTCACTTTTCAAAAAATATAGGGCTGTCGCGAAGGAGAGAATTGGCGACTGAGTTGGGGTACACATCAGTGCAAGATTTGGACAAGTTCTTAGGAATGCCCATCTTCCATGGGAGAGTTACGAAAGGGACTTATGCACTGATAGTGAAAAATGCAAGCGGAGTAGACAACAAGCCACTTATCTCTGGCCGGAAGGACAACACCTGCACAGTCGGTGATGAGCACACTTCCTTATTACGCGATTCAAAGCGTTTCACTCCCAATGGCTATCTGCGATGACCTTGAAAAATGCTGCAGGAAGCTACTGTGGAGTGATAATGGTGAAGCTAGGAAAATCAATTTGGTCCCTTGGGAAGAGGTATGCAAGCCCAAAGAATGTGGTGGGCTTGGACTTAAAAGACAGAAGGAGATGAATCGGGCCTTTTTAATGAAGTTGGGCTGGGACTTGATAAAGAGAGGGGCTCTTTGTGGACTGAGGTGGTAAAGGCCGAATATGGGCTCAACTTTGATAATGGGCCAGCATTACCAGAAAAGGCTAATATCTCAGCTTGTTTTAGGGGTGTGCAAAAATGTTGGGGCGATGTATAGGAAGGGGCAAGATGAGCGTTAGAAAATGGGGAAAAGGTACGGTTCTGGGTGGATAGGTGGGTTGTGGGCCTTCCAACGCTACAGTCTATTGCACTGGTCTAGATTCCGGTAGATCAACTCCTTTGCCCCGTAATTAAATTTACTCAAGATAGAAGACAGTGGAACTGGACTTTTTCAATCCCTCTTACCGGCAACAACAATATTAAAGATTGCGGCTGTCTTGCCGCCGAACTCGCAGCTGGGACAAGATACCCTTATCTCGGGACCTGACCCTAAAGGTGATTTCTCCGTGAGGTCGACAAACAATGCGATTGTAAAAAGGGAATCGAGAACTAGAGATCCAATCTGGAGGTCTGTGCGGCAGTAGGAGGGACCTCAAAAGATCAGGACTTTCTTGTGGCTGCTAGCCAAACAGCGACTCCTGACGAATGTTGAAGAAGAAGACGACACTTGACGGAAGTGGGGCTGTGTCCGGTCTGTGAGGATGAAGACGAAGGGGTTCGCAAAGAAGCGAAGGAGGTCTGGCATAGGTTTGTTCCGCCTCTTTTGCAGGGTGCTTTCTTCAATTGTGATATGAATGAGTGGCTAATAATAAATCTCCACCACGAGAAGAGGGCATCTTGAAGGGTGACCAATATTATTTGGAGTGGTTGCGTGGAAACTGTGGAGTTGGAGGAATAGCTTTATATTCTTACAAATTAGATTGAGCCTACAAAGAAAGGTGAGGAGATATGCTACACCAGGGAAGGAATAAAAGATGCCCTGCTCCACAAAAAAAGCCATGAGGATGCAGGTTATGGAAAAGGAACAGAGGTAGCTGTGTTAGAAGCCACCAGCTGCAAATTACTTTGAAGTTTAACTCTGACGGTTCACTTATTGAAGAGACAGGAATAGCTACCGCAGGTGGGGTGATTAGAGACTGCAATGGAGCTTGGTGTGGTGGCTTTACAATGAAAATTGGGTACACATCTATCACTGGAGCTGAGTTATGGGGGTTTTTTCAGGGACTAAGCCTGGCATGGTACTTGGGATATAGGAACATTGAAGCGGAGGTTGATAATCAGCCAATTGTCCACATGATTTTTGAAGCAAACAGGCTTCCGTGCGCGCATAAAGGGTTACTGAGGGCGATTAGGGAGCTACTGTGTAGGGATTGGAATGTAAACGTATCTCATATTCATAGGGAGTCTAATTTTATTGTGGACTGTTTAGCTAGCTTGGCGGAGACGAATCCAGGGGGATTATGCCTACTGGATTTGCCTCCTCCACAAGTCCGTTATTGGTTGTACTACGACGTTGTTGGAGTTTCGTACTCCCGTTGTGTTGTTAAACCTGACTAAAGGTTGAATATATTCCCTTTTGATTTAAAAAAAAAAAAGTTGAACCCAAAATGCCCAAATATTGGGCCTATTATTACCAATCAGTGAAACCCAAAAGTCCAGACAAAGCAGTCTCAACTCCAACTTCTGATCTTCAAAGCCTGTAGATGCTCTTTCTCGGTCCATGGTGGCTTTGGGCTCTGGTTCCATGGTGTAATTAACATGTGATGGTAATATTAACAACAAATTAATTACATCGTCACTAATTCATCAGACAGACAGAGCTTTGTTTGTCCGTAATTTCCTCGTTTTGTTCGCAGGAACTAAATAGAGAAGTCAGTACAGTAGTAGTAAAACTAGAAATACCAAAGCAGCAAACAGGACGGAGTAGCTGAATTTGAGTTGACTCCCACCTGATAATCCCAATCTCCCAGTTCAGTCCCTTCATCTGTTTCTGTAAGCCGATTCATTCATTCAGGATTTCATGGCAGCTCTCCTCAACACAGTTACTCCGCCTTCAACTACTGTAAAATTATCCACTACAAGTACCCGGTGCCCAATTCCCAACCGGTTTCAACCTCCTCCTCAATTACTTTCTTCCCCTCTTTCCCTCTCTCAAACTTCAACTCGTAATGCAATTTCTCTGTAACCTTACTTCCATTTTTTTTTCCCAGTATTCATCGGGACCCATTTTGTTCTAATTGTGTTTTTTTTTTTCTTTTTTCAGGGAGAAAATTGGTTGTGAGAGCTGCAGAAACCGACACGGATGAAGGTAACGCCAGCTTTGAGCTTGCTTTTGTTTTGATTTGTTCAGTATTTTTTTTCTGGGTTATTAATTTCTTTCTCTCATTGTGTGGCAGTAAAAGCTAAAGTACCAGATAAGGCTCCGGCTGCTCAGAGTGGTTCAAGCATTAATCAGATTCTTGGAATTAAAGGAGCTAAGCAAGAAACGGTTAGTCATATGTTCGGTTTAGCTATAGTTATAATTCCAAAATCTGTTCGATTGGGTTTCCGTGGAATCATTTCGGTAATGGTCCTTGTAATACACTACCAGGATAAATGGAAGATTCGGGTTCAACTTATGAAGCCGGTTACTTGGCCTCCACTTGTATGGGGTGTGGTCTGTGGAGCTGCAGCTTCTGGTATTATACCTTAGTAGTTAGTACTCCTCAAGCTTCATCATGTGTAGGATTTTCGATTTGATTTTGCTTTTCCTTTATTTTTAATAAACTGTGATTTTTTTTTTCCAGTAGTTTGTCTGCTTTGTCGAGCCAGGAAATTTCAATGCATTCTGTCTTTTCCTTGACCTCCTAGATTAAACTGGCAATGTGGTGGCATCGGGAAAATGAACGGATTCGTGTTGTTCCCTGCCTAGTTTTGTCTCTGGGGTAGAAATGATAGTTGTGTTATGCACATTAGATTAGATTTAATAGGAGTATCAATGAACACATTTGAAAAGACAAGTTGGGTGTCATCGTACGTAAGCGTGGCTCTGATTCATCCCTTGGAGCTCTTTTAAAATGCAAGCTTTATAGTCTTGCACATCTCTTGATTTGTCATTTTTTGCTCATTTTATGTTCTTTTTATATGTATTTCACTGGAATCCACTTGCAGGAAACTTCCACTGGACGTTGGAGGATGTAGCAAAATCAGTAGTCTGCATGTTGATGTCTGGTCCATGTCTAACTGGATATACTCAGGTAGAGATTGTGATTCCAATTTTTCTCTTTCAGAACTTGATAAAACTTTTGTGAAGTTGAGGTTTATAACTGTGCACTGAACTTGTAGACAATAAACGATTGGTATGATCGAGAGATTGACGCAATTAATGAACCTTATCGGCCAATCCCTTCTGGAGCAATATCTGAAAATGAGGTTTGTAGAGTTTCCATTTTTTTTTTTGTTTTTTCTCAACTTCAATTTTTTTTTTCAATGTGATTGATTTTATTAGAAGTCGTTTCTTTCAGGTGATTACCCAAGTATGGGTGTTGCTTCTTGGTGGCCTAGGTTTGGCTGGTATATTGGATGTCTGGGTAGGTCTTTACTTTAAATTTTGATTTTTTTACCCCATTTTTGCTGCACTTGCTGCTTTAGCCTGAATAGCTCTCATTATAGGCAGGGCACAACTTCCCAACAATATTTTACCTTGCTCTTGGCGGTTCTTTGCTATCCTATATATATTCAGCACCTCCTCTAAAGGTTATGACCTTTCTCCTTGTGACTGTTTGTGAATTTGTTGCCTTTTAGGTTATAGAACCTGAACTCATTTTCTTTTTGGTTGCAGCTTAAACAGAATGGATGGATAGGTAATTTTGCTCTTGGAGCTAGTTACATCAGTCTGCCATGGTGCGTTAGATATCTGTCCTGCTATTTACATCTTTTCCATCCTTAGTTTGAATGCATTCAGTTTCCTTTACAGCGCTCCCCTTTTCTCGTAGGTCAGCCAAGATTCCCCATTAAATCATTTTACTTTATATTGCAGCTTCTTGATCTTAAACTTTGTGCTATACCTCCTCATATGCATATGTTTCCAATTTTTTCACGGACAGGTGGGCTGGTCAAGCTCTCTTTGGAACCCTTACACCTGACATAATTGTTCTCACACTCTTGTATAGCATAGCTGGGGTACAGATTTTCATATGCTCCTGTGTGGATTAAATTAATCTTCTGTTAAGTTGACCTTGCCCCTAATTGAAATTTACTTGATATATTGCAGCTAGGTATTGCCATCGTAAATGATTTCAAAAGTGTTGAAGGTGATAGAGCCATGGGGCTGCAGGTAGTATTTTTCACTCCCATGCCTTCCACACCTTTAAGCCAAAAGACTTTTCATCTGAAAAAATTCTTGGAGATTGTTACTAATTTCTTGTTGACTTTTACAGTCCCTTCCAGTAGCTTTTGGCACTGAGACTGCTAAGTGGATTTGTGTTGGAGCTATTGACGTGACCCAGATATCAGTTGCAGGTAAATTGTATTGTTATCTAAGTTACCATTGTCGCTGAAATTTTCACACAACTATGATGCTTGTCAGCTCAAAAGAACCTCCCCTGGTGTGATAAGCCACATTCCAAAAATTTTATTGGTTTTTTTCTTTCAGTTTTTTACTGTAAATTTCTACTCTTGCAGGGTATCTTCTTGGTAGTGGAAAACCTTATTATGCATTAGCGCTCTTGGGTTTGATTGTACCGCAAGTCTTTTTCCAGGTGAACAACGTTGTACCTTCTTGATTTTCAGATTATCAATATGCTGATCTTTACATTCGTGCAATGTATAATTTCCGATTATACTAATCATTCGAAACCTGTGCAGTTTAAGTACTTCCTAAAAGACCCTGTGAAGTACGATGTCAAATATCAGGCATGTCTTCTCTCCCTCGGTCATCCAGTATTTTGCTGTAACCTTGATGTTTTGCCTTACTAAAATCTTAATCTACATCTCAATTATATAGAACTTCAACGATACACGATGTCAAGGTTTGCTCTTAGCAATATTTCTCATCTTCTCCCAGGCTTATGTACATTTGTTTCTTTCAGGCTAGTGCGCAACCGTTTCTTATACTGGGCCTTCTCGTTACTGCTTTAGCAACAAGTAGCGGGTCTTAAGATCCGTAATCATGGGGGATTGGAGCAGGGAAAACACTCGGCGCTCTGGAACACGAGTATTCTATCTAGGAAAAGTGCTGCCTCCTCAAATTTATGTCCCTTGAGAATGAATGTATCCTACTATTCCCTGTTGCCTCACCTGCAGAGTGATGATTATTGACAAATTTTAGGACGTATTAGAAATAGGCAGTTATTTGAAAAACATGGCCCCGAACTTTGTTTCTCCAACAGCAGCTTAGTGGTTAGCAACAGCGGAGCATTGAGGCTAGGACCTGCTGCCTATACAAATCAGTGTGATTTAGCTTGTAACTTAAAATGGTCAGTTGTTACTGTACAAATCACTGTAATTTGCTTCTAGCTTTCTGGTGTCCGCCTAGTTACCCAACGGTTTGATGGTTGGCAGACTGATCACTGGCTTGCTTAACGAAGTGTTCTGAAAAATGATAGTGAGCCCAACAATAGTAGGCTGTGGATTAAGTATGGAATTCTGTTCTATTACTATTGTCTGCGAATGGACACGTGCCAGATTGAAATGATGTATCGATTAGTTCCCAAAGAGAGAGACTAGTTCCCATAGAGAAAGACAGTCGCAGCTCTGCAGAAACTAAGAAAAAATGATCATCAAATGAGGGATGATTTAATCTACTAATTTTCACTGTTTCCAATTAGACACAGTCTCCACCTCACCGTTCCATTTCATAGTCACAAGTTTGGCAAAGAAAGACTTCACACTTGGAAGATGACTTGATCCCTGGCAATTTTAATTTGGTTTGATGAGTCTTCCTTGCTTAACTAGGGACGAAAAATTAATTTGGAGAACTAATACAAAACAACAGCAGTCCATTTTATTCATCAACTGAGAGACGGTACAAAGGGTCCTCCCCGATACACGGTAAGATGGAGAAGAAGCCCCAGCAAACATCACTAGATCTACTAGACAACAACCAAACTGGCCCAGAAACCGATCACTGCTAAGAAAGACCGACACAGACAAAAGTACCCAACCTACATTACAGACGGATAGACAAACCACCAAAAGATGACCAAAGACTCCCCCTACTAACTAAATACAACTTTTTCAAAGTAAAAAAAAAACAGGGACATCATTGAACCCACCTAGCTAGCTAGCTTAGGTGGTTCAGCGGTTGGCGGTGCGGAACTTGGACTCATCAATCTCAATGCCTTCCTCAGCAGCACGTTCGCCACCGGATTTGTCCATGGTGCTGAGCCCACCCTTACGGCCCATCTCCTGATACCCTTCCCGCCCAATCTGCTCTTTCCTGGTCTGCCCACCTCGGCTTCCCATTTCCTGATACCCTTCTGTTCCCAGCTGATCCCTCCTCGTCTGCCCTCCCCTGCTCCTTCCTGCAAATATTATAATAACTCCGCCATAATTAATACTATAATTATGGTTATTATTAAGTTAAAAGAAAATTAAAGGCAACCGTCCAAAATTAACCTTCGGCAAGGTGCTGCTGAGCTTCCAGGCTCTTCCCACCGGTGCCCCCTGGAACCACGGTCTCACCCTGCCTTGCCCTGGCGTCCAATTCAGCTCGATCTTCTTGTCCTGATGCCATTATTACTGCTTGCAGAGATCAATTTGATGAACTTTTATATAACCCACAAACAATTCTTAATATCCAGAGAGATTTAACTTGGCTCAGTGACGTTTGCTTGAGTTGGTTTATATAGAGGTTAATGCATGCATGGGGAAGGGGGAGTTGATGAAATGAAGCAGGATTTTTTTACAGTGATATGACTGGCGGTGGTGTGACACTTGGAGAAATAAGGGGTCATCTTTCTCAACAGATTTCTACGCTGAGCGACACGTCTGTGCTTAGTCAGTTCCCCAGGACTTCAGTTACCATTTGCATGAACCTGACACGAGTTCCTCCCCCACCGTTCTTCTTCTATTTTTTTATTAGTGCTCCAATTTTTCAAAAAAACCAGAAAAAAGTTTATTAGTGTTCCGAATTTTCAACAAACCACAAAAAGATCGAGTCAAAAGAATTCCCACGCTCTCCTAATTCGTTTTGGGTTTCATTCGCTTTCTGAAGGTAAAATCTGAAATCAATTAAGAGCGAACTAAGACAAGGCAATTAGGGTAACGGGCCTAGTGAGAAGTGATATATATATATATATATATATATATATTTAAGGCTGAGAACCGCACCAGAAATAAATAAATGCACATTTACTGCAATAGTCTGTAAATTACAATGGGAAGTAAAACACCTTAAGCAAGTCCGGGCCGGGATAACAAGTTCGGGTGGTTTACCTTCTATTAGTGGGTTAGCCATAACATGCGAAATCGAGAGTTCATTAGTGAGTTAGCCATAACAATTTTCTACAGATGTCAATAGGGACAGTGATAGCCAATCCCTAATTTTTTTGTTAGAGTAGGGATTGAACTCATGACCTCCTCTTTGAGTAAGGATGATTTTATCACTGAACCAACACCTCATTCGCATTTTTTGTGTTGCCTAGATATTGGCAGAATGTGTGTGCATTAATCGTGTTCATTATTCTTTATTCCCAAAAAAATAAAAAATCATGTTCAGTAAATAATCTCTAAATTGATATCCTATAAATTGATATTCAACTCTTATATTAAATTATTCTGATTCCAACTCGAAACTATACCAAAAAATGAACAAAGTCAATAAAATAATAAAACAATAAATTTTGAAAAAAAAAACATCAACAGCACATTATATAACCCATTAATGTTACAAATTTCACGGGTATGTAACAAACTATCATTTATTTAAATTAGAATAATATTTTGAATGTTAAAACAAGGTTTTATATTACTAAAACGAAAAAGTTGAGAATGAATATATATATATATATATATATATATATATATATATTTGGTAATAACACATAAAATGGTTTTTAACTTGAACAACAACATTACAAACATCAAACATTATTCCAACAAATCAGAACAAAAAATAGCATACTTGCGGCAACAAAAATCATGTTTCTAGTTTTTTGGATTTTTTGAACCAGAAATAGAAAGAAAAGTTCAAAAGAATTTTTTTTTTTTTTTTTTTAAGTTTCTTCAGTGATATTGAATGAAGTATGAGCAGGAATCCTCTTCAACCGAAAGAGAAGTGGGAGTGCCCACTAAGAGAAGCAACTTGTATCGCAAAAGTTTTGAATACACAAATAAATCATATTTCACATATAATTTATAATAATTAAAATAAAATCAATTTTTTTTAAAAAAAATTAAAATCTTTACCTGTTAGATACCAATGAATAAGAATATTTTGCTAAATTCATGCTCTTTTTATGTTGCTTGAAGAAGTAATTGACTAAAAATTTTTGAGGGTTTTAGGAGTTGGGAATTTAGAAAGATAAAATAAAATCAGGATGTTATTATGAACATTTGACTCAATTTTGTTCTTGAAGAGATACAGATTGGGGGAGTTATCTTTGATATTGCTTTTTTTTCTTTTCTTTTCTTTAAACTGGAACTTTGTTGTGGGTAAATAAATTGTACAGATAATTTTTAATAATAGATTGACACTTGGAATTTTGGTTAAAATTTGACCAAAATTTCATGTTGTGGGTTATTTTGTATTCTCGTTTTAATATTTTGTTTTATCATGTTTATTTGGGAAATTTGGTGAGGAGACTTTTAAGTAAATAAGGACACTTGGATTTTTGGAAGAAATGTAATTTTTGTTATAATGGAAAAAATTATAAATATCTATAGTACTTAATTAAAGCAGTAAATAAAATGGACATGTGTCAGCACTACAATAAAAATTTTCCCGCCAAAAGTCATTTTCAGTACAAAATTATTTTTGACACGTGGCACTCTAACTAATCAGAAAAAAAGATGGAATAGATAAATACATAAATCCCTTAATTATAGCTACATAAAAATCTCTTATTATAAGTATATACTAATCCCTTAAAACAACAATATTTAGTTGATAAAATCAAATGTAAGGAAATCCCCTTAAATTAAGGGAAACACCAGTAATGTCTTCCCAAACCCCAATTTCAAAGGATCTCTTCCATTCCGCTCCCATCTCACACCGGACTTTTAAATCAATTACTTAAAATCTGACATCAATTATCAATCCATCTCTTTCCACAACAGAGAAAAAATAAGCTGTCATGAAAGAAATTTGATTTTTTAAGGATATTTTTTTTTTATTCTTCTGTTGTAGATATTGGTTTATGAATTATGTAAACCCGGGTATAAGTTAACTATTGTAAATTAAATATTGTAAATCTGGGCATAGATTTGTGTGTAATAACTCAATTTCTGTCCTTTCAAGCGATTTTTAATTTTTTAATTTTTTTTTTTAAAAATGATTCGTATTTTTTATTTAATCGATTTAAAAATATAGGCGGCACCCCGGGCACTCGCCCGGGACAAGCATCTAGTATAGATTATAGATAGATTTACCTAATATATCATGGAAAGAAAAAAGATTTTGTAAAATGCAAGCCTAAGGTTTTAAATTTTGTTGTATGCAAAAGTTTTGGAGCTATTTTTTGAAGTTGGGAATTTTCTTTGAAACCGTATCCGCTAAATTCAATGTACGGAACAATTTATTTATCTTAAGTTTTACCTAATATACATTTTAATTGACAAAAAAATTTAAAAATATTTCCTAACAATCAAGAGAACATAAAAAATGTGAAAATATATTTTAAAATTTTTTGTCAATTAAAAATGCATATGAAGTGAAAGCAATGACAAATCAAAATACTTTATATTAAGGACCGGAAGGAGTATTAAGTTAAACGTTTCATAGTAGTAGGACTAGGACTTGAGCGATGTGGTGTAATTCCACTTCGTAGCCTTCACTAATTTTTGCAGTTTAAGAAGATTAGTTTTTGCTTGATCATAAAACCAAAACATATTCAATAATGGAATTTTTGCAATTTAAGAAGATTAGTTTTTGCTTGATAATACAACCAAAACATATTCAATAATGTAAGTCACGGCTAATCCACGATGTAATCGTGATTTCCTACCTGTCTTGTAATTGGATGAAACTAGGGTTTACGTCTCTTTCTATGCACCAATAACACGAATTCACTCTTGCAAAGTTCTATATCCGTCGCAGAAAAAAAATGATAACATATTATATTATATTATGTCAATGTAATAAAAGTAGACTAATTCTCTGACAGAAATGGAGTAGTTTAATTGAAATGCTTGTGCATTATAAGTTTCTTGTGATTTTTTTTTTTTTTATACATATTATTATAACACCTAAACTATTACATGAACGGGTCTTAGAAAAGAGGATAGTACTATATAGGGGGGACTCCACGCGCGTCCATGCTTCGTCCGATGCTTAGTGCTTGAAGAAGACACCACCTGACAATCTGCAAACTTGCAGAAAATGATCAGCAATTTCTTGCTGCTAAGGGAGTTTGAATCCGTGACCTCGCGGTTGGTATCATGGCCTTTTAACTACTAAGCCATCCCCTTGTTGACTCTGCGAGGTTGCGACCTCTACCTTTTTCCTTTGTACTTTTTAGTGTTTTTTTTTTTCCGCGGGAGATGATTGCGGACTGCGAGCATACAAAAAAGATAAAAGGCATCGAGCGATAGCCTTATTTCTTGTAAAATTCAAGTAAACTGATTAAATATTTTAAGATATGGAAAGTAAGATTAGTTACCGTTGACCCAACATATACGCTAAATAATTCAACGGTAAAAAGAAAAAAATAAAATTGTCTTTAGAATTATATTCATAGGCACTTTGTACATATAGGAAATAATTGAGGTACAGTAGCATTAGTTTTTTTTTTATTATTATTTTTTATAGAAGAAAAGTTTGACTAAGAAATGGGCATTTGAATGAAAAGAAAGATTGTTCGGAAGGATATTTCAACATTTTTTTTTTCCCGTTAGATGATAACTTGGAAACTTGAAACCGCGTCTAATGGTCTTCTAATATTATATTCGAAAAAAATAGTTTATGTTGAATTTTAAATTTGTATTAAAAACGGAATAAATATGAAAATTTAATATGAGTTATATTAATTTCGGGATAGAAGTAGTAGTTTTTTCGTCTTAATAAAATAATTCAAATTGTTATATTGTTTAAAATCATCCGAAAATGAATTATTTTCATAAGAAAGATGAAGTATATAACCGATAATTAAATTGATAGTGGAGATGTAAGCGTTTTCAACTGATAAACTGGCATAGAATCTTTGACATCTTAAATCGGTATTCATCAGCCAATTCCACCTCTTTTTTTTGACTATGGATATAATAGTACATGGGCATTGATTAATTTGTCGTCTCAATACAAACAAAAGCGTAGAATCCTTGCAAATTGTTTTGGTCTCAAATCTCAATAAATTATATCGGCTGGTACTTGGAACTGGAATGAATAAAATTCACGTGTCTTTTGAGTTTGGTGTTAGCAAAACACATTCAACGATAACTTTGGTTCCATTCCATCTGGTGAAGCAACCATGTTGGCAAGGGTTTTTTGCTTGTTTGTTTGTAAACTCATTTTATATTTTAACTCATTTTATTTTTTAAACATAAAATTCAATGGAAAAGAAAACATCATCCAAACAATTTTTTTATTTATATTTTAAATTCCAACTTCAAATACTTTTTGTTCGTGTAATAACCATTTTTGAAAAAGAAGTAGTTCAGTGACGAAATCTAACAAAGGAAAATCTTAAAGTGACAAATTTGCTAGGTTTCTGTTGTTTAGTAATTTTTTGAAAAAGTTCTTTTTTAAAGTGACTATAATTGACAGTATTTAATTATTTAGTGATGATTCGTTCTTGATGTTTCAAAATGTAGTTCAAAATATTTTTTTCAAAACTAACATCCAAACAACTTTTTGCTCAAAATACCATCCAAACTATATTTTCATTTCCCATTTAATTTTCAACTTGAAACACTTTCTTCTTTTAAGTGACAAAATAAAATGTAAGATGACATCCAAACAAGTACTATTTTCTTCCACGCATCACTTTACAATTCAGGAGTACACAATAATAGTAATGACGAATAAAATGGGCGATGAATTTAAAATGTCATGGCGAATAGACTTATAAAGCTCAAGTCAACGATTGGCGAAGGCAACAACTCATTGTTAGCTGCGAAACTCCTTTTCGTTTTTTTTTTTGACCCATCCAATTGGCCAAGAGTCTTTCCACCAACGATTGTCTTCGAATCAAAAGTTTATGAAACACCTAAAGTCAACCAATTCACTCCCCATTACTCCATTTCCATTGCATGAAAGTATAACTTGGTACTATCTCCGTCCTGAATGATTGTCGATCGGTTTATTATATGAAAAATATTAAAAGAAATTTTTTTTAAAAAAAAGTTTGTATGTATCTGTCCTTGGTCAACGGCACCCAGTCTATCTAAACAATGAAGTCTATTAACAAATAGCGAAGCAGACGGTTTGAATTTAAATGAAATGATTATATATCGTGGGGGATAACGTTCAATATTATCAGAAAACTCGTGAGTTTTTCAGACTGAAATTCGCAATGATTTTCTTTCGATATGAACTTCACGGTTAATAGGATATGTACTCTTGCAAGTTTGTGTAAGTAATATTTTTCTCAATGAAAAAATATTGAGTACAGCTGTTGTATCGTGATTTCTAGCGCAACAAGTATTAGTACCCTTCTATTTTGATGGTATAACTCCCGTAAAAATTATCTCTCTTCTTCCAAAATTATTACTTTACCCTTATTATTGTGTTTGGCTGCACCATCTTACGTAATACAGCAGCTGCACTCAATAATTTCTCTTTCTCAATGTGTATACATAATTCACTTGTCCCAAAACAAAACATACATAATTTTGGTTTAAAAAATCAATTTTTTTATCACAATAATAATATAATATTTGTGCCTTACAGTTAAATATCCACGTTTTGGGAACAGAAAACCCTACCGCTACATTTTGTTGAATCTAATGAAACATATGAAGTCAGAAAAAATATGAAAATATATATTGAAATAGAAAAAAAAAGAAAAACAAAAACAAACTAAATTGAGAAATGTACAATAATTTTAGTGTTATTTTTTTAGCTCTCGTTCCATCGAATTAAAATGTAGTAGTAGTAGGAGCATTATTTTACAAGCAGTTATAGACATCTTAATAAAGAAGCCCGATCGGGCACGTCTCTTCCAGTTCAACACCAGTTTTTTTTATTGTGCAAAATATTATCATCTCAAAAAAGAACCATCATCCACAACGATGCTGAGAGCTCTGCTTCCGCGCCGAATCCGTTTCTGCATCTCCTTCCTATTATGGTTAACCATATCATTAGCCCAAACAAACACCACCCCATCCACCGGCGGTAATTTTCCGGCCACAATCTCCTCAGTTAACATTACAAAAGGAGCCAACATAACCAAACCAGGATGTCAACGCCAATGCGGCAACCTCACAGTTCCCTATCCCTTCGGCATTGGGCTCGACTCCGGCTGCGCAATTGGGCCCTGGTTCCAAGTCAACTGCAACACTTCATTCAACCCACCGAAGCCATTCATCGGCGAAATCGAAATCTTCGAAATAGCCGACAACCTGGTCCGTATTTCCAATGTGATGGCCCGGAAATGTTACAACCAAGTCGGCGAACTAATCGACAGCTACACCGCCTGGACGAATCTTGGGGGGACCCCATACAGCTTCTCCGACCTCAACACCTTCAACGTCATCGGCTGCGACGATTTTGCCCTCATTTCCGGCTCCCAAGGCCGGAATTTCACCAGCGGGTGCGTGTCACTCTGTTCTAAAGCAGAGGACGTGCTGGATGGATATTGTTCTGGAATTGGGTGCTGCCAAACCGCCATTCCGAAAGGGATGAAATACTATCTTGCTTCTCTAAGTAGTTTGAAGAATCACACTTCGGTTTTCGGGTTTGATCCTTGCAGTTATGCTTTTCTTGGGGAACGGGACAGGTTCACCTTCCGGGGCGTACCTGATTTCTCGGACCCGGAGTTCATCAATCGGACTTTGGCTAATGTTCCCATTGTGCTGGACTGGGCCATTGGAAATTCGAGTTGCTCAGAAGCCCAGAAACAGAGTGATTATGCCTGTGAAGCAAATAGCTCTTGTGTTGATTCAAACACTGGATTTGGTGGATATCGTTGTAGTTGCAAAGAAGGTTATGAGGGCAATCCTTACCTCAGCCCAGGCTGCCAAGGTTCGTTTTGAATTTACTAGTTAGCTAATTTTGTCATTGTTTTCCTTCAAATCTGTGTCAACCATAGTTTCTGATATTACGATTGTTTTTTTGGTTGGTCAGATATCAATGAATGTGCAGATCCTAATAACAATCCGTGCGATAAGATGTGTATTAACAGTCCGGGTGGTTATAGTTGTTCTTGTCCTGAAGGATATTATGGAGATGGTAGAAAAGATGGTCGTGGATGCATAGCTAAGAACCATGAGTTTCCCGTCATTAAACTTTCTCTTGGTAAGCTTAGTGGTTTTTTTTATATATATATATATATATATATATATATATATATATATTAATGGAAAACTGGGGGGTCATGAAAGCAAACAGTATATGTATGTTATCTTCTATGTGCAATTAATCCGCACGTCTCACATGATTGATTCAAGGTCGGAGTATATTTATGTACATGTAAGAGAAAGTCATGTACAAATTGCATTCGGTTTATTCATACTGTAAGAAAGGAAATATAGAAAAATAAAAAATTCAGATCCTTAATCAAGGTTGATATGATTGTTTGGTGACCATGTACTTTATTTAAATATATAACAAATTATAAAATGAAGTAGTATAAATTCTCATCCTTTAAGTAGATTATGATCAACAGTATTATAGCTTAAATTCATGTAACATCAATTATTCTTTTTATGAAGTTTTGTTAATTTTTAAGCTAACTGCTGAGTGGTAAGGTAAGTTTTAAGTTTGTTTATCACATCTAATAAACAATTTAATAAATTACGGTTCATAAATATATTAATAATTATTCGTTTTTCGATAATAAGTCTTTTTATGCAGTAAGTTGCTCTACTAGCTTATATTTAATAATCAACAATCGTTTAACAAAAACTAAAAGCGGAGTTGAGATTGAGATAGCCATGACAGAATTGATACAGAATCAAGTCTGTTTTTTGTCCTTTCTGGTCAAGGTCACCCGTATGAAATCTAGTTCTTGCGTGATCAATATTCAAACTCCGGCAGGTATTTCAATTTAGAATTTTAAAAAAAAAACCAAAGAGAAAGTTCAGGTCTGACAACTTTTCTCATCAATTTTGCAGGTTTGGGGTTTGGTATTTTGTCATTACTGATGGCAATAAGTTGGTTATATTTGGGCATTAAGAAGAGAGAGCTTATAAAGATGAGGGAGAAATTTTTCCAGCAGAATGGTGGGTTGTTATTAAGGCAACAAGTGTCGTCAAATGAAGGTGGAGTGGAATCTACCAAGATTTTCACAGCTGAAGAACTAGAAAAGGCCACCAATAACTATGCCGACGATAGGATTCTCGGTAGAGGAGGCTATGGTACAGTTTACAAAGGAATTTTGTCGGATAAACGCGTTGTGGCCATTAAGAAATCTCGAATTATGGACGAAAGTCAGATCGAACAATTCATCAATGAAGTGGTGATTTTGACTCAAGTTAACCATCGAAACGTTGTCAAACTCTTAGGTTGTTGTTTGGAGGCAGAGGTGCCGTTGTTAGTTTATGAGTATGTCTCAAATGGAACACTTTTCCATCACATTCAACATAGTGGAGTGTCATGGATGTCGTGGGAAAATCGTTTAAGGATCGCAACTGAAGCTGCTGGTGCACTTTCTTACCTACATTCTTCAGCTTCCAAGCCTATCATTCATCGCGATGTTAAGTCTGCAAACATTTTGCTTGATGAATACTACACGGCCAAGATATCAGATTTTGGAGCTTCGAGATTAGTGCCGTTGGATCAAACTCAGGTGACAACGTTAGTGCAAGGGACATTAGGTTATTTGGATCCTGAGTACTTCCACACTAGTCAACTGACTGAGAAAAGCGATGTTTACAGTTTTGGAGTTGTACTCGCTGAGCTAATGACTGGGAAGAAGCCACTTTGCATGGAGAGAAGCCAAGAAGAACGGAACCTAGCGACGTGTTTCATCATGTCCATGAAGGAGAATCGGTTGTTTCAAATTCTTGATCCTCGAGTTGTGCGCGAGGGGTCTTTAGAACAACTTCAACAAACCGCGGAATTGGTGAAAAGATGCCTGTGTTTGAATGGCGCAGATAGGCCAACTATGAAGGAAGTTACCATGGAACTTGAAGGGCTAAGGAAGTTCACACTTAGACATCCTTGGGCAAATGACCAACAGCATGGTCAAGATGAATCAGTTGGGTTAATGGCTAATGAGATAGAGTCATCCGATCTTTACACAGTTCCACTCAGTCCTTATTCTGATTTAGCACCTCTATCTGGATCACAATACAGTTTGGATTCAACTCAGATGACATTTCCGGCTTCAAACAGCCCTCGTTGAATTGAAATTCATCAGGGCCCTATTTCCATGCTTATGGTCAGTTTATAAAACTCAGTTTTCAATTTTTACAGAGATGGGTTGCGATTGTAAGAAGATTGAATACCATAACTCATACCTTTTTCTAATTTTTTTTAATTATTATTCTCTCTGTTTTGTGGGTTTGCGTGATGCAAATTATAGTATGAAAACAGAGTCAGTTGACATTTTCACCTTATTCGAGTTCGTAGAAAATGGCTAGTTGCAGCCACCATCAGGCCTGGTTCCTACGCAGCAGTATGCAATCATGTGTAGATTATATTTAAGATTATTATGTGAGTGAAATATAGACATAATCCCCATATCTTAATAATGTAAACCATGGCGTAACTTGTATCGGTTAGGTCACTGTATATAGGCTGTATATATACATCACCTTTTTAACGCACTGTTGAAATATTGAAAATGGTCATGAAGAGTATCGTATGAAGACCAATAATTTTTAATCAAATATTAGTAAGACTCCTATTATATTCGAAAATGATTGATGAACTTGCCAACCTAAACATCTTTAATCCATCTACTGTAATTAATTGCTAGTAATTTCAATTTATTTGGATTAATTGGGGATCTCTTACTCGTTATAGTACTTCAGCTAGCTAGCTTGCATGCCTTCGTATCGATCAAGTGGCCACATTTAATGATCATCATATAGACAGGCCCGATGCTAGCTAGGAAAATGAAGTATACAATTAAAAGCAAATTAAAGGTTAGAAAAAATGGAAATATACAGCGTTCCAAAGCAATGATCGATTTTTCTAAACAATGAAGCCATATACATGATGATAAACATGTCCGCCGATCAATTTCTTGACCAACAAATTTAATCACTTTCAGTGAGTTCAATATGTTGTTCATAGATCAAATTGTTTTGTGGATTGAATTTTACTTTGACTGTCATGTACACAAACAGCTCCATTTGTAAATTAAGTGAATTACATCAAATAAGCAACTTTGTTTAAGCTGAGCTCTGTCAGATATATTGTTCATTTAAACATGTTACCTTTGAAATGTTCTCCTCATCAACGTCACAAAGATACATATAGTAGTTTCCAGTGCATGGAAAGTGATTGATTGGTTCGTTAATTCACCACTCAGGCTCGAACGATTCGCAAACATTATCTTCTTTAGGTCTCATAGTAAGATTGATGTTTACCGTATAGTAATATACGATTATAGTTTAACCAGTATTTTGGTTTTCCATTGATTTTTGACGCATTCATCCCTCTGCCACACAAGTTGGGCTCTGATCAAGTCCTCATTTTTTTGGGTTAATGTTAAAACAAAGAGTATTATAACATTTTCTGCAGAATCCATCCCCTGGACGTACTCAAAATTTTAATCATATATGTAACACGTACTTACTCCAATGTCAACACACTGATCATCAGACCCAATGAGAACAATGTTATAAGCTACAAAGTCCCAAAAAAAAAGAAGCACATCAGCCATGAAAATGCAGAGGAAAGCGCTTCATTGGCGTGCATTCATTTGCTGGCTGTGGTTAGCTATTACAACCGGCCAAATAACAACCACCGTAGGCGGAACCTTCTACTCCTCCGGCAACATAACCAAACCAGGTTGCCAGAGCCAATGTGGAAGCCTCACGGTTCCATATCCTTTTGGCCTCGAATCTGCAGGTTGTTCTATCGAAACCTATTTTATTGTCAACTGCAACACTTCTTTTAACCCGCCCAAGGCATTCATAGAGGACCTCGAAATCCATGAAATAAATGACACCCAACTTTATGTTTCCAGTCCTAATTTGATCGCTAAGAAATGTTACAACAATTCATCAGGTCAAGTTGTTGGCCAAAACCTTGTCCGGATGGATCTAGACACACTCCCTCCCTTCAGCTTTTCTAAGGGCAACACTTTTACCGTCATTGGATGTGATGATTACGGCCTGTTTTACGGTGATGAAAGCGGTTACTTCACCAGCGGATGTTTGTCTCTCTGTTCTAGAAAAGAGGACGTGGTACCTAACTATTGTTCTGGAGTGGGATGCTGTCAAATGTCCATTCCCAAAAGTCTCAAGTATTATCATGTTACCCTGAATAGCTTGGATAATCGTAGCCGAGTTTCCGAGTTTGACCCATGTAGCTATGCTTTTCTTGGTGCTCCGGGCAGGTTCATATTTCTCGGTGCATCTGATTTATTTGATCCCAGTTTCGTAAATAGGACTTTGGCTAATGTTCCAATTCTGCTGGACTGGGCAATTGGAGGAAACCTGAGTTGCTCTGAAGCCCAGAAACAGAATGATTATGCATGTCAAGCTAACAGTGTTTGCGTTAATTCGGACAATGGATTTGGTGGATATCACTGTAGCTGCAAACAAGGTTATGAGGGCAATCCTTACCTCAGCCCAGGCTGCCAAGGTTAAGTTTATTTTCCAAACGATTAGTATTATATTCTTAATCAACTACGAATTCATAGCTTTTTTCTTCTTCTTCTTTTTTTTTTTTCCTGTAGCACTGCACGCGTCTTGTTTATTATAGTTGTCATTGTGATATTATATATATCTTGTAATATATGACCGCTTACTCTATGTCATCTGAGATTTTGGTGAATACTAATTAACATTTGCCTTTTAATTTCTCTGTCTTTGCATTTGTATATTTGTGCTTAGATATCAATGAATGTGATGATCCGAATGGTAGTCCCTGTGAAAATGAATGCACCAACACTCCGGGAGGGTACAGTTGTAGTTGTCCTGACGGGAATAATGGCGATGGCAAGAAAGATGGCTCTGGCTGTAAAGAGGGGCCAGACAATGAGCTTTCAGTGTGGAAAGTTTCTCTAGGCAAGTTCATTGTAGTTTTACTGCAAGGTTACACATTATGAATTTTTGTTCTCATAGATTAATATTGCTAGCTAATAAATTTGTTGCAGGGGTGAGTTTTGGGTTTTTGGCCTTCCTGATGGGAACGACTTGGATGTATTTGAGTATCAAGAAAAGAAAGCTTATCAAACTCAGGGAAAAATTCTTTCGACAAAATGGGGGCTTGTTATTAAGGCAACAATTGTCCTCAAATGAATGTGGGTTGAACTCAACCAGAATTTTCACTGCTGAAGAATTAGAGAAAGCTACCGACAATTTTGCAGAGGAGAAGATCCTTGGTAGAGGAGGCCATGGTACGGTTTACAAAGGAGTTCTAATAGATAATCGCGTTGTGGCTATAAAAAAATCTAGAAGTATGGATGAAAATCAGATCGAAGTGTTCATCAACGAGGTTGTGATTTTATCTCAGGTTAACCATCGAAATGTTGTTAAACTATTGGGTTGTTGTTTGGAGACAGAAGTGCCATTGCTAGTGTATGAGTATGTCTCAAATGGAACTCTTTTTTACCACATTCGACACAGCGCGACAACATGGATGTCTTGGAATAATCGGTTGAGGATCGCAGCTGAAACAGCCAGTGCTCTTTCTTATCTACATTCTGCGGCTTCAGAACCGATCATTCATAGAGATGTTAAATCTGCCAACATTTTGTTGAATCAATATTACACCGCGAAAATCTCAGATTTTGGAGCTTCTAGATTAGTCCCTTTTGATCAAGATCAAGTGAGCACATTAGTACAAGGAACGTTAGGGTATTTAGATCCCGAATACTTCCACACGAGCCAATTGACAGAGAAAAGCGATGTGTATAGTTTTGGAGTCGTTCTCGCGGAACTTATGACAGGTAAAAAGCCGGTTTGCATGGAGAGAAATCAAGAAGAACGAAACCTCGCGACATGCTTCATCATGTCAATGAAGCAAAACCGGTTGTTTCAGATGTTGGATCGCCGTGTTATCCTGGAAGGGCCTTTGGAGCAGCTCCAAACAGCTGCTGATCTGGTGAAAAGGTGCCTTTGTTTAGACAGTAAAGACAGGCCAACCATGAAAGAAGTTGCCATGGAACTTGAAGGACTAAGAAAGTTCTCGCTTAGATATTCTTGGGCTAATAATCAACAGGATCAATCAGGTGTCTTGATGCCCATGGAGTCTGAATCAGATCTTTACACCATTCCACTTAGCCCTTGTTCAGATTTAATACCTTTATCTAGTCAGTTCAGTTTGGATTCAACTGACATGCCATTACCATCAAGTAGCTTTTATTGACTTGAAACCTAAGTTACCCGGACTCGGGTACAAGTGTCCGGTTTGGGTGCCGGATCTGAGTGTCGGATTCTTCAAAATTGTAAAAAAAAATTCAAGTTTTTCATTAAAATCCCACACCTGGTAGACACACCCATACCAGTGTGTCGACACGGGTACTCTGCCCCTTTGTGGAGAGTCCGGGTAACATAGCTTGAAACCCGCCGTTCTACGGAAAATAGAAAGTCATTATGGTTGTTCAAGTTTTCCGTTAATAACGGAATCAACCTATGGTTAAAACATTGTAACGTGTGTTTCAAACTTGTATAATTTGTAATTTTATTATAAATCTTATTAGTTATTACTCTTTTTTTGTGTACTACATATAAATTTACTACTTTAATTTAGATTTATGCATTCTTCTCATATATAAAATATGCTTGAAACTATTAGTCTATTTTTATTTTTATTTTTTTTAAGAAATACAGATTATATTAAACTTGCTTGAAATCAGACAGTCCTGTAAACTATTAGTCTATTACATCGCTATACTTTGTGGTCGAGAAGTACATCAATTTGGATTAAGTCGAATTTATATAAACGTGATACGTAGTATGTAACCAAAGGACGAATACCAATTTTAAAAGTTTGGTTTTATTCGGTAGTGAATGGTTTTTTTAAAAGGGAAAATGGGTCTTTTCATCCCAAAGTTTGGGCCACACCATCCAAAACATCTCAAAGTTTAAAAACATGCCATTTACATCCCAAACTTTTTAAAAACATGTTACATTAGGATATTCGTTAAATTTTTAACTCCAGTTAATTAATTAGTGGTGATACTTTATTCTGTTTCTCCTCCTTCAATTTTTTTAATCATTTAACACGTTCCACTAACTCCCACCTTATAAGAAAATAGCTAAACCTAATTTGGTATTCACATCATCCATTCTTCCCTTGCTTAGAAAAAGAAAAAAAAAATCTAAGATTCACTTTCTAGATTGATAACAATCATGAGATGTTTTGTGTGTGTCCTAATTAGAAAGTAAGCTTTATTTCATTTATTTTTTTAAATATGTAGCATCATTATAAAAATTGGTATTGTAATTGATGCAGGGGCATGCAACGTTTTTGCTTGGTATGGACCAAATTTACCAAACGCAAGAATGAAACTTTTTTGACTAAAAAAAATTGGGAGAAAAGAATTGAATGAAATATCGCCGTTAATAAGTTGAAAAAATTAACAAATGTCCTAATATTACATATTTTTGAAAAGTTTGGGATGAAAATGGCATGCTTTTAAACTTTAGGATGTTTTAGATGGTGTGGCTCAAACCTTGGGATGAAAAGGCCCATTCTCCTAAAAAGATAAATAAATAAATAAATTTCACAATCTTTTTTAATTTTTATAGTCAAGGAATTGAAAGCCCTAATTCCACAGGCCGACGGCCCAATGTTAAAGAAACGCACAAGAACGAGGCAGTCTCTCCTATATAAACACACCCAGTGAGCAATAGAACCTTGTGAAAACAAAAACCCTGCCTCCGCCGCTGGTAGCTCTTCAGTAGCTAAGCCACTATTAGGGCTTATCATCCCTTTTCATGGGGAAAGAAACTGATTTTGGTTCATTGTGACCTTTGCTTTCCGCTTCTTTTCTGGAAGTTACAGTTAGTTAATCGTTGAATTTGATTGATTCTCCGGCTAGTTTTTGTCGGATGATAGGGAATGGCGCCGGATTGTGACTGATTCAGATTCAGTCTATACTCTGAATCCTTCGGTATTTAGATCCGATTTGCGCCGCTTTCTTGGCGGTATTATTTTTCATATATTTACATGTATTTTTCTAATTTCATTTTCGTAGGTGGTTGCTACATTTTGTGGACGCATGAGCAGAGAAATAAATTGCGTTGCACCGTGCCATTTTCAAATGGTGTTTTTTTTTCTGTAATTAATTAGCTAATGATGAAGCGTTTTTCATGATATTTTCCCCTAAATGATGATTACTTATTCTTAAGCCATGGATTAACATCCAGATGAAGCGCTTTTTGTCATAGTTACTCTGATAGGGGTTTCTATTTGATTATTTTATATCTGTTCTCAAAACGAATTAGTTGAATTCTTTATGTGATGGAGGATTCTGGTACATAATTACCGTGGATTTTGGGTTTTCTTGCAAATTAGAATAGTGAATTGCTTTTGTTCTGGGTCATAATTAGTGCGGGATGCATGTTCAAAGGCAACTTTGCCGAGGAGATCAGTTTCGTTTTGATTTCCTCTTTTCCCTGTTGCCTAAAGTATAATTGGCTCTGCTAATTTTTTTTCTTCGAATTGTAAATTAAGTTTTCATACACCCTAATAGTTACAATTCTTCGGCAGAGCCAACATTAAGTTAAGCACATTGCCTCTAAACTCATGAACTTGTTTTTTTGGTATGAATCATATTTGTCAAGTCCTGTTTTTAGGCGAGTGCATTGTGAAATTTGTGAAGTATATGGTGAGAACCGTTGCATTATAGGATAATAACAATGCTGAAATGTTCATCTACCTTGTTATAAGTAGTCTATTCGGATATACTCTAATGAAGTTTGAGAGTGATATCTGAGACTGAAACTGTCTTGTTGGATTACAATTTACTTTTCTCGGACGTTTCCCCTGCAGAAAATCATAATGTCGCTCGTGCAAATCTTTAAACTGCTATTCTTTTATTGGATTATTAAAAATGGTTTTCTGGATAATGTTGAAAGCTTTGATATAACCTGAACTTGTACAAGCAGACGACCTATTCTATCATTGATTCCAGCAAAATTTCATGGCACTGTTGGTAAAATGAAACCCCACCCTGGGTTTCACTCCGCAACAGAATAGAAGCTTTAGGAGTTCACCGAAAGGATTGCAGACTGGACATTACGATAACTTGTTATATAGTTCATTAAATCTGGTTGATTTGGGTGATGTGGATTGTTCTTCGTGTCGTTCTAAGCCTGATTTGTTCATGTGCGAGTGTAAAAGATGGGCTGTGAATAGAGAAATGGAAAGTGGAGGAGTTTAGATTGAATTGAATTCAGTAGTGATTATATGTGAGAAGGAAATGTTACAGAGATGAATGAGAATGCTTTCCTCCATATGTTGCAATATACTTGGTTATAGAAAGCAATTATACCCTACCTAATAGTGTTGAACCTCATTACTATCTTAATGATTGAGAAACGCTTTCCTCCTGATGCTGCAATAAACTTGGTTATAGAATGCAAGTAATTATACTCTACTTAATTGTGCTGAACCTCAGTTACGGTTACGGTTACAACATCTTACAAAAACAACCAGGAGGCCTTGGTTATGGTTACGATATCTTACAGAAGCAACCAGCAGGCTATCTTCTGGATCCTGTTCCCTCAATAAACAATTCCTTCACAACCAAAAAACTGGAGAAAGCTGACACAAAAAGCCTTCTAGATTCTAATCACGTGCCTAAAAACCCAGCATGAAAGAATTGCCCTAATTACTTTTCTCTCATTCAGGCAAATGCAGAGGAATGAGGCCAAAAAATGAAAAGAAAATAAAATAAAAAAGGGTAACCATCATTCTAGTGACTGATTAAACAAAAAAACCAAAACCAGCCTCTGAATGAATCGTAATGCACACTATCACCAGGATATTCGAAAATCTTCAACAGCCCCTGAGGAGAAAGAAAGATCCATCTTATCAGTATTCGAAAAGAATTAAGAAACAGGCGCAAGTTGTAGAAGCAACATTGACTCTGGTTTGCAATTAGCGAAATTCTACCCTCTGGAACATGCAATGTGGTTCACAGACCTGTATTTCTTTAATACGATAACAGAAGTTCCTTTTAGAAAGCGGAGAAGAGCTTTCACCAAATAAATATAGAAGTAAGCATTAATATGTGAACAAAACCGTCTGGTAACATTTACTGGTGCCTCGGAACAAGACATCCTTTTTCACAAGCAATTCAACCAAATATGCAGCGTCATGTAATCCAGATTAAACTATTCTATGGCAAATGCCAATCAGACGAGAAACTAATTTAATTCTCAGGGCATTCTTCATTTCATAAGAAACTCAACTTAATCCCAACAATTTGTTACAAGATTATGGGCCTCGAACGCCAGTTTTATCTGATGAAAAGCTTACAACGCTGGATGCACATATATTGAAAATTACTTGTCAACTAACCTCTTGCTTAGCTCCTTTCAGGAATAATGGGAAAAAAATTGAAAGCACCCCTCAGTTTACCACAAGCTACCCAACGCTCACTTTCATCTTGCAATCCAGCTTATGGCATATTTAATGCTAGCTTTAATTGAGCCAATGCTGCGGGATGCATTTTACCGATGGCTGCAGTAAATGACTCTCCATGTAGCGCAGCACATGTCTGAAGATTCTCTCTCACCGAGCTCTCCAGAGATGCTTGATTGATTGGATCTGAAAGTTTAATCTAGCAGGGAAAAAGAGGTTAGCATACTGTGAATATCTTCATGCCAAACACATGCGGCTCAATACATAATGATGATGTTCAACCTGAATTTACCGAACAAAAAAAAAGGATGTTTTACCTGTCTCCTCCTGGAATCTTTGCTTGGAACATGAGGACGGCTAGGACTATTCCCATCACTATTATTGTTCCACGAAGCAATTCAACATGTCAAAATACAACGGAACAATTACAATGCCAATTATACAAATCCCCCGTAGAGGGAACATTTAAAAAAATTATATTCACAGACATTGGCAGTTACCTTGACTCTTCTTCTGTTAAATCCTCATTTCCTCCCAATATTACACTTGTGCATGCGCTGCCATTGATAGTAATCTCAGTGAACCATAGTAAGGAGCAATTTCACACTTAGCAACAGGTAATGCATAGTCCAAAAAATTTACCATACCTAAGAATGTGATCGAGCTTATCCAATACCTGAGGCAACCTAAGGGTCAAAATTACAGAGAGAGCTAAACCCAATGTCTTCCTCTGAATGGAAATCACATTGTCCACCTGCAAGCACATAAACCATTGAGAAAACATACTAGACTGACGCTCAACTAAAAAAGTAATAATTGCACATAAACTCTGGCCAAAGTTTTTTGTTAGATTAATGATTCAATCAAGCAACTATACTAGACATCGCAGTTTTTTATTAGCCTTGCATCCCTTTCTATTTCGTATGATAACTAGAAGAAATTGACAAGAGACTACATCATTAAATTGCAACCAAACGTACGGATCTGTGTCTTACGTGCCAACCCATTCAAATAAGGCACCAGATATTCCAGGTACTTTCACTAGAGCAAAAGCACATTTCTGAACTGGATTAAACTTGAATGGTTACACATTACTTAAAACATTCTGGATCCAAATACAGGAATACTTGATACAGAAGGGAACAAACCTTGTCAAGCCACACATCCACAAGGCAAAGAAGAACATTCTCTTCGACTGGAAAACCAGCTCTCTGAAGGTGTAAGAGAGATGAAGTTTCAGATGTTAGCTGTGCAAGGTAATTGGTGTTCATGATCAATGTCCGTGCTAGGATAGCAGCTGAAGTTGCCTTGACAGTTGCTTTAGAAGGATCATGATCATCTTTTGCAGTCAGGCATATGATTAGTAGTTTCTGTAAAGAATGTAAAGATGTCAATTTGAGGAAGATAAAAAAAAAGGTGTAGAAAACATTAGGATACTGTAATAAAATTGACTCTGTATGAAGCCTTCACAAGAACCACCTGCAGAGTAGAGCTGATCAATGGTGGGGCATCAACTGGGAAACACTGCCAAAATGTAGAAGCACAAAAATGATTCACCAGCGAAGCTATAAAAGTATGCACTATTCCAACTTTTAATACAAAACAGTTTAAAAACTAGCTGATGTTCATCACACATAATGTAAGAGGGCCGATGTTCATAAAAAACTAGCTGAGTTACAATCCTTCACATCTTATCTTAATGTTCTCATTCATCCAGACAAGAAATGCTAAAAAGGATATCCATATATTAACAGCCCTTTTTACGGGAATTTTAAAATTAACCAACCTGTGTATACAAATAATCTTACATACAACAAGATACTAACACGGAAATAGAATTATATAAAGCAAAGAGGAAAAATAGATGCTGTAATTCCGAAGAATTCCAAGTACGTGTCATAATGGTGAAAAGAATAATAAAAATTAGAAAAAGGTTGGTATTTGAAGGGAAGGAAAAACTTAAAATGGAAGGATGGGGACAAAAATCTTTTTCCCCTTCTTCCTGCAACAAAAAAGAATAAGTTTAAAATAATGCAGAACATTTAAAGTCGGCCACCTGAATTAGAAGATCAATAACAGGCAGAATAGATAGCAGCCCTCTGTCGCTGACATTGCCAATAACCAAGTCAAGAAGTTTGGGAATACTAGATCCATGCATAGCAAGAAAATCTGTTCCGCCTAATACTAGATACCCCTCAGTTATACTTGAAGCAACCTGCATTCAAATGAACAGTGAGTACAATATGAGTACAAAACGGAACGAAGAGTGCCACAGTAACAATTTGTATCCACACCTTTAAATGATCAAAACTTCTCTCCAAAATCTCCACTAAACAGGGAAAACATCCCAACAGATCCGGTGTCATTGCTGGAGCATGTGATATTGTAGCTTCCCATAACTGCTCAACAATGTTACCAAACAAAATTAAAGTAACCATGTGGAAAATTGGTAACCAAGTGTTTGTATTCATAGTTTCTGACCTGCATGCCATCCTCTAAAAGTTCATCTGGGCAATTAACGTCAATAGTACTCCGCAAAACCGGAAGCAGCATGTTGTAACTCATAGGAGACTGGTAACCAAGAGCAACTACAAAGTTCTTTAATGCAGCAAGAAGCTGAATCTGCAGAAGGCTTTCACCAGAAGATTCTTCCCAAGTCTGTAAAACATGCAGCCATTTAGCGATGCATTACACAATCCATTAAAAGAAGTTATTATTCTTTATCCAAAGGTGACAAAGGTACTACATAACTTTCTTCAGTCAATCATATATACACAAAGGCATAATACAAACGGACAATGATGATTACCCTTTTAAAGAAGTGAAACAACTTATCCGCATACGGCAAAATTGCATTGACATTTGCTATAAGAACAGAGATTGAATTTAGAACTTGAACCTGTTGAAGAAGGGAGACCAAGACACAAATCAATTCAGAATCCAAGTTTGCGCTGGCATAACAAACTATAAAAGGCAACGCAGCAGCAGCTTGGCTATTAACCACGAGCAGGGAAAAGTTTGACTAAATGCAATGTAAGCAGTTGCACAACAAATTACAGATGAAATAAAGCCAAGCATAAAGGAATTGGAAAAATTTGTGTTTTGTTGGAACAAGTCATAAGATCTGGTATCCCCTGTTTGGAAGATGCAGGTTACCTTTGAGTCAAACTCTTGAACTTCCTCAATCAAATTGAAACACAAATCCCAGCACAATGGCAGTAAATCTAAGAAGTCACTCTGAGAGAAATTTGCATCTTCAATATGATAGTACAAAGATCTGCATGCTGCAAGCTGAAATGATGAAGAAGAAAAATTAATAATAATTGAACATTAGTTACATCAGCGATCTTAAATCACTTAGGAAACATACCCGGACACACAAATCTTGGTCCTGAAGCAATCTGATCAGAGCACAATATACTGCCCTTCTCGTGTCATCTTTGATCTATGAAGTAAAACATCATCAGATATCACAATTCAGAAACAATACCTTCATATAAAGACGCAAAATGCCCAATCAAATGCAACCAGAAGATGGCAGCTTTAAGTGATTATCACAAAATTTGAAGATTATAAAAGATGCACTGCAAAAGTTCCATGGGGATGATCCCTCATCTCAATTTAAACAATAATAAGGATAGTTCATCATCTGTTCACTTTAGGGTCAACTTTTCTGACATATCCTACGCAGCAGCTAAAACAGCCACATTCAATAATAATTGATCGGCAAAGTGATACATGCAAAGCATTACTCTAACCACTAGCAACAACCTTAAAGGATTACTTTGCAGTAGAGGTGAAATTACAGCTCCAAGGAACAAAGTCTAGCTTGTTCTCATTCAACTTAAGAATGCGAATCATAATATCTAATACATGAGCAACCTAGAACATGGGCTATTACTACACATAAAGGTTCCAGCAAGCAGAAGTGACGGAGAAAAAAGTGTCCAAAAAGTCAGACAATTGACTATGTTACAGTGGGAGACAATTACATCCCAAAACAAACGCAAGCACCTCCTACTACAGTCTACAGATGTAAACCTAAAAACTACTTGTGCTCTTTACCTCCGACACCCATTGGCCAAGGATTAATGCAACTTTGCGGTGGATGATACGCATATTCGGATGATCATTTGAGAGTTCTAGAGATAGTGCACCATTGAACCTAAAAGTCAATTTACGGAAAGGAATCACCTTAACTTCAAAAGTTATTGCAAGGATAAATATGATACAGAAAAATGGGAAAATAAACAAAAAGTGTAAAGCAACCCACAAGGTTTTTCTTTATACAAATTTTTAAAACACAATAATTTGTTTTAGAAATTATAATGCACAATTTGGGGTCCACATTTAAAAAGAGTAAAGTGTCACAAATGGTGACTTAATTCTTGACTGTAGATTTTCAGAACCTACACATCTCCAAAACAATAACTCACCAGTCCTTGAAGCTCAAATGATTAGAGAGTTCATAATAGACAAATGCAGCAGCACTATAAGCAGCATCCTTCAGAAGTAATCCTTGACTTATTTCATTTACTGAAGAAGGGCAGCCAGACATTGCTTCTTGAAGAATGGAAACGATAACTGGACCTAGCAGCTGCAAATTAGAAATACAATCACAAAAATCTGCGAGAGATTTTCCAAATGGCTCCATTGAAAGTCTTAGCCATACAAATAATGAAGCACTTACTTGGCTGTGGTTTTCAAAAACAACAATATACAAAGCTTCAGCACAAGGCCTTAATTTCTCTGACCACAAAACTGAATCTTCCTCATGATGGAAGGACTCTGGACTACGGTACCATTCTTCCAAATCATTTACAGTTAATACAAAATACCTGATAACAGAGAATTTGGAATTAAAAATATATATAAACAGTCCACCAGTTTCAGGAACATACAGGACGGCAAAAGAATTAAAAAGGCATAAGCATGATACACATAAGCAGAGTGCAACCTGGACACCACTACAAGCTAATTGAACTCAGAAAGAAGATCCTACCTCCGGATAAGCACATTACACAACACTACCACCCGATCACTGGGCAGAAGTGAAGCCACTACACCAGCTATCACACCAGATATGTTCTTCTTTGCTTGCTCAAATGTAACTCCAGTTTCATCAATGACACGACCAGTCAAGCTTGGTTTATATTCTTTGCATTCCAAAATGGTTTTCACCATGCACATACATTGAATCAAAAATTGATCAAATGACGAATGATTTTGCTCAGGGTCCATAATCTTCTTTAAACAGAAATCCATGACAATGGGAAGGACTGACTTATCCCCAAATGAATAAGGATGCCTTTGTTGTATTGCAATTAAAATCTTCATTAATTTAACACATGCCTTCTTCAAGAATTGCCAAAATTTAGGATAGTGCTCCTGGAAAGATGCATCTGCAGTGAAACCCGCCATCAGAAAATCTCCAAATTTAGTGGAAACAATAAAATCATGAATCAAATGAAATGCATGATCAGATTTACTTCCCAGATTCCACATTCAACTAAATGGGTGATAATAAATATGCCGGGGGAAGGGAAGAGGAGGCATACAAAAGCAAAAAAGAAACATCATTTGCGAATCACATATTAAACCAATAAACCGTTAAGCTGTATCAGAAAGAAAGCATTCTGGTAATGATCTCCACATCTCCATGAAAACATTAATGATCCAGAAGAATATAGTATACAGGAAAAGCAGCAATCCATATTGCTAGCAACATGAATGGAACTACAGAACCATCACCACTGTTTTCCATGAACTTACCAACCCAAAAACGCTCAAGAAAAAATTCCTAGATGTTCCTTGATAATTGTGGGTGAGCATTAATTTCTGAGAAAAAGTCTTATATGTGTACCATAAGTATTGTGATTAATGATTAGCTCGAAGAAAACATGAGATAAAATCAAAAGAACGGAATCTCACAGTATGGAAGAATGGACTGGATAGCATTTAATATCATAGGAGATACATCCTTGACCAGGCACACCTCCTGAGAGAAAATCAAAATACTTGTCACATTTATATTGCAAGCTATAGCATAGAAAGCAAATCATGTATAGATGATTCAAACTAACATTACCTTAAGACAAATAAAATACTAAAGAAATGCAGACCTTGACTTGCAGAAAGTTATATAAAGATCAAATACCTGCATGGATTTTGCATCGCTGGGAAATCCAGAAACTATCAACTGGCGAATGATCTTCGAACAAAGAAACCATCTCTCACATGAAAGATAAAGGTTGTCATGGTTTAATTCAGAAGAACAAGCACTAAAACTTTGAACAAGAACTGTGAAACCCCCAAGTATAGTTTGTGCATCTGTCTGCCATAGGTGCCAGCAATAATCAAAGAACTGACTTGATATCTGCCAAAATATTGTGAAAATAGTCCAGTTATCATAGTACGAGGCTAAGCACAGCAAGCTGAGCAAAGAGAGCAAAGTCTGAAGTAAAGGCAACCAAAAAATACACCTGCATCAAAATGCAAGTGGCCAAATAAAACTTGCTAAAACAATCAAAAGGTGCATTCATTAGGTATTACAAAACAATTTAAAGCAGCTCCACAAGGTAACCGTGCAGTCACCCAGTCCACAATAACAATTAGAAAGCTCTTTCGTACAGTCCTAATACGAATGCCGCCTTACACTAAATGAAGCACCCAGCATTCAGCAAGATGCTTCAGCACAGCGAGATAGTAACATATTCCGCACAGGATTTAACAGGAACCACAAAATAAAACATAAAGATGTTCTCATAACCTCACATCCTCTCCTGTACCCTAAAGATAACAGAATGCCTAGTCTGTAACTGCATTGTCTCTAAGACGATTTTGTACCTAGCTATTTGAGTTCGTTCCATCAATTAGCTTTTCAGCACATCCCACAAAAGCGAAACGCATATTCGCACAATCACCTTTATAGTAAAGGTGCCTAGCAAGAACACCTATAACTATCAGAAATGAAAACTCTTCAGTTCCACGCCCAAGATACACCTTATGATCTATAGTTATATTTCTCAACCAAAAAAAAAAAACATATATATGGCAAAATGGGACAGTAGCTGCACCTCGGCAAAGTTCTTTTGGTCCGAAGGAAGACGTTTAGTAGACAACTCTTTCAATGACCGAAAGAGAATCATAAAAATTCTGTGTGAACTAAGAATATCAGAAGACTGAAGCCGCTGCGCTAAGACCGAAAAAAGATCTGGCCTGTAGAGAGAGAGAGAGAGAAAAAAAAATCGCATTACTAACGACAGATATAAATACAAGAGAAAAGTATTGCTACTAAAACAGTAACCTGCAATGCAAACAGTTCCATCTCAATACAGAAGTGGATATTATTTTAGTGGGAGGAACAAAATTGGCACCATTTTTCAAAATTTGAAACAGCACAAAAAATGGCATATAAAGAAAGATGAAAGAGATTCATAGGTGCATGATGGTTTACCACTCTTTTGGGTAATCAATGCGAGCTATTTTCGAAATGAGCACCGCCAACGTTAGAGCAATCTGTACTGAAATCATGCAATCGTGTGAATGAAAAAAAAACAGGGGAAAATGTGCAAGTATTTCTCATCACAAGAATCATCAGGAAAAAGGAGTAATGAAATTCTCAAAACAAATTCGACCAAAAGATGACACTTAGACCTGATCATTTTCTTCTCTCAAATGCGATAAAAGCTTTTGCCTCAGATGAATCTTCTCCTCATTGCTTATACCACTGCCAAAAGGAACTCAAAATAAACACACAAACACAAAAACCTTTCACGAATACCAAACGCATCTACTTAAGATTTGCTATGTATAACACATTGACACTAAATTAAAAATACTCACGAGGAATCTCGTCTATTTCTCCAGTAGCGATTAATGCTGTTCTTGAAGTATACCGATGCCATTAGCCGCACATCTGCTTGAGAAGCTAAATCTTGGGCGGTGATGACTTCCTATGTATAATTGAAACCACAAAAGGCGTAAATTCTCCAAAAAGATAATTCCATTTTGCAGATATTTTCACTTATCTAAAGCAGCATGCATTATAAGTTGTTTTCTAAACCCTATGCCCGTGAAACTAATGTGCGTAAGATGCTAAAGCTCTGGCATATCACGCTCCCAAAGCAAAAAATGTTCTGTGGGGAAAAAAAAAAAAAAAAACTCGAAAAATGTAATTAGGTCGAAGCATTTCTCTATTGGTAAACCTTTGGCCGTTTTAGTGTTCCCTAAGCAAAGTTTTATCACACGACTGGCTTAAAAGCAGTATTTCGAAAACCCTAAAGGAACTAGGAAGTAATCAGAAGATGAATAAAAGCAAGGGCGGAAATGTACCATAAGGCAAGAACAGAAACCAGGTCTGTTCTCAGATTGAGCTAGGGCAGTTTCAGCAGGCTTGCGAACACTTTCATCGCCGCTCAATGAATTCGCTAGGAGATTATACATCGTCGGCAAGTCAGCAGCCGATAACGCCATCCTTTCGAGCCGGAGAGAAATAATCGGAGGGGGGGGGGGGGAACAAACAAAATCAACCGCCTTCCTCCGTGCAAATGAGGAAAGAAAATAGAAAAAGCCGATGTTCCGACTAGCAGTATGATTCCGTGATTTTTCCAAACATGGAACCGGAGCTGGAAGCCGGAATTACAGTTGCAGAATTCTTTGCTGGCAATACGAATGATTCGAGATTACGGGAATGAGTCGGAAGATCGATTCAGGACGAAATAAGAGGGTGGCATGTCAGTAAAAAAGGATGGAGAATTGAAAGCGAGAGAAAAAGCACGTTTGTGCACTCTTTGGGAGAGTGTGCGTGGTAATTTGCGGGTAATTTTACCGTGAAGAATAACTGAGCAAGGAGAGGGAAAAGACAGGGATTTTTTCCTTTTTCTTTTTTCTTTTGCGGGTGGATTTTTGAAGCCACCCACTTTAGTAGTCAAAAGCCACGAAAAAAAATTGGACTATTTTGCCCCTATCATTTAATACAGTAGAGAGAGAAAGAGAATGAGTAATTCAGAGGTAAACAAAAAGGAGATGGATTTTTCCAGCCACCCAAATTAGTACTTGAAGCCATCAATTTTGAAGAATTTCCCTTTTGCCCATGTCACTCGGACCGAATCGGGCAAGTCATTCGGTCCAATTCATGTGAGAACGGATAAATTATTAATTTTTATTTTAATGTTAGTTTATTTGCAGTATCGTTACATGTTGAATATCTCATACTTTAAATATTATTAACAATATTTATACTTTAGTGCTTAAATTCTCGATTTTATATATACTTGAAAATAAATAAGTAATTAATTTTTATTTGAAAACAAATTTAAGATTATTTGTTAAGTTAATTTATTTGAATTGATATTAAAATATAAATTTTACTTTAATCATTATTTAAAGATAATTTTTAGTTAAAATAATAATTATACATTTATAATGAAAAATAATAATTATACTACAAATATTGTGACAAATATGTGCAAATAGATTAACTATTTTTTGTACTACATGATACTTAATGTAACTCAAATAATAAATTATTAATAAATTTAATGACCTAAAAGCTACATGAACTAATTACAACAAAAAATCTAAAAATTAAAAAAATAGCAATAAATTCGATTGATATTTTTTAATTTTTAGACTTTTTTAAATAAAAAATATTGCTATTTTTTAATTACAAAAAAAATCAAAAACAAAAAATTTAAAATTTTTTTTAAAAAAAGGCATGATCGGTCTGGTTCACCATATCGAACGGAACCGGATCGACCGAGCAATGAACCCGTCCCGAGTTAACCCGGGACGGGCAAAGAACTCGTCTGCTTGTTCGCCTGAACGGGTTCATTGCACGTCCCGAGTTAAATCAGGACGCGCAATGAACGCGTTCGGGCGAACAAGAGGACGCGTTCTTTGCCCGTCCCCGGTTAATCCGGGTCGGGTGGACTGCCCGGTCGGTCATTTTTTTAAAATTTTTATTTTTTTTTTATTTTTTCTCTAGTTAAATTATTTGATTTAAAACAATTATAAGGATAAAATGGTCCAATTTTAAAATACGTGGATTCAAGTAGTAAAGATGATGGTTTTGAAAATAAACACCCTCTTTTTTTCCCTCTTTGTATTTAATTCAAACTTTTCGGGGAGAAAATCCCAAAAGACAATACAATACACATATATCAAAAAAAAGTTATCATGTGAATTTTAAAATTCTCATCATAAGATTTGCCCGTTATGATTACAGTAACGTCATAATACAATATACTAGTATTATTTCCCGTGAAATGCGACATTAGTCATTCGCATAGTGTTTGTTGTTTTTTAGGTAATTGTTAAAAATAAAGCCGTTAAAGATATTTTTTTCCCGTTTTTTTTGTTTGTATGTGGTGAATGAATTTTTTTGAAAAAAAATTAAGTTCAAAACATTGATATTTAATTATAATTTCGTATTGTGATTGTTGAAAGAAAGTAATTTCTTTAAAAATAAAACTAAATTTTCGTTTAAGGAGAGAAAAAAATTAGTTGAGGATGTAAGTGGCATGAAGATGTTAAATGAATGATAAATATGAGTGTATTGATGCAGCTGAATTTTGTTTGTTGTCAAGGAAAAAAGAAAAAAAAATGGGTTTATGAAATAAGTAGAAAAAATCAATGTTGGTGTAATGAGTAGTTTAGAGAGATATTATAATAAAATAGGTAAATTAGATGCGCTACACGTGTATATCTACACAAAAATAGTACTATTATGTAAATCATCCTTATATATACTTAATATAAAGGCATAGTAGGCAAGAAATTAATTAAATGCCCAAGAAATATTCAGGGCCACCTTCAAAGCGATCTCGTCCGTCGGATGGGTTCAATCCGACAGTCAGTATTAAATCATTAATTAGGGGCAAAAATGAAATTTCATTAATTCAGAGGATAAGCAACCGTAAGTTTTTGAGGATAATAAGTAAAAATAAAAACCCCCAATAAACAAACGTAATTTCTTGAGAGTAAAAAATAAAAACCCCCATGAAGAAAACGAAGTCGTCCCTTTCCTCTGCCTAATTTTTTCCCAGAAAACCCCCAACCAAATAAACGACGTCGTGTCTTCATCTTCACCAGCCTAAACAAAACTCCTCCCTCTCCTCGTCGCTCTCAGAAATACATCTTCCCGACTTTCTCTCCGGCCACCCTCCGACAGAAATCAGCCTATCGCCTCGTTCCCACCATCACCACAACACCGCCGGCGGCGTTTCCACCAACACCATGGCCTCGGGCCGTGGATTTATTCTGGCCCAACAAGAGACAATTTCTGATTTTTTTTCTTCAAATAGGATTAGGAAATCAATATATAAAAAAAAGATTTCCCAATTCCAAATCGTCCCTTTCAGAATCTCAATCGGATTATAACTTCAAAGTCCACAACCGGTCTATAAAAACCCCAGCAATCCTCACGAATAGAACCACCCCAAGCTCTCTCTACAGCTTTCCAACTCCCGGCTCGTAACAGGTAAAATTCTCCTTCTTTGCCACTATTTTTGTATGAATATTTTTGCAACTCCCGGCAACTATCCACTGTACCTGTGTAGCATCAAGTAACTAGCGTAGGTTGAATTATTTTTCATTCTGCATCACTATGTTTTCCCTTCAGACTTTAACAAATTTAGGATTATCGTTGGTCTGAATTGTACGTGTTCATGATTGAGTGTTCTGACCTGCTATGATTTTGAAGTTGTTGACCGATTTTCCATGCGTTTGATTTTGCTCCAACTTAATTTCGATTCCATGCTTTTATTTGAAATTTCAGTTTAAATTTGAGTATTGATCAGCCTTATTTTTCTCTGTTAGAATCCTTAAAGTTTATAGCTTGATCACTGTTAGTATCGTTGCGATTGTTTAATGAGATGTTACGTGTTCCTGCTGTTATTTTTGGACGAATATCTTTGCAACTCTTGGCAACTATTCACTGAACCTGTGTAGCATCAAGTTGCACATGAATATTTTTGTTTGGATTTTTAGTAATAATTCCAACAGACACCGTGAAGTCTGCCTACGTCGTTGCTATTGTTCTTGTGATTATTTCAGTTTTGACTAATTAAATCATGAAGAATCATAGTTACAAGGTTGATTCTCGTGTAGTTTGCATGACCTGCTTCCCATTTTGATTCTCTGATTATTGTTGTAATTGTTTTGATGTGTTGTTGTTGCTCTTGTATATTGCATCTCCTGGTTCTTTGTGTTTTTCAGAAATCAAGAATTATATATATACTTTTTAGTTCAGTCCTTTGTGTTGTTGATGTGATATTTTTGTCAGTTCTTGCTTCCCTGTTTCTTTTTTATTTATCTTAAAATAATTGACAAGGAAATTGTGATTCATCAACAATTGAAAATAATCAATTGAGCTTCTTTTTTGATTTTCCTGATTTCAATGCGTTTGGTACTGTATGTTGTTCTTGATCACTCCATTGTTACGTGTAGCTCTGCGTTTGGTAGGATTTTATGATTTTTCAGTTCTTTCCCATGTTGCCTTTTCAGTAAAACCATGCGTGCTGAATAGCCTACATGGCTTGTGATGTGTTAAACTTAATGTCTCCTAACTGTTCCATGAAAACAGATTTCGGCTTCTCTAAAGGACAACCTCGTGCATCTCCCGCAAAACAAATTTTCCCAAATCCAAGCTTTTTTCTTCTTACACGGGTATTTTTTGGTCTTATTGTATTTCTGAACTCATATTACAACTGCAAAAAAAAAGAGAATCCTTGATGACATACCTTAACACTATGGTTTTTGTTGCTTCATGCATATTTGTTTAGAATGGCTCCTCATTAGGATCTCCCCATTCACTCGTTTCTTTGCTCCCAACGACAATTCTTTAAGGGTTATGATTAAATTACTTATGGCGACTTCAAAGCTGTTGTAGATTTTGATCGGGGTTCACTGGGTTGCTCCTAACAACATTGTCGAGTTTGACCTGCTTTGTCTGCATGGAATCATGATGATTAATGCTTGGTGACATGTCATGTTGAAATAACCATCCTGTAATGTTATTTTTGTTTGATGAGAATCTGGCTAAAATTAAAAATGTTGCAACACTATTTAAATATTGTTTAGATTTAGTATTCTTTGCTTATTGGTAATATCTGATAGTTCTAGGGTGTTTTATTTGTTGCCGATGGCAATAGATTTTTTGTCGATGTCTAGAGTAGGCATAAAAAGGCATCACAAGGGTTGCAATCCGCTGGTGCAGGGGCTTTATAGTTTGCCCTTGCAATTCACCAGCCATAAATTAGTAGGGACTTTACAATTTGCCCCTTCTGATGCTTGCTTGAGGGATTAGCCCTGAAAATTTTGCCACGTTAATTTCTAGCTTTGCTTGTTTAGCCCTGCATTATCCTCTTCTAAGTTTTTTTCTGATCTGCTTATGACGGAAAAGAGGCACTGTCATTTTAGATCTGAACTTCTTGAATCCCTTTTTCTTTACAGTTTATGTATGAAAGTAGCTATCAACTTAGGCTCTCTTTTTAAGTATGTCAGCACATCGAGCTCTCAAAATAGTCACCTGTTTGTCCCCTTATTTTATTTGACAGTTGCTTTGTTATCTCTATATATTAAGTCTACTCCAATAAATAGCCGGACTAGGATTAAGTTATTTCTCTTTATTCTTTTGTGACGAATTTAACACTTCAATTCCATCATTTTGTTTGAGTTACAATTGCAGAATTTATATGGAGTTTTCATTTCTTTCAAGGGTAAAAAACTTGTATCTTGGAGGCATTGTTACCTTTCTAAAGTGAAATTCCTGGCTGTATCAGCAAGCTATATTCTTTGACTTATTGTATCTTCAACAATAAGAGTAAGTAGTTATATTCTGTGCCAGAAGATTTTATCAAGGGGTTGTGAGTATGGGTTATCTTTTAACATGAATATTGTATTCATTAGCATTTTTGCAGTGGGTGGTAACAAACAGGCGACAAAATCTTGGTGTCGTACTAGACCTGGTGATCAATCTCGTGAGAAATTAAGTGCAGGCTTTGGGGAGCGGAGTACGGGTTTAAGCATGCCTAGCACTTTTCCTGGACTTGAGGCTACTATACCAGCCAGGAATTCGAGTTCCTATGGCAATAGGTGGCTTTCACAGGCTACAAGCTGGGCAAATGCCGATAATACCAGGACATAATCCCTTCTAGAGTGGGAATCCAAACAATGCAGTCTAATTTAATCTCATCTTAAGGATGCAACTGTTGTTGCCTCATGGACCTCCTCACATCATCAATGAAAATTAGCATAAATGTAGATCAGCTGCAACCTAGAATAGAGATTCACCAACTTTCTTGACAATTTATTGCAGAAGCAATGCATCAGGCGTCAAATTTGTTCTCTGATGAAAACTCGTTTAAAATATAAAGAGTTTTCAATCACGATGACTATAATTAAAAACTACTACTAGATGCTGAAATTAACACCACAAAGGATTGGGACCCTGAAAAGAAATTTGCACATAAAAAACAAATGAACTTTCAAGTAATATAAACATAACAGAGGTTTTCAATATGACGAGTGTCTATTCATTTTTCTCTTAAAGATTATTGTTTGCCTGTGTATTGAATCAACAATACCCACACCGCATATCTTTCCCGAAGAAAGTAGTGAATAAGGGCACTGAAACAGCAAAGCACACAAGGCTTACCATGTTTCTCCAACCATGGCCTACCAAAAGGCAAAAGCACTAATTTATCTCTTTGAGCAGACGAGATAGCAGGATTTCATTTTTCTTGATATAAACACAAATTCATTTTCTCTAAAGAAAATTTGTACCTCTATACCGTTTAAGAGAGGAGAACTGTTTACATTTATTTTACAGTGGTAAATCCAAATCGTTCCCTGTTAGTTTCCCCCTTCCTAAACAAAACTTTTCCAACAATAAAAGATAGTTCTTCCATTTCCTTAAATCTTGAAAAGCTATCAAGAGATCAAAATCAACATTCATTACTCAGAGACCAAATCTTCCAAATCATTCCAAATATTTTAATTAATTAAACTCAACACTTTCTCAAATATTTTAATTGATTAAACACAACATTTAGAATTTGAGAAGTTACAATGTCATAGTGGTTTATATAACGCTAGAAGAACGGTGTCGAGTTCCATAATCACAATTGCTCAAAAAAGGAGTTTAAAAATAATCAAAAATTGCCATTAGGATTTTGTGACTAAAAGGAAATACCATGAACAAAAATAATTTAAAAAAAAAAGATAATTACAATTGCTAACAAAATAGTATTTAAAAGTAGTCAAAAATTACCATTAGGAATGCAAACCTATGACTAATAGAAAATACCATGGATAAAAATTAAAAATTGAAAAAAAAAATAAAGTGTACTCCAGAATGATAAAATAAACAATTTAGCTGTTTTGGATGATAAATTTTTTAATTTTATTTTTGTTTGGATTGTTTAAATCCCAAACAACTCAAACCAACGATTAATAGCAAATACCTTAATTTCTTTCATAATTTATGTATAATTTAAAAATTATAAGTCTAATCTGTTCATCGTTATCACTTTAATTCTCAAAATAACAATCGAATAAACTGATTTAGAAAAGAAACTGGTCGCGCAATGCGCAATGAGACAAGCCTAGTCATATCCTACTATATTAGAAATAAAAACCCCCCTTTCAAACACCTCCTATAATTTCCACGTGACATGAGGAAAGTACTAAATTACCCTTTTGTCTAACCATAACTAAATTACTAAATCCCCCTTTGCACTTTACGTGACACGTTTTTTTTTTTATAAATTTTTTCTTTATGTTCCATTCAATTAGAGTGGTTTTTTTTTTTAATTATGGAGTCTAAATTGAATTAATCAATTAGGTTTTTGTTACAAAGTGTCAATTTTGTTTTAAGCGTATACCCTTCGGATGAAACTTATTACAAAGCTATTAAAAATCTCCAAAATTAAGTATTAATTTGGCACGACCAATGAAAGACATCGATAAATCATCTTACTAATATTTAAATTTATTAGGATACTTTTATATTTTGTCTAACATTTTACTTCAACACATATATTCGATTAAGTTTATTTATATTTAATAAGTAACACTTATAAAACATTTATAAAACATACATGGCGAAATACAATTTCTTTTTTTGTTAAATACAAATACTTCTATGATCACACTTATGAAACATTTCTAAATCCTTCAAACATTTCTAAAATATATCACTCCAAATACAAGTTTCTTTTTTAAAATATAAACATTTCTAAGATCTACAGATAGACTGGCCAGGGTCGCGCAATGCGCGACCAGACACCACTAGTAATAAAAGAACAAAAGTGAATTTTTAATGATAAATAAATTATGAGTCTATCCACGTTATATGGCAACAAATTTATAAAGAATAACAATATAATCTTATAGTTTAATCTCAAAATTACATCACTAAATGTTCATTTACGATTTCATTAAAGTGACATATATGTGGTGTTTTGATTCTAAATCGGAAAAAAAAAAGAAAAAACCATACAAAAGTGACCAAAAACACAATCAAATTTCTAAACCACCGAAAGAAAAAATAAAAATACTAAAAACTAAAACCAACTAAGACGTCTATTGAAATGGTAATGAAATTAGCATATTTCTTAGTCTCCCTTAATGGTTTGTTGTGTTGAATGAACTTCCGCATCAATTAAAATTGTGGTTACATTACATCACCTTCTGATCAGTGTTTGTTCATTAAGAAAAAAATTGTAATGGAAACAAAAATTATTCTCCAGTTGGATTTTGACTAAAATTATCCAATTTTGAGAAAGAAATTACGATTTTTTTTCTTTTAAGCTAGCAATTAGTAGTACAAAAAACAATTGTGACAAAATACTACTACGCTATAAAAGAGAAATCCAAGAAATTCCACCTGGCATCGAGGCGGGCCCACTAAAAACCCATATGAACAAAGGTTTTGAGATCTTATTGGTCAGGAGTCGTGTACTTCTATAAAACCGGCCACGTAGATTTTTAGAACCGTCTGGATGATTCACCCGCGAACTGTTAATTAAATCCGGGACTCCAGAAATAAACGCCCCAAAATCTTCGAACAGATAAATAATAGCCCAGTTGAACGCAGAAACTCCTCCAAGAATTATCTGTTTGTTCCTCAATTCAAACATTGCAATCAGGCCCTTGATATGAAGACTCTTCTGGCGTTACCGATTGTAGTTTTGATTATCCTCTGCGCCGTTGAATCGAAAACTCCCGACCCATATAAGGTGCTTCCATAGGTTTCTCTTGTTTTCTTTTCTTGATGATGCAAAACGCAGGAGTCTGTTTGTTTTCGAATCGGATTGTTCTGTATTGTGCATATGGGGCATTGTTGGGTTGTCTAATATTGATAGAAGAGTAAGAATTGATAATGCGTGTGATGCCAGCAATATATTCTTTGAAATCTGATTTTTTTTTTCTTTTTTTTTTGGTATAAATAATGTGTTTGGTAATTTCCATCGTGAGAGATCTTTGGACGAGTCAGTAAGGTCAATGGACATCATAAGATTCAATAATTCTGTTTAAAAGCTAAAGAATTTTGAGGTAAAGAAGGAGATGTAATGGTACACATGAGTTTTTCTTTTATGTATTCATTCTAGTGGAAGGAACAAAAGGGTTGCATTGGCATTGTATAATTCAAATACACAATCTGACATAATGGGATAAATCATATCCTGTTGTGATAAGGGAATGCAATGGCATGCCACGGGAATTGGGAAATTGTCGGAAATAGTTGAACATGGTTCAGAATTAAGCAAAGTAGGATTTGGGGATATGGTTTTAATTTGTTCAGTGTTAGTGAATTTGCTGGTTTTGGAAACACGATTCTGTTATTGGTTTCATTCTTCTGTCTCTCACATCTTACTGTTTGTTGTCTATTCTTGTAGGTACTTGGGGTAGATCGCAGCGCTAGCCAACGTGAAATTCAGAAGGCTTTCCACAAGTATGTATTACATTGAAGATTTATATTATTTATTTTGCAGTCACACGCTAGTAGTTTGTGTTACAAATGTAGGACTTCTTAAGCTTTTCCTTGTGGAAAGGGGAGTTTCATGGTTTTTTTTTTTTTTTTGGAATAAAGATTGTTTTCATTCCATTTTGCAGAATAGCAATTGCAAACTCCATACAAGGGGGGTTTTATGTTGTTTTTCTTCATCATAGCAATTTTTATGCTTGATGATTTAACTGTGTAATGTAGTTGAAATCATTTTCAAGCAGTTAATTGATTCAAATTGTGGTCTTGGAAGGATTATTTTTCTTTTCTATTCGGGGCGGGGGTTATACACTGGTAATGATTGTCTTTTCGAATAAGACCAAATGGAATGTGGATGGTAGAAAGCTTGTTTTTAATTCTTTCGGTGGCAGTATCTTTGGAATATCTCACCATAGTTATAATGTTTATGTTACATTTTCCAGGCTTTCTCTTCAATATCATCCTGACAAGAACAAAAAGAAAGGTGCACAAGAGAAGTTTGCTGAGATTAATAATGGTACGGTGGCATTTCATCTTTTCCTGTAGAAATTTTCTCAGTATTTATTCCTTTTATATGCTTTGTTTTAAATTTGTCTCAGGAGCTTTATGTGGCTTTTGTTCTGAGAAGACATGGGACTTATGTTTATGTTGTTAAATACGATTCCTACAATGGGTATCCGATTAATATGGGTTATAATTCGAAATTTAGGACGAGGATACCCCAATACCTTGTAAAAATATCTTGGACGTTAGTAGTTTTCTTTATACTGAGTTCTTTTTCACTGATAAGATCCATTTTTGTGTTTCTAGCCTATGAAATTTTGTCCGATGAAGAGAAGAGGAAAAATTATGATCTTTATGGAGATGAGAAGGGTACTCCTGGCTTTGATCATGGCAGCAGTGGAGATCATGGAGGATACACTTACTTCACCAGTGGCGGGCCAGGGCAGAGTGGCTTTTCATTTAAGCCGGGGGATTGGCAAAATATGGGTGGTGGGCAAGGAGGATCAAAGTCCTATTCATTTTCTTTTGGAGGACCCAGTACCCAAAGCTCATTTGGGTTTGGTTTAGATGATATCTTTTCCACCTTTTTTGGAAATGATAAGGGTCGAAGCCAATTTGGGGGTTTCGGTAATTCAGGGAAATCGCATTTTGGTGGTACTAAAAGTTCCCCAAAAAGTATTCCAGTTGTAAGTAGACAAACCTACAAGAAAGACGTAGCTGATAAAGGGATTACTTGGCTTCTGGTGTCGTATACTTCTGCTTCCAGAGGCTTACAAAACTATGAATATGTTGTAGCTGAGGTTGCAGCTACTCTAGAAGGAGCATTGAAGGTATGCGGTGCCTTTTCTTCTTCTGTTATTATCTTAAGTGAAATAAAATTTCTAATTTGTTATTGGCCTTTATGCTGTAGGTTGGAAGCATAAATTGTGATAGCGAAACATCTCTCTGCAATGAACTTGGTATATACCCTCGCCGCACACCAAGGTTGTTTGTTTATTCTTATAAATCAAGTGACAATGGCATACTGGTTGAGTATAATGGTGATCTTGAAATAAAGATGTTGAAAAGTTTCTGCCAAGAGCACTTGCCTAGATTTTCAAAGCGTGTCAATCTAGGACGCTTTGACGTTGCTTCTGAATCTGGAGACTTGCCCAAGGTTATGCTTTTATCAACTAAGAAAGACACCCCGGTTATCTGGCGTGCTTTGAGTGGCTTGTATCACAAGTCTTTTGCATTCTATGATGCAGAGGTATCAATATTTGTTTCTGTAGTTGATAGACAGTGTTTTTAACCAGTTCTATTGTATTCAAACATCAGTAGTTCGAATTATTGACAGGTGCATGATGTATCCGATCCAATGGTAAGAAGGCTAGGAGTGAAATCTCTTCCAGCTATTGTCGGATGGCTTTCAAATGGGGAGAAGCAAAATTTGAAAGATGGCATTTCTGTGAAAGACTTGAAGTCTGCGATGCAGGAGTTAAGTTCTTTGTTGGATAAGTTTGCAAAAATGAACAAGAAGGTAGCTTCAGCTAGTAAGAGCAGAACGACAGAGAAAGAATCAGGGGATGGAAAAGTAATTCCATTGCTTTCAGCGCAAAATATTGATGACTTATGCGGAGAGAAAGTTCCAGTATGCATCGTAGGAGTGTTTAGGTCCTCCAAAGCGAGAGAGAAGCTCGAGAGCATTTTAGGGATGGTAAGTGAAGCATTAGTTTCTTTACTTTTCAATAAGCATGAAACCTTGAACACCAGAGGATTGTAGGAGTTTCCCGTTCTTCATAGGGAAGAACAATGCTCCTTTATACTGATCGTATCATTAATTTGTGCCTCTGCTATACTTTTTCAGGTTTCTCAGAAATCACTATCTAGGCGACAGAACTCAGCATCTGGTGCTGATTCAGTTTCTTACGCCCTTCTGGACGCTGCAAAGCAGCAATCCTTCTTAAGTGCGTTCGACAAATCAGGGTTTAAATCTGTTGATCAGCTCCTTTTGGCTTACAAGCCACGAAAAGGAAAGTTCGCCACTTTTGCAAGTGATATAACAATGGAGGAAGCAGAGAAATTTATCAGTTCAGTACTAAACGGAGATGTACAATTTACAAAAACTCGACAAAGGCCAGGATTGAAATAGGGGATATAGTTTTTGTAGGAAGATTGCCTCTTGTACATGTGGAGAGTTGTGTTTTCTGAAGAGTAGAAGTTATATAGACATACACAGGAGCTGGGAATATGCGGCCCTTGGTTTTTACGCCTTAGATGTATTAGTTATGTAAATTAATTAGTTGCACAGTGGACTTGAAACGAGATCATCGGACATGCCTGTTATTCAGGACTCACAAGATTTTGTTTATTCTGGTTTCAAGTATATAAGTAAAAAGGAGTAGGTTCTCTTTTCTGCTTTGTTTCTCTGCATTTTACCGTTTATCTCTCTGCCAAATACTTTCTCAATTTTTCAAAAGAACAGTTTTTAGCAGGTTTTTTCAGAATTAAATACTAATAAATGTTCCATCCTAGTGATTTTTTACCGTCTCGATAGAAGAATTACTTAAAAACATACACCGGAAAAACAATCCAAATATACGAATAAATCCATTTTTCTTTTTTGTTTTAATGGAATTTCTGTTTGTTTGATTTTTTGGATGGTTTTTTTAAAATTATTTTAATAATAACTGTCTCATCCCAGTATACCTTTTTATATTTTCAATACATCTTTTTATATTCTTAATAAAAAAACACTACAATACATCTTTTTATATTCTTAATAAAAAAACACTAAGAAACGAAACAAACATAAGGAGTCCCCTATGAGAATGCAACTTGCAAGTATTCAGTAGGTTTACTAATACTTGATTTTTTCAAATTTACTACTAGTGTCTTTTATGCATCTTCCACCTAAGACTAAAGATAGTCCAAAACCATGGTTTTTGGGTGGCTGGCATCGGGACTTAGCTTATATGGGGGGCAGGCAATAATCAAGTAGGCGGCCCCCTCCTCTTCTGGTTTGTTGGAATCAACAAAATATGGGCTTTGCCGGTTTTGCGATCAACGGATCCAGGTTTTTTCTGGTGCAGCTGCTCTAATAATCGTGATTCGGGGTGCATGTTGGATCTGGCTCTAAATTATTTGGGAGCAATGTTTTTTTTTTTTGGGGGAAGTGGGGGCAAATCAAATGTACTCCTATTTCCAAAATCTTGTTACATTTAGATTTAGATTTTAATAATATATTTAAAATTAAAATTAAAAATTTAAACTAAACAATAATTTCAAAATAGATAATAAAGTACTAATTACTACAAGCACATATAACGTATTATACTACTACTACTTCCATTCTTTTCTACAGGAGGGTTCTTACATAAATTTTTTTGTACCTTTCTATAAGAGCTTTTTGATCATAATATTTATTTTCTCGACTAGTTTATACTCCTTCCATTCCAATTTAATAGGCCCATTTAGATATACACAGAGATTAAGAAAAAAGTGGCTAATATAGTTTACGTGATTAATTTTAAATAAAATTCCTACTATACCCCTATTAATGACTATTGAGTTATTGATTGAAATGAGAGAGTAATTGTTAAAATTAACAAATGTTCTTGATTTTAGTGAAAGTATAAAAAGTATATTAGAGAGTTTATAGTAAAACTTAATTAATTGTCTGAAGTAGGACTAAGTTTTGAAACGTCCCAAAAAAGGAAGTGAGCCTATTGAATTAGAATGAAAGGAGTAATAATTACTGTTGTCTTTCTATTAACAAGGTTACTTCGCAAACTTTTTAACATATTTAAGACAATAGACGATCTTTGTGATATTTATGCGTTACAATCGGTGTGACACTAATTAGATAAAGACTCAATAACTAATATTATTAAGTTTAATTATTGGATTTTTAAAATGACGAGTTTATCCTCTCAAAACTCAAGAGTTGACGATCCTTTTTTTTTTAAAAAAAAAGATAGGCCTTTTGTTCCAAAAAAAAAAAAAAAATGTAAACACAATTTTAAAATTTTAAAATTTAAGTATTCAATCAAAATATGGATTGCCTATTTTTCTTGGACGGGAGAGTATTAAAACGTGGGAGCTTGCTCGTGTAACGTGGTATCTCATTAGTCATTAGCAAGTAATCAATAATAATAATAAAGTCACCCAGGTAGTTAGCATTTAGCAGTAGTAATAGCAATATTCGATTTGACATTTTGAATCAAAACGTAAACCAAACACCAGATGGCCTTTTTTTTTATTTTTGTTAGTCGAATATGCTTTGACACTTTGACCTGACTCACTGACAGTCAGCGAATCAGTTTCAACTTCAACGTCATCCCTGAAAGTCTGAAACACCTTTGTATAGTCTTACTGCTAAATTTTGTAGTATTTTTTTTTTATGCCAAATTTCCAAAGACCAAGTGTGAATTCTGAATAGTACTTCTGGTTTTCTTTGCTGGAGGGCTCCTCGAAGCAAACGATACATTTCTCTACCAAAATTAAGGTTCATTTTTTAGCATGTATTTTTAAGTTTTTTTTTTGTATTAAAAATATAAAAAGATATATTGAAAGTATAAAAAATTGTGTTAGAATAAGACAATTAATATTTAATTATTTTGAAATTACCATAAAAAAAAAAACCAACAAATTAAATTACCTTTCGTCCATATGATTATTCTGTAACGGGGTCGGCGGAAGGTTGTAGCCAGGAACTAGTCCCTTTCAAAAGGGTTCAAATATACTCCTTTTATCAAAAAAAAAAAAAGGAAAAAGAAAAAGAAATTCATATTAAAATTTGTACTAAAATGATATAAATTCTAAAACTCAACAATATGAAGTATTTTATTGGAAGTAAGGTAATAATTAGTCTTCCCAATCAATCTTGAAAATAATTTTATTGGAACACGGCCCTGTGTGTGCATTAATTTTATTGGACATAAATTAATTAAAGAATAAACAAAAGGTAGAGGCAATTAGTCCTCCCAATCTTATATACATTTTCTAATGCACACATAGGACCTTAATTAATCACCCAAAATCGCCTTCGGAGTCACCGGATGGAACCCAACCAATGAATCACTCTTCTCTCGACAGGCAGGGCAAACGTTTCTCGTGGTTAATTAACAAGTTTATATTGGTGACGCCAACGCGAAGACTAAAAAAATACTCCTTACAAGAAAAAAATTACCCACTAAAACTACCGTTATTAAGGTAAAAAAACCTGACGAGGTAAATGAGACGCTGGTTTCCCATTGATGCATAAACAAACTTATAAAAGGTTATAATCATGTAGACGTCCCTTAAGGTTAGTGATGAAATTACAACTAATACTAGCTTTTTATTATTCTCTTCATTTTTGAAATAATTTACTCAGTTTGTTGTTAGAGTAAATATTAGTGTAGTTGGGAGAGTAGGACAATTGATTCGGTAGAACTATGAAGATTCCCTTGACAAAATTTTTGACAGTTAAACATCCTAAAAAGTAAAAACCATTTCAACACATTTGAGAAAAAAATAGAGGATGAAATGTATGCCATGTGACCTTCGAAACAATGAAAAACTCTTATGAATGTAATTGGGGAGTCGTAGGTAGAGACCACATGTGTCATATAGATCGCTCCACATGTAATCAAAATCAGCAGGCACAATACGAAAACAAACCAAACCACACACACACACACACACTGGATTTAAGCAAAAACCAAAACACCAAAAAAGAAGCAAAAACCAAAACCAAAAACCGCCCCCGGATTTTGGCCACCACCTTTCCATCCAAAACCAAAACACACACAGTCACGCACTACCGCTTTTCTTCTGCCTCAACAAAAAAAAAAAAATAAAATAAAATGAAGCCCTCTCTGTATAAATACACTTGCCACCTCTCACCACCTTTCTCGCTCAGTTAATCATCATCGTCACATTCATCATCTCATTTCACTTTTTCCCTTCAACAACTTAAGAAAAAAATCTACCAAAATACAACAAACAAACTCCTTGACCCCCAAGAAAAATCATTGCTCCTTCTCCTACAAATCCCAATTTATTTTCTCGAACTTTCGCATTTATTCTTCCAATACTCTCCGCTTACATCTACCACCTTGTTCTAGAAGTTACTCACGATAAGAACAGGAATCACCGCCGCCGGAATTCGAGCCCGCTTTTGACGATGGACACTAAGATCGGAGCTGTCGACGCCTGTAAGCCGGCAAGTAATGATGTCGGTTGTTTGCCTTCTAATGGGGTTTCAACCGTTCACCCCTGCATCCCGCTCAACTCGCCCGAGTCCACTCTGGGTCGCCACCTGGCTCGCCGTTTAGTCCAAGTCGGCGTCAGCGACGTCTTCTCCGTTCCCGGAGACTTCAACCTCACCCTGCTCGACCACCTCATTGCTGAGCCGGGGCTTAACCTTATCGGCTGCTGCAACGAGCTTAACGCCGGCTACGCCGCCGACGGTTATGCTAGGTCCCGCGGCGTCGGAGCTTGCGTCGTCACGTTTACTGTCGGTGGGTTGAGCGTGCTCAACGCCATCGCCGGTGCCTACAGTGAGAATCTCCCGGTGATATGCATCGTTGGGGGTCCGAACTCCAATGATTATGGAACAAACCGGATCCTCCATCACACTATCGGGTTGCCCGATTTCAGCCAGGAGCTCCGCTGCTTCCAAACTGTCACTTGTTTCCAGGTTAGATAATTATCTGATGCATCCTAATCCCACTTTTTTTTTTTTATTGTTCATTTTATTTGCTTGGTGGATGATGGAAACATGACCTTGGATTTCGTTTTTTCGTTTGGGGTTTAGGCTGTGATCAATAATTTGGACGATGCCCATGAATTGATCGACACGGCAATCTCAACGGCGTTGAAGGAGAGTAAGCCGGTTTACATTAGCATCAGCTGTAACCTGCCCGCAATTCCGCATCCGACATTCAGTCGGGAACCAATTCCATTTTCTCTTTCTCCTAGGTGAGATTCTATCTCGATTGTTTCGACGCAATATAATATTTGCAACTGGTTGTACGTACGAACTTTTGGTTATAGGTCCGATGAATCTCTGTAGTTTATAGAATATTTTACTATTTTATTCTCTATTGCGTTATTCTTTGGACGGTATGGATTACCAACATGTATGGCTTTCAAAATAGTGATATGCAGAGTATCATGTTATCATTACCCATATTGGGTTGTTAATCTTGTTTTGGAGAGGTTGAACTCATGTAGTCATGTGAAAGTTTGATTCCAATGTCATATTGTTTTTGACTTAGGGCTTAATTTTCATCAGTAGATTAATATATGGAAAACTGAGGAAAAACACAATGCCAAACAAGATAAACTGATTGAGGGAACGATTCCAATAAGCTGTCATGATAAGAGTGCAGGAAGTGCAAGATGTCATACTAGACTGCGAGAATTAGACTGCGAGAATGTGTGCTTATTTTTATGTTGTAATGTCTGCAGAGTGAGTAATCAATTGGGATTGGAGGCTGCGGTGGAAGCAGCAGCTGAGTTTCTTAACAAGGCGGTGAAGCCAGTGATGGTAGGAGGCCCCAAGTTGCGTGCTGCCAAGGCATGTGAGTCATTTGTGAAACTGGCTGATGCTTCTGGTTATGCCCTTGCTGTGATGCCTTCGGCAAAAGGGCTTGTTCCTGAACAGCATCCACATTTCATCGGTACTTACTGGGGTGCCGTAAGTACTGCTTTTTGCGCTGAGATTGTAGAGTCAGCTGATGCTTACTTATTTGCTGGACCGATATTCAATGACTACAGCTCTGTTGGTTACTCTCTACTCCTCAAGAAAGAGAAGGCAATCATTGTTCAGCCTGATCGTGTAGTCATCGCTAATGGCCCTGCATTTGGGTGCGTCCTAATGAAAGATTTCTTGTCGGAGTTGGCCAAGAAGCTGAAGCGCAACACAACTGCATATGAGAATTACCATAGGATTTATGTTCCGGAAGGGCACCCTCTCAAATGTGAGCCTAAGGAGGCTTTGAGGGTTAATGTTCTGTTCCAGCACATTCAGAAAATGCTGTCTGCTGATACGGCAGTGATTGCTGAAACCGGAGACTCGTGGTTTAATTGTCAGAAGCTGAAATTGCCTGATGGATGCGGGTACTTTTTTTGTTGTTGTACTGAACTCAATTTTTTTTGGTCACTTTCTTCGTCTTTGTATCTTCTTTAGATGATTTATATATCGTTCCTGTTTGTGCTCCTACGTTTTTACAGGTATGAGTTCCAGATGCAATATGGTTCCATTGGTTGGTCAGTTGGAGCAACTCTTGGCTATGCTCAAGCTGTTCCCGTAAAACGTGTCATTGCTTGTATCGGTGATGGCAGCTTCCAGGTATATATATTCAGACATACTCTTCTTCTAGGTATTAGAAACTATTAATGGGAATGATATTGGCGTGTGATATTGCTTATGGAGACTGAGCAAAATTCTCTCTTGTAGCTGTGCAAAAAAAGGGAACAAATTAACACATGCATTATATTAATTTTTCTGCAGGTAACTGCCCAGGATGTATCGACTATGATACGCTCCGGCCAGAAGAATATCATCTTCCTCATAAACAATGGTGGCTACACAATTGAGGTTGAGATTCATGACGGACCGTATAATGTAATCAAGAACTGGAACTACACTGGCATGGTTGACGCAATCCACAATGGAGAGGGAAAGTGCTGGACAGCTAAGGTCAGTGAAAAAATGGAACCCCAGCCTTTGTACCAGATTCTCTGTAATTTGCCAAAGTCATACCAATCCGGCTTTTTCTATGTCCTGACAATTTGTGTTGGCTTCCTAAAAACTTGTGTTAGGTACATTGTGAAGAGGAGTTGATTGAAGCTATTGAAACTGCAACTGGCGCAAAGAAAGACTGCTTGTGCTTCATTGAAGTCATTGTTCACAAGGATGACACTAGCAAAGAGCTATTGGAATGGGGTTCTAGAGTCTCTGCTGCAAACAGCCGCCCACCAAACCCACAGTGATGAACTTTACTTGGTGGTGCTTGGAAATACTCTGCTCTGTGAACTGAATCAAAGATAGTTTCAAGTCGTAATTGTTTCGACAAAGCCCTTCTAATCTTAGGTTCCTGTACGCCCTTTTCTTCTAAAATTGCCTGTCATTCCCCCTCGGTAATTAGTATAAGTAGAGGAAACTTCCTACTTCGGTTCAGTTGTATAAAGTGATGCGAATTTTTTCTGGCTAATACCAATTTGGACGGTGGTTTTGTGCTACCTTTTTTTTTCCGTCTGTGTGTGGAATAATCCGTATGGTTAAAGGCCAATCTGGCATGGATAGCAGTCAAAAAGACAATCGAGTGATTGACTTTTCTGATTTTCACTTTATAATGGCGGGATTCAATTTACTTACAAACTCTGTATCTCTTAGAATGCGAGTAGGATTTTTGTGCTAGCCCGGTTATGTTCTGGACTGGTTAAGGCCTTTTTTACCAGTACCAAATTTCATTCTGAACTCGACAGATATTCCCAGGAAAAAAACCAAAGAATCAAAGTCGGACGTTTCTGAAGGCAGATGATGATGATTGTGACGTAAAATAAGTCGAATAGTCTGCGTAAAAGGTGGCTTAAATTTGTGGGGTGGTCGTTTGTCGATCGATGATATGAAAAGCGTGAGAATTGACAGCAATCGATGCTGATATTTTCCTCCCTTTGGTCTTTTTCCAGCATAACACAAAATAGTAACATTCTCCTAACTAGGCAAGAGGAAGAAATTCCTTTCTTAATCGTTGTAATATCTCTATTCATTGCCAAAAATCACAGATATAGATGACAAACAAAGCTCGAGATATTCTTTTTCAAAAAAATCTTACACGCCAGTCTATATTTTAATTTGCATGACTTTGTAAAGTTATAAATTGAACACTATGATACTCCCTCTGTCCCAAAATTATTGTCCAATTTGAGATTTTACTTTTAGTACAATTTGAATTAGAAATAGAAACTTAAATTGGACAATAATTATGGGACGGAGAGAGTATTATCAATTAACGGAATTTGTGACTTTAGTGTAACCGATTATTACTTGAGTAAAGTTCGAATGTGAAGTTAAAGATTCTCCTTGGATGAATGGTGAGGTGGCGATGCCGTAAGTCAAGATCTTGAGAAATGTAAATTTCACATCTAGTTAGATTCATAGACCAAGTTCAAATAGAAGCAATGCTTATGAACTGTGTACGCACTTATTCAGATGATCCGGGCTAAATACCAGCCGACCATTCTCTACTAGAACATTGGGGAAAGGTGCTTGACATTTACTGATATGGGTTTTCAGGCGGGGTATGTTGGGATGTGCACTCCGGCACCTATGGCAACGCAACTCCATAGAGTGGAAGCTCTCGTCGTCTTTGATGATGGCCTTTCCGTGTTTGTTTACTTCCTCCATCACATCAACCGAGTCACGGAAAAATGGCGTGGTGAATGAATTCCAGTGCTTCTTATTCTTTAGATGTTTGGAATCAAAATCTTGGCTAATAACATGCAAGTGCAATTGTCGCATTGATGGAACCTGCAACAGAGATAGAGTAAAACAAACATCCTGATTGACAGTGGCAGATGAAGAGGTTTAACAACAATAGCAGCACATCCACAATAAGGTAGCTATTTTTTACGCGGTTTTGTGAAGAAATATTTGTATGCTATACAAGGGGGAGAGCCAGGGGCATCGAATCCTTTTGTTCCAGGCCTTCACCTGATGTTCCATCCAACATAATAAGGAAAACATGCAAAGGATGGTGTGAATGGAAAGAACTAATTTTGGCAGTCGATTCATGCTTACCGAGTGATAACCCAAACGAAATATTAATGATTTATCCTCATTCAGAAACCTTTCTACCCACTTCAGGCCAACTTCTTGCATCTTGTTTAGTAAAGGAAGATGCTCTTTGCATACATCTGCAAGTCCATCAAGACCTTCAACTCGAGCCAGCACTAACAAATGCTTGCGCGCCTACAAACAGGTGAAATAGTTCCGCTTAAAAACTAAACTAGCATTTCTTACAGGGCGCGTGTGCTAAAAAAAGGTGCAAGTCAGTAAGGGATAACAAACCTTTGGATAAAGGTCATTAAGCACCACGATATCATCCAAAATTTGTATTACATCTTTAGAATGCTTCTCAGGGTGCATGGCGATTTGGTACAGGGCCTGAGACCACGAGCCCCAGACTTTCTTTGAACCAGTTTCATCCCTGCTGTCTCGTTTATCCCCTGAATGCTTGGCATAAGTTCCAGTTTTCCCCAAAATCCCCTCCAACCTTTCAGGTTTTTCGGTCTCAAAGTTCGCTTTCTGGTCCACAGTATGGCTAACATGATGTCTAACTTCTTTTAGAAGTGACTTTGACTTTTTGTTCATTTCACATTCATCAACTGCTTCTCTCTTGACTTTCTGATCACTATCAAAACAATTTCTTCCCAGAGGATTTTGCGAACCCAAAGAAATTTCATTACTTTCTTGTGGCAAACTCTTTTTGGTACGGAGAATGGCAGCAAAACTTTCAAACAATGATGAATATGCTTCTCGTAATATTTTGCAGCCTTTGACATAATCATTGTTCAGATAGTTCGGCCTTTGTGGATTCATATTTGGTCCGAGGACATGAATTACATGGGTTACCCTCTCCTTTACGGATAACGGTGAAGTTGAAGGAAGAGGAACAATCAAAGCTTTTCCAGGTGCAAGAGATGCTGCTATTTCCTTGGTCGCACTTTCTAGTTCAGGGCCGGCAGCACTATATATAGCTGCATTGACTCCTCCACCTCCAGGCTTTAGTCGCCTGCAATAATACAATTCAGCTTCCTCCACAGAAGATTTAGACCGAAAACAGATAGTAATTTCTTCAATGTTAATGTTAAGTTCTCTAGCTTATTAAATTATCAGTAAGATGCTTTTCAAATTGCTTCTATCTTGGTGAAGAAACTAAACAAGAGTTGCATTTCCTCTAGATTTTCGAATGCCATACATAAATGCAAACTACCAATAAACAAGGAATTGCATTAAAGAGTACAGAAGAACAACATGTCATTTTAACTCCAAACTTTCACCATGTTCCATTTCCTACATTTGACCTGCAGACCTCTCTTTCTAGATTTAACAATTCTCTCTTCCAGGCAGAAGACTTCATGTGAAGGAAATGAAAAAGAAAAGGCAAATATGGGAACTAGGAATATGCAAACACGGAAAGTATAAACCTTGGTGTGAAACATAACAGATACATTTCACATAATAAATAGGCAGGCTTACCAATTGGAAGCATTAGCAATTACATTGCAGCACAAGCCCCCGCCAGAGTAGAGCCTAGTGATATCTCCAACAAAAGTGAAGAATTTGTTTGGATCAATGTTCTTTTGTGCAGCTTTAGACCGAACTAGAGACAATATTTTTGATCCGTGAGACAAATCTACCAAAACAAGTCTAGCATTTCCCAACTTAGTCACGAATTCTCCAACTTTCTCAACGATAATATCGGATGCCTTCTCAAGATTGAAGTGGAAATCAGCAGTAGAGAGAGATGGAAACGCTAAGGTGGGAACACTATCTACAGATATTATACCACTTAGTGTAGCACTTTCTGAGTTTGCTGAATCCTTCTTGTCCTGGTGGATGTGTTCCAATGGAGCTGAATGATTCCCTAGCCTTCCCAGGTCAGAATCCTTCTCTTCAGCGGTCTTACTACAAGGAGAATTCTGAGAATTACTTCCTACAAGTCTATCTTTACCCGGAGGGTCTACCTTTTTAAGGAATTTCATTATACCAAGTTGAATTTTGGCTTCTGGGTTCTTCTGGCCAAAGCAGCCTGATGAAAGTGTGTCTCCAGGACCAAGTGCACTGTACATATTGATGGCGGCTTCAACATCTTTTTCGATGTAGCAAAATGTAATCCGACTGAAACCTTCACTCAGCTTAGGAGCTTCTTTCTTTTGCAGCATGCGATTCACAACAGCAGCTGCCTTTCCGCCTTGCAAGTTTCCTTCATGATCAGTTCTCTTGACAGAACGAGATATACAAAGTTTTGCAGGAAGATCAAGCACCACTGCATGCTTCTGCACTCCAGACCCACCAAGTTTCAGAAAGTCTGCTCGCTGTTCTCTGTCTATGTTGCATCTATCAATTAACACACTTTTTCCTTCTTTTAGCGCACTAGCTGCACTCATTATGCACTGTGTTTTAGTCCCAGGCTTACCGTTTCCAATGGTATCCTGAATTTTAGAAACAAGAAACAAAGTGATTGCACAGATAATTTAAATTCTAAGCAAAAGTTGGTTTCTAGCATTCATTATCACTGTATTCCAACACAACACTAATACCTTTGTTAGCGCCTTCTATCCGAATCTATCATTCACTATTGCACTGGATTCCATGCCATATTCAACAAAGCCTAATATATGCACACACGCGAAGAATCACTTGCTTTATGCTTTCTTTAATAATTACCTCCACACTTTTAACTTCAAAGGGTTCATTTTTCCTTTTTCTCCTTTTGACAAAAGAATATCCGCAATGGCCCTCTCAATGAAACTATCTAATGAAAAGGAATCAGAAACATGAGTAAGACAGAATTGTCAACTAAAAGTGCAAAGCGAACAAGGTTAGTTGTGTTTTTTCATCTAAGCCATGTCAAACAGAACCATATTAATTATTGAACCAAGAGATAATCATAGAGTAATGCATACAGTGATAAGAAATCCAGCGAAGCAATTCAGCAAACAGGTAACAGGCGAACGTCTAGGTCGAGGCACACATCACGAACCTGGCAAATGCGGACCCAGGGTCGGGGAGAAATCCGAATGAGGTGGTCACAGAATGTGGATTTTCCACTACCTGGAGGCCCAATCATTATTACTGCTATCTGACCTCCCTCTTCTCCCTTATCTAAACCGAAGAAAATGATCAGGAAAAAGAACATATAAATTAATAGAAACACTTTCATCATTCGTTAATTCACACACCATCGTACGGGCTAGAGTGGAGAGCGTATAAAGTGAATAAAATTAGCAGAAAAATTTTCCATTCTTTTTTGTAGTACTAAAATAAAAGGAAAAGCACCTGGAGAAGCAGTAGGTACGCCATCAAGCTCCATCGGCTCCATGGCTGCCGGTGTTATGGTAGTCCCGTCTCCCGTGTATTGGAAGTTGGGTTCAACGATCGCGGTGGCGCCACCTTCTAAGTCCGGCGTTTCGCGGGTTCGATATGAGTTGTTGCCTTGTTGGTTTGGCGCTTATGATTCCTGTTTTAATATACGAACTCAGTGCCATTTCCTTTTTTCTTTTTTCTTTTTTTTTGAAAAATGCGATTTCTTTTTTTGAAAAAAAATAAAAAATAAAAAAAAGCTTCAGCCCTCAGTTACTGTTTTTTCTCTAATTTTTTTTAAATATTTTATCTCATGATTTAGGATGGGTTATTATATACTAACACAAGTTCTTGAAAGATATCTGTTGAAACTATATTTGTACATTCTAGCCTTGCCTTTAATTTACACTTGTAAGATGAAAAAAGCATGAAATAAAATGGTAACCGTATTCATTTTCTTTTTCGTTGTCTCATTTGTGCGTCTGGAGGAGAATTTTAAGAACAAATATGTCAAGATGGTGGTCACACCATTCCCTCCGTCTTTTACAGAACAAAAATGACCAATAAATGAGTGAAAGGCTCACAACAAATCCTATTGCTGCACTGATGTAAATGTCACTCTTGGAAACCGATTCTTCCTCCTCAGTTGCTACACCTGGAAATTCTGTTGAAGTTGCTGTAGAATTGCATGATCTGTTGACAGCAAAACCACATAATCCACTGTTTCCAAGGAAGCTACTTTCTGTAAATGTCTGCATCTGTCTACCCCCAGGTATCATTCCAACCAGCTCATTGTAAGAAAAGTTCAAGAATGATAGGAATGTAAGGCCTGAAATTTGTCGGGATTTCCCCATTCAGATGATTGACTGACAGGTCTAATGACCCCAGCTCCTTCAAGTTTCCTATTGACTGTGGGATTGGACCAGCAAAACCATTGTGTGACAAGTTAAGAAGGTACAGCCTTTGGAGATCACCAACTGTTTCAGGCACATTGCCTTGGAAATGATTGCTGGAGAAGTCAATGGATGTAAAGATGGTCAGGATCTTCTGCAGTTCGAAATCCACGCCTTTCAGGACGACTGAGACTGAGTCTACATAGTATATTTGATCACCAAGGAACGTATCATATCGTAGATGATCAAGCTGAGCATTGGGATCATCCTCTGGAACTGACATTTCCTTCAAACTCAAGAAAAGATCCCTTGGTACAGCGCCGCTGAAGTTGTTTACAGCAAGATCAACCAGCTGAAGACTTGGCCAGGTATAGTTGTTTCCAGGACAGCTAATGCTTCCGTGGAAGTGGTTGTTACGCAACACAAGCAGGCGCAGGCTTGTCAGATTGTTTATCCAGCACGGGAAGGTACCGTCTAGTCTGTTGTTGCCGAGGTTTATGACCTCTAGATTATTGCAGCTGGACAAAAATGCCGGAACTTTCCCTTCCAAGTAGTTCCAACTTAGATCAAAAGTTTCTAATCTGCAGCTGTAAAGAAAAGATACTTCGGGTATATAGCCACTGAGGTTGTTTCGTCTTAGATTAAACACTCCAAAGTTTTGGCTATTTCCCAACAAACATGGCGGTATTGTGTTGCTTAAGGTATTGTTGGATAAGTCAAGTAATTTAAGCCTAGTTGCATTGCACAGTGATTCAGGAATGCTACCCACCAGCTTATTGTTTGCAACTGAGAAAAACCTAGCATCTTTTAGGTGATTACCAATGTCTGCAGGGAATGAAGAATCGAAATTGTTGCTTGATAAATCCAGAAAGGTTATAGATGTTGGTAATGGAAGTTTCCCTGTGAGGAAATTTGAATGCAGATCAAGTAAATTCAGATAGCCGAAAGTGTAAGGTTCTTGAAAATGTGTCAACTGATTATGAGAAAGATTCAAAAAGCGAAGAAATCCATTTCCAACGTCCCATAGCCAGCTAGGTATATTGCCCTCTATTTCATTGTTTGAAAGGTCTAGCATCATAATTCCTGACTGATTCTGTAAGGGTGGGAACTTTCTTATGCCGCATGAAGCTAACATCAAAGTTTGAAATTTGGGAAGCAAAGAAGGCAGAGCATAACTGGTGGTTGTGTCAATAACCAAATTGGTGTATGAAAGATCAAGAGAAGTGAGTTGGGGTAGCTTTCCAAAATCGAGCAACTCTAATGTTCCATTGAATTGGTTCCAAGCAAGACTTAGAGTGGTAAGGTTAGGTAAACCAAATAGAAACCGAGGCACCGGCCCTTCTAAGTTATTGTTTTGCAAATGAATTGCGGCCAATCGGAAAGGCTGACTGTTTACTGCTTCACTAATTTGACCAGAAAATTCGTTGAAGGCAAGAGACAAGGATGTAAGTGATGGCATCAAGAATAGATTTTCAGGAATTTGCCCCTCCAACGAATTCTCACGCAAGTGAAGAAACTCAAGATTATCAAGTCTTATCCTTTGGAAGGTTGATGTATGTAAGATTTTTGGAAAGATGAAAAGATGGAACAGAACCATTGAAGTAATTGGCAGACAAGTCTATAGAAACAAGGCTGGTAAGGCTTTCCACTGAACTTGGGATTGGCCCTGTAAAGTTGTTAGCTCTCAAGTCCAACTGGGATAACATTTTAAGGTTACCAATGGAATATGGTAACCTTCCTGAGAATTGATTGTAACTGAGCAACAGATTTTGAATAGATGAATTTGCGGGGAATTCGGGCAGAGAACCTAGAAGATCCCTGTTGTTGGACAAGTCAAGAGTTTGAAGAGTTGGTACCTGGAATATTTTCTGTGGAACTACTCCAGAGAATCCGCAGGTGCTTAAACTCAAGACAGTCAGATTGGGAAAATCCCCAAAGAACTCAGGGATTTGAACTGAGAAAATATTCTGATCAAGCCGTATGACAGAAAGAGACTTGAGTTTCATCAGAGAAGAATCAATCGGCCCAGAAAGATAGCAATTTGACAAGCTCAAAACTTGCAAATTAGGCACTGAAGCTGACCAGCCATACCCTTGGGTTGAAAGATTTATACCATCAAGATACAGTTCCCGAAGACCCGTGAGATTCTGAACTAATAATTCGAGATTTGGGTTCTCTAGCTGGAACCAATTTATGAACTGAGGTGGACTGGAGAGATCAAGACTAATCAAGCTTGTCATTTTGGAAAAAGCACCAGGAATCTGGCCAGAAAATCCCGAATTCGACAAGTTCAGGTATTCCAATGAAGTGAGCTTCTCAAAGTTGGACGGTAACTGCACTGGATCAGAATTGTAGTTTTCAGCCAAATTCAACCTCCGCAAAAATCGAAGGCTGAACAAAGACAAACCACTGGTCTCATTGATGCCTCCAGTGATTGATTCCTCGCTGAGGTCGAGCCCTACAACATGTCCAGAAGAATCACAGCCGACGCCAGCCCAAAAACAACAATCGTCAGTGCTTTGATTCCAGTTCACAAGCTTGGTGGAAAGCATGGAATCAAACGTCAGATTGTCTCTGAGCTGAAGTAACAAGGTTTTCTGATCTTCAAGACATTGTCCGGCGACAAGGAAGACCTCCGCACGGTAAAACTGTACCAAAAATAGCACAAGGTAAGGACAAAAAAGTACTGCAGTTCTCATTTTCTGATTAATTTGCAGGTTTCAGATTAATTTGGAATACAGAATTACAGATTTATAGAACTCAGGCCAGCTGCTTAGTACATTTTCTTGGAAGTTTGACAAACGAAATAGTTAAACATTTCTCTAACGAGGCCAGATATCAAGAGAATATAAAAATGTGCATGGCATAATTAACCATGTCGTTTTCAGGTGATGATGTTATTCTAAATGTGAGCTTGTTGGATAGTCTTTGATTCGATCTACACGCTTCAAGGACAATCTGTCTGATTCATCGGTCGTTTCCACGTCCATAAACTCTCTGATAATGATATAATCATTGACACCAACCCAAAAATCATTCGGTTTCTGATGCCTTTGTTTTACTTTTCAGGAATTCGAACTCATTGTAACAAATCCTCGCCAAGTCCATATCATTCGGAAATCGAACTCATTGTAACAAATCCTCAACAGAATCAAGAGACCAAAAATAACTTGTTAATCCAATTTTAAAACTAGTTCTTAAAATAGGATTCTTATTAGGTTCATAACAGCCGGCTTATTGTTTTGAACGGAGACTATACACCTCAACTAAGTCAACTTAAAAGAACATTGGAGGGGGAGCATGAACTTGGCGCATAACAAATAACAATAACACGTGATAACAAAACATTGCCAAACCATTTGAATACAATCTACATCCTCCGATAATATAACTATTTCTGAGGATCAAACGGAACAAAATCTAAATAGCACATGTGTCAGGTAATCTAAGGATCAAACAAAAACAAAATCCAACAGCAGTTTCGCCATTTCTAGCACAAATTAAGTGACCAATCTTCAACACTCAAGCAGCACAAAACCAACCCAACAGCAAGATCTCCAGATGACCCTAAACCCCTCCCACCCCCACTATTTTTTAGACATCACGAAGACCAAGTACTCAAATGCATTAAACATCTGGCAGCAATGCCTTCTCTTACATGATAAAATCATTACAAAGATTCAATAGAACATTGTAACTGCAATAAATTTAATAGATCAAGTACAGTTTAATAGTAAAGATATTTGGTTCAAGCACCAATCAAACTACAAAGTTCTCTGATCCACACGATAATAATGCCTAATGCAAACTTTTGCTTAATTTACAGTAAGGTCTGATGCAAACTTTGCCTTCTAAATGTAGCCAAACTAATTGATTCTCGAAAGTAAAAGCACAAAATCTTGTATTTCCATATTGTCACATACCAAAAGCGGTTAAGATCAACATTTGGAAACCGACACATTAAAATCTAACACAACCACTTGGGGAACAGAGCTAAACACAGAGAATCAAAAGGTGGCAAACCTAACACTAACAATAATCTCATATAAAACTGCACACAACATAGCCATCAAGAGCTATAAACCTTTATTAAACAGCTGCATAGAGCATATGTCGAAAATGAGATACATCGAAGTAGCACTACTCTATCTCATCAAGAACCCTCCTAGTAGTCCATTTTCTAGCACAATTCAGCTTCATCAGTCATCGCTATCACTATCACTATCACTATCACTATCACTATCAGAAACTGAGTCTGAAGAATCAGACTGTGTGTGAAGAACATCATTGCCTACAACTGGTGGTGCAACAATCCATACAGAAGACAAGTACATCGAGGCTTATAAAGCACTTCTAACATTCAAATCAAGCTTCCAAGTATAGAAATCAAATGGACAACCATAACTCAACTCCATCAAGTATAGAACTCAAATGGACAACCATAACTCAACTCCATCATGAAACGAGACGTGCAATTCAATACAGGACAAATAAGAATAAACAGCTCACGAAAGTACCATAACACTTCAAGTCAGGCAGTAAACCCTACACCTAAATCCTTCAAGGAATCACACAAGTGCTACAAAAACCTAATATCCACAATTGTTGTTAAATAATAAACACATAATCAGCTGGCAAATTCACCGGCACAAGAAAGCTAAGCATTAGTCAAAGATTCCTTGAGAATGTTAAACATTTCGATTCGATTTACCATTTCCATAAAAGTACCAACTGAACCCAATTTCTGATAAATACGAATTACAAAACTGAAATATCCAGGAAATCCTAAAGACACAAAGCCTAAAAATAGAAAAAGCAGTTTCGTTCAGTTGTTGGCATCCAGGATAATTCATTCTACTTAGATCTCTGCCTCATCTTTCGGCGCTTCCGTTTCAGCCTCCTCATTCTCTTCTTCTTCCACTGAAATCCAAAAATAAGGACAACATTAACTTAACGCAAAATCTGTCTGTATACTAATTATTGTTTCGAGAGAAAAAAAAAAAAAAAAAAAGAAGAAAAGGAAACAAAAAGCAAGAAACATCTCCGTATAATTTGTATATCTAACCTTGGCTCTCATGGTGATAAGTCCGAGAAGATGAAACTCGCAGCGTTCTTTGAGATCCCTATCGAAGTAAGGTATTGGTCACCGGCGACAAAACCCTACCCGTGCTGTTTCCTTTAATTTATAGAGCTGAAACTTGGGCTAATCGAATGGGCCGACGGCGGAAGGAGGAAGCGCCTTTACCCGGTAATTTTTGTATGGGCTTTTTTTTTTAAGGAAAGTAATTCACGCAATATGCCCATATTAGAGCATCTTCAATTGTTTAGGGCTTATTTGGCCATCATCTCATTTTGCATTTTGATTTAGTTTTTGATTTGAAATTGAAATGTGATTTAAAATGCGTTTTGAAAGGAAATTTAAAAAATTGTTTGGATAAATTTTTTATTAAAATAATATATTTTTTTACCTCCACCACCTACCTCCGCCGCCGGATCGTCGCTAGCTGGCCGAATTCCGGCCAAATTCGGGCGAGTTGCCCAGAATTTGGTCAAAATTCAGCCGGCCGGCGACGGTCTGGCGGTGACGGATTGTGGTGAAGGTGGTCCGATGATGATGGACGAAAATTGTGTAAAAATAATTTTTAGAATATTTTTTAAAAGGTAAATTAAAAGTTGTTTAGACATTATTAGAATTTGTGTTTGAGAAGTGTTTTAAGAAATAAAATGAGACAAAAAGGCAAAATAAATGTTAGACAAACAAGACCATTTTTCATTTTTACAGGGTAAAATATAAATATTAGTATTATATTATATTAATAATTTACTTATTATTATACTTTTTCGTACACTGTAATGAAATGAAATTTATATTACATTATCAAGGACTACATTTGATTAAAAATCAAATAGGTCAACCATAAAAAGAACATATTCATCCATAAAATTTGTTAGTCTACCACGGTTAAAAGTTATTACACTTTACATAGTGGGGGAGAGTGTAAGTAATTTATTTTTTATTTATGATGCTCTTAATGACTAATTATTGCTAGTTAATATAGTGAGATTGAGAATTAGATTTAATTAAATGTTCTAAATTTTAGTGATTATAAGGGAAAAAAATTAGAGAATTCATAAATAAAATTAATGTCAATGTTTGAGGTGGGACAATATTTTGAAAAATCTTGAAAAAGTAACAAGCAGTGTGAAATTTGTCTTCTGCAAAGATCATTGTTATAACACGTTAATAAACATAAAGCGTAAATAAGTTATTGTATTCTATATAATCATTGGTAGGTTGAATGAGAGATTTTTTTCTTTTGTTGACAGATAATTAGAACTTGGTTGACATCATTGATGACCAAATGGAAGGGTGGAGAGACTAAAATTCGCAAGTCTTCATCAGTGCCCTTTATATCTCTACGCATTCAGCCAAATAGTACATACAATACACCTGCATGCATAGCGCATGAGAATTAATAATTAATACTCCCTCCGTCCCATAATTATTGTCCACTTTGGGTTTTCATTTTTAATTCAAATTGTACTAAAAGTGAAATATCAAAATGGACAATAATTTTGGGACGGAGGGAGTAATATGTAACGATCTTGATTAATTATATACGATTTCTTGTCATCATAAACAACAGATGGTGTGAGATTTCAATAGTGATGAAGATAATTGTTAAAAGGAAATGATGTTGAGAGTATGAAGTCAACGCTACTTCTCTAGCAGTATTTACTTTGTTAAAAGCTGTGTAGACAAAAGACTGTTAAAAAAAAAACAAGATCCTGTTTAGTTTGGAAAAATCGAAGGGAACAAACCAGATTTGAAATGCATATTTTTTTAATCCCGATCGATGTTCTTGTGCGGCTGTCATAACAATGTTTACAATATCTTCTTCTAACAACCAGATTGAGTATTTAACAAAGATGCATAAAACGGAGCATCTAGCATCAGTACCTTATTTATGTACGTCTTCCAAATCAAACCGAAAATTGCAAATCAAAGATGAGAAATATGTCAAGGTTTCGTGTCAGTCATTCGCTGTTGCTGCTGTTCGTGCTACAGTTTTATTGCAGACAGCATGCTTCCTCGGTCTCCGGACAATGTCTC